ATGAGCCCTCCACCATCGAGCCCGCTTCCATGTTTGACATCGTCAAGAAGCTCACAAAGAAAGACAAGAAGAAGGCGAGAAAGAGCAAGGGTGACGCTGACACAACGCCAACGACTCCCGCGGCTGGACCTGAGGCTGCGGTCGAGACGAAGGAAATTGTCGAGACGCCTGTGTTCGTATCTGCGCCCACCTTGACAGAAGAGCGAATTGTAGATCAGAGAGAAGTCGTAGAGACACCTGTGTTGGTAGAAGAAGAGATCATCACGACCGATGGGTCTTCTCACAAATTGAGCAAGAAGGAGAAGAAAACGAACGGCAAGCAACCTGCAGTCGACCCAGTGGAGCCTCCCGAGACAGCAACGCAGTCAAGCGCACCAATCGTTGAGTATCCAGAGCCAATTGCCGAGCAGCCCGCAGAGGCACAACCAGTTGTCACTGAGCCTTTATTCGACACTATCGTGTCTGAGGATATCCACCAGGCTTTCCGTTCCAGCGATGTCGAACGAGTACTGCCTGATGAGCCAGCCGCAGTCGACAACCCGGCCCCATCTACCGCCACGCAGTATCTTCAAGAGACTTTCATGGAAGAAGAGTCAGTGCCGTCAGGGAAACTTAGCAAGAAAGACAAGAAAAGAGCTAAGCAGGCCGCTGCATTAAAAGACACCGCGATTGCTGCGTCTGAGGATGTTCTTTCTTCTACTCCGGCGGAATCTCAGGAAGCAGCTCTACCCGACTATAAGGTGGCTGCGCCAGCTCCGGCACCTGTTAGTGAGACGTTTCCTGTGACGAGCGTCGAGCCTTCCAGGAAGCCAGCTATCGAGGAAATCCCGGCTATGACGCTTAGCCAACGTGAGGTGGAGACACAGGTCGATACCTCAGTCGTCATACCAGCAGAGACAATCACGGATAATGTGCCACCGCCGGTCGTCGAGCAACAAGAGACGATCTTCGAGGAGCCATCTATCCCATCTCGTAAGCTCAGCAAGAAGGGCAAGAAGAGAGCCAAGCAGGACGCGCTCCTCACGCAGGAACCCGAGGCGCCCGTTGCGGCAGATGCATTGTTGCCCGAAATAAGTGAGCCCATCGTCACGGAGATACCGCACACAACCCAAGAGGTATCCCAGGATATGCTCTCCCACGGGCCAGCGACCGTCGAACTCCCAAACGCAACGAACGTCATGGAAGAGGCACCTCGGTCAGAGCCATCTACTGTGCCACGATTTGACGCGGAGTCAGAGATTACAGTCACCGAAGTCCAGCCCGAACAAATTCGCATCGACCTTCCCGTCAAGACCTCGATTACGGAAAGCATCGAGCAGCATCGCGAGTTCCCTTCTGTGCGTGAACCAGAACCAGAGTCTGCGATTGCCCCGACTCTCGTACGCAGAGAGAGTAAGAAAGACAAAAAGAAAGGCAAGAAGCAAGACGTGCTGGCTGAACAGCCTCTCACATCGAGAACCGACGATGTAGTGATCTCCAAAGACGTGCGAACCGAAGAGCGGTCTGTTGACTTGTCAAAGCCCATAGACCAGCAAGTCACGGCTCCCATGGACATTCAAACTGAGCGTACAGATGACACGTCAATCCCGCCAGTCCTGGAGAAGCAGTTCCAAGAAATCGTTCCCCAAAGAGAACTTCCAGAGGAGCGTGTGACCGTTGATGCTCCAGCGACCGAAGCCACGCCTGAGGCCGAAACGACTCCTAAGAAGAGCAAGAAGCAAAAGCGCAAGTCAAAATCTGCGACGACTTCAGAGGAGCCCGCTAGTGTTGCGCCCATCGTCCCGGTCGAGGAGATCGCCCCTGAATCGACTGTTGTACGTGAGATTGTGTACGACGACCGCCAAGATAAGATTCGAGAACGCAGCCTTTCTCCCAGGAAAAGGCCTACAACACCGTCAACGCCCGGGTCGCCAGTAGTTGGAGCAATTCTCAGCCAGCCAAAAAGGGAACATGTCAGGTCCATGTCCAACGTCTCTATCCCTGATCTCCACGTCAGAGCCAGCGAATCCGACAGCACGGCTCAGCATCCCTTGTTACATAAGAAGTCATCCAAGAAACACAAATTGGCGGCCCTGTTTGAGCGCGGTAAATCACCGGATGGTCCTCCTGTAGAACGGGGTCTGCGAAAAGAAGGATCCGGCAGTGTCAGAAACCTCGCGGAACAATACGAGAGTCAATCACGATCTGTTACGCCCGTTCTTCCCCCATCTCCCGAGAAGCGTTACCTATCTCGGTCTCCATCGCCTGAGAAGCGTCAGCTTCATTCTCGAGTTGCATCTCGTAGTCAACTTGGCTTAGCGTCACCAGTGCGATCAGATTCGAAGTCTCCCGCAAGAGAGATAGACTTCGCAGCCACTGTGGCCGCCAGTTTGCAAGAGTCTGGTTTTGATCCAGGATACGTCATCAACGACAAGTCTTTCCATCGCTCGAACTCCATATCCGGAGCTCGCGATATCACGCCTGATGATGATATTGCCGCTGCAAGGGAAAGAGCCGGTAGATCTCGACTTGGTAGCTTAAGTCGCTCATCATCAGTCTCCGGCTCGCCAAAACTACGACCACTCCAGCCTAGCGGGCCCGATGTTCTCCCACCCATTGAAGTATCAATGGCAACAACTGATACTGCATCATTCGACCCACTGGATGTGCTCAACGACCCCGCTTTTGCAACGCGAAAGTCACCGCCTGGTGTTCTTGAAGAGGCTGACCCTGACGAGTTGGCTGGTTCTTCAAGTCTAAGAAGGACTAAGAGCAAGAAGAAGCGTTATCCATTGCCAGAGGCCACAGTGGAACATGAGGATATTCGCAAAGAAAAAGACGCTTTGGTTGCGCCGATTGTTCGAGGCAAAAAGTCAAAGAAGGACGAAGAAGGAGCTCCACGTCTGCAAGACCGTGTTGAGTATGCAGCTGCAGACACTCCGGCGATCGAGGCTCTCCAAGATGTGCCTCTCGCTGTTGAGACTCCAGCTGACTCCACAGTCCGCGGAGTTGAGCTTGCTCAGTCCGTGCCTCGCGCGTCCACCTCCACCGATGTCCTTCCAGAGGTGATACCGCAAACGACAGGTTTGGAAGCCAAGTCTATCGACGTCAAAGAGGAGGATCCAAGCAGACAAGACACGATGACAAGGAAGGAGAGGCCCAGAAAGTCAGTGAAGGACGTCAAGCCTGTAGCCACTGAGGATATACCCATATTACCTGTGACATTCGATCAGGAAGCCCGTTCACTGACCGCTAGAGAGCCGAAGGAATACCCATTTCCACAGGTGACGCAAGAGAAGGAGATTGAGAAGAAGAAGGGGGAGGAGGAGACTCGCAGGCGAGAGTTGGAGAAAGAGAGGAATATGGATGCATGGGCTCCATCGCCAAAAAAGAAGAGCAAAAAGAGCAGGGAGATTGAAGAAAGGGCTGACGGAGAGTCAAGCACCGCATCGAGAGACGCACCACCAGCTGCCGTTCCTGAAGTTCACAAGCGCAGGACACATCCTGTATCCTTTGACGATGAGCAGCCGGACGAGAAGCGCCTACATACGTTGGAGTCCACCCAAGAGCCTCAGTTCACAACTGAGAGAACAGCATCGCCAGCACATGTTGTCGCATCAGAACGCTCACACTCCGACAAGCGCTCCAAAGAAGCCAAACCATCAACACATGGTGCAGCACCAGCCAACGAGCCATCGTGGTCATTCGCTGAAGTTCGAGATAACAGCAGTCAGAATCTCGCCACTGCACAGTCAGCACAGCCAGTCGAGAAGGCAGCACGCACGCTGAGGCGGTCGAAGGAACCGAAGACTCCTCTGAGTGCATCAAAACGCTCAATTGCAATTGATCAAGATGCTGAAGACAGCCCTGCTTTGCCAACACACCCAGTGATTTCTGGCGCAACAACTCCAGGCACCGACTTTGCGACGAAGGAACGAACCTCGTATCTTTTCGATTCCTCGCCATCAACACGTGCCTATGGCACTTCACCAGCAGTTGGGCCGCAAACGCCCGCTCGTGATACTCAGAGAGTCGATGATACTCCGTCAAAAGACAAAGGCAAGAAACCACGCACGGAGTCGCACTACGGTCGGACATCGCCTACAAAGGAGATTGCACAGAAGGAGCCATACCAATCCTTATTTGGAGATCCAAATGAGAAGAAGGGCGAGACCCTTTCCACGCCTGTCGCAAAGTCCGAACGCACGCCAGGCACCAAGCAACTCGAGTCCATCGAAGAAGTCAGCCCGGATGACGCCAAGCACAAGAAGTCACGATCCATAGCCGATGTGGGCGCGCCAGAGCGAGGACTCAAGTCAGCCCGTCGCACCGAGAGTCTCAGGCAACTTTCTGATCGCCTGAGGTCACCTCCGCCCAGCACACCAACACCCACGGGTCGTCGAAGTGTGGCATCCATGGCAGACAACACGGGTGGAAGAGACTCACCATGGTCACAGGCCAATGACAGCGTTGATCGAACCATGACCCTCAGTCCGGCACGCCGCATGCCTCGCTCATCTCCGAGCGCAGACCCGTTGAAGCAGTACATTGCTGAGCAGCGGTCGCCCAGTGTTCAAAGTCAGCGTTCTCTGAGCAACATCGCGAGACTCAGGTCTCCGGATCAGGAACGTCCGATGAGCTCTATGAGCAATATAAGCACCCGTTCAGATCGGTCGTTGAGAAGAGTGGACAGGCAAACGTCAGGTGACCTCAGATCAGCCTCGAGGCTTGGCGAGGCCAGTGCGCAAGACGCTAAGAGCGCGCAACCCAATCTCTCCAGCACGGCGCTCGCGGCTGGAGCAGCAGCCATCGCAGGTATCGCCGCCCCACCGGTTTACGACCCAGTCCGGGGTACAGGTAGAGGTCGTCGTGCCAGTATGGCCGAAACCTTTGTAAGTAGTTCGCAGTTGTTGCGCACGTCGCTTCTGGTTACTGACTGTCTTTTGCAGGAAGCATGGGGTGAAGCCCAAAGGTCGCCTAGCTCGCCCTCACGTCCACCAAGCGTGCGCAAACGTCAAAGCATGCAAATTATGGACCTGCAGACGCAACTTGACCAGCTAGCTGCGCAAAATTCAGCTGTCGAGACCGCCAAGGCCAAAGCTGAGGAGGCTTTACAAGCTGCACAACATCAGCGCCAAGTTGACGAGCAACTGGTACTTGAAGAGGTAGAAGCACGTGACCGTCAGATTCACCAAAGAGATATCGACATTGCGCAACTCAAGGATACGCTTCAGCGGCTACAAGAGGAGATTGCGCGCTTAAATCAACTCAACAACGCACTAACAGACGCCAATCGCAACCTGACCAACGATGCCAATGAACGATATGGTCAACTCCAGTCTGAGGGACAAATGGTGCATGAGCAATGGCAGGCGTCGCAGCGAGAGCTAGAGAGCCTTCGCAGTCAGTACGCTCAGCTCCAGGCCGAAGGCCAGGCCATGCAACAGCAATGGCAAACATCACAACGAGATCTGGAAGAGCTTCGCCGCCAGCATACCCAGATGCAGCGAGGTCTCGCAGATGCAGTCCGCGATGAAGTTGGCGAAGCACTCGATGAGCGCAATGCCGAGATCGACCGTCTAACCGCAGAGCTTGCGACTGCACGCGAACAGATCAAAAACCTTCAAAAGCAGATCTTGGCTTCGAAGAAGCCTAGCGAGAGCTTCCTCACTGTTCGCGATGAGGACTACTTTGACAGCGCCTGCCAACAACTGTGTCAACATGTCCAGCAGTGGGTGCTGCGGTTCTCCAAGTTCTCTGACACTCGCGCATGTCGCCTCTCATCAGAGATTGCAGCTGATACTCGGCTGGATGCATCGACGCGTCAGAAGATCGACACTCGTCTTGACAATGCCATTCTCGATGGCTCAGATGTCGATGCGCTCCTAGCGGACCGTGTCAAGCGCCGAGATGTCTTCATGTCAGTGGTCATGACTATGATCTGGGAGTACGTCTTCACCAGGTACCTATTCGGTATGGACAGAGAACAGCGCCAGAAACTCAAGGCGCTGGAGAAGACGCTTTCAGAAGTCGGACCACCACGTGCGGTGGCACAATGGCGAGCGATCACACTTACTCTCCTAGCGAGAAGAGAGCCTTTCATGCAGCAGCGCGCTCAAGACACTGAAGCTGTCGTGCATGAGATCTACAGCACACTCTCGACACTACTTCCACCACCATCGCATCTGCAGCGCCAGATCCAGGAGTCGTTGCGCAACGTCATGCGCTTGGCGGTGGAGCTATCAATTGAGATGCGCACCCAACGCGCGGAATACATCATGCTGCCGCCGCTGCAACCCGAGTACGATACTAAGGGTGATCTCGTCGCCAAGGTCACTTTCAACGCCTCCCTCATGAACGAACGGTCAGGCGAGACGACGTCGAACGACGAACTCCAAGCCCGTGGGTCGGTAGTCAAGATCGTACTGTTCCCCCTAGTCGTCAAGAAGGGCGACGACTTCGGCGAAGGCGAGGACGAGATTGTCGTCTGCCCAGCCCAAGTCCTGGTCGCCGGAACCAAGAGCAGGAAGGTAGTCAGGGTCATGAGTGGAGCGATGTCGATCAATCGTCCCGACTCACGAGCAAGTCGCATCAGTCGGGTAACGAGCGTCGCGCCCCCTGAGAGCACGATCATGGACTACGAGCAACCTGGCAGCAACATGATCTAGATGGACGGCTATTTGGATTACGAATTTTTCGCTTATCTTGTTTTGATAGCGTGGGTGGGTTCTCTGTTCGGCGTTTAGGACGCAAAGCTTTAGCACCTTACCACTTTACGAGATTTCCTTTGTTTGGGTATTGGCAGTAGTTCTATAGCATTGCTTGGAGGGCGTTTAGCACGATTGTATATCTACTCATGACAGCACGAAAGCTGTAAACAATAATCATTTTACGATCTTCACAAAAATCCTTTTTAATCCCTTTAATCCCTTTCGATCTCTTGGCAAATCTCATTTGCACATGGCGACAGGGAAATCGCGATAGACAGCGCCAGATCCTCGGTTGTGGGCTCCATCAGGATCGCGCCAGCCTCGTTTTGGGGCGACCCCGCTCTTCCTGGTGGGCGTGGCACAGCTGCAAGACGAAGGGATATCATAGCCGGACCGTTTAAAGGGTCGCGACGCGCGAAATGTAAACGCTATCCGTCTGCTGCTAGTTGCGGCTTTCCACGCGCTATCCCTACCACTCTTTCCGACACCCGAACCACCTTGAATACCGTTGCGATGCCGATTCGAAGCGACTGGACCCTTGCGCGCGAAGGTGAGTACCAAGCCATTGCCGCCCCCAACGGTCACAATGGCAATTGTTTCGAGTAGGACGCTTTTCTGACTCTGTGAGTAGGCGTAACTGGTGATACTATAAGCCGCCTTATCAGGTACACGGCCTTCAACCCTGCGCTCACGCTTCCCCTCATCCTCCTTGCGCGCTACACGCAGCAAGGCAATGCCCTTGCCCAAGACCATGCCACAGCGTTCAAAGGCTTGAAGATGCTGCTGGGCTTGGGCGCGCTGAGTACCGTCAACGCCTGGCTCAACAGTGGCGTTACCAACAACTGGAGTGGCGATGCCTATGTATGGAGCCGCGAGGTTGTTGTTGTAACCGGAGGCAGCGATGGCATTGGCAAGATTGTTGTCCAGCTGCTCGCCGAGAAGGGCATCAAGGTCGCCGTCCTGGATGTTCAGGACTTGACGTATGAAGGTATGTCTGCAATTGAGCGTCAATTGCCTTGAAGAGTTACTGACACTTACCAGCACCATCATCCGTCCGCTTCTTCAAATGCGACCTCACCGACCCCGAAGCCATCGCTTCCGCCGCCTCATCCATCCGCTCCACGCTCGGTAACCCCACGGTCCTCATCAACAACGCCGGAGTCGCACGCGGCAAAACGATCCTCGAATCGACAGAGAAGGACATCAACCTAACCTTCAAGGTCAACGCCTTCAGTCACTACTACCTGACGCAGCAATTCCTGCCCGCCATGATCGCCGCCAACCACGGCATGATCGTCACCGTCGCCTCCGTAGCCGGCTACCTGTCCGCCCCCTCCATGGTCGACTACGCCTCGTCCAAAGCCGCCGCACTCTCTTTCCACGAAGGCCTCGCCGCCGAACTCACCGCCCGCTACAACGCGCCCAAGATAAGGACTGTGCTCATGGCCCAGAGCTACACGCGCACTGCGCTGTTCGAAGGCTTCGATTCTAAGGGCGTGCTTTACCCTGAGACGGTCGCCGAGAGCATTGTCAAGGCTGTGCTAAGTGGCAAGAGTCAGCATATCTGCCTGCCTGAGACTAGTGGGCTTTTCATTCCTGCGATAAGGAATTGGCCGTATTGGATGCAGTATGGGCTGAGGAAGAGGCTGGGCAAGCTTATGGCGGGGTGGAAGGGCAGGCAGGTTGTCCAGCCTAGTTTGGCGGGGGAGGAGAAGAAGGTTGAGGATAGTACTGTGCTTGTTGATAAAGAGTAGGAGGTGAATGATGAGTGACCGCTTGTGGTACTGTCAGCAATATGCACATAATCTTTCTTGACGTGTGTTGGGGTTGTAGATGCCGAGCTGTTCATATTTCTTTTGATGTGTTACATAATCTTGCAATATACCTTTCATATAATTGAACGATATCACCAGCACACATCCAATTGGAGCAAACTGATCCTGGCTACGGATGGTATTAAGACAAGCATCGTTCCCAGGGATGTGAGTTGAGGCAGAAGTAGACTGTTGAATAATGACGTAAGCGTACACGTGGTATACATCAACATCGTAAGACGGGAAGTGCATGCATCTTGAAAGCCTCCAAAAGCCAACCTCGATATTCAAATTACCTTATTACTTCGATTTCTTCGCAAACGTCGTACGAAACATGGCCCATCTAACACGTGAAGAAGTCCTAAAGTCCGGCGAAGTATCCGAAACATACAGAAAGGTACCACACTCCCACAAGTCACTCCATATACCACTACATCGCCGTTCCTTCCAATTCTAACCCCCAATCCCCAACCCCTAAACTCACACCCCACCCAGGCTTTCACGGCCCGCCCATTCGAAACAACGGGCCCCGACTTCTTCGCCCACCGCGCCTCACGCGCCGCCCACCTCTCCCGTCTCCGCCATCTCTACCCCATTCCCGGCCCAATTCCAGAGCACGTAAAAGAAAGCCTTCACGACGTGCTAAACCGAGATGGGACCTCTATCCGTGTCAAAGTGTACCAGCCTGTTGCTGGTCCGCCGGAAGGTGGCAGTCCATTGATCATGATGTACCACGAAGGAGGCTGGAGTATGGGTGATTTGACGGATGAGGATATGAATTGTAGGATGTTTGCGAGGGATTTGGGGGCTGTTTGTGTTAATGTTGAGTATCGGTAAGTGGTAGAGCTGTGTTTCCTGGTTCGTTCCACGTGATTCTTTCCGTCTTTTGATCAGCTCGTATTTCCATCCTCTCGCCATCGTTAATAATGGACGACATACTCATACACACCACAGTCTAGCCCCCGAACACAAATTCCCCACCGGCATCCATGACTGCCACGACGCCCTCCTCTGGGCCATCAAGAACAGTTCCACCCTGAACGCAACACCCACCCGCGGCCTCCTCGTCGGCGGCGCCTCAGCCGGTGGTAACATCGCCGCTGTCCTTGCCCTTCTCGCCAGAGATACAGCTTTGAACCCACCCATAACAGGCCAATACCTTTGCGTCCCCGCCCTCCTCCCCCACACAAACGTGCCTCCTCACCTAACCTCCCTCTACCAATCCCGCACTTCCAACACTTCAGACCCCGTCCTCAAAGACATGGCACCAGGCTTCATCGAGTCCATCTACGAACCCGAGGAAAAGTCCCCATTTTGGGATCCTTTTAATCATCCAGATGGGCATCAGGGGGTTGCAAAGGCGCTTTTCCAGGTTGGCGGCCTGGATCCGTTGAGGGATGAGGCGGTGCTTTATGATAGGAAGTTGAGGGAGAGTGGGGTGTTGACGCGGTTCGAGTTGTACAAGGGGTTTGGGCATATGTTTTGGACGAATTATCCGGGGTTGGAGGAGAGTAGGGGGTTTGTGGAGGACACGTTAATGGGGGTTAGGTGGTTGTTGGAGAAATAGGCATGATTGCATTTATGCATCATTGGTTTCATGTCATTGTTACATGTTACAAACACGACGAAATGTCGAACACATTATCCTTTCCTCCTGCTCTTCGTGTCAACTTTCAAAGATACCGCCCAGTAGCATCTCCCCACTGATACCCATTCCTCCAACCCCACTGCCCCCTCCTCTCATTCCAATACCCCTGCATTCCTGTTGGATTACCCATATGCCTCCACTGTCCCCAGTTGAAATGCCCGTGAGGTACTTGAGCGAAGTCGTCTGTTATGATGCGATCTGGGCGGCGGTAATTGACCCAGCGGACGCCTCGGCCTGTCATGACGGGAATGGCGCAAGGGTTGGTTGCTGTGTGGTTGGTAGTTTAAGTGTAGATTTCGTTAGCTGATCTGGTAAGGTTGTTCGATACAAGTGGTGTGGTTAGAGGATTGGAGAGAAAGGCAAGGGATAGATATATAATAGGGAGTGTGCTGGCAGGAGTGTGGAATTGATGCCTGAAGGATACAGTACGTGTCTCTGGCGATGAACAGATTGGCAAATTCGACTGAATGCGTTGTACAAGGATCACGTAGATGGTGAAGATATTAGTTGCACATACAGTAACAAAACTAGAATACGTGATCTAGGAACGGCATGATGGAACGTGAAAGCTTGTATTGGGTACGGAAATACACTGTGGGTATAAAGCCATGCTAATGACGACCGTGAACCTGTAAGAAAGCCTTTGCTATCGAGAGCGTCGAATAAAGTTGTACGGAATGCATATGCCTGAGAAAGTGGAAAATGCCTGTAAAGAAACAAGACTCAGACTACGAACCACCCCTTGGACTGCCCGAGGGCGCCTTGTTGACCAGACTGGAGAAGAAGGATCTCAGCTTCTCGTTGTCGTTGATGTTGGTATCCTGCGATTTGGGAGGTGGTGTTTCGGGCTCGTCTGAACGGTTGGCTTGACGGTCCTGGAATGAGGTTAGTATGTGTTCTTTATCTCTTCAGGTGGTATGAACGTGTGTTTGACGTACCTGTAGCCTCTTGACCATCTCATCGGCATTGACTTGGATTCCACCCATGTTGAATTGTACAGGTCCAATATGCTCTTCGACAACTCCCGACTGCTCGTCGGTGTAGGTCCTGGATGTTGATGGGTCTTGTTCTTTGCGCGCAGCCTTGATGGCAGCCTCATTCTCATCTTCCCGCCGCAGATGCTCAAGGACGTTGACTTGATCGGTAAGGAAGGCTTGTGGATCCTTGCTTGACACTTCGAGCCCGTTGGCTTGTTTCGATAAGCTGGAAAGTGCGTAGTCTGACTCTGGGTTGCGAATCGTCTCTTCGTAGATTGAGGTCGCCGATGGACCTTCCTCTTCCTCTTCCGCTGGCGCAACCTGTGTGTCTTCGCCGTTTGGCTGGGCTTCTCCGTCGCCGGGTGCAGCCACTTGGCCGTTGGTCGGCCGCATGTGCTGGGGAATGTCGATGTCAACACTCCATTTCTCGCTGATGCCCTCTACATCAAAGCCCTCTCGTAATATACGAATCTTGGCCCATGAGTCCCAGTTGGGTGGAACCAGTACGCGATCGCGATCCGTCACATTGTGCCTAAGTTGCTCTTGTTTCAGCAGGGACTTGATGCCGAGCGTGGAATGAATAAGTGTTCGCAAGGATCCCGGCGCCGTCGGCATGGTATATACCAAGCTTGAGCCGTGTTTGAGAAGGATAGTGCGCATGTACTGGAGTATGAAGTCAAATTCCTCCTCTTTCCAGCCCCGCTCCTTCTCAAGAGTCTCGATCTTGTCCGCGTTCTGGCATACTACACACAGCGGTATGCCGAGTGGCTCATCCCACTCTCCCGGGCCTAGTGGTATCTTCACATTCTCCATGCTGCTGCCTTCGGTTGGGATGTTGCGCCCCTTGTCTTGCAGGGTTTGGATGTTCTCCTCCAGAGCTACCTTGGAGTTGTCATCAAGCGAGACAATAAGTGATCGCAGTACTCTGATCCAGTCGCGCAGTTGTCTTATCCACAACCATGGGTGGTTCCAGTCGAGGAGTATAACGATAAGCATGTGCGGGAGGGTTCGTGGGTTGAGGTACGGCTTGATCAAGGGCGTGAACGACGGCGATGGATTGGCGAGGAGATAGAGCGAGAGGCGCGCAAGAGTGTCTGACTTTGTTAGCGACTCATGCTGCTATGTACAGCGACATTACACACCCTCGTGATCCGTGTCCAGTACATCTTGGTACGTGTAGCCCAGGGCGAATTGGTTGGCGATGGGCGGCTTCCTGCCCCGGTCTGGCGGTCGCCTGTTGTTTGCAGAGTCTGTGGACACCGATTCGAGGAACTCTCGCTGTGTTTCTGGAGTTCCGCCTGGGATCGAGTATTAGCTGGATCCCCTATTCTGCGTGTCGTGGCCCTCACCCAGGACAAGTAGACTCTTTTCTGGCAGTCGCTTTCCACTCGAGATGTTGTCGAGCATGGGCTTCCATATCTCCTCCTTGTCCGTGTCTCTGCTGCCCGGCCGGTCGTGGCCTCCGGGGACGCGTGTGGGGAAGTTGGAGGTCCGACGCGCGCTCGCCATTGCGGAGGTGCTGCGGAGCTTGGTCGCTGGTGAAACGTTACCTGTCCGGCTGAGCGATGATGTGTAGATGATGTATACAAAGTATGCGACGGATGCGGAAGGGCTAATGCGGCACAGAGTGAGTGTCTAGTGGGGTTGCGGTGTGCTTGTTTGGCCGCATGTTCGCTGGTACCTTTTCTGCAGGGATGCGGCTGCTGGCCAAGCCCGAGCTTCAAAAGTTCCAGCGGACCTGCCTGCCACCTCCGACACGGCGTCTCGAATCCAGCATCAACATTTTTTCACGATCGCGGCGGCATAGAAGAAGGATTCGAAGACTCGCGATGCATGTCTGAACAGCCATCGCAGCGCTAGTGGATCAGGAAGCGACGCCCAACCCACCCGCCGAACGCGCCTTCCTCACTTCTCTCACCTCACCACCACGTACACACCACGCCCACGATGAACTCGGTACGCGCGATCCAGCAGCTCAACAAGCGCGAACTTGAAGCGGGCATAAACCCAGAAGGTTCATGGCATACCGACTACCGCGACACAGCCTTCATCAATATCGGCGGCCTGCCCTTCGAACTTTCAGAGGGTGACATCATCACCATATTCTCTCAGTATGGTGAGCCGGTATGGGTCAAGCTTGCGCGCGACAAGGAGACGGGAAAGTCACGAGGTTTTGCCTGGATCAAATACGAAGACCAGAGGAGCTGCGACTTGGCTGTGGACAACCTGGGTGGAGCAACCATTATGGACCGAGTCATCAGAGTCGACCATGCGCGATACAAGCCCAAGGACGACGAAGATATGAGGGACAACACTATGGGGGACGTTGACCTCGATCCGGGCAACGAGTCCGAGGGTGGCAGAAGGAAGCGGAGAAAGACAGAGAGCGAAAGCGACTCGGACGACGACCGACCACTATTACCAGAAGAGATTGAGCTAGGGCGGCTTATGGAGAAGCTGGACGAGGATGATCCGATGCGCGATTCCATGATCAAGCGCCAACAAGAGAAAGTGGACGATGCCCTTAAGAAGCTGAAGAAGCAAAAGCGCAAAGAAAAGGAGCGGGCAAAGCGCAAGGATAGGCATGGTCGCAGAGACAGATCGAGGGATCGAGATAGGAGTAGGGACAAGAGAAGGATTAAGGAAGCGGGAGAGGTCAATGGGCATGACAAGCACTCGCGTCGGAGGAGTAAGAGCCGCGATAGGAGTCCGCGCGACGACCATAGGCATCGCAAGTCAAGACCACGGGATGAATCGGAGGACAGGCATCGTCACCATCGGTCGGAACGGACTCGAGATCGGAGTGAGGATTCCAGAGACAGACGCGACAGGCATCGAAAGCGGGAGCGAAGGCGCTCAGGTTCAGACGGCGACGATGCAGGGCGCTCACGGCGAAAACCATCGCACTCACCATTACCGTATCGGGCTCGTTCTCCCTAGTCACCGGCTACACTTCTCTCATGATTCAACTTCCGTTTTTTTTCGAGAAAAAACTCCTATGATTGTCGGCACATGCTCTGTCGCTGTCTCAGTACTGTACTATTATACATGAATATTTTTTCTACCGCTACGAAGTCTAGTAGCTGGCTATCCCCAGCATTACGGTCCAACCAACAGCCTCCTGGCTATCATCTCAAGCTGCACTTCTACAACCCCACCTTTCCCTGCCGCTTCAAAGCCTTCGGTGACTATCTCCGTCAAAGTTGACATTCCACCCTGCTGTTCAAAACGTTTTGCTCGGGACCAGGGCACCACTACCTCGATTTTCAGCCTCCTCAAACTGGGTAGCTGGTAGACTGGCTCAAGCTTCAACCGCTTCTTTACCTCATCTTTCGGAGCCAGCTTCACCGGCGCTGGCACACGCGTATAATCTGTCAGCCAGAAATAATCTAGCTCGAAAATCAGACTGCAAAGTCCAGTGCACTTGGCCGCTAGATCTTCACACGTGGCCACGTACGTCCTCTGGTATTTCAGGCCGTAGGCGAGGAGATCGCCATAGCAGAGCATGCGCACGTGTTTAAAGCCGTCGACACGGGAAAGGAAGTTCATCAGAGGAAACACGTGTGTTATGCTGGTCTTCAAAACCGTGAAGCGTGTACGGCGGATCCAGACTGTGAGGCCTTCCTCATGTAATTGCTTGCTAGCAAAACATAAATCTGGAAGTGTAGCTGGAGCTACGGCCAGTGGCGAGATTTTCTTGCATGCCTGGACAAAGTACCGTGTTGAGAGGCCGTCCATCGCGTAATGGTATACCTTCTCACGTATCTCGAGTGGAAGCTGGACAAAGCGTGGGAAGTAGTCTGGCATGTACTCTTCCCGTGCCTCGGCCTTGGTAACAATGGCAGGGCGCGATGGCAACACTCGAGTTTTGCGGGGTCGAGGGTGATGGCGCACTTTGCGCTCGCCGTGTCGGTGTACATGGAAAATGTACTTCGGCTTCTGGGGTATCTTGTGATTGCTTCGCCCCTGAGAACCAAACGTAAAGGCGAAAGGTAAACGCTTCGCGCGATCATTGGCCGTCAGCAAATAGACCAGGTAGCAAAGTCTTTCTATAACGACCGCGGTGACGACTGCACGAGCAAATCCAAGACTGAACTCCATTGCTTGTTCCAGAAAGGCTTGCGACTTTTTGAGAGAAGAAAGTTGTGGGTAGAGTGAGAGAAGGCGGTAATTTGTCTTCTTGGAAATTGTTCATCGGATGAGTGAACGGGAATAGACCGTGCCCAAAGCTCAAGGCGGGTGTGGCGACAATGGAGAGCCTCCCACGTCGGAACTTGATGTTTCTACATCCAGTGATTTCACCAGCATTCTGTAGCAGAAGGAGCCATCTTGTGAAGAAGAATACGAGTCCCGATCCGCGATGAAAGCCTAAGCTTGAAAATCTTGAATGTTGTGTTATGTGCCGAAGGGCTGTTGTCTATTAGCTGGCTATCTATCTTCATACACTATCCACTATCGAAGGAGCTGCTTCTTGTGAGCCTTTCCTACACCGCATTCTTAAATTAAATCTATCTCGTCCGAGACGAGCTCATCGACATCGCTCTTCCCATGCAGTGAAAGTAACATCTTTTGGCCTCACGAACTAATAGCCTAGGCACCCGGTTCTCCCCTTCCACTCTAATTCATCGACTGTTCGCGTGGTAGCTCGGAAGGCGTTCATCTCCCGGCAGCTCCCAGACCGCCTTGATCTGGCTCTGGCTCGACAGTTCCGCATACGTCTCCTCGGTTGATAGTTCAGCTTTATCGTTGAATTCAGCAACGGCGGCTCGAGACTCCTCTAGACGGAGAGCAGCTCGTCGGTTTTTGTGGCGCCTGATGAAGAATACCAGCAATGTAGTCAGAAGGCATCCTCCTAATGCTCCACCAACCCCAGCACCAATCGTAGTTGCCTTGTTGTCGCTTCGGTTCGAGGCGTCGGCTGGCGGGCTCTGGGAACTCTGAGCAGCGGACCCAGTGCGCGATGGAGTTGGCAAAGGCGTAGTACTCGCACTCAAGGTAGCGGATGAAGTCAACGACAGCAACGAAGAACTCTCAATTCCTGTATACGGGCCAACAGTAGCACTCGTCAAGACAAACACCGCTGTATCCGTCTGACAGCACCTCTGCCCCTCCGCCTCGGATTCACAACAGTACTCCGCTTCCCTGCCATATCCCTGCGAGCCACACTGCCAGACTTTGACACCATCAGCGCGGAAGTCGTAAGCGCTAGAATTATTCGGCGTGTCTTGATTGAGTTGACAATTCTGTGGACAGAGTGGGCTAGACCAGCTTCTATCCGTACAGGTGCCACGTGCGTACTCTTGGCCGCTATCGCTTTCCGCACCACCCATAATACAAAGCCCGTTTGTAAGGCAGGCTGCACGCGACCAGCAACATCCTGTTACTTCCGCCTCGGGGTCGCATGGGACGTCGTGGGGTTGTGTGTCGCCGTTAGGGTAGTAGCAGATGTTTTGTGGTGATGCGAAATGGAGGAGGGAAAATGTTAAACCGAGAGTATGGTAACGCATCATGAGGAAAATAATGATTGCGGAAAGGAGATATGAGGATACCAGGAGGCATATACCCGTCGAGTCATTACGGCCCCTAAACATTCAACGTGAGACTGCATGCTAAGCGCCCAAGATCTGACAACACAGCAACGCTGTCAGGAGAACTAGAAGGAGAGCCAAACTTGTACCGCAGAATGGGGCGGTAGCTGAATAAGCGTAGAATCACTATCCAATCATAATTTATTCGGGTATATTTACCAACGCCGCCCCCATTTCTCCCTTCATTATATCTACGCGGCCTGCTTCTGGCCAGTGACAGGGCATACGGCCCCATCAGCCGCACCCTCTACGCTCGGGTGTGTAGCCACCTTATCTTTGTGGTGTCCAACTGTCGCCTTTGTGACGGGGCAGATATCGCCGGCGTTCGCCTTGAGCATGTCCGGGTGGTCGGGAGGAAGCACTGTGGTAGCCGTGCCTACGATAGGGCAGAGAGCATCATCCATCTCTTGGGCCTTGGGTTCCTTTACAGTCTTCTTGAGTGCGGGGCACGATGTAGCCTCGTTGCCTTGGGTAGGGACGGGAGGGTGTGCGGAGAGGTTGTGGTGGTGGTCGGTGGTTGCGCCTACGACTGGGCACTATGGTAGTATGTTAATAAAGAGCAGCAAGATCGAGTCTATCTTTGAGTACGTACGACCTGACCATCCTTCGCTAGGTCGATAGAGGGGTGGTTTGGGGGGAGCACATCGTTGGTCGTTCCAATTACGGGGCAAGACATGTTGATGGAAGTGTTCTTGTTGTTGTTGTGTTACAAAGATTCGATGTCAAGGTTGTAGCTCAACAAGAAGTGAAGAGGGGTATCAAAGCGGTGTATATGGGCTTGCTAGCAAGCGCCAGACTCTTGCTGCACCTTGTATGGCCGCCTCGAAGCTACCCCAGATTTGCAGGGATCGCGTCGCTAGCGCCTTTGTCATCGCCATCACGTCACCGCTGATTGGTTGAATGGCTCGAGCTTGAGCTCCACAACGCGCGCCTTTCGAAGCTTCGAACAACAGCTAATCTTCTGCCTTGTTTCTGTTTCCGGACTATCGCGTTGCCAATACCTCTACCACATACTGAGGCTTGATAATAATTGCTTTTCATGCTGGAAGACATCATCCATACCTAACTCATGAGGCTTGTGAGTGATCGACACGAGATGTCCAGCGAGACCGATAAGCACCAAACTTTGACGCTCGACAAAGGTCAGGATCATCTCGACTGCGGCAATCACATGATTTGAAATAAGCCAAGGTCTGTTCGCAAGAGCTTTAGATCTAAGTGAATTAAGCTAGATACATCTTCAACCAACGATACTGGACGTGTCTATCTAGACAGTTGTAGCGGGCCCAGCCAAAGCGAGGGCCTTTGTATATGCGCTCTTCATCTCGATGCGGGTCTTCACTTCCGCCAAATCTACATCGTCCAGCTCAAGCAGGGTCCCCCGAACACGTCCCCTCCAGCAACCCCAACGGCGAACCAGCTCGACTTGGATACCGCGCTCCGGATTCCGCCGAACGAGGAAGCTCTTCATCATCCACTTGCTTGCGTCCTCTAGCACATCCAGATCGGCCTCCTTGCCGCCTCGAGATGGTCGCATGTATATGCCATCGATGTACACCTCCTCCAACCTAGTACAGCCGAAAATCGTCTCCAACTTGAATCGATCGATAATTGTAGCCAGAGGAAGTGCCTTGCGCTCCCAATCAGTGTGCGCATTGCTGATAGTCACTTTGTCGACGTGAAAAGTCATATCGAGCTTGCGCAGGTTCTTACAAGCGACAGCCAACTCAAAGCTCCGGTTAGTAAGCGCTGGCGAGATGCGTTGGTGGTTGAACCAATGCATGTGCGGGAAGTTGAGATGCTTCACCGCAATCTCGCCGTCGCCTCCTGGAATGGTCTTCAGGAACTTAGTAAACCAAGTCGCGATCTTGAAGTTCGTGTTTCGAAAGATGTACTTCAGATCGAAACGCGCGGTCCGCTGCAGCATTAAGACGAGCGTCTCCTCATGCATCCTATGGCTCACGAAAGCGAGATTCGGTAGCCATCCTTTGGGGCATCGACCAGTGCTAGCATCCGGAAACACTTTGGTATTCTGGTTGTCGCAAGCGATGAGAACCTTGGGATACTCCCACTTGCAGCACGGATTGTTGAACTCATCAAAATGCTGATGCTTGCTCAAGCGACCAGCATCACGCTCCATCAGCGCATAATCGTGCATGATGGACTCACGGAGCTCTCCAGGTAGATCCAGGAACTTCTGAAACCAGTCCGGGCAGACATACGTTACGTATTCGGCCACTTCGGAAAACTCGCGGAATGCTGCGATCTTCGGATCATTCCAATCATCGAAGTCGTTAGTGTAATCTAAATACGAGCCGCATGCCATACGAAGATCGTAGAAGATGAAGTCCAGAATATCTTCAAACACGTCCTCGAACTTATCCATATAGGTGATGGCCGTTGGGAAAGTGCGCCACCATCCAATGCCATGTATGTACGCCGTATTGTCTACGCAATTGTTCTCGAGACTACCCCACGGTTGCCAGAATTGAGCAGCCTCGAATGCAGCAACCATACCGAAGAAGATGGCATCTTCGATTGGAGTGTATCCCATGTGATAGTACACTTTCATCAAGGCGTTAGGCACAGGTGGATGGGACAGCATGTCCAGCGGCGAAGGGCTGTAGGCATGCTTCATAGATCGCACACCGGCCCTTGCCAGCTTGGAAAACTCGATTTCAGCTGGCGTCTTATAGTCTGCATGCCGAGTATACGCCATGCATGCATTGACCATATCCTGGAACACACTGTCCTCGGTATCTCTCCAGTCTTCTACGAAGCCATAATCGTTGGTGTACTGGGTGTAACCTTCGGCAGAAATTGTAAGATCCCGGAAGGCCGAAAGAAGTACATGGTCCTCGATCTGCTGTTCAAGAGCGGACTTGTCCTTGGGCGTCTGTATGAAGCGTAGATAGGCTCTGTGGGAGTCCTCCTAGTAGCCATTAGTATGAGCCAAGAAAGCAATGGCTGTAGAAGCTTACCGCTACGGGGTAGTTGATACGTTTGACCATGTTTAGTCTGGATAGGTTATGGTAGATGAATCCTTGTAAAGGCTCAAGGCTCTGGAGTTGAGTGGAAAGATCCGTTGGAGAAGGCTAGGGTCCTCGAGAGCTGGGGCTGATATAGAACAAGGAGGGAGTGTTGGGCAGAACAAGGCTCCCTAGCAGCAAAGGTGGGCTTTTTGCATTCACTGCACTGTAAATTAGTCTGTGCGTTCTTGCCCCTTCGCGGAATAAGCACGAAGACCGTTCCTTCCTTGGGCGGGCGCAAAGGCACTCGAGAGTATGCTATGAGTTCTCCTCCACCAGCTTGATCCTGACAAGCTGAATGAATAGCTTGCATCGTAGCCGCACACAAGCAATTGCTTGAAACATAATACATCAAGTCACATTTCGACTGGCGTGCTTCGAAAGTCGTCATATCACACTTCACCGGAGCTTGATAGATCAACAGTTCAGCGAGTGACCGGAAGTTGAACTACCACGTAGAGTAAACACACATGTTCCTGGCTACGCCTTATGATCTAGCATTTTGCTAGAGAGAGACCAGTATAACACTGTGTTCATCACTTCACAAGACTGCAAAGATTACAATGATAGGTCTTCGTAAGTATAGACATTACAGAATCGTCCTACTACTTTACTCGACTACAATCTCGCCCTCTTGCCTCATATCACGGCTGCTTGCTCCCACCCAGACCGCATAGCGGCCTCTCTGAAGCTCCCAAGCCTGAGCCGTAACGTTCCAAACACTCAAATCGCGTCTGTCTAATGTGAACTCAACCTCTCGGCTTTCACCAGGCTGCAACAAGCCCACGCGTTCGAAACCTCTGAGCTGCTTCGCTGGCGCATTTGGCACGCCCAGGTATAGCTGCGCTACTTCATGACCAGCGACCTTACCCGTGTTGGTAATGGTGACTGTGGCGCGGTACAACACTTGCCACAGCCATGGGTGACCTCCCTGTACAATCGGCACAGACGTCGACGGGAAAGCAGCGAGACTTGCGTTGGCCACAGGCTCAACTGTCATGTTCGCATAACCGAATGTCGTGTACGAAAGTCCGTAACCGAACTCATACTGCGGTGTGATGTTTTGCGCGTCAAAAGCGCGGTAGTCGATGTACAAACCCTCAGTGAAGTCTGACTGCAAAAATGCTGGGATAGAAGGATCGAGAGTCGAGTTGAGCAAGTGGCCGTAGTCTGACTCTTGTTTCGCGACGGTGTACGGCAAACGTCCAGAGGGGTTCACGTCGCCGTACAAAACGTCCGCAATAGCATTACCGCTTTCCTGACCTGGAACACCCGCGAAAAGGACGGCGGTGACGTTGGGGTGGTCAATCCATGCGTCAACAGTGCGGATGCCGGCAGAGTGGAGTACAACAACCGTGTTTGAGCAGTTGGTCGCAACGTTGTTGACAAGCTGGTCGCTGAACTCGTCTGCAAGAGAAGTGCGATCGAAGCTCTCCGAAGCGTATGCATTGATGAAGACGAGGCACGCGTCAGCATTTGCGTACACGGTCGGGTTCACACCAAAGAAGTCCCATCGCACAGTTCCACGATCCGCAATGACGCGATTCTGAATGGCGTTGAATGGGCTGATAACGTAAGGTGGAGTGCTGGAGCCTGATCCACCCGCCGTAATGAGAGTGCCGTTGAGCGTGTTCCAGCCGAAGTTCTCTTCATAGCCACCACCAAATCGAGAAGGATTGTTCCACGGCTGAGACTTTACTTCAGCGTCGTAGCCGTAAATGTTCAAGAAGCGAGGGTGTTGCAGGGGTAGAGTGTTGTTGACATTCTTGACCAGCACGGTTCCCGCAGCTCCGATCTCTCGGATGAGCGACGCGTGGTCTTCGCGCACGTCGACGATTTCGTGCTCGACGTTGTATGGGTAGACGGCGTTTTCGGGGAAACCCTCATCTTGGTTGAGATAGAACCATGCTGCGAGTAGTCTTGTGTTCATGTCGTCGAGCCTTTCTGTGGTAACGGATCCGTTGTTAACAGCATCGGTAAGGTTCTCGCCCCAGAATTTGGCAACAGGCATCACTACGTCCAAACCAGCGTTCGCCGAGGCGACACCAGCGTGTTGAGCATCCCAATCAGATACCACGAAACCCTCGAAACCTAGCTCTTCCTTCAAGATTCCGTTTAGAAGCTTGCTGTTCTGGCATCCGTACGAGTTGTTGATACGCTGGTACGAGCACATCAGTGAGCCGGCGCCTTCGCGTAGGGCATCCATGAATGGCCAAGCGTAGAGCTCGTGCAATGTGCGATCGTCCACATTGGAGGAGACGGCCTCGCCTTCATCACCGGGGCGTCGTCTGTACTCCTGTTCTTGCGCAAGCCAGTGCTATTGATATGATCAGCCTTGACTTTCTATTGTCCCTACCATGTCACCTACCTTTGGTGTAGCAATCACGCCCTCTTTTTGTGTGCCTCTAGTAATGAGACCACCGCCAATACCAGCAAGATACGGGTCGGCACCAAGACCTTCCCAGTTCCTACCGCCGCGCGCGACTCTTCCAATAGGGCCGATGAATGGGCCGAGAGCAACGTGAATGCCCTTTCCTCTGTACTCTCTACCGAGAGCATGGCCATATCTGAGCATGAGATCTCGATCGAACGTAGCTCCAAGATGAATGCCAGCAGGGAATGACGAGACAAACTCTTGTCCTCGCACGCCGGCAGGTGCATCCGCGAAACATAGCTCTGGGATCTGAAGACGAGGTACAGCTCCCGTTTGGCCTACGCAAGGACCGGAGACGCCATGGGTGAGGTTCGACTTCTCCTCCAGCGTCAATTGTGCCACGAGGTCTCTCGCTCGAGCATATGCGGATGCCCAAGAAGATGAAGTTGTTCCATTGCCGACAGCTGTCTATTGTTAGTCCTTTGACCTTCAAATATGACCAAAACACTCACGGGTCGGATATACTGGCGGACTAAGTCCGTAGAATGGAACCTCCGACTCGTTGGTGTATCCTTGTGAGACCGCTAGATTTGGCAGCAGAGCAAAGCTCACCGCAACTGCGCTGGAGTATCTCATCTTGCGAAACTTCCGTCTGCAACAAGATGATCGCAGTCGTTGGCATCACGGGTAGCTAAATACCTCCGAAAATTTTGCATGCATCTCGCGATCTACCCACGTCATTCGGGATTCCACCGGGCTGCCATATCAGCCTCGTGACGAGCCATCCGCAATGCTACCGTTCTCCCCAACCGTTCTCCGCATTTTGCCTTGGCGGAGAGGGGAGAGCGGATACAAGTGTCGATGGTTGCTGTATGGAGGATGGTCGGCACGACTTGCTGTTGCCGACAGGCTAGCTTCGGCGGCGGCAATTGCTTCTTCGCATCGCCCCGCTCTGTATTCCATGAAAGCACAACATCTCCATCTCAAAGCTCTTTCTTACTGCAGTACTGCGATTTAAAACATCTTCTTCGTTCGTAACGGAGAAGACCTTGATCAGTAACACAGAGTATTGTTTGCAGAGCCGGCTTTCGCCCGAACTCCCCTACTCATCATGCCGCGAGGCCAAGCCAACTTACGGTTGTAGCATCGCGATCCTTGGCCTGACCATGATGCTTCTACGTTAGCACCGCTAAGACCTCGTCATTCTTATTCTCCGGGCTTTCGCTGCCGGAAGTCGGCTCATGAAGTAGCCCCGGATAACAATCGCCCGAACCCCGGAGCGACTTAGCGTGTCGCGCTTAGGCCGTGCAGGTATTCCAAGGTTGCGACCTCGACTAAATGTTGGCGGTACGATCATTACTTATGAGCAGCCTGGTTATATAATGACGGAAGGTTCCGGGAAGCGTTGCTACAGTTCCCGGGTCTGACGCCCGTTTCAGCCTGACAACGGCGACGCCTTGGTGCCTCAGGTTCTGTCTCAAAACCGCCAACACGTGGAGGTACATGCATCACCCCAGCCGTTCCTCATTATCGGGACGTCACAACTGTCAATGCGCGTGGACGCATCTCTCTTATGGCGGATCACAACATTCCGTGGGAAATCCTCGGGTTTACTGGCCAATTGCTAAGCTGCGATGGCATGAACGCTTGAACAATGAGCTGTAAGGCGTGAAGTAAGGGTACAGGGAGAGACCAGTGCTCCAGAAGATTCTTCCGCCTTATGCTCAGGTACGGGTCGGGACTAGAGCTCCGCGTGGAAAAAAATGGTGGCGCGGTGACATTGCAGGTCTTGAATCAGGTCTGCCTGCACGCTCAGGCACAACCCGCCACCCTGCACCACGAATGTTTCCACCCCCACTCGGGCTGCACAAGGCATCACATCAAGGCACCCGGCTCCTGAGGCTCCGAACTTTATCAGCAACGTGACGTTTCCTTCAATAGCGATGCTGTACCCGCTCATTGGCAAGGGATTTCCTTTTGTGCCTACCACTCACTCGTTTAGACACCACTTACTTTCAACTTAGCGCTCTGTGAGCAGCTGCCAGCTGGACTGTGCTTATACTTTACATTCATTTCATCTTGTATTATTCGTCTATTTCTTGTACGAGAATGGGATATGGCAAATCGATACTGCTGTCAATAAGGGTCCTAGCCCTGATCGTGGCAATGGGAGTCCTAGGACTAGGTGCTTGGTGTAAGTGTTCATCTTTAAATCGAGAACATAGAAGCATGGTGCTAACCATTTCAATTAGCCCAGTTCATCATTCGCGATATGAAGAATCGTGGTACCGGGATCATGGAGGCGGTTCAGCCAGAGGCTCAAGTGGCGGAGTATTGGAAAGAATACTTCGCTACGGTCTACAAAGGCGCCATCAAGATCTGGATCTCAGTCGCGGCGGTATGTGAATCGGCTATCAATCGATATTCGCTTACTGACAAGACAGGCCGGATTTGCTTCGCTCGCGGGCATTGTAATCGTCTTGACAGCCATCATCCAACGCTTGCGCATAACCTCAGCGATCCTCATCCCCATCGAATGCCTGTGCATGTGCACCATGGCAGTCGCTCTCGGCGTTTCTCTAAGCTTCAACATGAGTCTCGAGACCTTTAGCGAAACACGTCTCGACACGGCGACAAACCCAAACCTCATGATGTTCGCAATCCTGGTCGATCTTAGCCGTGGTTACACCATCGCAGCCGGAGCGGGATGGTTCCTCTTCTTGATCACTTTCATTACCGCAACGATCGATGCGTGTTGTCGCGCCCGAGAGAAGGAGAGCTGTTCATTTGAACCTACTGCGTCAGCACTCGGCATGGATTTCCACGGATACGACGCTGTCGTCCCACCTCCTTCACGCAGTCGCGTCCCCACGATGTATGATCCGCGCGTGCCCTCAATTCTGATCGACCCGAATGCACGTGGAAGGGCGTCGGTAGCCAAAGATGTAGAGATGGGACGCGCAGACTCTGTTCTCAGCCAAGAGGGCAGGATCTCGCAAGAGTTTGAGAAGGAAATTTCTGGGCCGTTGAGTTTGGAGAGGCCACAAAAGGTGCAGCAGATGCGACCTTCGCGGCCGTGGAGTGAAGTTCATTGGGTAGCGAAGGCAGATGAAGTGATACACGCCATTTAGACATTATAGGTTCACGACCACAGTAGATAGATTAGTCAAGTCGACACTCGCTTACATAGAAGAATGAAGTATACAAGATAGATTAGCGCCGCGAAATCCCCATGACCAGATGACCATGACGCAGAATACCGTAAGAGAAGTCAGTCAGGGAAAACGCATTCAAGCTCGAGGGCAGGAGCTACTTGACGGCCACAAGCGCCTAATCACATGACCGCACCTCTAGCGTGTTTCCTTAGCGCGACGCGCCCTCCCTGCGTCATCGCCATAAGGAATACGATCCGAATTCCGAACCTCAATTATTACATCGCGCAGACCTAAATCCACTCCTCCGAATACACAATGGCAGGCTTCACAAAACGCGGCGGCGCCCGAGGTGGCAGCACCTACAAAAAGCCCTTCACGAAGAAACGTTCCTCACCAGACGCCGACGATGACAGCGCGCCGCGCGCAAACAAGAAGACTAAGTCCGGAGACGACGACGACGACGAGTCACTACCGGTGGTACCCGAGCTCAAGACAGACGATAACGGCGATGCATATGTTGGTGTAAGTATGCGTGAAAGAGTGGACAGGGACCAATGAACAGAAGAGTGCTGACGAAAACGCCAGCTCAACGCCAGCGGCAAACGACGCGTTACAGTTAGCGATTTCAACAAGAGCACGCTTGTTAGTATACGGGAGTACTATATCACTGATGCTGGAGAGACGAGGCCGGGGAAGAAGGCATGTATTCACTCCATGTCTGCTGTATGCTTTTTGTAGAGGAGGGGTTACTAACGTGATGTTTTCATGCAGGGCATCTCGCTTACAATCGATCAATACAACGCTCTACTCGCTTCCGCACCACTTATCGAATCTGTGCTGGCGAAGAAGGATTTACAGGTCGTACGCCCGGATTATGAGGCTGATCTGAGTGCGAAGATTGAGGACACGAAGGAAGGAGACGAAGAAGAGGCAGAAGAGGACGAGGATGAGAGTGCGAAGAAGCCTGGGGACGAGGAAGATGACGATGAGTAATAACTGCACGCTTCAAGAGGTAATTGCTGGACACTTATCCAGATGTACAACAAGGCACACAATGGAGTTCCTGGCGATGGAGATAAACTTCGTCACGGCAGGCAAGGAATGAACAAGTAAAAGCGATCGTTTCATTACGCTCATAGAAGAGCTCGCGTATCGACTGAAGTTATAAACAAGAACAAGTATGTAAACAGCAATGTTACTCCACCGAATTAACCAAACAAACGCCAGACCCAGAGACCCAAATGCATGCATACATCCACCGATTCCTGTCCAAACACCCGATAACCAACGCCGAACGGACATCTCAAAGCTTGTCATACCAATCGTTCCTCGTGAACCTGCATTCCAACACCACCAATGCCATCGAAACTTCGTCATGCCGTGAAACGTACACATCAGCCATCAATCATGCATTGCGACTTGGACGAACACTTCATGGTCAAGCTCGACATATCAAGTGGCGATGCCAACTCTAGAACCCTCAAAGGGCGAGTCGAAGCTTCAAACCGCAGATTATGGAGCGAGACGCAGGAGAGTGTCCATATCAGCAGTCCTCAATAGATTCCGTACATGTGGATTTAGCCGACAGTGCTCGCCTCTTCCTCAGCCGCACGCCGGAAGTAATCGGCGTCCATTTCGGACTCGTTGAAGGCGGCAGTGGGAAGGTCAGTGCCTACACCGGAGTCGCTGGGTGGGGCATAGTTCTCCTTCATCTCTTCCTTCACGGCATCGACAGCACGGACGATTTCTGACTGTGTTGGCAGCTCGACGTCGTTCTCGGTAGTGGCTGTCGAGATCTCGGAGCCAGTGATGTCGGATGGGTTAATAGTGGCAGTGGGCTCGTCGTCTTCTTCGTCATCGGAGTATACAGAGCCTTCCTCGTCGATACGCTCTTCACCGGGAGCAGCGGAGCGAGTTGACTGAGCACCATATGAGGTGCGGCGGTCGATGTCGCTACCGGTCATGTATGAAGAACCGGAAGCGTATGTGTACTCGCTGCCTGTGCCGCCAAAGCTGGAGCGACCGTCATAGCCTGGCGTCTCACCCTCAGCGTAGTCGCGGCTGTCGAGGCTGTAGCGACGCTCAGTGCCGGTCTCGCTCTGTGCATCCTCCTCGATGATTTCGTGAGAAATCGGCGCCGTCTCGTGCTCATCTTCCTCAGGCAGAACATCATTCTCCTTGTTGGCAATGACGGCGCTAGGGCGACCGCCCCAAGAGCCCTTGCGAGAGTAGTTGCTGGTCTTGACAGAGTGGCTGCGCTTCAATCCGGCATTGCTGTCAGCCGAAGCTTTAGTTGTCGGGTAAGCCTGAGCTCCAGTAGGGGCGTTGCCGCTGATCTGACTAAGAGACAGGATGCGGCGTTGTGCTGGGTTCGCAGGTGCACCGTTGCGACGGATAGCAGGGCGGGGCTTGAGCGCGAGAGAAAGACCATTCGCTGCGGTGCTTGGGGGTGGCATGGCCCTGGTATCTTCATTGGCAGCGTCTGCGTTCATGCGCTTCTTGAATTTTGAAGCGTTCTTCGATCCGCCCTTGGTCATCATTAGAGCACGGGAGTGGTCCATGATGCCGTTCAGGATGCGACGCTCGAGTGCATCAGCCTTGGTGTCCATGAAGTGTAGCTCCTCTCGTCGAATGTCAAGCGCAGTGTGCAGAGACGAGACCTCACCAGTAAGGCGAACCTTCTGGTTGGCAAGGTTCTCGCGCTCCGCTTGCAGACTGGCGACAGCAGCAAGAAGCGAATCTTTCTCTTCCTTGAGCTCAGCCATAGTGCGATCCTTCTCTTCTTGCAGCTCGGCCATGACACGCTCCTTCTCTTCCTTGAGCTCTTGTACGACGCGCTCCTTCTCGGCCTTCATCTCCTGGATGTCCGCAAAGAGCTGTTCCTTCTGGGTAGCCTTCTCAGCTCGCAGGCTTTCCAGATCGACTTCCAGCTGCTCCTTCTGAGTTGTCCTGCGCTCAATGAGTAGAGCAAGCTCCTCGGCTTCGCGTTCCTTGGACTCGTTGCCATCGGTGATGAACTGCGTCTGCTTGGCGACGAACTCGCTCAGCTCTACAGCAGTCATCTTGACTTGAGCATGAATCTCGTCCAGCTTCTCCAAGTTACCCGCAGCTTTGCTGGCGTCATCAGCATGGCCAATGAGCTTGTCAAGCTTTTCGTGTACCGCGCCGTCATCGTAGCTGGGCGCCGGCTCGATCGCAAGCAGCTTGTCGAGCTTCTCTTGCACGGGTGCATCGTCGTACTTCTCGGGAAGCTCGATAGATGGCGTAGGGGCTGGGAGTAGTTTGGGCAGATTGGCAAAGTGCGTCTGCAACTCTTCCGAACGAGCCTTAGCTTCCTCGTTCCAAGCACGAACATTCTCGTCTGCCTCCTCCTTGGTCTTCTGTGCGTGCTCATAGTGAGCCTTGACAAGAGCTTCGATCTCGTGCAAGGCAACCATGAACTTGGGATGGTACTCCGTAATGTTATCCTGAAGGTTGGTAAAGATGTTCTCGACGTTTTTGATCTCGTCACGGGTGTGGGAATGCTCCGTCTTGTCGTCGAGCTTCTGTTCTTCAAACTTGGCGATGGTGTCGTTCTTCTGCTCTTCAAGCTTGGCGATAGTCTCAAGCTTCTGCTCCTCAAGCTTCTCCATCATCGCAAGCTTCTGCTCTTCGTACTTGGCGAGTGTCTCCTCTACCTTGCCAATCATAGAAGCAGAGTCGGTTGACCATTGGGTGGTGGTGCCTTCCATTCGGTCATTCATTCCAGCAATGGTGGCGCCAAGAGTGTCTATGGTCAGACGAAGCTCGTCAGCCGTTGCCCTGTTGCTTTCAAGGATCTTCTCTTGTTCCTCGGATTTCTCCTTCATGACCTTGGCAAGTTCGTCCGCCAAGAGTTGAGCATCATCGTACTTGGCCATGAGAGTGTTGAACTTGTCCTCTAGGCTTTCCGTGAAGCCCGCGATGATCGCGGCTTTGACTTCGTCATGCTTCTCTAGGTGAAGCGCAGACTTCTCCGCTTGGTCATTCTGGAGTCCCTCGATAGATCCGTGGGCCCGCTCGAACTCTCTGGTAAGAATCTCCATGAGTTCCTTGACGTCAGCGGTGACGTTGTTGGCACCGAGAGTCTCTTCCAACGTCTTGAATGAAGCCTGAAGACCCTCGATGGGACCGCCTTCGATGAGGGTTGTCTTGATCTCCTCCCGCATCTCGTCCAATGCAGTCTTGACGCCGGTGATGTCCTCCACGAGTTGGGCAGCTTCAGCGCGGCGTTCGTCAAAGTTGGTCGCGGTCTTCATGATGTCCTCCTCGTATGTATCCTTCATCTTGTCGTGACTGTCGCGGAAGTCGTGGATCAGACCTGTGAGCTGTTCTAAGTCGGCCTTGGATGGGAGTTCTTCAGGATCTGGGATCTTCATGTCGTCAATCTTGACCTTAAGATCATCCACAAGCAGAGTAACGGCGTCGATATCTGCCTTGGTCGCTTGTGGGTTGGCCTCGTCGTCAGCCTTAGCAGCCTTCATCTCGTCGAGGGCAACCTTGATATCGTCGGCGATGACCTGAATGACTGTCACGTCTGCTTTGGTGGCACCTTCCTCCTCGAACTTCTTAGCAAGTGCCTCCAAGGCCTCGGACGTTGTACGGACAACGATCTCGACATCTTCCAGATTCTCCTTGGTGATAGCGGTCGCTGGGTCTGGTAGAACGAGCTCTTCAATTTTGGCCTTGGTGTTCGCGAGAAGAGTCTCGATGGCGTCGGTGTCTTCCTTCCTGGCGATGCCTTCAAGTGTAGGCGCTGGTGTTTCGCGATCTTGCATGAGAAGAACGGCGGCTTGCACATCTTTCAGAAGCTCTTCGATAGCGACTAGATCCTCCTTCATGGCAGATCCAGCCACGGCGGCTACAGGTTCGGAGGTTGGCACCGGGTTCGCCCTGACGGCGTCCATAGCTTCGACCTTCTCCTGAATTTGAACAAGCATGTATTCCATGTTCGCTAAGTCGGCGGTTTGCGGAGAAAGTTTTGGCGATGGTGGTAGCTCCGCCTGTGTCGCTTCCTCCACGATTTCACGCGACATTGATTCTCCCGCAGCGTCGTTCGCGAGAGCGATCTCATTGCCGGCTGGAGGAAGAGGGACATACTCTTCAGCGTAAGATTCTTGCCTTACGCCCTTGAGCATGTCGATGTCGTCACGCAACGCGTTCAGGCCGTCCTTGAGCGTGTCCAGGATCTCGTATGATATGCTCATGTCGATGGGCTTCTCAGCGATCTTCGAGACATCCGCCCTGAGACCATCTAGACCCTCATTCATTGCATCCATGATCTCGCTGGTAGCGGACGTGTTGCGGTCGGGGGTGTCCAGCTTCTTGTCCAGATGCGACTGAAGGTCATCGAGACCCAGCTTGAGAGCTTCCAGGACTTCCTCAGTGTCGGCGCGGGCGTGTTGTCTGGTCACGTTGTCAGATTGACGAAGAAGTTCTAGCTCTCCACGGAAAGCCTCCAGAAGCTCCTCATTGACACCCGCAGACTTAAGGTTGGCCTTGATGTCGTCCAGCGCACCCTTTACGACCATCAGCATCTCGGCTTTGTCATTATCGCCAGACGGAACAAGTGCGTTGCCAAGTGACTCTTTCAGGGCCTCCAACTCGCCACGAATGAGCGCGATGTTGTCCTTTGACGTAGTCTCCTGGGATGTGTGCAAACCGTCAATGAGCTCACGAACAGCGTCGACGATGTCGTCCTTTTCGCCTGCGCCGCCGGACTTCATTAGTGAGCCACCCAATGTCTCGCGGAGATGCTCGAACTCTTCTTTCAGAGCAGCCAGCATGTCGTCGTTGGATGCAGTCGCAGCTGGCTTCTCGCCCATAAAAGCATGGAGTCCTTCAAAGCCTGCCTGAAGCTTCTCGAGAATATCGTTCTTGTTGCTGGACGTGTCACCAAGAAGAACTTCTTTGAGCTCATCGAACTCGTGCTTGATGGCTTCATTGATGTCGTCGTTCGAGTCAGTATCGTCTTCTGATCGAAGGGCAACCTGTGACTTCATCTCGTCGAAGCCGGCATTAAGAGCGGCGAGAATCTCTTCGTTGTTGTTGGAGGAAGGAGGGAACTGAGTAGTGAGCTTCTCATGGAGGTTCTCAAACTCAGACTTGAGGTATGAAACCATGTCGCCACGGCTCCAAGCCTGATCTCCACGCGGGCCTTCGGCGACGTAGCCCTGAACATCTTCGCGTAGCTTGTCGAGTTCCGCTTTGATGTGGTCAATCATCTCGCCGTCCTGAGTGATCTCTCGGGGCTGATTGACGGAGCCTTGAAGGTCGGCACGGAGACTGTCAAGCCCTTCGCGAAGGGCCTGAAGAACTTGCTCGGTGTCACGCCCGTTGGCAGCGGTGACACCTTCGAATTCAGTGTGAACCTCATCCAGCATCGCCTGTAGACGTTGCATGACAGCCTCGTTGTGAGGTTGTGAAGCGGTCTGGACAGCCTCAGAAATGGATTCCTGAGGAAGTTCGATTTCCATTCCTCCAGGTTGGTGTTCTGCGAGGGCCTGGCGAATCACCTCCTCGAGGACTTCCCGAGACAAAGCATCCGTCGACGGTTGCTGGGCTGCAAGAGCCGGCTTCAACTCTTCCAACGACTCGCGCACGGCCATCAGAACCTCCTCGCGGATCTCATGTACTTCGTTGACGGGTGGAGGCAGCTGGATCTGCTGTAGTGACTCCTGCAGCATAGTCTCAATCTCCTCCTTGGTGACGGCACCGGACCCGTTGAAGTCTTGGAGACCTTCACGTAGACACTGAAGAATCTCGTCACTGCCCAGTCCGACTTGCTGCACTTCGTGGCTCGGGTTCATCTCGACACCATCGAAGGCCTCTCGGACAGCGCTGATGATCGATTCCTTGTCTACTGCAGCAGCTTGAGGTGTTGGCTGATCGAGACCACGCTCTGCAAGCGCTTGCTTGACAACATCGTAGACCTCGTTGTTGTCGACAGTGGTGCGGGTGACGACGGATGACATCGACTGCCGCCTTCGCTCACGCATGACCTTGTCCATGTGATCCTTGAGGTTGGCAAGCCCCTCTTGAACAATGGCGTTGATGTCTTCGGTAGATGGGCTGGAGCCAGATCCGGCTTCAGCTTCCCTAGCTTGTTCTGCCTCCTCTACCTTGCGAGCAAGCTCCCGTCCCATTCCTAGAACCTCACCACGGAGGTCTTGGATAAGCGACTTGGTGGCCATCGTAACGCATCCGGACTCAGCGACACTGTCCTTGATCTTACGGAGGAACTTGAGCATCTCCTCGCTCACGAAGTCAGCAGCCTTTGGACTGGAGTAGGCCTTGCTGTCAGCCGATATCGTTCGAGTCAGGGCGCCGGATCCGGGAGATCCCTGGAACGAGGCCGAGCCAGCAGCTGCGGGATTGAAGAGACCGCCGGTCGAGCCTTGCTTGACAAACTCGGCCAACTCAGTAACCTTCTTGGCAGTCTCTCCTGTAGCCTTATCCACCAGCTTCTGCAGACTGGCAACCAGACGTTCTTGACCATCCTTGGTGACCATTTCGCGTATGATCTTCTCCAGCATTGCGACACTAGCGGCACCCTCGACAGAGTATGGGTTGGGGCTACCTATACGCTCATCTGTCCAGGGGCTGGTAGAAGTCATACGCGGGAATGTAAATTGCTTCGTCGGTGTCATGTGGGGATCTTGCAGGTTGAGACTGCTAGAGCGAGAAGTGTCTCCATTCATGGCAGCTGCCGCTTGAGCTTGCTGCTTCTGTGACATGGTAGACAGAAGATCCTTTAGAGACTTGCGGATGTCTTCGTCGCGGGTATTTGTGGCTTCCTTGAGGCTGATGAGATCCGTCGCATTGTCTTTGCTCCGCCGGCTCAACTGCGACATATCTTTTTGCAAGCTGGAGACAATGTTGTTGATGCTCATGAGCTGGCTGGAGATGTTATCGAAAGACTGTGGCGGTGATGGTCCATGCACGGGTGCTGAAGCTGGTGCTGCCGCCGGTGTAGCCGCTGGCGAAGAGTGTGCCGACCGGTTTGTAATATTCGATAATGGAGGGTCGAGCATGTGTTGGGGGATGGTCATGCTCTGCAACGCCATCATCGTGGCCGAAGGCGGTGTGTTCTCTCCCAGAATGGCCCTCTGGCTAGGCCGCAGAGCTGGTGTGTCTTTGATCTCGAATCGTGATGCTGGTGTAGGAGTGAGCTGTCGCATAGGGCTCACATCGGCATCCTTTCCAAAGTAATCCCTCTCGTAGTCCCTTGAGATGGGTCGGCCTCCCCTGCTCGATGGTCGCTCGCGTTCGGGTGACCGCTCCGGCGACCGGGTGTCGAGGAAGGGCCGCTCAGGTGAGCGGTTGTCAAGGTAGCTTCGTAGGTCACGAACGCTGCCCGGCTGTAATGACTGCATGCGCTTGTGCTGTGTGCCTTTTATCAGAGAGCGCTCGGAAGAGGGCAGCTTCTGTGGCATGGGGTTAGTAGTGTATGAGCTCGCAGGTAAACTCTCTCGCGCCTTCTCTTCCAGCGCCTTGGCCGCCTTCATAATGGCTGCGGATGTGTTGGGGCGTGTGGTGAGAGTGGGCGAGCCCGGGTTGAGAGGCAGTGGCGGAGGTGCGCGATCCGGGTCAGCACTATCCCACCTGAAGCGCAGTGTTAGTATATCGCGAAAGGCTACATGGCGGTGAGGAAGACGAACATGGGAATCATCCTGTCTGATGAGAACGAATGTGAGTGTCTGACGAGTTCCCGGTCGCGGGAGACCTCTCTGTCTGAAGAAGGCATTGTGATGTGTCGTCTGGTGTGTATTCAACTCAATATAGTGGTAGTGAGGCGGAGAGTGGGAGCGAGTATGATTGAGAGCGCGTGAGTTCAATTGGGGTATACAGCGGAGGGATTGATCGTGAAAAGCTATCAGCGATCCAGCGCAGGGTATATAATAGTTCGTGATATCGTGGAGGGTGGGAGTGTGGGAAAGTGGATTGCAGGTGCAGGGCGGGCGGTGTGTTGATCAATAGCTTGGGGTTTGTTTACGTGCACTGGCCAATAGGCGATGACGATGGAGGCGCGACTGCCAACTCAGCCGTCGCTGGGGCAGCAATGGCGCGAATGGATGTCCCCGGCTGTGATGATGCGCCAATGGCATGCATAGAGCGGGATAGATTGTGCAAGCCAATATTAGGGCGAACGGCGTCAGGAAATGTCGCGGTCCCTTGCTGTAGCGTGTTGTTGACCGAACTGCAGTTGCCATGTGCCCTGGACTAGTGTGGCGCTGGAGTGTGGCGTCGCCCCAATCGGAATTACGTACCGCCTAACCACCGACCGCCGCATCTCCAGGTGAGCTTGTGAGCTCAACATCACCAAACAGTCCATCTCCGCCACCCCATCGCCTGCTCCACTTCACGACTCGTGTACCCAAATCACCTTAAATCACAGCTTATACCCTCACAACCTGCCCACCCACCATGGCTGTCCCGGAAACGAGCTCGCGGATAGCGGAGGCGCAGAAGCTGGCCAAGTCGGATCCCTCCAAGGCCGAGCAGATCTTCAAAGACGTCCTGTCGCAAGACCCAGGCTCGAATGAGACGGCCATCAAGAACTATGAGAGCGCTCTAATCGGGCTCGGTGAGCTCTACCGCGACCAGAAGCGGGTGGACGCGCTGGCGGAGCTCGTGAAGCAGGCGCGGTCGATAATGTCGTCCTTTGCGAAGGCGAAGACATCCAAGCTGGGTAGGGAAACAAATCAGGACTTTGGTACAATGGTGCATAGCTGACCCTCACAGTCCGACAACTACTCGACCTATTTACCGCTATCCCCAACACCGCCGATATCCAGATCGATGTCACCAAGTCGTGCATAGAGTGGGCTGTATCAGAGCGGAGAGGTTTCCTTCGACAGAATCTAGAAACCCGACTCGTATCCCTGTACATGCAGAAGCAATCCTACTACGAAGCCCTCACACTCATCAACAGCCTACTGAAGGAGTTGAAGCGCTTGGACGACAAGTTGGTCTTGGTCGAGGTTCAGCTGCTCGAATCAAGGGTCTACCACGCATTGGGCAACATACCAAAGGGTCGCGCTGCCCTCACGTCCGCACGAACATCGGCTGCTTCGGTCTACACTCCGCCTCTACTGCAGGCTGGTCTCGATATGCAGAGTGGCATGCTGCACGCAGAGGACGGCGACTTCAACACCTCCTTCTCCTACTTCATCGAAGCCATGGAGGGATACCACTCACAGGACGAAGAGCAGAAGGCCACTTCGGCACTCCAGTACATGTTGCTCTGCAAGATCATGCTCAACCTCGGAGACGACGTCACCTCGCTCATGACCTCCAAGCACGCTGTCAAGTACGCAGGCAAGCGATTAGAAGCCATGAAGGCGGTAGCGAGAGCACACACCAACCGCAGTCTCGAAGAGTACGAAACCGCCCTGACCGACTACCGCCAGCAGCTAGGCAGCGACCGATTCATCACCTCCCACCTCCGACGCCTATACGACAACATGCTGGAGCAGAACCTGATCAAGGTCATCGAGCCTTTCAGCAGGGTAGAGATTGACCACGTCGCCAAGATGGTCGGTCTCGACACGATACAGGTTGAGCGCAAGCTCTCGCAGATGATTCTCGACAAGGTCATCATCGGAGTTCTGGATCAGGGTGCCGGTTGTCTCATCGTATACGACGAGTCGGAGCGAGACCAGGGCTACGACGCGGCATTGAGTACTCTCGAGAAGCTGAGCAACGTGGTTGATGTACTTTACACCAACCAAGCCTCTCTGTTGGAGTAAGATGTAGAAGTGGGAACTTTGACAGCTCCCGAAGCTATGTACAACAAAACCATAGATGGTTAGGTATGCCACACGTCCAATGCGACTAGCTAATAACGATGACATATGATATGGCAAACCTTCCGGGGCAATTGTGCGCGCAGAAGTGGTGTTAACCTCGGTCTGCCCAAGCACAGCAGCATAACAACGCGTAGCACTTGTATTTTCAACCGGCTATACATCGGCAAACCACCATGTCACCCTTGCTTCTTTTTCTCGAATAAATTGTTGTGTACTATCCGGCATGGGAATGGCAGCCTTACCGAGCCGACACTATACACATCCCCGTCTCATTCGCTAATCCTTGGCGATCTACACTCACCTCCATAGCAGCTCCACACAATAAATACATAGCATCCCCAGATAAATTGGCAGTCACAACCAGGAACCAGGATTTGATTTGGAATCACGGAGATAGGAGAGCGTAGGACGAAACATGCAGAATTCTTTGCTGGCAATGCGGATTCGAATCGTGTATAAAGCACCATGTCCATCGCACGAATCTTGAAAATCCAAGCAGGTCAATTCCATCACCCTTACTCCTTACTTCTCCCGTCCACACATCTTCATCATGTACTTCACCACCGCCGCAGCGACCACCCTCCTCACCCTCATCCCCACCGCCCTCTCCCACGGCCTCATCACCTCTCCTCCCTCACGCCCCACAGGCCCCGAACTAACCTCCCTCTGCGGCCCCGCCATAACCCGCACCATAAACGGCGACAACACCTCTCACGTCGAAGGCCTCCCCGAGCTCCTCCTGCCACCTTACTCTGCCTCTTCCTGCAACCTCTGGCTCTGCAAAGGCCTCCAATTCGCCGACAACCCGTCCAACAACACGCAGGTATGGAGCGCAGGCCAGGTCGTGCCCATGAAAGTCTGGATCCGTATTCCGCATGAGGGCTCGGCGAACGTGAGTATTGTGGATACGAAGAAGAATGAGGTTGTGGGCGAGATGTTGAAGGTGTGGGAGGAGGGATATGCACCGGGGAAGAGTGAGGCTGATGTGCCAGCGGGGCAGAAGGAGTTTAGTGTTAAGGTTCCCGAGGGGTTGGAGGAGAGGTGTGCTAGTGCTGGGGACTGTGTAAGTTTTTCACGGGTGTGGTGATCTAGGCGAGATGCTAACGGAGTGTAGGTTTTGCAGTGGTGGTGGTATGGTGTGGCGGTAAGTTGTTGGCTTTACGAAGTGCATGTGAGAAAAATACTGACTTCTTACCTCTACCTCTGTAGGCTAAGCAGACATACGAGTCTTGTGTTGACTTCAGGATTGCAAAGACGAGTGCGAAGAGGGATTCTTTCGGCCGCGCATTCAAGGGATGATGTTGAGGGCCTGTGCGCAGTGTCTTGTGGTTGAGGTTGTGTGAAGGTTTAGGAATTTAGATTTAGAAATTGACGATTTTTTCAATTGCGCGATAGACCGATTGACTGAAGAACCCACATGTTACCCCTCTACTTCTCAGCCCTCTTCTTCTTCGCAGACACGGTAACAATCGCAATGCCTAATAACATGCCGCAGATAAAGCACACCATGAATGTGGCTGCAACCATGGTACAACAGTACTTCTCACTCTCCCGCCTCCGTCTCGCTTCTGTCTGCACTTGGTTGTCGCATACCTCGCAATGTGTATGCGGCTCAGCATTCGGTCGAAGGAAATTGGTGATAGTCTGAGCCAAAGTCTCGGGGTTTGTTGTTGACAAAGAAGGGTTGCCGGAAGAGGATGTGTGGTTGTGGTCATGATTGTGGGGTTCAGCGCGCAGTTCAATGTCGTGATCGTCGGTTTGGGGTACGGTTGTGTACTGTGAGCCGGTGCATTAGCAAAATTGTAGGCTTGTAAGACGATGTGGTGGGACGGCTCACGGCTGATGCTGATCCAGAGGGCGCGTAGCGGTTCACAGGATGGTCATGGAATACTTCTTCATAGGCGGGTGCTGCTTCTTGTGGGGTTGTAGGGATGCCCATCTTCTTTCACGATTCCAACGATTCTTCCTATGTTGTGGTAGGTAAGTATTGCTCTGTGTGAGTAAGTAGTAAGTAATTCGTCGCAAGATCAACCGTGCGGCAGCACCGCTATTATGTCTATCAGCCAGCTACTGCCGCTTTGCCGGTCACTTACAAGCTGGCAATTCATTGCTGGATGGTGGATGCCTGATGAGATGATAGGATGCTACGAGGGGCTACGGAGGCTGTGCTATCAGCCGGAGACCAATGAGATCGGTGCATGTCAGTGGATTTGCGGGGCTGTGTCAGCTTGTAAGCCACCGCCATGCGGTTATCGCATACAGAGAGTTTACTGTTTCGGGTATGGTCGAAGATAAGCATCGTAATATTGTTGCTTGAGCAGGAATCTAGCCGATGGCGGCACAAACATGCAAATCTGCTCGACTGCATTCTTTGCTTAGCCATAGATTTGACTCTTTTCGGAAATACCCACGCAGATCATGAGATGATTGAAACTGCGATACTCCTTCAAAAGAGTTCATGTAACAGTGTGATGAGTGCTCTCACTGCGCAACCTTGATAACGATCTTACCCGAAAAGTTGCCCGACAGCTGCAGATCAAACGCCTTCTTCGCATCCTCGAACCCAAACGTCTTATCAAGCATGACATCGAACTTGACCTTCTTCTCCTCAATAAACACATTCATATCCTCGAAATCCTTCTTCGATCCTACAGCGATGCCCTTGAGCTTGGCACCCTTACCCATCAGGGCCATCAGCTGAGCTGGCTTCCAATCCGCCTCCCAGCCGGCGAGGAAGCCGACTAGCGAGACAGTGCCGCCGCGAGCGCATAGGTAAGAGATGTCATCGATGAGGGAGCCGACGCCAGTGTTGTTGACTACGAAGTCAACGCCGCGGTCTTTTGTAAGCTCCTTAATCTTGGCAGATTGGTCGTCGGTCTTGTAATTTAGACCGCGGACCTTGTCGCTGATCCGATCCTGGATCGCTTTGATCTTTTCGTTCGAGGATGAAGTTATAATTGGAGTGATGCCGCCGGCGAGACAAAGCAGTAAGGAGAACATGGAAACGCCGCCGGTGCCTGGGAGGTATGAGTAAGAGAGTGGGGAATCAGAGATTTTGCCTCACCTTGTAGTAGAGCACTAGAGTGCTCCTGTACCGTCTCCAACGAATCCAGGGCATTCCAAGCAGTGACACCTGCGCACGGTAACATTGCGCCCTATTCGCCTATTAGCCCAACGCATTTGCAAATATTTTCTGAACAGCTCACCTCCTCCCACGACAAATGCTTCGGCAAGTGCACCAAGTGCTTCTCCTGGTAAACAGCATACTCCCTCAGTACACCCGCACCATTTGCACCGATAGCCACAGAAATGCTGTCATCTGTGGGATGAAAGTCACCTTGATTGCAGATTGGAGCAACAATGTCTCCCAGTCGGAAATTTTTGACTGCAGACCCCAACCCAACGACCTCGGCGGAGGCATCAGAGCATGGAATGCCTTGTTCTGTGACAGCAGGCGGGTACTCAGCTACCAGCATAGCGACGTCACGGTAGTTGAGCGATACAGCGTGGATCTTGATGACCACATCGTTGGGACCGAGGTCTTTTTCTTGCGGTAGATTTTCTTGGGCTTGCTCAAGGGTAAGAGGGTTTTGACGAGAAGCTTTCTCTTGACCCGCGCTGCGACGGTAGGCCGTGTAAGTAGATGGGTAGGTCATGGTGAGAGTGTATGAGAGAAGATGTGTTTCAAACGATCGCGCGAATGTGCCTGATGATTTGGAACTCGACGTCGCACGGTTTAAGGGTCGAAAGATAAAGAAGGTTGCGCCTCTTCTTCCAAGTAGTGCATAGTTGCTGATCAATCACTGTGGGCTGCTCGATTCGTCCGATGGAGTTCTGATGTTCGTCATTTCTGCAGGGCGTCGCTAGGTGCGATGGACAGTGGAACTTCGCGAGACTGAAGGATCGCTATCATCAAGCGTGACAGCGCTCGACCATAGAGACTGCGAACTCAGCCTCCTAAATCCGCAAATACTGCATCAGGCCTTTTGGTGTACAATGCGACATCCACGAGCTACAACAGCATCATGTTGTGGCCATGCAGGTCTAGCTTTGGTTCCAGGCGGGGCCGACGGAGTGTGACTTCACTCCGCTTCCGATCTTTTTAGTCAGCCTCAATATCCTTTCATTCACGAAGACCCGTCTATGCCCTCCAAATTCGACATCGCATACCATCAACGATTATTCTTGGGAAGATGGCGCAAGTGCTAGATCCTATGCTCCTCGAGATCTGCGACCCAGCGCGTCTCTTTGTCGAAGCTGCGTCGTTCCTCACCCTCCAGGTCACCTAGCCCGACTTCTCGCAAGTCTTTGAGTATTTTGACAGCCTTACTGAAACTTCCATTCGACGCATAGCCCTCATCAGTCAAGACACCTTGTAGCTCTTTCCAGAGTTCCTGACTCCTGTTGAAAGACCCCGCCTCTTCGTCGTGTTGCCGTATCTCCTCTACTGAGAAATGGTACGGACATGGTTCGTTAGTACCAAAGTGACCCCACTCACTGCGACAATGGTCAGCCAAGGAACTTGATGGCAAAGAGATCAACAGACCTCTCAACGTGGATCAAACATTCTTCAAAGGGAAAGAGACAGTTGTCCCAGGTAGAGCCAACAAAAGCCTCTAATTGCTTGAGAGTCTGACCATGGGGATGATGCATAACCTTGTACATCAGAGGGTTCTTCTCCACCGTGGATGTTTCATACGTGTGAATTAAGATAGACTGAGACACTTGGTATCTGAGCTTATCTTTTGTAGCATCGTCGAGTCCTTTAAAGTTTTCAGGGAGCTTCATCAACATGTCAATCCCATAGTCTAGAAGCAATAGGGGATTGGCACCGATGAACACCGGGGCAGCCCAGGCTCCCTGCCAGTCAATGATGCATGATATTCGGGCTTGGTCGTCGATATAGACGTTACCAGCATGGAAGTCTGGGTGCCAAAGTCTGGGAGAGGCGAGCTCTGGGTCCTTGGGAGTGATATACGGAATTGCAGCTAAGAATTTCTCTAACAGGGCTGTGTGAGCCTCTGGAGACTTCTGCTGTGGACTCGTGTACTGCCATGGAGTTTCCCTCGGCTCCTGTGGGTTCGCATGGGCATTGATCCATTCGATCTCACGGCGAGCGACAGATTTTAGGTATTCTGCAGAAGATGTCCCTACAATTATGGTAAATCTAGATTCAAGTTTCACAGGCATTCAGAAACTTACAGGGACCGTGACATTGCCTTTCACTGCGTTGCTTCCCCCAGAACTCCCTTCGAGTGATGGGTCCAATGCAATAAGTTGATTCGATGTGGCCGACGACATCTTGCGGACCACTTGTAACGATAGCCGGCTCGCATCCTGCGATACCACTATCTTTAAAATACAATGATCCCAATCTGACAGTGTGTGTAAGTTGGACTGGCCACAAATTCTCTGTTGGAGCAAGCTGGATCATACTTTTCAAAGGAGACTGAAAGTAGTTTCCTTTCAACGTCTACAAATTCATGAATAATGTCACACTTCCTCCGCAGTGGAAGATCCTGCCAAACTTCGTGGAGTTGGGAGCCACTCGCTTCTTCCATGATGATGTATTCTGCTTGGACAGGATTTTGGTCGGTAGCACTCCAAGCGAGAACTCGTGGGACGGGTAAGTTCAAAATGGTCCGGGCAAACTCCATAGTTGCCACTTCCGATGCCGTGGTCAGGACTCGTGGGCCAGCATTAGGGTGTGGGACCTTTGCGATGATATTTTGGCCATCTTCCATCTCAAGGCGATATGCCTTGTTGTAGTTGCCTTCGCCAATCTTTTTGAAAGATGTACACTTGTTTGCACCGACGGCTTGGCAAGCCGCTTGCTGAAGACTGGACACATCAAAACGTCGGTATCGGGCTTCCAGTTGCTCACCCTCACTCCATAGCCATCGTCCGCTCGTGTAGCAGAACAAGGAATTCGTGTTAATTTGACGATGTGAGGGCATTGCGCGGCTACCCTCCAAAGTGTGTAGTAAGCGAAGGTAGTGCCGCTTTGCGATATTTGACCAGCTTCGACCAAGCGCCATTGCTAAAAACTTGCAAGGAGGCTGTGATATGAATAGTGAGACTAAGTTGATGATGAGACTATGAGACGCGCCGCCAAGCCGGCAGCCTTTGTGGGCTTCTGAAGTAAGATACTGCTGGCTCTGAGCCTACTTTTTCCGCGAGCGTTGTTTCTCGCCGCGATGGACGAGCGTGGAGACGGGAATATTGCTGTATTCTAATCAAGTGGCGTATGTATCAGGCGCGTACGTATCAGGCACGCATGCAAGTAGAGCCTGCATCAGCGCTCGGCTGGCTGGTTCCATATTGACTGGCGTGGTGGGAGGGTGAGCTCGGGCAAGAAGCCAGCAATTGCCGCAGCGCGTGTTCGGAGAAGCTTCGGGACGCATGCGCCACAGCTTGAGCTTTCTCGACGACTTAACCGAACACCCTGCAGCCTACATTAACGTTAGGTCTCCTACTTTGCATGCTTTCAAGTTAATGTAGTCTCTAAGATCTCTTCCTGGCATGCGGGGGCTTGCCTGCCTCTGCAAATAATTCTGGAAATTGTGTTGGTGGAGGCTGCACGTCTCCAGAACTCGGAAATTTCTTTTTAGACTATTTAATCTATAATTTGAGACCTCTGAAATAATGATAATAATAGTTGTCAGCGGAAGAGCAAGGGTGCATCGTCGCTGTTGCTTCCAGTGCTAAAGACGGAATGCCAGAAAACACAGCTAAGATTGCTATAATTCTAGTATTACTAAAGTAATTGAGAGTTTGGCACAACATAACCTAAGAATTAATACCAAAGTAGATATTACGTTGTTCTGAAAGAGCTTAAAGACACAAGACGATTATGTGATAGTTGATCCCAGCGATACAACTAATCACTCTATGTCCTTGTGCTACTTACTTCGAAGTACGCCGCCGCCGTTATGACTTTTTAAACTAAATGTTAGTATGGACGATCAAGATACAAAACCTCAACCGTAACACCGCGCCGGAAAGAAAGCATTCACCGAAGAAACCAAATCGCCCACTCATCAAATCATCTCATCGCAAACACCATACTCAGCCACGACAGGCTTACGAACCTCCCCACCAGCCGCCGCCCCCATCCCAAACACACAACTCTCCTCACCCAGAATCTCGGACAGCTCGATATCTCCCTCTGCCAAACCCTGAACCGCGCGAACAAAGTCTTTCTCGACAAAGTTCTGGAAGCGGTCGCGATCAGCGTCTACACCAGGACGGTGGAAGAAGAACTTGACCGCGGTGCCAAAGCCAAACCACTGATAGACCATGAACAACATGGCCTCTTCTAGTTTACGATCCTCGTAGATGTCCTGGAGACATGGGCGGAGGAGCGAGCGGATACAGAGATGAATTTCTTGGAGTGGGTTTTGGCCTTGGTTCTGGAAGTTGATGAGGATGTCGTGGAGGGGCGAGGGAGGGAGGTCTTCGAGCGAGAGGTAGATACGAACTATGTGGATATCGCCGTCTAGGATGTGGGTGGGGTCTTGTATCTTCTTGGTCGTCTGCTTGCCAGTCGCGTCGGTGGAGACGGAGGCGAAGACGAGGCCGGTGGGCGGAGATACGGCGGGGAGCTTTTGGACTATTGGGGCGGCGGTGGGACTGGGGAGTTTCACGCCTAGCGATAAAGAACTTGAACCGAATACAGGTGAAATCGGGGATTTGTTCGAAGAGGCAGGCGCAGGAGGACCCATGCAACCCTGCAAGGTAGGGCCGAAGCCCCAGGTCGGGGAGGTGCTTGTGTTAGTAGTAGTGGAAGCGCCAAAGCCGAAGCGCGGCGGAGTAAGAAAGGAAGGCATTCTGTTGATTAGTAGAATAGATGGTCCTGTAGTTGAGGGCGTTGCAAGTGTTGCGATTGCTGTCGTTGAACTGTTTTTCGCAGGGTGTGGGGGAGCACACAATTTTATACTCGCAGGACGGGAACGCGCACATACATTTTGCGTTTGCAAAAAGTGATGAAATGGTGAGAGTGAGTCCAAAGAGCGAGATCGGCGCTGTGGTAAAAGGTCCATGCTAGCGATGATCGCGACCAAAGTATCGCCGCAGGTGAGCGAATCATCAGTCTTACCTTGCGAAGATGGATTAGGCTGCACACTCGACCTGATGGATCAACGGGAATACACGATGTAGTGATAGAAGATGATCTCTGTACTTGGTTCGTATAAAAAGAGGGTATGTACAGAAAGAAAGGTAGTGAAATGAGTGTAAGTCCCAGCAAATCCCAGGGCATTCCAAGCACCCACGTGCTCTTAAAGGTCCCAAATCCCACATTCCCACCTATCCCATCGAATCCAATCAACAGGCAGCGATATCAGCAGGTGTGTAGATACAAGCCGAGCTAGGTCCCTCGCTGATCTGCTTAGGCTCAGCACCAGTATCGTTACCCTCGAACTCCTCGCAAATGGCCTTTGTGTTCGTGATGCAGGAGTTGGTAATAGTAGCAGTATCGCCGTAGTTGGAGTTGATACCAACGAAAGTTGCTTTTCCACCTGTAGCCTTGACTTTGTCGATCTTGACGTGGCGTTCACCCATCTTGTCGCAGTTTCCACATGATCGGTAGAGCTTGCCGAAGTCCGAGACTGTGAAGCCAGAGATTGAAATAGTACCCACGCCGTTGTGTTGAATGACTTTGTCGGATGCGCCCATGGCTCCGCCGCCGGTGACTGTGCCATCGCCGTCCTTCTTGAAGGTGAGAGCGTCTTCACAAACGTCCTCCCACCAGACGTTCTCGATGGTGCAGGCGCCTTGGCAGTGTACTCCTTCGATCTGATCGGCTCCGATGATGACGTTCCGGAGAGTGCCTCCGTTTGCAATAGAGAAGACGGCGTCGCTGTCTCCTCCTTCTGCTTGACCCGTGCAGGATACGCCACGGCCGAAACGTTTCATGCCGCCATCAAATTCGCCGGTAACCATCATGGTTTTGGAGAGGGTAGTCTCGCCAGCTGCTGCGGGCATGGTCCCGCTTGCTGCACTACCACCCGAGCTGGGCATAGTGGAGTTGCCTGATCCAGAGCCTGATCCAGTTTGACTTCCCGAGCCGGAGGAAGATCCTCCACCCGAGGACGAACCTCCGCCTGAGGACGAGTCGCTTCCTGAGGAAGATTCGCCGCCCGAAGATGACTCTCCACCTGCGGATGATCCGCTGCCCTTGCCACTGCCCTTGCTGCTGTCGCTGCTGGAGCCCGAACCTGATCCCGAACTTGAACCACCATCTCCGCCAGAGCTTGAGCCAGAGTCGCCAGCCGCATCCTCGGTGCTGTCTCCAGTACTTTCACTTGCGTCACCGGAAGACTTGTCTTTGTCGCTGGAAGAATCTTCGCTGCTGTCAGAGGTGCCAGAAGAGCCTTTTGATTTGTCTTTCTTGTCGTCCTTCGCGTCGGAGGTATCGTCCTTAGAGTCAGATGAGTCCTCGGCCCTGGCTTTCCAAACCCAATTGAAAGATTGACGCTTTGTAACAACAGGCTCAGACTCCACAGATCTACGCTCATAGTCGCTACCAGGGGTATACGTAGGAACACCCGTCATCTGAGGGTCGGATGGCTGACCGCCGAAGCCCGGGAAGCCGCCAGTGGGAGCAGCGCCACCGCCAGGGAAGTATCCAGGGTCGCCGCCATTGCGTTGGCCACCTCGTCCTGGACCACCACCCATCCCCATACCAGAGCCGATGGAATCAGAGCCAGGGCCGGTGGACTCGGTGCCGTTGCGTTGTCCCCCGCCGTGTTTGCCGCGGTGGCCACCACGATGGCCATGGGCGCGTGTAGGAGCAGGACCTCGAGCCGTAAGTTCCGTCGGTTTAGCTGGAGCAGGAGCAGGTGCCGCGGAGACGGAAGCGATCAGAGCCGCAGCCGCGAAAGTAGTCAGAGAGAAACGCATGATTTTTCTTTCGGGTTTCCAGAAAACTTGAAGTGAAAGTAAGGGAATGAAGGTATTGCACAGCAAAGATGACACAGTCAAGAAAAGAAGGGTGACCGGCACTGAGCTGGAGAAGAGAACGTGGAAAAGGGAAGGTGATGGAAGCAAGGAAGAGATCGTTGGTCCTGATGAGGATGAGGATTTTGCATTGCGCGAGCTGCAGACGCCTTTATAGCCATGGTGTCCGGAGAGCCTGCTGTTATCTTACTCATCTGTCGTGTCGGTGGTATACGACGACTTCCCACACCACCTGAACTCCAAACCTCCAAGCGCATGATGCACATCGCCGGTTGAACCACGGGTGCGATGCCTTCAATGCGTTGACTGAGTAGGCCCGAACACACGTGCAGCCGTGAGTCTAGGAAACGTGCAAACAGGACCTGGCATCCTGGGATGAAGGTCGTGTTTGGTTTGCGCGTCCCGTTGACGAAACCGATCGTCCGACAGCTGACAATCTATGAGAGGGATGTGTCAGGTTTCATGTCGAGGATGTCGGTCTTGGCGGCAGTGACAGCTATGTAGGGTGAAGCTGCTAGTGAAGATCCAGAAACGTCCCGTTTGTCAATTGGTAGTCTAGAAGTTCCAGAAGTTTAGCAGTTTCATGTCGCGCGTTTCACTTGCTCAGCGGAACGAATGCAGGTTGGATGAACTGACCACCATGAAGGCATTATTCGCTATCTCAACACATTACAGAGTAATGCAATGAGTGAAATTAGCTGTGTCTGCGTCGCCTACAACTTCGCTGCTACCTAGGTGTCCGACCTTGTCCTTATGAGAATCCTGCTTTCCTGAACCGACCCTTGCGAATATTCTCCAATCTAAAGAGCTGAGTGGACGGTATATGCGAAGTGGTGCGGGTTGACCGGTACTATCCACTACCGAGGCCAAGTTGTCTCTCATGTACTCACGAAGTTCGTCTCTAAGACGCGAGGGTACAAGCGGTGAGTGGTATATTGTGCTCAGGCCCTGAACCTGCATGCGCGGAATATGTCCAGTAAGTCGGTTAGCGCTGTGGATGTGTGGATTGCATGTTTCGATCTGCAAGATCCGCATTAGTCTTGAAGATGGATCGTTTGAAACTCCATAACGTTCCCACAAGTCGATCAACTGGAATGGCTCGACAGCATAACCGGTAGCAAATCGGAGCTTGAGCGCAAGGTCAACATCCATAGCGTGTTCACCGGCGTTACCGGTCCCGATCATGGTTTCTGGGGTAGCGTCACCCCCAAGGACTTTCAGGAGGCGGTTCATCCATTCATTCACGACACGCGAGGAACGTCCAAACTCTTCAAATACTAGCTCACCGTTCCTGACTTTTGGCTTCGACTTCCACTTGATCCGCACCGTCGCATGCTCATCTTGTCCGGTGATTTTGTTGTGATACAATGCGTAATGTAATCCAGCGGCGTATACTTTGCAGTACTCTAGGACAGATCCAGGTATTCGGTTGTCAGCGTCAATAAAGCCAACGAACTTGCGCTCAACAAGCTTTGCGATGATCACACCAAGTATTATAGCCTCACCTTTTCCGTTGTTCAGGCGCGGAAAATGTTCTTCTCCCTCAGGTATACCTATTCCTGGGGTTTGCAATAGCTCTGGCATACCGGCTTCCTGGAAGGCGCGAGCGAAGGTTGCCTCACCTTGATGATGTACGACAACTGGCCGAGACGCTATCTTTCCGAATTTGACCAACGACTCGCACTCCGTTTTGTAGTTTGTTTGGTTGCTATTCGAGATGAAGATGACACAACAGCTATGTGGAATACCACGAAGAAGACCTTCGAGAACTGTGATGTCTTCATCCATGCAGGGAACTACGATGGCGAGGTCGCGTTCGACGCTTTTGATTGAATCTGGGGAGATGGCAATGTTCTCCTGATCAGCAGGTGGGTTATCCGTGCCATCTCCTGAAGTATCTTGACCGCCCGCATCCATTTCGGAGACAGAAGACATCTCGTGTAGCTGCACATTCCCGACCCGGGTGATTCCCGGGCGGATGCTCAATCTCATGATGAAGATGAGTTGATTATCGAAATAGACTCAGTCTTGCAGCGGATTTAGAGACGGAGTAAGGGCGTATGAAGGATAAGAATATATGTTCTCACCAGACTCATAGGTCTTACAGAGAGACTTTTGCGTTCTTTGTTCAATGCTGCTCTTGACTAAAATATTAGCCGACAGTGATACGACATTTGACTCTGTGTGATCCAAGAGCAATTCACAGCTGTCACTACGATCACTCATGCGGAGCTCATTTCTCTGTGAAACCTAAGGGAGGCTAAAATTTGATAGCCGATGTCGGGGTGTGTCAATGTTGTTAGACACGCCGCAGTAAATGTGTGTCCAGAATAAGGGTGCTGTGTGCCAGGAACTCTGTGGTAACTCGACGATCGAGTATATCGAGTACTGACGGTGGCGGTGCTTGTGTGATGATAACGCGTTATTGACTGTGTTCAGTGCCGCGAATGATAATCATAGTACTGATAACTGTCCCTCCACATATCATTGTCTTGACTTGAAAAACGAACTGAAGGAACTGGATCGCGTTGCGTTGCGGTGATGATGCGTTGCATGTAGCCAGTGATGAAACGATGGAGGTCTTTCTCGCAAGGGAGTCCTTCCACGTCAAACACGACCGGCCGTGGTTGCTCTCGGAGGATACTTTGAACTGCGATCAATACCCCGAAGAGTTCTCGCAGTCCCTTTGAGTGCTCCTGTGCCTATAAACGTGTATCCAAGCGCCGTGGCGCTCTCTCCCAGCGGGTGCGACATGGTGGTGTCGTTTCGTCTGACGCGCTATCGGTACCGTCGCGGCGCGCATTTCTCGATGGAGCTGACAGGCCATTTCTCGACACGAGAGACTCATAAAGTCTTCTGCGACGCTCGAGGTGACGGCATGGGCCGAGGGCTAGTGCTGGCGCGTGTGGTGTTGTTAGTGGAAGGTAGTTTCACAAGCGAAGTTTGTCCAGTGGACGCTCGGCTATCCGCTGGAGCTCTGGCCTCGCCCAACGCCTCCATGACGTCTGCAGCTGGTGACACAAGGAGCACGATGCGGATCCGTCTCCGGGTACCATGAGAGCTTGAGCTTTCCCCGCGTTCGCGAAGCTTTTGTGCTATTTCCAGGATCCTTCTTAAGTCGTCATTTCCCCGGAATCCTTGCGATGACCTCCCACGATAGTCCCGACAAGATGAGCTACATCTACAATTCGCAGCTTGTGAGCGACCCTAACATGTGAAGATGGACACTGGCTGACATTGTTCGTTAGGATGCCTTCACCCTTTACCATATCTCGCACGAAAAGGAAGAACATAGCTCGGTCGGCCCTGTACTTCCTGCCCTCGGCCATGCTTCGTCTGGTGCTTTAGGAACCGTTGTGTCGAAACTCATAACATACCCTCTCGACGTTGTTATTACGCGCCTTCAAGTTCAGCGGCAACTACATCACGGCGACGCGCACCCGCATTACAATGGCATTCTCGACGCCATTGAGAAGATATACGAGAGGGAGGGCGGACCAAAGGCCTTCTACAGCGGTGTAGTGCCCGAGGTTGTGAAGGGTGTTGCCGACAGCTTCCTCTTCTTCCTAGCGTATTCATATGCGCGGCAGAAGAGGCTAGAAGCGCGAGGTACTGGACATAGCTTGCCAGCGCTCGAAGAGATCGGAGTCGGCGTCATCGCGGGCGCCTTCTCTAAATTCTTCACCACACCGATACAGCAGATTGTCACGCGGAAGCAGACGGCGGCAATGATGAGACAAGAGTCGTCGACCACCATACCCCCGCTGTCCGGTACCAAGGACATAGCACAAGAGATTATGCGCGAGAAAGGCATACAAGGCTTCTGGTCTGGCTACTCTGCTAGCTTGATTCTGACGTTGAACCCTTCCATTACTATGCTACTGCACAAGGCTCTTCTACGATTGCTTGTACCCAGGGCAAATCGAGACGACCCCGGCGCGCGCATGACCTTCCTTCTAGCCGCCATAAGCAAGGTTCTCGCGTCTACTGCTACCTATCCGTTCTCCCTTGCAAAGACACGTGCCCAAGTATCCTCACAGAAGCCCTCTTCCGGTATTGGTGAGACTTCGGACAAGGAGAAGTCGGACGAGCCGCTCGAGTCGAGAGCACTCCAAGCTAGGCAGCGGACTGTATTCAGCACCATCTTGCGCATCGCCCAAACTGAGGGGATATGGGGTTTGTACCAGGGTCTGGGGGCAGAAGTGCTCAAAGGCTTCTTCTCCCATGGTATCACGATGCTGATGAAGGACCGTATCCATGCTGTCATCATCAGCCTGTACTACACTGTGCAGGGGGCGTTGAAGAAATACCCCAGCCCAAGTGAAGTCGCAAAGTCGGCATCGGCCAGCGTTCAGAGTGCCTATGAACAAGGCAAAGAGCAAGCTAGCGATGCTTATGCGAAGGGCGCCGAAGTTGTCGGCAACGCAACAGAATCGGCAAAGCACGCCGTGTCACAGGGCTCACAGCAGGCGCAAGACCTTGTGGAGAAGGGCAGAGATGCTGTCAGTGAGGCCGCAAGCAGCGCATACGACCAGGGCAAAAACGTGTTGGACAAAGGACAGGATGCTGCCACCAATGCCAGTCAGCAAACTGGTGAAGCGCTTGAGCATGGCAAGAGGGCTGCAAGCGACGCATCGCAGCAGGCCAAAGACGCTGTTCTGGACGCCGACATCAAGGACATCAACGGCCCTGACAAGGGCATCAAAGAGTGAGCCATGCGGCAACGATTTCCACAGCGCTTTCAAATTGTACATATACCCGAATGATCTTGTAATTCTTTGTTTAAAGGCATGTCTGGAGGGAGAATGTGTTTCTTTTGGTACGGTTCGGCGTCAAAAGCGTGCCCGACTTTCGTAATGCATAATGAGCAAATAATTGCCGGGTGAACTGTCCATCTGCCTTGGGCGATCTGAAACGTCAGGGTGTCTGTATCCACTGCCACGCTTCGAGTAGTTGGGATGTCCATGTACCTAGGTACCGGACGGAAGCGTTCCAATGGGATTGAGTCTGTGTGCAAAGTGACTGCAACGGAAATCATGTTCTCGCCAGAACAGTACCAGCGCATCGACTCGAAGCAGGATTTTCCAGCCTTGCGGGCTTTGTTGTCTCTGCTGCGCTGGCTATTGTGGGGATGGCTGGTCACGGTACGTCGCATGTGTCATGCCGGTGGCTGGTTGCAGCGGTTGCCCTGGAGGCCAATGCGCTAACCACCTGGCTCCGCCCGCAGCGCCTCCATCATCAACAACCACCGCTGGCGACACATTCGACTGCATGCCGCAGTTGAGCGGCGACTAACTACTAACCTGCACAGGAACAGGACAGATATTGTTTGCGCGACATTGCGAGCGCGAAGAACTGGCTGGAAGTTTCCGATAGTCGGCGGCGCATGACTGGCGACACCACAGCACGGCCATTGGACAAAAGCGGAATCGTCAACATCCCGGACATCAAGAGGGCAGCCGCAACCCACGCGCACACCACGAGCTGCGGCTATCTATGTCGTAGACACCGGTGACGACATAGACCGCGACCGAGCAGCTGTGTTTCGACGTCTCGTCACTGCACCCCGCCCAGCTCATTCCCCTGATCGCCGCACGCTGTTGGCAGTCGCAGCCCAACCCCCACCGCCATCATGACGACCACCGGAGCGCAGTCTTCGCCGAGCCGGGGAGGATGGAGCAGCCTCGAGGAGGAGCTGGCTTATTACAAGTCTCAGTACGAGACGCTGGAGATGGAGCTGCAGGAGTTTCAGGCATCAAGCAAGGAATTAGAAGCCGAGCTCGAGCGCGACGTCGAGGAGAGCGAGAAGCGGGAGCGCAAGCTGCAGGAAAAGGCAGAGAAGCTGGGGTTCGAGGTTGAGGAGTGGAAGGTGCGCAGTCTTCAACACTTGGAGCGGATATCTGCCCAACACGGACAATCACTAACAAGACACCACAGACAAAGTACAAGCAGAGCAAGGCCGAGGCCAACAATGCGCAGAACACCCTCCAGAAGGAGATCACCACGATGCGCGAAAGCCAACGCGCCCTCCAGATGCGACTCCGCGACATCGAGGTACAAAGCGACGATTTCGAGCGCCAGGCACGCCATCAGACGTCATCACTCGAGGACGTGGAATCCAAGTACAACGTGGCTATTGAGCGCAGCGTCATGCTGGAAGAAGAGATCAAGATCGGAGAGCAGGAGCGAGAAGCGCTGCGGATAGAAACACAGCGACTTAGGGACGAACTGTCGGACCTGCGGGTAGAGGCGGAAATCACGCAGGAGAAGCTGCGCATAGCAGAGGAGACGATTGAGAACCACCACGTGCGCAAGGTATCCAACCATCTCTCTGGCGATGCCCTGAGACCACGCTCACCGGTTTCTGAGGCATCGACCACAGCAACCACCGTCTCCTCGCCCACAGCTGCTTCGACCCCACCACACTCGAAAGCAGACGGCCTACACACGGACGCGACTCCCCCTTCGCCACCGCTGTCCGACGCACCCATCACAACTAGACATGTACTCTCGACGCCCATGCCCAAGCGAAAGAACTCGTATGCGCCGCTGGACCCAGGTGCAACCCCTCGCGCCGGCTTGTATCAGCGAGCCCCAAGGCACTCACGAGGGCCCAGTATGTCAGCATCGCGACCAAGTACAAGTGCCAGTGGGCGGGCGACGCCCTCTATACGAACAACTGCACCCGCTTCGCGAGCACCTAGACCGAGCTTTGGAAGTGGTGCACCGCCGCCAAGTTTGCCTAGGTCAGGCTCGCTTGTTCAGGTTCGTGGGCTGATTGGTAAGATGCAGAAGCTCGAAGAACGGGTACACGCAGCACGATCCAAGCTCCCTGCGCCAACTACGACGCCACCGCGAGCCAGCCCCCGGAACGGCAGCGCCATGGGACACCACGTACCAAGTACTGTCACATTGAGGAGCGGCAGGAAGCGCAGCTCCCACGCGTCAGCGGGCTCGTCAGTCCCTGGCGCCTACGAGTCGGGTGTAAGCCGGCTGTCATTTGGCATGTCGACCTCGTCGCGCGAGCCCACCAGCAGCAGACCTGCCAGCCGAGCATCCATGTCGTCGCAGTCAGCAATACAGCGGCCGGCAAGTAGAAGCAGCACGCGAACGCCACTCGGACATTATTCGTCTTCGTCCGTCAGCGGAACGGAGCCCCGGATGCCAAGGCCAAGGAGCTCTATGAGCGGTCATGGCCACTCGCATTCGCTGTCCATATCGCGGCGGGATACAGACACCAACAGCGACGGAAGCGGCGTCTCAACACCAATGGGCAGGCGACTTACACTGGAGAAGACAGGCATACCTACACCAAGCGGGATACCCAGGCGTCAAAGTGCAGGGCGCAGGGCAAGCAACAACATGGACAACGGCGACATGGCCCCCCCTGCTCGGCCACGAAAGATGTCGACGCAGGCTGAGGAGGAATCATACTAGGAAGGAACGGCGCATCGACAGGAAGTTAAAGGACCCGCAGAACCACGTGCGTGTACATCTGGATCAGTCTCCGGTACATGATTTTCACGGCACTATACCTCACGCATTCTGGAGTCGGGTTCGCAAGGCGCAGTTGCTAGAGTTTTGGTAATCGGGATAGGGACGGGGTTTTTGGTGCAGGTTGGTCTGGCATGGTTGCACATAGGGACGATGAAGAAGGGCCGTCTTGAGAAGAAACTCGAGAGGTCCCCGGCTCCTTTGGGGGTAGTTACATATTACTTTTACATTCAATTTCCTTTGTTCGAAACCAATATACCCCGAATTCCATTCACCGCGAGGCTCGCCATTACTTCTGTGCACATCACCTCTTCTGTTTGTTTCACATCTTAATCTCGAGATACTACTACAGATCTCACGTGCTTCTACTTACTTCAAACGGAGTAGACTGCTCGTTCTGGACGAAAATCTGGGGTAAAGTTGCATGCATGCCGCAGCCGCATTGGCGTTGGTGGTCGCGTAGCCAAAAATCGTACGATTCTGATGTCAAACGGCGGCCTGTCCCGCCGTTGACCCAGACAGCCAGCTACTCGCGCAAGACCCTGGATCTTCGGAACGCGCCTTCGGAATCTAGCTTGCTTTATCAACGTAGGCATCCTGGCTTGCTTCATTTCACAGATGTCGCTACTAAGCTAGCAGTCGTTATTGTAGAGATGCCGGCGGCGGTACTACGGGGCTTTGTGCTCGCTCAGGTACCGCCGCAGGGCAGCCGGCCAACGTTTACGACCTATGCATGCTTCGCGGGACATGTTTTCTTTGTTACTTCTACCCGGCTTCTCACGCCGTTGTAGACTGCTATATGGAAGCCGGTACTTTTTGTTTCAGCGTCATCTACGGTGTGCTAAATTGAGAGTGTGCTTGATGTTTGTCCCGACAGCGGCCGCTTTGGGCGCTGATTGGGTGGCTGCGATCGGAGTCCGGTGGGAGGAGTCGGGGGAGGAGACCCGAGCATTACTCTTGATGTTACTCTGGCGTGGATTGGCAATTGTGAGACGGGTGCTTGGTTATTTTGGGAAATATGTGTATGGTGGTGTGAAGGGCTTAGTGGGGTGGGGAGGCGGCGGTGGTGAAGAGGTGAGCTGGATGCTGACCTTGGGAGATGTTGAGACGATGTCGAGGTGGGTAGCTACGTGTTGGGAGAGGGGTAAAGTTTGAAGTGGCGGTGATAGCTATCAACTCAACCCTGAACAATCAGCGGATCAACGGCAGACGGGAGGGCTTGACCAGCTGTTGGTGAGAGATAGCAAGGGCTCAACACATGGGCATGCAGGTACTCGTGCTCGGGTTGGGTCTCGCAACAAGCAACTAATGCGGAAATGCTCCCAACAGACCTAGAACAGATACCGCCATGGCGAGCAAACTCTCAACATGCTGTACCCATCGATCGTGAAAAAAAGCGGCAATCTTGACTTGATCTAGATAGCTGGCTAGTCATTGAGCATGGCTAAGTAGTGAATTGGCCCGTAGACCAGCCGTCGTGTGTACATAATCGGGTTCCGAAGGGCTTCCGAGTCGTCTACCGTGGCTTCGAGAGGGATGGACAGGGGCGTTATGGGGGACGTGGTGCAGGGCCTTGCCGTCTTCGGCATCGCTGGCGATGCGATAGCTCAACAGTGCTTCGGGAAGTGCATTGGGGTGTTCCGCTATGGCTCTAAAAATTTAATACATACTCGAGCTGCTCCCGGACGCTTGCGACCATTTCCCCTCCTCTTGCTTTGCTGTACTCACTCCCCTCCCACAAACTATATACCTCATTGTGCTGTACTGCTCCTCGTACGCACTACTAGTCCCTCCTTCGCTCAACTCCACGCGTTCGTTGTTGGTGCTTCCTCCCGGCGCCGCATAGGATTCCTGGCATTGAAGATTGCTTTTGGGCTCTTCCACACCGACACTACGACTGTCCTCTACTAATACTCTGCTCGGGCCCTCCCACCGACAGAATCGTTAGAGACGCACCCGTCGATTGCAGAGCATCGTCATTTTCGGGTCAATCAGATCTACATTCGACACTAGAGGCCGAGCTCCAGCTTGCCCTTACCAGTGGAAAATTGACCGGTCCCTCACCGAACCGCAACCCAACTTCGCCTTCGCTCCTTCCTCCCCACATCCCAATTCCCTCGGTGCATGGGATTACCTTCACAAATCATGGCCGGAGCTGCACAGAACGGAGTCAACGGGGATGCTAATGGCGCCCCGAGCTCCTACGCCGCCAAGTTTGATCTTGCTCCGCATTTCATCGGCGGGAACAACCTCAAGGTAGCGTCGCCGGGCAAAGTCAAGGACTTTGTGGCGGCGCACGACGGACACACGGTCATTACCAATGTGAGAGACACCCTCTGCAGAGAAGAGAGAGAAAAGTCGTGGTGTTGAGAATGGACGCGCTGACCAGTGGCTTCCCCGCAGGTGCTCATTGCAAACAACGGTATCGCCGCAGTCAAGGAAATCCGCTCGGTGCGGAAGTGGGCCTACGAGACATTCGGCGATGAGCGGGCGATCCAGTTCACCGTCATGGCGACGCCCGAGGATCTGCAAGCCAACGCTGAGTACATCCGCATGGCAGACCAATACGTCGAGGTACGTGCTCCACCAAACAGCGGCGACGAGCGACGCATGGCTAACGGCGACTATGCAGGTACCCGGCGGTACCAACAACAACAACTACGCCAACGTCGAGCTAATTGTCGATGTGGCCGAGCGCATGAACGTGCACGCCGTATGGGCCGGATGGTGCGTATACAGCCCAACAACCGTCGGATGAGGGCACATGGCTGACTTTTTGCGTCTAGGGGACACGCCTCGGAGAATCCCAAGCTGCCCGAATCGCTCGCTGCCTCGCCCAAGAAGATTGTCTTCATCGGTCCCCCCGGATCAGCCATGCGCTCGCTTGGTGACAAGATCTCGTCCACAATCGTCGCACAACACGCCAAGGTGCCGTGTATCCCTTGGTCGGGAACCGGTGTCGACGAGGTCCAGGTCGACGACCACGGCATCGTCACAGTCGAGGACCACGTCTATGACAAGGGCTGCACAAAGACATGGGAAGAGGGTCTGGAGAAGGCCAAGGCCATTGGCTTCCCCGTCATGGTCAAGGCCTCGGAGGGTGGTGGTGGCAAGGGTATCCGAAAGGTCGAGCGTGAGGAGGACTTCGAGCAGCTGTACAAGGCGGCTGCCTCTGAAATCCCTGGATCGCCCATCTTCATCATGAAGCTGGCGGGCAGCGCGCGCCACTTGGAAGTCCAGCTACTGGCCGACCAGTACGGCAATAACATCTCCCTGTTCGGACGTGACTGTTCGGTACAGCGACGTCACCAGAAGATCATTGAGGAGGCACCGGTAACAGTTGCTGGCTCAAAGACCTTCCAGGAGATGGAGAAGGCTGCCGTTTCGCTCGGACGCCTCGTCGGATACGTCTCTGCGGGTACCGTGGAGTACCTCTACTCACACTCCGACGACAAGTTCTACTTCCTCGAGCTGAACCCCCGTCTCCAGGTCGAGCATCCTACCACGGAAATGGTAACGGGCGTGAACCTCCCAGCCGCCCAGCTCCAGATTGCCATGGGTCTCCCACTGCACCGTGTCCGTGACATTCGTCTCCTGTACGGTGCCGACCCGCACGCCAGCTCTACCATCGACTTTGACTTCTCCACCGAAGGCAGTGCCAAGAGCCAGCGTCGCCCTACTCCCAAGGGCCACTGCACGGCCTGCCGTATCACCTCCGAGGACCCTGACGAGGGCTTCAAGCCTTCCGGTGGTACCATCCACGACCTCAACTTCAGGAGTAGCTCCAACGTCTGGGGTTACTTCTCCGTCAGCTCCGCTGGTGGTATCCACAGCTTCTCCGACTCGCAATTCGGTCACATCTTCGCCTATGGCGAGAATCGACAGGCTTCGCGGAAGCACATGGTTGTTGCGCTCAAGGAGTTGAGCATTCGTGGTGATTTCCGCACCACTGTTGAGTATCTCATTAAGTTGCTCGAGACTCCTGCTTTCGAAGACAACACCATTACCACTGGCTGGCTCGACGAGCTCATCTCCAAGAAGTTGACTGCTGAGCGTCCCGACACCATGATCGCCGTCATTTGCGGTGCTGTTACCAAGGCCCACGTCGCGAGTGAAGCCTGCGTCAACGAGTACAAGACCAGCTTGGAGAAGGGCCAGGTGCCTTCCAAGGACGTGTTGAAGACGGTCTTCCCTGTCGACTTCATCTACGAGGGCTACCGCTACAAGTTCACCGCGACCAAATCCACCATTGACAGCTTCACCTTGTTCGTCAACGGCACCAAATGCTCAGTCGGCGTCAGGGCACTTGCTGATGGCGGTCTCTTGATCCTGCTTAGCGGAAAGTCCCACAACGTTTACTGGAAGGAGGAGGTTGGCGCCACCCGTCTCTCCGTTGACGGCAAGACCTGCCTTCTCGAGCAGGAGAACGACCCCACCCAGCTGCGCACACCATCGCCCGGTAAGCTTGTCAGGTTCCTCGTCGAGAACGGCGAGCATGTCGGCCAGGGCCAGCCTTTCGCTGAGGTCGAGGTCATGAAGATGTACATGCCTCTTATTGCCCAAGAGGCTGGTATGGTCAACCTCATCAAGCAGCCAGGAGCCGTTCTTGAGGCTGGTGACATCCTCGGTGTGCTAGCTTTGGATGACCCTTCCAAGGTCAAGTCGGCCCAGAACTTTACCGGTCAGCTTCCCGAGCTGGGTGCTCCCCAAGTACCCGGAGCCAAGCCACCGCAGCGATTCGTCTACCTGTACTACATCCTGCAAAACATCTTCCAGGGTTTCGACAACCAGGTCATCATGCAGAGCACTCTCAAGGAGCTGGTCGATGTCCTCCGCGACCCTGAGCTGCCATACGGCGAGTGGAACGCACAGGCTTCCGCTCTCCACGCGCGTATGCCTCAGAAGCTTGATGCCACCTTCTCGCAGATCGTTGAGAAGGCTCACAGCCGCAACCTCGAGTTCCCCGGTAAGGCCCTCAACAAGGCTTTCCAGAAGTTCGTTGAGGAGAACGTGGCCAAGGGTGATGTTGCGCTTCTCAAGGCCGCATTGGAGCCTCTTTCCGATGTCATTACCCGCTACTCTGAGGGTCTCAAGGCGCACGAGTACAACGTCATGATCAAGCTTTTGGAGATGTACTGGTCTGTTGAGTCGCTCTTCTCGTCTCGCACATCGCGTGACGAGGAAGTCATCCTCAAGCTCCGTGACGAGAACCGCGACAACATCATGAGTGTCGTGCAGACTGTTCTCTCTCACGCCAAGGTCGGCGCGAAGAACAACCTTGTCCTTGCCATTCTGGAATTTTACCGACCCAACAAGCCCGGTGTCGGCAACATTGCCAAGTATTTTAAGGATACCCTTAAGAAGCTCACCGAACTTGAGTCAAGGCAGACAGCCAAGGTCTCCCTCAAGGCACGTGAGGTGCTCATCCAGTGCGCTATGCCTTCGCTTGAGGAGCGTACTTCGCAGATGGAGCATATCCTGCGCTCTTCAGTCGTTGAGTCACGTTACGGCGAGAGCGGTTGGGACCACCGTGAGCCCAACTTCGAAGTCATCAAGGAGGTTGTTGACTCCAGGTACACCGTGTTCGACGTCTTGACCCAATTCTTCGTCCACTCAGACCCATATGTCGCTCTTGCCGCGCTTGAGGTATACACTCGCCGAGCTTACCGCGCGTACCAACTCCAGAACATCAACTACCACAACGAGGGCGAGCAGCAATGCTTCCTATCTTGGGACTTTATCCTGCGCAAGGTTGGTGAGGCTGAGTACGGTCTGGCTGTTGAGCCTTCGGAGCCCGGTACTCCCAGCACACCAGGATTTGAGCGTCCCCCCCGCATCCAGTCATTGAGCGACATGACTGCTTGGCAAAACCGATTTGAGGGCGAGCCTACCCGAAAGGGTGTCGTCGTCCCTGTCGAGTACCTCGATGACGCGGACGAGCTCATTAGCAAGGCGCTCGACATCTTCCCCAACCTCGGCAAGGAGAAGAAGGGTGGCATTGGCCTGAGGGAGGGTCTCACCATGAAGCGCACTCCTACTACCGGAATCAACGAGCCCAAGCACAGTGATGAGCTTACTGGTGTTTTGAACATTGCTGTCCGCGACATTGAGGGCAATGACGACAAGGAGATCCTCGAGCGCATTTTGCCTATCGTCGACGACTTCAAGCAGGAGCTTCTGTCCCGTCGCATCCGCCGCATTTCGTTCATCTGCGGTCACAAGGACGGAACCTACCCCGGCTACTACACTTTCCGTGGACCCACCTACGAGGAAGATGCCAGTATCCGTCATGTCGAGCCCGCTCTTGCCTTCCAGCTTGAGCTTGGCAGACTCTCCAAGTTCGACATCAAGCCCGTCTTCACCGAGAACCGCAACATTCACATCTACGAGGCTGTTGGCAAGGGCGCCGAGAGCGACAAGCGCTACTTCTTGAGGGCTGTCGTCCGATCTGGCCGTCTTCGCGAAGAGATTCCTACGGCGGAGTACATGGTCTCTGAGACTGATAGGTTGATGACTGACATTTTGGATGCTTTGGAGATTGTTGGCACTTCGCAGGCTGACATGAACCACATCTTCATCAACTTCTCGCACGTCTTCCCTCTTAACCCCACCGAGGTCGAGGAGGCTATTGGCGGTTTCTTGGAGCGCTTCGGTCGGCGACTCTGGCGTCTCCGTGTCACCGGCGCTGAGATTCGCATCATTGTCACCGACCCTGCGACTGGCATTCCCTACCCTCTTCGTGTCATCATCACCAACACCTCCGGATACGTTATCCAGGTTGAGATGTACGCTGAGCGCAAGTCCGAGAAGGCTGGCAAGTGGCTCTTCCACAGCATTGGCGGAACCACCAAGATTGGTGCTCTTCACCTCCAGCCCGTCTCTACTCCCTACCCCACAAAGGGAGCACTGCAGCCCAAGAGGTACAAGGCTCATCTCATGGGTACTCAGTACGTGTATGACTTCCCTGAGCTCTTCCGCCAGGCGACCGAGAACAGCTGGATCGAGGCTATCAAGAAGCACTCCTTCCTCCGTGACAGACAGCCAGCGAAGGGAGAGTGCCTTGAGTACTACGAGTTGGTGCTTGACGACACTGACAACCTGGCTGAGGTCAACCGTGACCCTGGCCACAACACCATTGGCATGGTCGGATGGATGGTCACCGCAAAGACACCTGAATACCCTCGTGGCCGTCGCTTCATCATCATTGCCAACGACATCACCTTCAAGATCGGTTCCTTCGGACCAGCGGAAGACAACTTCTTCCACAAGTGCTCTGAGCTTGCACGAAAGCTTGGCATCCCGCGAATTTACCTTTCTGCCAACTCTGGTGCTCGTATCGGTCTTGCTGAGGAGCTTATTCCTCACTTCTCTGTTGCATGGAAGGACGCCGACAAGCCCGAGGCTGGTTTCGACTACCTGTACCTGACACCCGAGAAGTACGAGCACTTTGTTGATGGCAAGCGCAACGACGTTATCTGCGAGAAGGTTGAGGTCGATGGCGAGAACCGCTACAAGATCACTACTGTCATTGGTGCTGAGGATGGTCTTGGTGTTGAGTCTCTCCGTGGTTCCGGTCTCATCGCTGGTGAGACATCAAGGGCTTACGAAGATATTTTCACCATCACTTTGGTGACTTGCCGCTCAGTTGGTATGTATTTTCCTTATAGTTTACAGATTTGTTTACTAACGCTACAATAGGTATCGGTGCTTACCTCGTCCGCCTTGGTCAACGTGCCATCCAGATTGAAGGACAGCCAATCATCCTCACTGGTGCACAGGCCATCAACAAGCTGCTTGGTCGCGAAGTCTACACATCCAACCTCCAGCTTGGTGGTACCCAGATCATGTACAGGAATGGTGTTTCACACTCGACTGCTGATGATGACTTCGAGGGTGTCTCCAAGATCGTCCAGTGGCTGTCGTACGTACCCGACAAGAAGGGCAGCCCCGTTCCTATCTCGCCATCTGCCGACAACTGGGACCGCGATATCACCTACTACCCACCTGGCAAGTCAGCCTACGATGTTAGGCATCTCATTGCCGGAAAGGAGGACGAGGACGGTTTCCAGTCTGGTCTCTTCGATCGGGGTTCGTTTGTCGAGACTCTTGGTGGTTGGGCTAAGACTGTTGTCGTCGGTCGTGCTCGCCTCGGTGGCATCCCTATCGGTGTCATTGGTGTTGAGACACGCTCAGTCGAAAACGTCACACCTGCTGACCCCGCCAACCCCGACTCCATCGAACAGGTCACATCCGAGGCTGGTGGTGTTTGGTACCCCAACTCCGCCTTCAAGACTGCTCAGGCTATCAAGGACTTCAACAACGGTGAGCAATTGCCGTTGATGATTCTTGCCAACTGGCGTGGTTTCTCTGGTGGTCAACGCGACATGTACAACGAGGTTCTCAAGTACGGTTCTTACATTGTCGACGCACTCGTCAAGTTCGAACAGCCCATCTTCGTCTACATTCCTCCGTACGGCGAGCTCCGTGGTGGATCCTGGGTGGTTGTCGATCCCACCATCAACCCTCAGTTCATGGAGATGTACGCCGACGAGGACTCGCGTGGTGGTGTGCTCGAACCCGAAGGTATTGTCGGTATCAAATACCGTCGGGAACGTCAACTCGACACCATGGCCCGCAATGACCCTACCTACGGTGCTCTCAAGCGCAAGCTGAACGACAAGGCAACACCGGAGTCCGAGCTCAGTGAAATCAAGGCCCAAATGACCGAGCGCGAGAAGAAGCTTCTACCTGTTTACGGTCAAATCGCTCTCCAGTTCGCCGATCTGCACGACCGCTCCGGCCGCATGCAAGCCAAGGGTGTCATCCGACAAGCCCTGCGATGGCAAAACGCCCGCCGCTTCTTCTACTGGCGCCTCCGCCGCCGTCTCAACGAGGAGTACATCCTCAAGAAGTTCGCCGCTGCCGCCTCGCCCACACACGATAACCCCATGGCCAACCCGCTCACCCGCAGCCGTGGCTTCGAGATGTTGAAGCACCTGTCCAACATCCCCAACTGGGAGCAAGACGACATGGCCGTAGCGACCTGGTACGAGGAGAACAGGCCCCTCGTCAGCGACAAGATCGAGCAACTCAAGACCGACGGCATTGCGCTCGAAATCGCACAGCTCATGCGCAAGGACCGCGAGGGCGGACTCAAGGGTGTCATGAGCTTGCTCAGCACCCTGCCCACGAGCGAGAAGGAGGAGGTGCTCAAGATGCTCAGCAGGGCGTAATAGTACCAGTGTTTCGATTATCATTCGCTTTACGGCATGGCATAGCATATGGGGTGGTGTTTTTACTTTTCCGGGAGGAATTGGGAATGGCGATTATGATGATGATGGGTTGATGTGTAACTTTGGCGTTGCTACGGTGCGACTGCGTTGTCTTTTCGCAAAATTCCCCCCTTCTTTAGCTTATTAGTTTAGTTACGGCATAGATGAGGGAGACGGGGCGGGGTGTTGGGAGGCACCTTTGTTCTTGTTCTTCCTCGTTGTTTAGATGTGTAATTGATCTTCAAGTTCTCAAACATTTCTGGTTGTGGTGCATCGTGTGTGCTACATCCCGCGTCCCACGTCCCCACGTGGCTACGCGCTATCGTCAGCCGTACGTCCCGCTCCTACAAAGATACTCAATATGCTCCTTCCCTTGCTTTTTTGGGATGTTGCGACTGCGCGCTCCTTCCCGTTCCTTGGTGTTGCTTGTAGCGTGGGAAGGAAGCATGCAGATCGGCCGAACTCCACTTTCAGCTGCGGGGTTCCGTCGCGGTGATACGTCACTAGGCCGCAAAAACAGCATCACCGACGCAGAAAAATCGTTCGTGGGTTGAGAGTGCATCAATCGTCTGGATTCTCTTCTCCTCCCTTTTTTCACACATACATACGCATACTCACCTCATACGCGACATCGTTTTCCAAGCGAGCCGAAAAGCTTGATTGCCGATCTTCACACCATCACAACACAACACACACTATAACAAGACGCGAAAGCAGAAAAGAGACAAGAGAAGCCAAAATGGTCTACACAATCGTCGTCCACCTCCTCGCTAAGGAAGACCAGGAGAGCATCAGCAAGCTGAGTGCCAAGCTTGTGGAAGCGAGTCAGGTGTACAGCAAGGATAAGGAGACGCTGAGCTGGTTCGTCATGCAGGATACCGTGGATAAGAGGAAGTTTACTATTGTTGAGCGGTATTTGAAGGAATCCGTGAGTTTGATCATTTCTTTTTCTATGCTCTGTCTGGATGTTGGGGAAATTTCGTTGGTTTTGGCGTTCGTGAGATGACTGCGGTCAGTTGTCATCGTCGCTGTGAAAGAGGTCGGAAGAAGATGGTTTAGTGCATGCTCCCGGCTCTAAGATGATGCATCTTTGTTCTAGATGCCGGGGGAAAAAGCCCTGTATATCTTAGAGCATACTAACAGCCTCAGCAGTCCCAGCAATACCACCTCAACAACCCCTACTGGAAGACTTTCGACCCTTACGTGATTCCGCTTCTGGCTGCGCCTATGGACTTGAGGCGTCTTGAGGAGTTGGATACTACGGTTACCTCGGCGGGTTCGCATTATCATGAGGATGCTGTTAAGTCTGAGACGAGCGTGGGCAACATGTTCCAGGGTACTGATGCTTAAACTGAGATAGGCGGCCGGCGTGCTACGCTAAGAGAAATGTAAAACGACTAAGCTTACCATCGGCGCCTATTGTGAATGTCTCTGACGTTTCTGCTGCTGCGACTTTCCTCCATGGAATGTGTGTCTAAGTACGAAGTAGGCTGTTGACCTTGCTGATTTATGATACTCCCCATCTGGAGAGCGGCCGGTACTTCATTGGTGCCGTTCTGAGAAGCTGCCCGCTTCAAGAACGGAAAGCGCGACGAAAACATAAAGCTAGCGTATGCATTAGCAAGCAACGAGCAACCACGGATATTTCTGAGGCCGTGGTTGGTCTTTGAGAATTTGGGTGTCCTTGGTATTGCGGGTATTGTTGTTGGCTCATTGTCTATAGGTCATTGCATGAGTCTTCCAAGTACCGTGGTATCGGCTGAGTAGGACCAAGGTCTGATATCCGCGCGACTATTCGATAGTCCGCCTGATCTTCTAATCAACTACTGATTTACGACCAAAAGAAAGTAGAAAATTACGAACCTGCCTCCTCCATACTTCACTTCGACTCGCTATCTAAGCTGCGATCCCCATCTCATCTGCAACCTGCCGCCACCATCTACCCAACGTCCCCGTCGATACTGCTGTTTCGAATCACGATCATGGGCCAGCTTGAGAGCCTGTCCGACGAGCTCCTGCTCGATATCGCGCTGCGTCTTCAGCCACCCAATCTCAAAAACCTAACTCTAAGTGCACGTCAATTTTGCGGCATTACACAAAAAGCTCTTCACTGCCGCAGGAATACCCTGACCACCCTTGGTTCTCTACTTCTTCCACAGCTCCAAAATTTATCTATTACTTAAGATGGATTGGGATTCTCATGGTCTACTTTGCCAAAGCTGCGACACCTACAACTCAATCGTACACAATTTGTCTTATGGGGCAAAAGGACGACGATGCCGATTCCCGACATCACTACCTTGACTCTACAACACTCGATATTCGTGGTACAATCGCCGAGGAGACGCCAAAAGTTCTCAAATCTTGTCCAGCGATTCTCTGATCCGCGGTCTTTGCACTTATATTTCACTAACTGGGTATAAGAGGTGAAGTTATTATGTGTGGAAATCTGTTATGATAGGAGGAACGAGCTTGACTTTTAAGAGCATGGCCACAACGGGCTGACACAGAGGCGCATATGCTATCCTCAAGATGGTACCACCTTTGATAAAGTCATCGATCAGATGATCCCTGTCGCACATTTGCTGGAAGAGCTGGAGCTGAAGTGTTCTGACACTGGAGATTCTAAAGAGATCGACTACCTCAGGCCATCGCTATCATTGCATCACTTCACCCAGCTAAAACGCCTGTCTATTCCGCAGGGTCTTCTTATAAACTCAACTTCCGTCGATTGTCTTCCACTTCATCCGTTCGACGCGTTGCCGCCAAATCTAGAGTACCTAAATGTGGCTGATCCGGCCACCACTGTGATACAGTGGATTTCCGGAGTTCTAGATGACAGCAACAAGCTGCGCAGCTTGGAAAGAATTTGTCTCAACTTCGATAACGATGCGAAGCAACACACGAGGGACCACGAAGAGGCTGGAGTGGGGATTTTTGGTCGGTTGCTAGAGGCCGGCATGTCTGTGCACTTCGAGAACGTACGTTCAGTCTGTCTTGAAGCTTGCTGCAAAGAATGAGGTGATTTCTTGGATATATTACTTGCGTTGCTAGCGACTAAGATGTAAATGTTTGAGATGCAGGTATACCTTCTGCCGTCCGTTAGAGGCTTTGTCTTTCAAAATATAAGAGGACATTATAGACATCAGATTATAGTGTATTCAAGGTTAGCTAAAATGCCCAAAACTACAAATGCGTACAAGAACCCCTAACATCGTTCAATGCGGTCGAAATTTGTGTCGATGTTACTGTCTCAAAGGGAGTCGTAGTCTAGCACCCAGGTGGAGAACTCTTGGTAACTGAAGAACGGGCTGCCCCCTTCACCTCACTTACTTAGAAATCGAAACCTCCCGTCTTTTATTATGGTGACGCCAGGACAATAAGAGCGACTAAAATCAGAACTATTAAGAAAAACAGCTACCAGACTTATAACCATATCTAACAATCGCTGAATCGTCTTCTACCACCTAACACCCATCCTCAATCAACTTTTGGTTTTAACAAAGACACCATACCTAGGCAATCATGCTGGAAGCAAGTAACATCGAGCCAATTATGGGTGCCCGCAAGGCATATTTCGAAGGTACTTCACCCTGCTATCGTATGACGCTCTTGGCTAACTCTCACAGATCTCCGAAAGAATCATATCCCTCAATTCATATTTCGCACTTGGAGCAGCAAAAGCGGTGGAGGGCCAGAACACGCATCTAACAGTGTCAAGGAGATCATCCCGCACGGCTTCATGAAGCAAACCTCTGGAAGCGGGTTCTACGAAAAGCCAGAAAACGAGCTTCGAGCGATGGTGCGAGACCATTTCCACACCGAATCCATTTTCACCTCCGATTTCAGCTCATGGACCGGATCACTTCACCTAGCTCTTTGCTATGCTGAATCTATAGACGAAGAACACGATCCCCACGTCGCTATCATGGACAAACATGGACTAGATGAGATGTCTTCGTCTGGCATGTTCCGCACCTGTACAACCCCGCCGCACTCCATGAGTACTTGGCACATGGACCGATCAGAGGCATTGGATACAAGGCCGTATCGTACAAGACCCTGATGTCAGCTGGTCTGGCACAGATACTTCCCGAGCTATTGGAGAATGACCTCACTGACTGGGGCATGAGCTTACGCGACCAGATGTTCAACGGGCCCTCAATTCTGTTTCCAATGGACAACATTGAGCAATCTGACGAGATGAAGCAGGTACGAGCAATCGCATACCTTCACGGCCATCTTTACGTTCCATTAGCGACTAGTTCGATATGTCCTCGGCCCCGATCTTGGTTACGCTCGCGAGCTGAGGGCAAGGCTACATTAGACAAGATCGCGAATCTGTTTGCGAACACGAAGCCGTTGTACTGACTGCGTCTCTCATGAGTGCGATGAGCTTTCCTGACGTACGACAGTGGACCAAGCTCCTCCGAGCTACCTGTGAACGCGCGGATCATTGAGTAGAAAGGCTTCGAGAACGAAGATGAGTTCGAGGGTAGGGGGCTACGGAGATGGGGGCTGAGCACGTGGGCTTCTTGATAGGAAATGCTGGGTGCTACAAGGATAGATCAATATTATTGCATACAATGGTTAAAGTCAATGTCGACTCTTCGGTCCTTTCTCGTATCTCAAGATATCGCATTATGCTCTCATGTCCTCTTTAGGCTGATACACGGATGCGTGTACTGCATGCCTGGGCAGATTATTGAACAATTCGGCGTGATATCTTGAACGATGAGCAGTGTATGTAGGTTTTGGTATGATGAGATTAGCATGCACCTAGATATGCTGCTCACTGGCTAATACATGTAAAGACGAGACTTTGTCAGTGTTAGAGAGACATTTCATCGAGATCGATAGGGGCGGTCGGATAGTTGAGAATAGCACTACGTCAATGCATGGAGGTGTCTAGGACTATTACCATAGTTTTCATACATAAAAATTCATCTTCATGCATGCATTCACAGCTAAGCGACACTATAGCGGAAGCTAGTTTGCTCTCCTTCTGAATCAACAATCTGATGGAGGCGTAGAACTCACACACAATGCGAGCCGCGGCTTGTAGCTGGAACTGCCGTCGTGATTGCTGTCACAAGCAATATTGATTCGCAGCCTCAAAGTTTCTTCGTGAATGATTAGAAGAACTGCGTGACGCCACTAAGAGCTACGGCTAAACTGGTGTGCATCGAGACTTGGGCAGCAAGAGAAGGCCCAGGGTAAATAAGTGACTTTGCGCTCTAGATGTATACTTAATAAAGAATCGATATCACATCTCTGAAACAAATCTATAGCGCCAATGTAGAAGTCGCACTACCCCGTGGTGTCGGCAGGACACGTGCGGGCAATGTACCCGCCCAAAACGTTTACTCATCAACAAACGTCAAGTAATGTCCTAATGCTGTCATGCATAGTTGCGAGTGGTGACATATCAAACTCGTGTGGTTCGGGTCATGCACACAGCCTCCTTTTCCAACGACGCCGGAGATGCGGTCGAAGAGATCACCACCTAGAGATCGAAAAAGGAAGCAAGAAAGATGGCTCTGGACTTGAAAGTAGAGCACCACACCCTCAGCCGGCGATGCTCGCCTGAACGCATGCGCCTCAGCTCCATTGTTGCAGCATCTATACGCAGCTACGATCGTTTACCTAACAGCTCTCCTTATTTTGTACCGAGGCGTTGCGCGGAGGCATCTCCGCAAGGCTTGGCCAGATTCGCGTGCCCAGAGAGCCACAGAAGCAACTCTTGATCTGCACTGCAGAGCCAACGGTACGGGAGAAGCAAAAAAGAGCGACAGATGTCGCTCTTGAGAACCTTGTAAAGCATCGCGCAACTCCGCATTACATGCTGTCAGTACGCTGTCGGCCGGGGGGTGGCGACGTGGGTTGGTGGTGGGTTCTGCTTGAACGAGACGCACGAATAACGTGCGCCGGAGCAACGAGCGTTACTGCTCAGCCCGGTGTTTACGCTTTTGCGGCGTGCAACAGGATGCACAGTTACATTGCGAATTTTCAGTTCTGATGTACCGCGATAGGCGAGGTTTCCGGACCCGGTGACAGTGACGGCGGGGGACGTTGCGCTGAGATCTCCCCTAGATGAAGGGCATGGTCTCGATCGCGTATATTCGTATAGAGGTCTGACGTCATTTCTCACAAGACTGTTGGTGCTGTTCGTCATTTGTGGTTGCAGACAGCCTCTCTCTCTGAACATCTAGGATACGATGTCGACCCTGCACAGTAAAGGAGAGCCGATAGTAAGGTTCCTCATCTACAACGATTGTCGTTGTTCGAGATGTTTGAAATGTAGCGGGGGTGTACCTTGTGACCAGGAGAGGTAGGTCCTGCCAGGTCTGGCTGAAAATTAAGGTTGGCATTAGAGCACCTAGTGATCCGTTTCGACACATCTGACGTACCAAGTTGTGAGAAAATGCCCCGAAACGGATCCCTTCGGAACCCTGCGCTAACTACACCATTTCCCGCTATCACATCATTCCGCGAAGGTGTTCCGAACAAGCCACGTGTTAGCGTTGAAGCCACTGCAGGTAATTTGGTTGCGAAACGGACACGGCACCGACCATCCTTACATCCCGAGCCAGTGCTTTGAGGCTGGTCAGGTCTGGGATGGAGAGACGACGGTGCCCTGCGCACGACTTACACTCAAATTGCGGCCATCATGCACCAAAAAATATCGTAGCGACATCTGATGCACCCCTGGAGCTTGTAGTTAGACGATGACAAGCGTAGAGCTCACCGGCCGGTGACAGTGGAGACAGAGTCCCAGACGAGGGATGCAGGTGCGCTGTCAGGCAAGTCCAAATGCAGTAGGCCATCGTCGTTAGTTTGCGCTGACCTGCTCGTAGATTTCCCGCGTAAAACAGGTTCGCAAAACTCGTAGCGAAAATTTGCTCGGTGCTTGATCTTCGGATACGCGATGGAGGAACTGCAGAAGGGATGCCTGGCGAGATTGTGGCTGTGTCTACGGTCTACCGAGTTGTCAACAACGACTTCTGTGGGGCGTTCTCAAGGAAACAGACGATCAGGATCAGCACCGACTGCGGCTGAAGGTAACCGAAGGCCGGATCGGCGTTAGACTCTTGTTCCCGTGCCAAGAGATCTTGATTGTCCCGGATTCTCTTTCGCATGCTGATCCGTGGATATGACCACGAGCGATGTTCTCCGACCCGATTGCGCTTGGCAGTATTAGCTGACGGGAAGTAGATGATCCATCTAGACGGGAGCTGTCAGGATGTCAATCAGTGATGTCGAAAAGAGTGTGTACCTCGTCGCATTTCTGGGGTATTGCACGACAGCATCATTCAACGCTGCAATCAGGGCAAGTTGTAGCGGCCGCATCGCCTACCCTGGCAGTCCGAAATATTGATTGCGCAGTGTGAGTGCCAGCAGATGTGTGCGAAAGGCAGGAAAAGCCGATCACAGCTTGGAAAGAAGGGTCGAAGGTGGCTGAGCCGACGATCTGCGGCTCGCGCAGCTTAGTCACGTACAGGAACCAATCCCAATTGGCAATCGTCAGCCGCGGAGGTCACAGCGGAGGTCACTATTCGACTGAAAGCGAGCTTGCGCTTAGCGCGTACGAGACAGTGGGATATTGTCCGCTTAACATAAGGAAGTGACAAATTTACAGGGGATGTACCTGAATTACCATGGTCGCGAGTCTGCATGACAATGCGAATGCGAGCAAATGCGACGTCCTAAGCAGTCAAAAGCAATAGCCTTCCATGCAAGGAGCGTGGCTTTAGAGTTGTTCAAACATCACCCATAGACTACACGGCAACATTTCCGCTGAGAGCTTTATTCGCTTGTCGCGTGCGGAAGTTGATGTTGATTCTAGTGATGTACCTAGTGCACGTTGGAGCGAGATTATAGGGCTCGATCGACAAGAGATCTCTGATCCAGGTCCGTGGGTCTCCGATAGTATCTTCGACTAGTAGGCCAGGAATGTGGGATCTTGATGACGCCCCAAACTGTAGCCGTTCTGGTTAGCATCATGCTGTTGAGTCTCGGACAGATGAAGGCGACACACACTAAGCATTAGCGGAGCGATACCGATTCGCTGAGTCGCCCAAAGTGTATTGAGATCATGACAGCCATAGCAGCGTGCAGCAGGCCAGTACATGGCGAGATGGTGTCAGGTAAAACAACGCACTTGTCTCCTGATAGCATAGTGAAGGCTATCACGATGCAAGTGCGCCATCTAGAAGGATGTCTGACACTCTCCAGATCGACCATTATTGGCTTCAAGGCGTCCAGCTTCCACATAGCTGACAGCTTGACTTGAAGTGATTGCTGTCTATCGTTTCATCTTGTTAGCGCAAATCTAGGATACTGCAATGATCTCAAGCTATGGAAAATGGGGAAATATTATGCTTGGACCCCTTACATAACCTATAGCAACGTCATTCCCTGGACAAAAACACACCATACACCATAGCGACGCTAGAAGTGTGACGATTGGGCCAGGGGATCTCTCCATATCTGAAGCCGGAATGCGCTTGGTTTCAACAAGTACGATCCTGATCGAGAACTGCCAGCAGTGCATATAGTGCACAGTTTGCCTGAAGACATTTTACCCTATAAGTACAAGTGCGCACCACCGAATAAAGAATCCCATATATCTGATAAATGAACCTAAAGTGATTGTTGAAGATAAAAGATCAGTTCACTGGGCGTGATACTGGTATACCGGAACGAAGAGTGGGGCATGAGACGCATGCACGCCACCCTGTGTTGTGGAACTGTTTTGTGCAGACCCCTCTTTCTGAATCAAGTCTTTTGCATGACTTACAGCCCGCTACGGACGGTCAGTACATTGATTGCAAGTACAATATTCATTGGTATGGTGATGGAAGTTCCGTGGTTGTGAACACGGATATGTATCTATAGCGAGAGGCGAGCCTGGTACAGGTGCCACGGATGCCACCCGCACACTTGTTAGTTATCGTCATGCTACTGTGCTCCAATCTCTTTCTTCCGATGGGGTTGTTTAGACCAAATCAAACCGGTTGCTTGTCAACTGCCGATCGAGCGGTGAGCATGATGATAGCTAGGCGACGTAGTAGGTCAACATTATTAATGAGTACAAGATGTCGAGTGTTGCATCTCTCGGAAGCATTGACACCGGTCTCGGAGGCCGCGAAGCAGGTCTTGTCGTCTTCCAAATCCAAAAAGCCTCAACATAACTTTGAATATGGAGCGCCGGGCAAACCCTAGCATGCGGTTGTAGTGTAAACTTCTCGATTGGTAATCTCGGTTGTTGAAGACGCAAATTTTGAGGTACAGCGTGTGTGGAGTATTTGGAAACCAGGTTCGAGGTCTGTCCGCGCATCAGATGGCGCTCGTGGCTTCCGTCTGGTGCAACGGCGCCAGTCACGGCAGCTGCATTTCATCAAGACAGAACCGCGACTTGGACTGCAAGGGCTTCCCCGCCCTAGATGATCGCCAGCAGGGGGCGGCGGCGCCATCTCCACACAAGGAGCAAAGACAGTTGTCAATGTAAGGCATATTTGATATGACTGATGATCCAGATCGGAAGGCGCCCTGTACTAGCTATTAGTATAGAAGCGGTGCTGCACTGCAGCAGTTTGACAGCCCCCTGGGCCATAGCACAGAGACGGTGGGCGACACGACAACGAACGGCAGCCGCCTGAAGCAGAGTTGACGGACTGTCAGGCGGTCAACTGCTGCCGTGTGACGATGGCTTGTGGCGATGGAAGCGCAGCGGAGCTTGTACGAGCGTCCCTGGCCACCACTCTAGGGGGGTCAAAGACGACACGAGCCCGAGCAGGAGGTTTACCCTCATGCCGGGATGGTGAGTGCGGACAGCGGCAAAGATGGTGGGAGCAGGCACGAGCCGACAAGCGGTCAAGACGGACGACGCAGGTGTGCAAGCAGTTCACAAGGTTGGTATCTCGTCCGTGTGGCGCCGAAGCATAATGGCAATGCTGCAGTTCGGCACGGCTGCCGAACCCAATGACGACGCAGCAAAGGCAAGATTAGAGCCTTGCGGGCGGCGACGTCAATTTGGAAGCGCGAAACACAACGCGAGAGGGTTGGGATGGTGGGGCGCGACAAAGTTTCGTAGATTTCGATAGACGCAGTTAGGGTAGCGCAGAGTTTGCCGTGGTGTCGCGTCGAGTTGCAAGACGGCGAGTGCAAACAGCGACAGCGTGGAGAAGGTCTCAGACGACGGCAGCGACCCGGCACGCGAGACGGCGGATGTTGAATGTCGAGGGCTGGCGTCCAGGCGCAGGTGCGAGGTCTGATCGGCCGGCTAGCGGGAAGCGATCAGCGAATCGGGCAGGCGCGACCCCGAGAGCGGGAAGGTGCGAGTCATCCCTGTGCCAATCATGGCGGTGCAGACAAGGTCGCACCTCTTCCTAAGATGCCACCATCAGAGGTCTGCATGAGCCTGACATCTGTCATCCGCCCGCACTGCGAGGGGCTCTCTACCATGACATCCAGCTATCACGGCGACGGCTGCGTGCGTGAGAGGACTCCTGGCAGACAGCACGCCGACTCCAGACGGCACACAGGACTGGTTTCGCGGACACTGCTGCTGCACTACTCGCCAACTGATTCAGGGTCTGCAGGCGATGGCTCCCCAATTAGTCGTGCCTGGCACATGGTGGAAAATCGAACGCCGTGCATCATCTCCCGCTCTCCTACGTCGTCGCTCTAGCTGCTATTCCTGTCCCACCGGACGAACGCCTCTTTCTCCCTTCCCAAAGCTCGTTGCTGCAGCACTAGCTGCTTCTGTACCCCGTCACGACACCAAGACTTCCCGCTCCTGGATGCTGGAAAAGCTCCGTTGCACAAGTGCCCACCAAGGTCAGCCACCGACCTGGTTCTGTCCTGCGGCAGCTGTCTGCCGGGTATCGTACCTTGTGCTGGGTGACATACACGCCGGCAGCGTGGCTCTAGGGTGCACCGCGGCCCTCATAACATCGGATTACACTCCGCTCTCGACAGAGGTGCAACCCGCGTCCATGTCCTGGAGGCTTCTGCGCTGCACCTACCCCACTTGCCCTAGATGCTGTGCTGCTTCTGTCGATTCAGATATCTCCGGCAAAAGCAACCATAAGGGTACCGTGCCACCGGTGCCCGGGACAGTTCAAGTCAGGTCCAGCAGCAAGGAGAGTTAGTAGCGTGTGCTGGATACTAGCCTCGAAGCAATTACCGCTATGGTTTGTCGCTGGTGGGCGCAAGGCGTGAGAATGGAGTAGGCGGTAGCGACCTATGGCGAGGCTGGTGTCGATGAACTACTGCTTGTGGTTGCTGGCCAACCGCGAGGCGCCAGACCACAACCACAGCGTCGGCCAATACTTGGCCACAGGCGGCTACCGTCGCGATGGCATGTTGTGAGGTTGCTGCGGCATCCAGTGTGTGGGAGGGCAGATGAGGTAATCGACGGGCAGGGTGCGACAAAATGGGCGAGAGGCATTTGGCACCCCTGCGCCTGCCTGCGGCGAGTCAGAAGTAGCGAGATCTGCGACGATGCGAGCAGTGGAGACACCGGCCGACGCTCAATGGCGTCTGCAGCAGATGGCGCGACTCCAGCGCCGACGGGCTCGTGCCTCGAAATCTGCGGCGTAGACTGAGCGTCTCTTGTTTCCTGCGCTCGGCCTGTGTCCGGCCAGAGCCTGCATTGTCACGCTCGGAGAATATAGACCAAACTTTAACCCTCACCTGTCAAGTCCACAGACGTGGTGCTAAACACGCTTGTGTGTCCTTCATTGGCCCCAACTGGCATCACCCCTGACGCGCTCTCTGGTGCTGCAAGATCGCAGGGCATGCTTGATGTACGGCCCGTTGCAGTCCCTCCTAGCCTAGAAACGCCTCCTTCGCTCACGGTGCTCCTGCTTCTTAAACGCCTCGGACCCGTCATCACGACCCCCAACTATCTTCTTGCGAATCGCTGAGTGCTTGCGCCAGCTCCCTTGTCACTACTCATCCTCGACTCCCACCCTACGACTAATCCCTCGCACGCCCTCACCACTCATATATCTGCGATATAGAATCCGTGGTTCGGTAGTCCTGCATCGGACCCTTGGTTGCCCCTTCGAGTTAATTGTTACATCACTACCATAATACCTGGGTGAGTAATGCCGCCCAATTGCCTATCGTCCTATGGGACCCCGCTCGTGGGTGATGGCATTCAACGGTGCCAGCCAAAGAGCGGTACCAAGCTGTCAGTACTTTGGGAGAGCAAGACAGTCCGCCCACTCATCATGGAGACGTTGATACACAAGTGATTATCTGCTAACGTGTGCATGCTAGAGTATTTAAGCAGTGTTGCCGTTGCACACATGGAATATCTTACTCTCCAAGATATTCCGCACCGTCACTGTGAACCGCTGCACTCGCGCAAGATGACTTCTGCACATCCTGCCGAACGGCCGCTGGCTAACATGGTCGCTGCGGTAAGTCAAGAACCAGAGTCTCCTTCCTCTTTATACAAACCCACTCCCATCCCTCCGCGATTCCTCGAGCCCGCGTTGCATGATCCTTTCCAAGTTCACGGACAGGAGAGTGCAACTTTGAGGGCAAGAGCGTCCGAAACCTTCGCCTGCCCCCGTGCACCTGCCCAGTACTATGGCCATCCCCACTTTGCGGACGCACTTAGCGAGAACGCCCGTTCACTCGCCTTCCCGCGCTCATATTCTTTGCCCACACGCCGCCGATCGCTTTCACCAGAGCCGAGAATGCTGCCCGACTCGCGCCTGCCTACGACTACTCCGGACGCAGTCGAAGGCGACGAACTACGACCTTCGAGCACCACTCTGACAGAATCACAGAACCACCACATGCGCAGCTCGCCACCCATTCAGCCTGGAGAGCAAAACTTTCCTGGCAAACTTCCTTCCTTTTCTGAGGTACGTCTCCTTCCAGCCTATCTATGCACCCCCAGACGATTAACTTTGCTAGTTTCTCCACACTACGCGGACTACCACACCCCCGCGGACGCCTCAGCGTCGAAATGACTCTGCTGAAAGCTCTCCCCACGTGCAACCTCAGTTTGAAGATGTATCTTGGTCAGACAGTAAGAGAAGGCGCGTCGACACTCTCGGCGATATCTACGAGCCGCCTGTGCAGGGCCGTCGGATGAGCAATGCCATAGACCCTGCCCTTTCTGGCTACTCGCCCCGCATCGCCCAGCAGCATGCAGTGCAGCCCGTAGGATCTGGCATGCTTCAACGTCCAAGTCACTCATACGCGGCACCCCAACAGCAGCCAATGCCTGTCAACCCGCACATGCGACATCAGTCATCACCAGTACCCCAAGGCCACATGTCTTACGCGCCACCATCTCTCCAGCAACCTATCGGGCAGAGCCCTTTCCAGCAGCCCATGGTTCAGCAAAGTGCCATGTACGAGCCACGACACAGCTACTATCACGAGCCCCAAGCTGCTGTCTACGGTGGCTACGAGCGACCGAATGACTCCTTCTTCACTCGGCCTGGCTACCCAAGTTACGACTCACAGTATGGCGACATTCGCTTCCAGCAGCACGTAGGCCTTGATCACAACGCATTCAACAGGAAGCGCCGAGGGAACCTGCCCAAAGAAGCTACCAACTTGCTGAAAGATTGGTTCGCCGCCAACCGAACATCGCCTTATCCCACGGAAGACCAGAAGATGGAGCTCTGCAACCGGACTGGATTGAGTCTCAATCAGGTATGTGATTTGTCCTAGCAACAACGTCCATTTGAAATCCCCACTACATCTGCCATTCCTGTCCTTCAGTGTCACTTCTTCTAGACCACAGCGTGCTGGTCGGTCCTTTTCCTACCCACACAAATTTCTTCTAGCATCCACACGACTTTACATCTGTGTACCAAACAATGTACTGACATCCACTAGGTATCCAACTGGTTTATCAACGCTCGTCGTCGTGCTCCACAAAAGGAACAGCGAGAGCGTGAAGCCAATGGCCCAGAGGCATAGTGTCTCATCCAAACGGGGCCCGCCCAAGAAAAGCGCGACCAACTACTAGGCGCTGGGACGCATCGGAATCTTCCATTCAACCTTCATCATGACGAGTTTAATCGCGCACATCATTCACTCCCTTCGGCTTTCGGCATTCTGGTGGAGCCAGAAGCATCTGGATACTTTCGTTTCTTGGGCAGCCTGTATCATCGCAGCCTTCCTGCGGGCATTTTCGGATGTTGCGACCTTGACCAGGCGCATGGATGATCTGGCAATTTTCTTTCAGTCGAATACCCTGGGACCCAAAACGGAGTATACATCAGCGTTTTGGGAAATGGAGTTAGGGCGCATATTGCGCTAAAGACCGCAGCATACTGGAACTGCTACAGCGTTGTTTTCCATAGGCCTCGGCCTCGAAGATTCTTTCCTACATAGCCTAATCACAATGCGATCTTCTCACCAAAACCTCTTTGATACTCATGAACACTGTCCTAACCCGCTTCGTGCGAAATGCACAAAGCCTTTGCAACCACTGAAAGAGACTTTACAGGCAGTATCATGGTGAAACCCGGAGAGCGCTACACCTGTAGGCCGCCGGTCTCCAGACTATTGACTGCCTAGTGCAGTCTCCAAACATCCCCATTGCGAATGGCCAGATTTGGTCTCACGGCCCACACAAAGCCGAATGCGGAAGTTTAAACGGACATCCCCCTGGTGTCCGCGGGCACCAATCTAGCGCCTACGCTTCAAACGCCATCGACAGTTCCGGTGTTTCAAACCCCCAGAGTTAAAACATGACACACAACGGTGGTGCTTGAGAGGCAACACCAGCCGTTTGGCAGAGGGCTCGTGCTCCCGGGAAGTAACGACCCCGGCAACATGTATGAACAAGTCGAGCCGTGACATGTTTCGTGATATCGAATCCCAACACATCAAAACCCCACCGACCTCAATCGGCCGACTCCTCCAGACGTGAAGGGTCAAACAGGCTGGGGCGCCACCAACGCTAACTTCACTCGCACTTCACTTGGCCTAAGAAGTTGATAGCCAGCCTTTCAGCCGGAAAGACTCCACATAGTCCGGTGAGTGAAGTCGTATTAGACCCTTGTTATGATCCTCTTCTGGGATTGACCCCTCACTACTTGAAAGCGGGAAACACTGCACATCATTGGGGGATCGGAGCCAGGGTTTGCCCTGCCAGTCTCGCTCCACTATCTCTCCCGGAAACCAAGCACCATGACCAAAGTCACTGCTGACAGGGATACCATGGAGCGGCCCGGACTGTAAGGGATCACACCTGTCGGCATTCAGAGCAAGTTTAAAGGTGTGACACCGGAACAGCCGTCGCGCACTTTATTGACAGTGACATTCACCTTTCGATCGATAGGGGGCTTCAGTGGCGAGTGGAGAAGAACTCAAAGTTCAGCTGACTCTTCACTTTATCCAGCTGCTCGCGTGAACTACCCAACTTGTCAACACCTCATTACGGATTGGGCGGCCTGACGCACGTTCATGGCAAACACGGAAGGACCAGGCCCAAGCTCTCGCCTTTTCAGACGCAGACGTATAGTCTGCGGGAAAGCTGTCTCCATTTATAGTACCATGGTAGGCTGAAACGTTCCTGGAGGAAATCACGATCACCGTTGTCCGGAAACCGGCAGCCTCACAGGCGGCGCATGGGGCACCAGGCAAACATGAAAGCTGTCATTGTTTCAGCTGCCAAAGACGTAGTACGAAACGTCACTTTTCAGGTACCCGGTCACTGAGCTGACAGTCGTGTTACATTGATGAGATGAGGATGAGCATCTCCATGTCGTTGCGCAGATCTCGATGCGAAGCGAAGCGCGAGATAGTTTCCCGGGGTCGACTGTGACGGATGAAATGAGGATCTTCATCCTTCGTATCACCCACGGTCGACGTCGCGGCAAGTCCCGAGCTATACCGTAGTGGATCATAGCTGCAGGTTTACCGTTTGACTCGAGATACTGGCGGTACTGCAGCCTAGCTGAATGTAGTACACCCACGAATAGCCTGTGCGGCTAGGACCACGTAGACAACACTCCCACCAGCAATACTAATACGAGCAACATGGCCATATAGACAACGAGCTAATAGCAATGACTGCAACTGTCAGTCACTCTCTCAGTTGGACCGGTTGAAGAGCGCTCTGGCAAAATAAGCGTTACAGCCACATGATGTCTTCCAACCTTCCACGTGCATGGAGAAAATCACCGACCACCTCACCACAGCCTCTAGCAGCTGACGCGTACATGCTCACATCCTAACTTTGTAGCTTCTCGTCTGCAGCTCCGCAGGATTCTGCAGGATGCAAACTTTTCTCCCCAACAACCCGGAAAGTAACGACTCATCATCTCGAACTGATCAACAGCACTGCGCGGCCCCTGTGATCTCAGCGATCACGCAGTCGCAAACAAGGATCATAGGGCAGCGGCATCGGGCACTGGAAGCAAGAGTTTGGTTCGCGAACTTCGATTACCCGCGTCGGAAACTTGTTTTCATCGACTGCGGGATCGGCGGGGGACGGTGTTGGTTGCGTACCAGATTTCCTTTTTGGCCTATCATGGGGATGGTGGGTGGAGTGGGGTGGTTAATTGGGTGGAGGGTGGGATGGGCCACGTGGAGTGTTTTCGTGCGATGGAAGTGTGTGCGACGTGAGGTTAACGTCGTCGGAGCTTTTTGCTGTTAGTAAGGCTTGCTTTTGTCGGCGTTTCGACGTGGGGTTTAGGAGGGATGACGAACCTGAATAGTGACCGTGATAAGGGATGGAAATCACCTCTTGACAGTTTGGCTTGTGTCACTCAGTCCAATGTGCAGTAGTGTTTGCGAATGATTGTGGCATTTCCTCCACTGAGTCATTATGTACAACCTACGAGTAACAACATATATGGGTATCACATCCTAAGAGGAACAATATGAAAACGCCCGAGTCGCTTACCGAAAAAGAAACAATGCAAATCGAACGTCTCGCCAACGTCATCTCCTTGATCTCCTACTCTCATCAAGAATAGCAAGACTGGCTCCTGGATTCTTCTTCTCATACATCTTCGCCATGTCGTACACCACCTCACCCCATTCAAATTCTCCGCGATGGCTTTTCCGTTTGCATGGAGATTGGCGGAACGGCAATAGCCACTCTATTATGTTCGTGCCCATGGTATCTTTCCAGCCCTGCAGGAGGGTTGTATACCAGGGGTGTTCCAAAGGCTTAGTCTGCATAACGACGTAGGATCGGTTCGGGAGGCGGGTGACGGTAGTGAGAATAGGCCAGTCCTCCTTGTCGAGTTCCTTCTCTTCTGCCACGTCTCTGCTAGACTTCTTCTTTTGATGTTTACTGGATGACGTCGTTGGTGTCGCAGTAAGTGGAGCAGCGGTATCGGGGTTCGGGGAGGGGTTCGATATGAGGAAGGCGATGTTGTGGATCCCGCCGCGCTGGATGCCTTCGACCGAGGTGAAGTTGATCATCAGATTCCAGCCTGTCATACAGGTCATTGTGAAGGTGAAGATGCTGAAGAGCACAGCTGTCGCGAGTGCGCCGATCCATGTCCCTGGCCTTGAGTCCATCTACGATGTGTTAGCCTGCTGCAGCATGCGCTGGGTCGGTTTCAAACGCACCTTTGAGTTCCTTTCCGCGAAGAAAATGGCCACCACAATCCAAGTGAACGTGGTGTATAGCGACGCATACGCTACAAACTGCATAAAGAATTTATGCGTAGTCTCTGCTATGATTCCACCAGCCCATGGACAGTAATGATCCATCTTCTTCACACAGCGCCCCAGTTCCTTGCAATGATGTGCCCTATCCGGCTTCCAATTGTGGCACCTCTCACACCAAAGTGGCACTCCCTGGTAATCGCAGATGTATGCATCATATTGATCGAACCCGAAGCCTTTCGTACTCGCATCTGCCTTGTCCACCGAAGGGTTACCCAGAGGTATGAGATCTGGCTTCGACCAGACCAGTTGTAATAGGCGCAGCCATGCTACCATGAGGAGGAGGAGGAGGATAGCGTAGACGACTATGAGTGCGATTCCGGTGGAACGTCGCGGCCGAATGCCGAAATCTCGTTGGAGGTCCTCAGGAGGGTTTATGAGGTACTGGACGCATATTAAGTAGACTACGACGTATGTCTCATAGCCCAGGGCGCCGAACTCTAGAAGGGGTAGAATGACAGAGGTGGCCTGCCCTATCTTCTGTTCCATCGCGGTGGTATCTGTCGCGCCAGGCTTCTGGGAGCCGATAACTGACGGGGGTGCCATCGCGTGGCTATACGAAATTCTCGGGTGCGACTGGAGGAAGAAGAAAGAACAAATTGAGATAGTCGGCGTCGCACGCGGAGACGAGTGGTCGACGAAGCCTTTGAGAAGGCCTGACGTTCCCGTTGTTGCACGACAGCGGCGTGAAGCCGCCCGGCGCGCAGCCAAGATGGTTCGCGCACGTGTTTGCCCCGCTAGTCCGAAGCCGGTTAGCAAGAGACGTCATCATCATCGACAGACCCGAGGAAGAGAAGACAACGCGTTGTCACAACCATCGTGAATAATTGCTGAACTTCCGCGTACAGTATGCCTCTTCTCCATGAACACTTCTCCACGACCGCCGGCGACGCGTAATGCGCGTCTCGGCCAATCGGCAGAATTTTGGCATCCGCCGACGTCGCACGAAGAGAAAGATCGGCACAACACCACCAACGACTCTCGTCACATACCGAATTGAGCATCAACGCTATCTCAATGCTTTCGCCGGCTGGCAATGATGCTATTGCCAATGCGAGATTCTATGGTCTTGCTTTTTCAGAAGATCAAAGCCAAGGAGTCTGCTTACGCGTTAAAAGCCAGCGTGCATCGACCTTGCATGACCCGCAGAAAGACCCCGCACGAGCTTTCTCAGCCTTCCCTGACCTTCATATTCTACCGTACTTCTCACATGAGACCATTCAGGCAAGAGCAGGATCAAGCCTAGTTACATTGGGCCTACAGCGTCTATATCCACCATTGACTGCTCTTGGACTTGTATCATGGGTGCAACTTATGGACTGACCTAGACCCATTGGAACTCACCGGCCATGCGAGGCTACAAATGAGCTGGATTACAGCCTTGTAGAGCCTCATCTACCGCGCTTCATTCGCCTTTTGACACGCTGGCAGCCGCCTTTTTGGCCCCGATAAGGACCAGCGATTGCTGTTTGCAGCGAGACATCATCTACAATGTGTGGATCTGGAGGTCAAAGATTCTTGACAGGTGCGACGTCGAGCTGATATCTATGCGGCTCTTCCATACGAGGCTCGGACTTGTGTAGTTATAAGCATGCTGCGCCCTGCATGGGATGGTGAAAGATCCATCGACCCTCCCGCGGCTCGCCGATGTTAGCAATTTAGCAGGGCTGGCCACTCCTGGTCCGATGGATAGCCTTGTGTTTATCAGGCAGATTCCGCAGAGAGCCTTGGGGTTACCGCAAGTGGAAAACGCTGAGATCTAGCCCATGTAAGTATGTCTGCACTCTTCTCCAGAACCCGTTGATCGAAAGGTTTCAGGCATATTATCCGAATTCTCAGCACCCTTTTGGCACGGTCTCGTTTCGTCTGCTATGACATGTGGCCAGCGGCCTCGATTTAGCCATGGCCGACCGTCGGTGAGGAGGCTACCTCTAGGACCGGTAAACCCACGAACTACCAGCACTGCCCCTCGGCGTACGCGGAAAGATACTCGGTGTATGCCCTGGCCCACAAAGCACGAGGTCAGCTCTTAAGGCACCATTATGGACGTGCCGACGGGTCATCAGCCACACTAGTCGTTGACTGCTGAAGAGGGCAGGCCGCATACCAGGCCCGAAGAATACAGGCACTGGATCCGGCAACTACATCTACACCGGCAGAAATAGATCACACATACGACTACTTCGATTGACTATGACCTCTACGAATACACATGAACGCCGTAATATGGTATGGCCTGCTCAACCTCCCAACGGCCTGCAAGTGACACAGATGGTGCCCAAATTTACGCAGCTATATTTGCCCCTAGTCTCGGGAATCGCCTGCCTAGTCGAGCCAAGGAGGTGCCATGTCCATGTAGCATCGGCTGCGCCTACACCTGAGGCAAACGGTAGCTTCGTCACGGAAGACCTGTGCTTCACGAGGGGGTAACTCAACGCCGACCAGTTTTGTCCGATCGCAGCAATCTTCATTCAGGCAGAGCTATGTATGTCCTATCAAACATCATACCCACACTCCTCGTCTATTCCCTTGAAAGTGGGCACCATTCAAGGTTCGTCATTGATTCAGCACGTGCTGGTCATGAGTGCTCGTTGGTTAGTTCGGCCAATGCACATGGTCACGGGGAGAATTCGAACGCCTCCTGGTCTGTGCAAGCAGTAGGCGTTCGATCTTTCCCCTAGCCGGCATCAAGGCTGTCAGTACCCGCAATCGCTCTGAATAGAACTGGTGGCGCTAGTGTGCGTTTCAAGAGAAACAAGCGCTGGTGGCCAGTTCTTTGGCTGGTCGTTCCCTCGGATTCCAGCTCTTGCATACGCTCATCCGGTGGCGGCATACCACAAGAGTAGTCCAAGCAGGCGTTCAGTCGGGCCCACAGTCGCTCATCTGCTCATGATGAGAGAAATTACACAAAGTTTCAAATCTCGTTCCGCCAGCTCGCGCCATATCAGCCCTGCCAAAATTGGAGAGGCATACCAGATGGATGATGTAACGCAACAGCTTCGGCCGCTACTGTCCTACATCGATAGGCGCCGTTGGGCCCATCTATCTGGATACCGGACGGTGAAGCAAGTCACCCTATACGTTCTCGCCTGAACCAGCATGCTTCCCCATTGTCTTTCGATGGCCTATCGATACGTTCTTGGAACTGAGCTTAATTGTCACGCCCTGATGTTATTCATCGCACATCCCCAGGCCACATACCGACTGCCAATAATGTTCTAAGAACGTTGGCTTAATACCTGAGGACTCTCATGGCAATGTAATTGACATCACGAGCGAAGTTGCGCATAGAGCATCGCCATCCATAGTGGCTGATGCATCATACATCCTGGAAGGTCCTTCATTATCCCCCACCTCACGATTGGTGTTGCTTCATTGTATCCCCTTGAGGCCTGTATGCCTCACATCGGAATATGCTTGAGCACAGATAGGGTGGCGGCCGATGTCTCAAAGGACTATCGGTGCGGTGCGCAGCGCCTCCGGAGGAGGATGGCGAAGCAGCAGCATAGCTTTGGTCTCGCAGCTGTTTAAAGGCACATGAACGCCTTCTCAACGCTTCAACCACAACTCACTCAAGCTCTCAATCACTACCGTTCTATACCACACTAGCAAATCTTTGTTTCTCACCAAATCACTACCCTATAAACATCACAATGGTCAATCCTCTTCCCGCTGGCGATCTCGATAGTCATGATGTTCACATCGCTTCCACATCCAGCCATTGCCTTCACTCAAAGCGCAACCACCGTGGCATCACTACGTCTTTAGCGAACGAAAACATTGTTCACTCTGTGTTGCATCCTGGGGGAACTGCACTTCCCATCGGTACCCTATTCGGCCAAGATCACGCAGCACCTTCCAACAGCATCTCAGACACCAACACGCACTACAATTATGGTTCCGCTCCTGCAGACGGAGAGCAAGTTTGGTACTGCTCGGCATGTGGCGATGGACCTATCAGTATCTGGCAGAACGTCTGCGTAGTCTGTTCCCATCAAAAGTGCGGCTCTTGCATCTTCGAAGAAACCTAAATGTGGCCTCGCACTCGTACATCCTCGTCTTTCTTCATCGCGTACGCCATACACTATCAACGACAATACTGTCACGAACGGTCACTTTTACTGCCACTCCTGCTCGAATCTATGCGGCACCCTCTTCTCCTGGACTTTCTTTCTTTGGATTGTTTATTGTAATCTCTCGTTACTTTCTACCTTATCCACTTGTTCAATCACAATACCACATTTGTAGATTTGTTGGACATTTGGAGCATTTCGGCAAAGCATTGTTTACATGGCGCTGTCCAGTTTTGCAACATCGTCATGTGGTCTGCCACGAGCATGGCGCGTACCACCCGGCACACTCGTTTTACGGATCTTGGTTTTGGAGTTTACTTGGATTTACAGTTCGTTACTCAATAGAATTCTCATCATCATTGCTTGCTTCACTCTCATACCAACCTTGCCACTTTCCTATCATGGCCGCATGCATCTTCCTGCAACAACGTTGGAGCGATGTGCCTCCATCGCTAGAAACGGAGACCGCGTGGTGAGCAGGAGTGCGAACTACAGCACGCATGCCAGATTCGGCTCCTAATCCCAGAATCGACTGCAGGAAAAGACGCAGGTACGTTCGTTTCAGTATGAAGCACGACACCCTCAGCGAGAGATTCACAGGCCTCGCATATGAGAAATCGATTGCAACAACGAATCATAAAATTGCTGTTTGGAAAGGGCGTACGATTGGACGATTTCCGTCTCTTTTCCTCATTTCTGCCTAATGACAACATCCACCATTCTTGCATTCTTGCTTTTTCTCGGAGTGGCTTGCAGTACGGCATTAGCGCAAGGCAGGAAGAAGGACCTCTTGGCGCCCAGAGAAGCCCGAGGACTGAGGGCACAAGGCTGGAACAACATTTCTCTCATCCTTGCTCGAGCCCAACGTGCCGCCTCTGTCTGCCTACTGCCTTGAAATTGCACCGCCACGCTTTGTTATGCTCGGTCACGTCCTTTATTCCGGTATCCGACCGGCTTCCTGGCCTGCCTTATTACTTCCATAATGTCATCATGGACCGCCGCCGGTGTATTCTATCACTACGCTCTCCCTTATTCATGATCACGACCGAGCTGTCTGACGTATGTTTACCGACGCTTGTGGAGCGAGTGGGTCACGTTTGAAGGACCTGTCCTAGCTTCAAGGCGAACATGAGGCACCGAGATGGGTACTGGAAGCAAAACTACGGGTGGCACGAGGGGAGGATGAGAGCTAACGGTAGGGCACGAAGGGGCGAGCGTGGCTTAGTCTTTGCAAGAAGAGATGAGGCCATAGCGGAGCGTCCTTCGAGGGACTCAGGATAGCAGGTTAAGATGCTCCTCAGACCGCTTCGACTCTCTCATTCTCATAAACAGACAGCACCGCAAGATACTCTAACATCTTCCACTCATAAGAAATACATTACTTAGCGACCAGAGTTTCTTCTTTAACATATCCACTTACAAATACCCCACCATCCAACCACAAGATGCCATCAGTATTCTGTTGCCAATGTGGAGACGGCCCTAACAATATCGCCTACGTTTTTGTCTGTACGAGTTTCGCGTGCCGCCATCGCCTTTGTCAATGCTGCCCAGCTGCCACGGAGTACTCTACGTACAGTCGCACTACCCCTTCCTCGGCTGAGCACCTTCGTGCCGCGACTCACACGACTCAAAGTAGCATGGCTAGGCCTTTGGGTAGTTACCAAGACGTCTCGACAACCAACTCCAGCCCCTCCTTCCCAACTAGCAATGGCGCGCATTACATTGAACACCCCAATCATCCGATATTGCGATGGCAATGTTGCCAATGTTATGGGGATAACAGTGTTGATAGGGATCTGGGTTGTGCATACTGCAGCAACCACTGGCGGTGTCAATGCTGCAGTGTCTACGATAGTCAACAGAAGTAGAGGGTTGTGAGCAGACCGCCGGAAAGTAAACGATGGTGAGTGTTCGGGACAAGTACAGCGCACGGCAAAGCTAACCATGCCAGACTTTTTTGATTGGGTAATGATCCCGGTGTTATTGAAGGGGGTTTCCGGGCGTTCTGGTATCTTTCTTGGCTGAGTTCTTGATTTGTTCTTTCCCATGGTCTAGTCTCGCCTCTATTCCATTATCATATATACCCAGCATACCTCTCTTTATCTGACCTTCTTAATCGAGTGCGATGTTAACGGCTTCAAGCATAGTGGTGGCATCCTAGTGCATTGAAGTGTAGCATATCCGAGCAGCTATCATTCTTCTTATTCCAGCATGTTGTGTAGTGCGTTTCAATCTGAGCGTGCTTTTGGTGATCTTGATATTGGCCGTCTCCGGTGGCGAAGCCTTCATTGAAACGCCTGTGTGCATGTGAGCTGCGCCCACATACACTTCCGCGGCCTGGGGAGTTGGGTTTTGTCTGCGACAAAACCTGACATAATCTTCCGTAACACAAGATAGTACGCAAGGCGTAGCTCAGCAAATTGGGCGCACGTTGAAATAAGGAGGTGAGACATCGCGGGTGGCACAATTAAGCCTATCGCTCCTACAAGATTGCCGATTCCTCTGCTGCGACTGGTTCGCCACTGTAATCGGCGCCGTTAATTGGGACCAGGGATGGCACACAATAATCCTCCCGTGCTAGAAGGCGGCGTTTTGGAACGTAGGCCTGCGCGTATGCTTTCTCCGCCTGCGTGTTACACCCGAATACGAGTCGGCGTCGACAAGAATGACAATCAAATCCCCCAATTGACGCTTGCGCGTTTTACTCTTACCATTCCGCTCAGTTGCGCAAAACAGAGGACGAGAGGCGGACTCGTGTTGCGCTTACGTGCGCGCGCATGCTCGTAGGATGGCTAGCAGGCCCTATTCCGCAGGCAGCGCCGCCTAGAACTTTGACTACCTAGGTATGATGGCACAGCCATGCCGCACTGCTCGTTCTTTGCTTTCTGCATTCTATTAGTGTTTCAATGGGCAAGAAGACAGGATTCTTTCCTCGTCTGCAAGAGACATGTAGTCAGAATAAGGCCCTGCAGCCAGATCCTGTGCCATCCAGGGCTGCTGTGCGGCTATAGATTGCAGCAACGGTATGCCGACTGGTAGTCTCGCGGGGCAATTCGTCGTCATCGAGGAGGGCGCGGGAATGCCCCAGGCTGTCTTTTCGGTGGCAGCCTAGATTTGCAGGGCAGCGTGCGAGGGCACTTGTTGTCGCCATCCGTGGCCCTTCATCATCAGCAGTTGTAGCTGAGTTTGTTACTAATGAATATTTCTGAGATGCCAATTTCGCATAGTTGCCGCAGCTGTTTGTATTTGTTTGTAGTCGTGGTCATTCGCGAGATTACAAGCCGGCGCACGGCACAGGATGCAGGCCACCTAGCCATGCCCGTGCATGTCAGCGATAATTGCCGCGCTTACTTGTTTGCGTTAATGACTATGCCCGCGCGTAACCAAACATATTTGGCCGTTCCGACCTTGATTTTTATTTTATTTACGCTACATATTTCCACCTGAGAGCGTCTAGAAGCCATTTCTCCGTGTTCCGAAGCGGAGAGATGCATTCAGGAATGAACAAGTACCAATCACTATCTTCGTTCGTGGACAATCCATCCATCACCTTCGTAGACTCGTAGTATTCTGGATAGAAGCCGCCATATTGCCAGTTTATAATACCGGTCACCAGACATTCCCCTCCTTCAACCTTTACTATAATATTCTCAGGCCGAAGATCATTGTGGCTGAGAACATGCTTCTGTGATAGGGGCGGGCAGAGACTTCGGAGGACTTTGATGTAAATCGGGCTTCCAAAATGAAGATTGGAGAATTGCCAGTTGTCAAAACCTTCTGTAGTCCAAACAGGGTCTGTTTTGCAGCGAACGTGTCTCCTCAAATCTTGGCAACCTTCCCCTGCAACACGTCCAAGTGGCATGCTATCGGGACGAGTCAAAGACCGTACCTCGATGAATATATCGTTGAGCTGTGCTTGGACTGAGCGCTTAAGGACGTCATCTAATTCTGGCCAGACTGCCTCGAGTGTCGTGCCAGGCACAAGAGACATAAAGACAAGGAAGCATTTACCAAGGCGTATAAGACCGTGTGGCCTTGGCGCAGGAATGGTGAGTTTGTGTTCCTCAAGGTATTGCAGGGTTGTGTATTCGGTCAAGTTGTCCGGTTTCAGTATAATCTTGAGAGCAACACCAGAACTGCACTTGAGGACGATCTTGTGATTGCCAAACTTAGGCGTCCAGACAACTTCGCTCCGCTCAACCAATTTGCGGATACTGCGAGCAAGAGACGATTCGTCATGATCGCTTTCGATAAGACCTCGGACTGATTCAGAGAGCGGGAACAGGACTGTGGCTGAGGTATCTTCGTAAAGAAAATGTCGAACATCGTCAGGGACCGACGAAACATCAATCTTGAGGCGATTTGAAGGCGTGTCATTCCCAGAACAAGCTGCATGGCTTTTGATTTACTTTCAGAGCTAAAGCATAGTGATGCGAAGCCTACGAATCTTCGGACTTCCGATCAGCAAGCAGACTTGCATACGATGAGGGGATTTTGGAAGTCAGATCTACTTCTGGATCCGCTTCCAACGCTTTTTGTAGCTTTCTCATAAGCATTTGATTTAATTGAAAAGCCAGAGATGTAGTTGGAGGGTTCACGATATCTGCTTTCTGAGATTGAGGATGCACGACGTCTGCGTCGTGCAGCGAAGGGTGCATGGCGTCAGGGTCGTAAGGTGAAGGATATATAGCGTCGTGTTGTGAGGTAGAAAGAAATTCGTTTCAGCGCTAATGTGATCGGGTGATTTGAAGTTCTCAGATTGATAAGTGTGGTAGATCCTTGCAGTTGTTTGCGCTCTCGGTCATGCTGCGAGATTCCAAGCCGGTACAAGCGGATAAAGGACGGGGCGATGCTATCCGTATCGGGCCTAGCAAGTGCTCCAAGCTTCGATCAACCACAGCACCAACCCTTTTGTTATCTGCGCGTATCCATCACTCAAGCATCATTTCAGCTATATCTCTGTCTGTGCTTCCACGGCATAGTTGCAGTCTCTGCGAGTCAGAGTCATTAGGAGATTATCGATGTTCCGTTCCTACTGCTCGAAAAGAAGACTTGGACTCAGTCAAGGCCGACAATGTAGCCGTAGCTAGTCAGTATCCATCGCTCTCGATGATCAGGTGACTCCGGGCATGGTCCGGACCAGCTTGGACGAGAGGCGCATTGGCTTTCGTCAGCCAAATAGGTTGAGTAATACAGATGCGGGGTATCTTACCACTCTGCTTGGTAATGTTCTTCTTTCGAGAAAACACCCACGCGACGCGTGCATCCGCCAAGAAGCCTCGCATGTCGTATCAGAACTATACATTGCTCTTGCCTTCATCACCATAACATTGTAATCGAGTTGACTGTCCCTACTGCATGGCGAACACGCTAGCGAGTCGAGCAACACAGCCTCGTCTCCTCTACAGTTACATTGCTCAACCACATTTCTATAGCGATCACCATCATCCAGACCGTCAAAACACCCCGGATGGACCCATATCCATCGCGTTCACGAGATCGAGCCGCCGAAGTATCCACACCAACAACGACCTAGTGAAGGGCGTTGTCCACGTCAAATCACAAACCAAGGTCAAATACGTCACAATAAGCTTCATTGGCAAAACGACATGTCGCATCGCGAGCGAGCGCAATCCTGCAAATCAGCATGTCTCTGAAGTCGAGCTATTTTGCCAAGAGCAAACATTGTCGAGAAGAGCAACGCCCAGCGCGACCTGTCCCCCTTCGCGGGTAGAGTACCCCTTCGAATTTCGATTCCCCGAAGCAGTACCAAATGCTGCGAAGTTGCAAAACAATGCGCCATTCAAATCAGATACTGTGTTCGAGCACGAAAGCGGCCATCCGCTTCCACCTTCACTATGGTGGAACGAGAGCACGATATGTAACGAATACTTTCTGAGAGCACAGTTCGTCACGGAACAAGCTTCATTTACCCTAAGTCCCATTGTTGTGCAGCAACTCCGCTTTAGTCCATCGGTACCGGAGCAGGGTCTTGCGCAACCAGCTGCTCTTGTACCAGCACCACCAATACGTTTTGAGCGCAGATCGAGAGCATCAACTCCGGATCCATCAAGGGAGCGGCGTAACTCGTTGCGACGGCTTAAGTCAGGCTTACGAGGCGCTACCAAAGAAGAGGAGATATCTTCGACCTCGCTGTTAGTACTCAGTGCACCCCCAGAATATCGCGTTGGTGCCGCTAGCACGATCAGGCTATCACTGCAAGCAACGCTAAGCGACGGCGATACACAGCCAGCACCCGTATATCTTCGCGGCATACGCGCGCAAGCAATGACGCACATCAACTTCCGCGTCCCGCTAGCATCTGTACCCAATGGAGAGATACGCAAGGAGAGCATCGAAAAGTTCGACCTGTTCAATCAACGATACAGTAAACCTGGAATAGAACTCGGTTCGGATACCATCTTGCAGGGTTTTGAGATCAACAAAATTGTGCCTCCCACATTCAAAACATACGGTGTCGCACTTCACTATGACATCAAGTACGACCTCTTGCTCGAATGCGCGGGCAAGGAGTCAGAGCATGAGATTGATGTCGATGATGTGGCTATCGAGCCCATGACAAGACCTGGTGGACACCTTGGGCCTCCTGAAGAGATGCCTCCAGGAAGCGGCTCGGATGAGAGCTTCATATTGGAGGAAATGCTCCGGGATAGTGAGCCTGTAGCGGAACAACCACCACCCTATTACAGATAGAAATTATGGCTATATCGTCAATGGGATGCTTCGTAGCTCATGCGATTGTCCGTGACAACTTAAACTGTGAATATGAGCAGTACAGTGTACAGTCTGTGCTTGCTGGCAACGAACACGTAGCGAGCAACAAAGATAAACGGCGCCAATATGAAAGTCTCCTCTTGTCCTTGCTAGAGCTGTGAATAATATCTCTCTGATTATCTCAAATCCAGCATTAGCGTACTGAAATCGTACGCACTCAACTCTTGCAGCCCACCAAACCCCAAAATACCACCAACGCATCTGCCCCGATATATTCACACGCACTACATTACCTCAGCAACCACCCATCTGCCCGAAGATGCCCCCGAATCCAGGTCTATACGTCTGTCCCTGCGGTATAAACGCGGGTGTTTGGCTTGTTGCCGGCGCAAGCAAATGCTCAATGTGCGGCTGGTCATGGGGTATGTACGAAGCGGCTCTTATAGTGGAAGAGAAAAGGAAAGGCCGACAAGATACGGAAGGAGACGGGTATCGGAAGCAGTGAAAGCCTTGTATGACGGTGGGAAGCTTTTGTGAATGACGTTGGAAGGAACTACAATACCTACACATCAACCAAGGCAAAGCTTCACATCATGTCGGGGATACATTGAAGTAGTAGTAATGCACTGTTTTTGACTCAAAAGGATACTTGGCTCAGTGTTTGCATTAGAAAATAGATCTATTCATCTCTCCACGTTCACAGACCGCATACAGGAAAAGCGCATGTGTGAACACACTCGCACTTTCCACCATCTCGCCGAAGCAACAAGAAAGAGAAAAAAGGATATCATGTAATCAAAACCAACACTCTACGTATATCTGCAAAACTTCAAGGTTTCACACAAGCAACCATGAGCTTCTCGTAATCGCCGCGGGTCTCCCCTTCTATCCTCTTGACCAAGTCCTTCTTGTAGACCTGCTTGTACGCATTGCTGACAGCATTCATGAAGTTCTTGTCCCAGTGGCAGCGGACGACGCGTTGCACGAGGATCTCATCCTTGGTGCCCATGCCGGCCATCGATTCTTCTAGACGAACGGCTTCAGCCTCGGGTCGGTTGGTGGCACGGTGAATAAGCAGACGGAGTGCATCTTCCATGTGGCCTGAGAAAGCAGACTTGATGACGCTGTCGAGGGACTTGTGGAAGCGCTGTTGGTAAGCGTTCGTCATGGCTTTGAGCTGCGCGTCGTTTTTGCTAGTGAGGATCTGGCAAACTTGAGGCACGTTCTTGCTAGCAAAGCCACCCATGCCGGCTTGAAGATCGGTGACAGCCTGCTCGATTTCTTGAGGGTTGACCGGGTATGAGTCTTCTGCGCGGCGGGCCGAGATGATCATGTCGTACATTTGTTCGGTTCCGGCACTGAGGTCGCCCTGGAGGTCTTTCTGTAGTGGCCGTTGGAAAAGTTCCTGGTACTTCTGCTTGATGGCGTTAATGTCGGCGTTGCTTCGGCCGATCAAGATGTCGTCCAATATGACCTCCTTTGTGCCCATACCCTTCATTGCTTCCATGAGGTTATAGCAGTCAGAAACCAGAGGACCGCGTGCGATTTCGACAAGTCCTTTGGCAAAGTAGCCACTTGTCTCCTTTTCGAGGTCCTGGACCATGTTTCGCATCAGGCGCTGGTCATATTGCGCCCGAATGGTACCAATCTGGATGGGGTCTCGCTTCGCCAATATCGCAATGAGTGCCTTCTCATCGGTTCCGAATCCCTTCATTGCTTTGCGGATAGCCTCGACATCTTTGCTGACGTCGATGTTAGCTACCTGCATGGGACCATAGCCAAGGGAAACCTGAGTTGGTGGTCCGCCGAAGCCCCCTGGCGCACCGAATTGGCCTTGAGGAGGTGGAGCACCGAACTGCCCCTGTGGTGGGGGCGCGCCATATTGCCCTGGGGGTGGTTGCTGCCCAAACTGGCCTGGTGGAGGCCCAGGTGGTGGTTGATACTGTCCTTGGGGTGGCTGACCATACTGTCCTGGAGGCGGTTGTCCATATTGTCCTGGAGGTGGTTGCTGTCCATACTGACCCGGAGGTGGCTGTTGTTGATACTGCCCAGGTGCGCCATAGCCCTGTTGCGGGGGAGGAGCTCCATACTGGCCCTGAGGTGGACCGCCGTACTGATTTGGCGGCGGCGCACCATATTGACCTTGCGGTGGTTGCTGACCATAACCTTGTTGAGGCGGGTAGCCTCCGTACTGTTGGTTCTGCATTGGTGGCGGTTGTTGATAGCCTTGCTGTGGAGGAGGTTGATACTGTTGTTGCTGACCGTAGCCTTGTGGCGGCGGGGCTTCTGTAAGATATTAGTACAAGATCAGGTTCCAGCGCCAAGTATTGCAAGCCATGAAGGATGTGATGATCGCCGGGCTGTGAAGGGAGGGCCTCAACTTACGGCCCGGATACGGCTGCTGATAACCGCCTGGTTGGTTGTAGTTGTAGGACATGTCCAGCTGTAATTTAGGCAGGGTAATACACGAGTAAGCTCCAGAAGTAGGTAAGACCGATGTGCGACTCGGATAATAAGGCAAGTGGTATGGAAAAGAAGAGGAGAAATCACGGCCTGCCTGCTAAAGAATGGTCTGCACCCAACGGTTACCGTGGCTGAGTCGTATCGCTCAGCCCTGCCGGTGGTGGGGTGGGGTCAAGAATTAGTTTGGCTCATGACGAAGAATGCTGCTTGGCGTTGTCAGCCATCGGGTTTAGTGGCTGGAATGCGAACACCTTCTGCCGCGTGGTTGGTACGGTGGGTAAGACGGCCACTGCCCAACGCTAGTCCGATGGTTAATCGAGTCGTTGCCTGTGGCGATGCACGCTCGAGGAAGGACATATCACAACAGCACAGCCTCAGAGTTGTAACAATGCGCGAATGAATCCGTACTAGATTGTGGCTACGTTGCAATGATAATTCATTCGAGATAAGGTTGTGGCGTAGCTGCGATGACTTACGTATAAAGGGACTCATCTTACGAAAGTAGTTTTCGCACGCTGCGCCTTGGCAAGTCACTTGGAACTCACGATCCATGTTCGCAAGAAGAACAGCGAAATACAGTATCTGTGGTGCGCACCTGTTCAACCGCGCATCATAATGATCGCGCAAGAGTCTGCTTCTGTGGAGTCCGTTTACGTAGGCAATGCTGCATCATTATCCCATATAAAATCATCCACGGTTTGCGACTCCTGCGGATTATGGAGGCAAGTGATGGATGATGCGATAATGTGCGATAGCCTCCTCGGCCGCTGGCGCTGGCGCTTTGCCAAGCTTATGTCACAATCCCAAGCTTCGAAGTGATCGGCAACCCTCTCCTCTCCACCAACAACATCTGTTTACTGTACACCATCTTGAACCACTAAAGTCAGGCACCCCAACGTTAATCCCAACCTGCCGGTGAACCTTCGGCCAAGACACTGACATCATAGCATGCGGCGCACGTTGCCCCTCATGTTTTCGCCATCGATTGCACATCACGAGTGTGCCTTGGCAGTCGGAAGCGATCTTGGGTGAGCACTAATTGGTCAGGACCATCCATTGAACATATTAGTTCACCGAGAAAGACTTAGTACGTGCAGATGAACATGAAATCGGGGTGAGAAGAGGACCGATGGAGGCGTACGATGGAAGTATAATAGAGCCAAGCCAGGCGATCAATTTCTGGAAGATATTGACATAAATTGGGTTTGTTAGAACGACAGATTCGAGCTGCGGCCAACTTTTTTCGAACGACCAACTTACCCGATATCACATCCAATCCTCCGACAGACGGGACATAGCCAGCCGCATACGCCATACAACATTGCCGATCGCCAACCCTGAAACAGGGCACTTGTCGCGAGGCTACCTCCATCGCAGAGCGAATCGGAAAGCCACAACTATAAACAAGAGTAGAGCCGGTTTACGAGATAATCCGCCTATCCATCCGTCTTCCTTGTGTCAACATCACGATGTCGTCCTACGACTCCACCAGATCGGGATACCAGCCCCATCCGCAATACGCACAGCAACAACCACCCTATCCCACCACGCCCGGGGTACCACAACCACCGCAACCAACAAACTACTTCCCCCCGATCCCAGAACAACAACCCATCTACTCCTCCTCACCAACATCGCCCTACAACAGCGGCGCAATGATGCCACAACCACACATGCCGTCCCACCGCCGCACCTCCTCCTCCTCATCCTACAACAGCCAACGCCCCACGCACCTCCAACCCACACCCTCCCAGGCAATCCCAATCCGACAACCAGACCCACACTCATACCAATACGCACAACCCACTCATTTAACCCCAGCCTCGTACCCACCACCCGTTCCCTACGCGCCACAAGCCGCACCCATCTACGCGCGCTCTTCGTCGCAGCAAAGCCACTACTCGCACCACAGCATGCACGCACACAACGCGCATGCGTTTGCGGACGGAGAAGACAAGTACGAGGACGAGCATCATAGGCATCATGATCAGCACTATGGGGAGCTGGATCCGGAGACAGAGAGGGAGTACAAAAGGAGATATGCTAAGGAGAAGGAGGTGGAGAGGAGGCCGACGCTGGGTGGTAGTGTGCTGAGTATGATTGGGAAAGTCGGAGGGCTGCTTGGGAGTGACAGACGATGAGGCTCAAGGGCGGTGATGTGAGTGGATGTTGATGGTTTGGAAGTGATACCCCATGGATGTTTCCCTTTGTCCTATTGCTACGGTGGTCATCATACGATAGTGGAAAGCGTCAGATTGGCGCTATGATATGACGAATTAACTGATGAATGATTTGATGGGATGTTTGATCTTAGTTCATGTTGCAATATGTATAAAGGTAGTGCTGCCGAAATGATCACCTCTAAACGCCTCTCGCTTGATAGAGAGGAAGAAACGCTGTCGGACGCCAAGTAGTAATGCAGCCGATAAAACGTCAAAACAGAAACTTTTCGTACTTCAGCGCTTGAAGCCGATATTGAAGTGTTGGCCCTGCCCAACATGTATTTCGTGCTCATGTTCTCCCCCATGTTCCTTGCCAGCATCGAGGTGACAGAGAATACTTTGCGATACTGACACACTGACTGCCAGTGGCGCCGCTGGCTACTGAGCGTGTACACAAGCTGGTGGCTTGTAAACCCCCGGGGTGTGTTGCCTTGTGCGCGACTCGACACGGCATTGTCCGGCCCGTCGCGTCGTCTTCTACCGACCGTTCCTTTCCCAACCCGGTGTAATATGCACTCTATGCGTGTACGATTATGTAGTGGGCGGGCTCGGTACAGACAATTCGCGGTCGTGATTCGTTCAGTTGAAGGTCTCGCCAATGTGACGCTCGCTCTCGGGTTTCCAGGTGCCTGTTACTAGTTAGTATTGAGGAAACCAGGGACTCGAAACGGGTGTAATGGAAGGATGCGCGCGCCCCGACAGTTCGTACTGGTGGTACGGTGTACAACGGCACTTGCGGCGCTCGATCAGCAAAGATTGTCACGTACCTTCAAAGTTGTGCTTAACAAAAGCCATTGGGTCGTCATCCTCGCCAGCGCCCATAGTCTTAATGCCGGGGCTGAAGCTGGTGATGGGCAGCACAATGACATCGCCAACCTTCTTGGGCGCCTTCATGCCAGTGAAGTTTTCCCATGTAATGTTGCCCTTGCTTGTGCTCATGTCGAAGTAATCGGGATTGTTGAAGTAGTTGAAGATGGTGTCGGTCCAGACGGCGGGACCAGTGAACTCGATTATGCCCTTGTAGTCCTTGCTGAGTTTGCCGGCGCGCTTGCGGTCGAGTGTCTCCTGTGTGATGTTTGCGACAACATCGACGAGAACAGGGTGGCCAGGCTTAGACTGGATGGTCCACTGGCAGAACTGAACGCGACGAGAGTACCACTGAGCCCAGTCTGGACGATCTGGATCAGCTTCAATGCCAATGACCATTCCGTAGGAGTTTGCGGGCACGTCTGAAGGTATCCAGTCTGACGCGGGCTTCAGTGCCGAAGTATCAATATCTGAGTAGATGCCGCCACGAGCGAGAAGGATCAGGTAGCGGAAAAAGTCGGCTTTGAGGACAGGCACGGGAAGAGCGTTGTAGGCTTCGATAACCTCAGGAACGGAGGAGTAAAGGTGTCTGATCAGGTGAACTGCGACGTCATCGGTGATAACCTCGTGGACGAAAGAAGGGTGGTGGATGCTCCAGCTGGCCTCTGGCTCGCGGAATATCTCGTCAAACTGGCCCTGTGCCGGTGTGTACTTCCACGTTTGCCAGATGTATGCAGGAGTCTTCGCGTCGACGTCGTAGGGAAACTGGTACTCGAGCTGGTCCTTGAGCGGGCGCTCTCTCAGCTCGTCCATGCTAATTTGGGTCTTGGGCTTCTTGCGCGCGGGCGCATCGGGTGCGTCAAAGGTCTTATCTGCCTTTTCCGTCGCCTTTTGCGCCTCCTTCGACTGCTTCTCCTTGGCCTTTGTGCGTTCTCTGTCTGCCGGGTTCACCCAGGCAGTGGGCCGGGGCATTTCCTTCGCATTGCGGAAGTTGGGGGTTGTGCTACCGTGGTGCTGCGACTTGAAGATGAAGAATAGCGTGAGACAGGCCAGGGAAAGCACGAGGGCCTTCTTGAAGGTAAGCATGGTGGCGGGCGCGGTTGAAGAGCCAGGCGAATAATGGGGAGGGAGGCGTCCTCGGTGGGGGGAAACGACGGGCACAGGTGGAACTCGATAGGGCCTAGGTGGGAAGATATACTATCAAAGCAGACGCCCTGGTTGGGTTTGGGGGTACAGAGGGAAAGCCGGCTCGCTGCTTCGGGAAGTATTGGCCTGGCGGGTGAAAAGGGCTAGTGGTTGCGGTCGTGAGAAGGAAATGAGAGGTGGAACGCGCAATTCATGGACACGAGGGAAGAACGAACGACATGGAGAACGGTGAAAGCTGTAGAGGCTACTGAGTGCATGGGCGGCGGCGGCGATACCACGGGCTTTTTGAAAGAACCTCCAAAGGGCCAAAGCCAAGCAGGGGGTCTGCGAGTTTCACGTTCGCAGGCGCGCTAGGAGGCTAGCGTGCCTGTCGCCGGCGAATGTTCCATGGCCGACTCAGCATCGCGGCAAAGCTTGTTCCAAATCAGTTGGCGCACCGAGTCTGCTCTCCAACGCGCCCCCCCGGCAGCCCTGGTTGAATTACGACGCTGGGACGATCTCTCACGCACTTCCCACGCCTCTCGTGCATGCCGGGTGGAGAGCCTGGGAATGACAGGTATACCTCTTCTCACCTCGTCAGCCTCGAATCCTCACGCCCAGCTTGGCTGCGACGACGGGAATGCATGGCAACGGCGATGAACGCCTCTTCAAGGTTGTCCAAGAATGCATCGCCGTCTCTTGGACGCAGCGCATTCTAGATTGCCATGGTGGCACTACGATCGTTACACTCGTCACTCCTTCGACGCTTGACGCTGGCCCGTCTTCGATTCATTGTCGTGTTGACGCGCGTTGGCTCCAGGCTCGGAAGGAGCTAGGTGAAACGCCGCGTCCTACCTCTTAGAGCGTAGCCCTCCCGCGTCATCGTGCCCAGCTGCTGCCGCTCAAACATCGTTGGCTGGCCGCCTGCATCAGGCCTCACTCAGCTTTCTAGACAGCTGCAGCTGCAGCAATGAACTCCCGGTTTGCTCTGGGACCTATCTGCCTAAGCTCATCGACTACAGCACGCTTCTGCACTTGCCACGCTTACTGGTGGAAGTCTCGAATTGCCTCTCCTGCTCTTATCGCGACGATGAAGCCGCAGCTTCCTGCGTCCATCGCAACGTCATCGACACTCTATCTCGGATCCGCTCTCCCCGCCCGCGCGGCTTAGTGTAGTAGCAATGCCCCGCCATTGATCCGAGTATGCAATTCCTCCGACTTGCGATCGATCAGATGCAGAGTGAGAACTCCAGCTGCCGTTCTACAGGACGCGGCTATGTTTCATATTGAGGGACAAGACCGCTGCTTATACGAGGTTGCTGTAAGATCTCCAGGAATAGACAGTCCCACGAATAGCATATCGACGTGACAGTACCCCGCGATATCTATACTATACAGATCGCTTGTCATCGTCTATCTTACAAACTAACACGCCTCCCTCTCATGGACAACGGTCCGACGGCTCTACGCTACACTCTCGAGCGCAGAGGCTTGCATCGAGGCATGACGACAGCACTCCATGGCGATCGAGCGGGATCCCTGGAAGAACGGCTGTGCAAAAGTAACAACGTAAAGTCTGTGGCTTTGCAACGGCGTCAATACACGCTAAAACTTCCGACCCTTGGTCTTCTACACAGATCTCACGAAGACTCTCCATACACCAAATCCATCTTCGGTCACTCACCATCCGTACGCGTCAGCTTCTTGACCTCCAACTCTTGTCAGCGCAAAACGTTACAGTCTCACGTGTCATAGTTTCAGATACCCGCCGCCGGGAACAACCTCCAACCGAAACACACCCGTTTCTCGGCTAGGTACACCCGCGCTCAGGTTGGAAAAGCAAACAGCCTCGCGCACCACTGCCGTTGATGCCGTGCAGGGCTGACGGTTTCTGAGGCGGGAGAAGCAAAACACAACGTCTGGGAGCTAACAGTCCCTGAAACAATACTGTCTTGCAATGCTTTGTGACGACAAGTTCCAGACTGGGAATGGAAGTTAACGGCACACGTCGTCTTACCGTGTACAATTCTACTCCTAGTGTAACTGAACGACCCCGAGAGCTTCGCATAAAATGCCAAGATTCTGGATACATCTTCAGATCCATGTCGGTACAATGATCCACCGCCTACTCCACCTAACCTATCAATAGCATCACCGGCTGTGTAGGACTATCTTTGTATCTTTACCAGCACTCCCCCGCTTCAAATTGCGCATCGCGCGCTCTAGCCTCGCAAACGTGTATTACAATCTCACCAAGCAATAAGTCTTATCAAGCAGCGCTATGCTTACACGGCCGCACGTACCCAGCTGGTATTTACCGTGGACTAGAACATTGTCTAACGTATCTGCGTTAGCGAGTCAGGTAGTAACAAAAGTGGATTTACGGTTTTCATTAGCCTCATCTTGGGGATACGAGAAGTATGGTGCAGTAGTTTCTCAACAGATACAACATCGGTGGTGGGTAAAGGGGTTCAGGAGATTCGAACGGTTGAATTGTTTCACTGCTCACTGCTTTACAGTTTGACCTAATTGTATCAAGCGTGTTCGGCACAAGTGGCATGGCGGTTGCCATAGACCTACATACTTCGCGTCTCGACGCTGGAGTTAGTGATGTAGGCTGCAAAGCACCTGTTCAGTTTCTTGCTCATACAGCTTTCTCGTCAGAGCCTCCCCATCCAAAGTCAATCTGGCACCAGGCTCCTTCTCCTCGTTTGCGCATGCCTTGGATTTCCATCCCAACTAGTCGGGCCACTTTCTCTCTGTTCACCCACTCAGCAACCGCATGGCCCGTCTCGTGAGAGTTCAACCGCCACGTGACGTCCTGCTTTTCTCTGTTATCGCGAAGCCAGCGGAGTAACTGCACAGGCACGATACCCGCGGGCATATTCTGCAAACTCTGGTTGTCGCTTGGAATCCAGCCCTGGAAAAAGTTAACATAGATGATGCGACGCCACGCATCATTCCAGTCTGGGCCTGGGGTGCCATTCTGCGTGCTCCACTCTTCTGTTCTTCCGTTTATGTCTGTTGGCGTGCGACCGGGATGGGACGTGAGGGCTTTGAGCCAGTTGCAGCCTTCCAAATCGAGCCATTGTAACGAGTATGTGTCTTTAGAGAAGCGGCGGAGGATGTTGGTAGCTTCGTGCCAGTCATCGTCGAGATCGGAGTAGAAGTGCGATCCGCCTAGTGATACGCTCGTGTGGTTTGAGATCATGGATGTGGTGTTCGCGTTCGGTGTCATCGAAGGCCGGGGCCAGTGGGCGAGCGAGAGGTGCGTGATCTTATTGAGGTTGGGCGAGATACGAAGTAAGTCGGGCCATGAAGCCCATTGCCCAGGTTTCGCAAGGGAAAGTCTGCTCAGGTTGCTGAAGTAGGGGGTTTGGAGCTTCATTGCTGGTACCAAGGGTGCTGCTGGACTCTCTTGTATTTCCTCTTCCCAGGAGTCGCCGACATCGTCCGTCAAACGGAGGGCACCAAGGTCTACAGTCGTTGTCGAACTGGCACGCTTGACGCATTTCCCAAGATCGGTGATCTTGAAACTTTCGCTCAAGAGTCCGCTGAGGTCGAGGAATTGGACTTCCTCCCACCCAGCTGTGCCAATTCCCTCTTCATCCTGAAACAAGATCTTGAGCGACTTGAAGTCCAAACCTCTCTGTCCGTATAGTGTAAGATAGCTTAGTAGCGCTTCTTTCAGCGATACCGGTAGCGAGGGTATGTAATGTTGTTCGTACTCGGAGAGCTCCTCCCAATGTTGCGCAAACGTCCGGAGACATTGGTGGACGAGGCTTCGCGGCGGTGGTAGGCGCTGTCATGAGTAAGAAGCCTGAACTGTTAAGCCTGGAAGACCAGATGTGCTAGCACGCCACCTCACACGACGAAGAAACTGAATACCCAGGAGCCTACATTGACGCTAGATTTTCAAGACTGTATTGTATTACGTCAATGTAAGCTCCCCGCTGTTCAGTTTTCCCCTCGATTAAGGTGACGCTCTGGGGAGCATCGTACCTTTAATTCCTCGTTTGTAACCCTAGCCAGCGTGGCAAACCTCACGGCGCCCTTCTCTGACTCCGCCTGCTTCTTTCGCATGTATGCTGGGGCATGCCGACTCGTCTGGAGCCAGCTTGTAGGCGCCGCGGGGCCTGGTGGGGGTCTCACACCACCCATGACCCGCCGCGTCCTTGTATTCGCCTTTGGTTTGGGAGCATTAACTTCGGGTATGTGCAGGATACGCCGCAGCTCTGGCGGCACGGTACGACTGCTTACTACCGAGGTGAGTTCATCGCGCTGTTCGGGCGTTGCTCTTGGAGCCTGTTCGCGACGCAGCTGCTGAATGCGCTGGTTGACGGTTTGGGGTTCAGACGACGAGGACGAGGATGCGGGGGAGCGCGAACTCTGTAGCGAGGGGTGGACGTAGGATGGTTTTGCTGTGGTGTACGAGGGCGTGTGCTTCTTGGGCATGGCACCGAACGACGGTTGCTGCTGCTGCGCGTGGGACTGGAAGCTATCTGGTGTTGGTACGCTATATGAGTGACTCGAGGGTAAGCGGGGATCAAGGCTGGTGAGTCAAACGGCTATGACTGGATCAAAGGAAAGGGCTGAGTCCTACGAGCCCTTGGAAAATGTTTACAAAGCAGCGACGATGGGGTTGTGTGACTCAATGCGATGCAGACGCAGATGGCATCAGATGCGGGCATGTTCCGGGGCTCGTCATCGCGCACTTCGGTTGTGGCGCGCGCCAATACGCCTGCGCACGTGTTAAAGCGCCTACTGATTTTGACCCGTGAACTTGTCGGAAGGATTGTTCGTCCCGTATGCTAGAAAGTGGGAAGGAACCGAGCGATCATATAGGCCCTCGGCAATCGTATCGTGAAATCAACGGTTTGGTGTGGTCAAAGTTCTCCTACCATTGCAAGGAGAAGCGGAGTCGCAGCCGTCTGTCATGTCGCCGTCACTGTCAACAGTCGCGCTAAACATGCGGGAGGCACATAGTTCTGTCTAGACTGTCGTTCCTCACCCTTATAACTTTTTTTCTCTCCTTCCTCAGACGAAGACTACAAGCTGACACCATGGACGTCGCTCACGGCCTTATCCGCTTATACCGCCGAAACCACCGAATGGCATGGAATCTGCCATACTTTTTACTCACGGATTCCCCCTATTGACTCGGCATTAATGGGCTTCATTTCTCGTGATCGCAACTACAGGCATGGCAATCTTGCGCACCCCGTCATCGCCAGGAGCACCAAGCACCGACCCACGCGCATGCTGGTCTGCTAATTTTATCTTCCTGGTTACTGGTTACTGGTCACTGGTCAGCCACGGCAGATCCTCGTAAGGCAAGATCCGCCGTTTTGGTGGAGCTCAGCTCAGGCCGCTCAAGCCCGCCTCATCTTGAGCGCGCGTCGTCGCTCCTATCTTTTTTTCTCCCTCCACCTTTTCTTGTTTGTCAACCACGACACTGCCACTGATGATGACATGACCTGCCTTCCGGCGTTGCTTTCGTTTCCACTTCTACCCTTCGATTAGCGATGCGATAATACCCTTGGAGCATTTTCACACTCGTTTACCAGTCTAGTCGCACATTATGCATTTCTCGCCTTCCCGCCTGGTCATAGGCATCGCCGTCTTCGTCGCTGTTAGCTTTCTCTACACTATCAACTCGATATCCGCACGCGATCCTACCTCCATCTTCTTCAACCCGCGCAAAGGCTATGCTCCCCGCTATTCCGCCGTCAGACGCCAGCAAGCCGAGTCCTTCGTCTCGTCTTACAACCCCGCAAACGTGACCAAGGCCGGCCCCGAGAAGCAGCGGAAACTATGTGTGGGCATATCTTCATACCAGCGCGATGGTGCTCAGTATCTGCCGGACGCTGTGGGCTCGTTACTGGAAGGCCTCACGCCTGAAGAGCGACAGGAGATATACCTTATTGTCTTCATACCCCACTCGAACCCCGGGGCACACCCTGCGTACAACGAGGAGTGGTTGTCTGGTCTTGCCGACGAGGTATTGACCTACGGATACGGCTACGACCGCATGCAGTACATCCGGATAATGGAGGCACGAAACAATTATATCGAGAAGGGTTTGTTCGACTACCAATACCTGTTGAACAAGTGTACGGAACAATATACACCCTATGTTGCTCTTTTCGAAGACGACACAGTAGCCATGGACGGCTGGTACCACCGTACCCTCGGCGCCATCCACGAGGCCGAGCAACAGGCCGCCTTACAGCGCGCGAAACCCGACTTCCTCTATCTCCGCCTCTTCTATACCGAAGAGTTCCTCGGCTGGAACGCCGAGGAGTGGAAGACGTACTTGAAGAACTCAATCTACGTGGCCCTCGTACCCACTGTCGTCATTCTCTTCCTCCGCTTCGCACAACCCACCACCAAACTCACCCTCGCCCTCATGACCCGCCGCACTTTCTTCGCCATGTACACCACACTCGCCCTTCTCATCCTCATATACTTCGGCCTCGGTCGCATCACCGTCCAACCTATGGCCGTCGGCGTTCACGAGATGCCGCGCTTCGCCTGCTGCAGTCAAGCCTTCGTCTTCCCCAACGTCAAAGCCGGCGAACTCGTCGAATATTTCAAAGAACGCCATCTAGGATACATGGACGTCATAACAGAGGACTTTGCCAACGAACGCAACGAGCTGAGATATGCGGTCACACCTAGTCTGGTCCAGCATGTGGGAAGGAAGAGCTTCCACGGTGACGATGTTGGTCCGATGAGCAAGTGGATGTTGAGCGTGGCGGAGAAGACGTGGAGTTTTGCGTTTGAGAAGTTTGATTGGAGGGCGTTGAGGAGGGAGCATGAGGAGGTTGCGAAGATGAGGAGTGACGCGAAAGATCCGTTTGCTGGAGGGCTGGAGATATAGATACGGGGTTCGAGTAATGATTTCCTATAGATTACTGACATGTTAGATAGAGATATACCCATGAATTTGTAAATGTATTTTGTTTCAATAAATTTCACACTGCTAATGCCTGTTGTGTATGCATTCTGTTGAGTCCTCATCATGTTTTCTGTCTAAATGATCCTGAAGTAGGAATCAAAACACTTGACCAAGACGGACGCTAGAGACCATTCAACCGTAACGCTATCGAAGCGATCTCAAATACAACAAAGTGTGCTATCGCTAGAGTTGTTTCAAAATTGATGTTGCATCACATGCTAGTATTGGACTTCTTGTGGCTACAATTTGGTGGTGGGCTAGTCATGGCCGCTCGTTGGTGGTAGACTGGAGGTGGAAGTGATAAATAGCTCGTCAACGCAGACTTTCATGGGCTCGAGAGGGTTCCGAATAATATTCGGCCATGCCCTCTAAGTTTGTATTGCTGAATTTATGCGTAGGCCGGCTTCTGGTCTGTTCTGCTTCACGCCGTGTCGCTGAAGCATGACTCCCGACCTGGCTGCATGAACAGAAGTACCGAGATTGACACGTCGCAGTCAATCTAGACAGTTCTAGTTAAATTCATTCGTGCGGGGTCTATAAGGGTCTGCTCGCCTTTCCTCCTGTCGCTGCTTCTTTCTTCGCCCTCCTCCTATACTTACTTCAACCTCTTATCCACCTCACCATCTGAAAACCTCGATACTTCGCTATCTGACGCATCTCACGTTTCGTTATGTCTTGAAACTACAGCACAACTTACCGAACTACATCCTGCGTGGGGTACGACATGAACGGTAAGTTCACTCGTTCAACTTTTGCAGCGACGACGTGGAGCAACCTCGGCATGTAGAAATGCGGCGAGTGAAGTATAGAAGCTGCATTCAGGTTCAGAATATACCCAAAACTATTTTACGTGGAACTAGCATGTATTTCTTGACAAAGTTCGGTTTCCGGGATCTTTCGTCGAAACCGTTGCTGACGATCTGCTGTTGGTACTTTCTTGTAACTTACGAGCTTCAACCACAACCACTATTCAATACTACCATACCTAAATACAAGCACTGTCTAACACCATCTGTAGAAAAGGAAGATTGGCTGAACATCGTTCGTAACGGGTCAGCGCACGTCGGCTTCGACCTCTACCCCGGGTATCTCATCGACCGCACTCAAACGTCCGACTTTTATCGCCAGATGAGTCATTTCGCCACCCCGAACCCGACAAAAGATCTCGCTTTCAAGCTATTTGATCGCTGCGGTCATTTGAGACAGGAATGTCAAGAGCATGCCGTCAAGAAGGGGTCCGGAATCTGGGGTCGGAGCTAGACACTGGTCTTCTCCTTCTGCTCAACGGTACCACGACAAATCATTCAGCTCGTTGCCATAGTGGGAGCGCACACATCATGCGAAATATACTGGAGGCGTTCTCAGATCAATTCAAGAAACCTGTATACGCGTTTGCCAATTCTAGCGAAAGCACTGCAAGGAGGTCGACTCCTTGCATCTTTCACGATGATCAAGAACAGAGTTTTCGCAATCTGGGATTCCGACATGTGGGCAACACAACATTCTTCGCTCTGTCGAGCGACGCCAGTCATCCGTGTCATCGCCTATCTGCAGCCGATGATTTTGATCCTGCGCCTTTACAGCCGTCCAAAGGTACTGACGACTTTATGAACATTGCTGTCGACGCCCTTGCATCTCCAGACCACTTGTTCCGCGAAAAGCTAGACACTAAATATAGTGAGATCAGCGCGGAGGAGGTTTCTGGTGTTGTTCTACACTCTTCAGGTGGCAGCCTCTTGCATATCGTTGCTCTCAGTGGGATGTACCAAAGTGCAGCTTGTATGGTTGCCCACTGGCCTGAATTGCGTGATGCGAGGAATGATGCGGGTGAAACCCCGCTTGAGGCTTTGAAATGGCTAATCGAGGAGGACAAAATTAGAATCGAGTACTTCGACGCGAAGGAGCGTTTTGAGCATGGATGGCTCAGTTCACCCAAGAACACTGAAGAGACCTTAGCTGTGCTACGTGGATAGTCAGCGTACCTTTGAGGTTATTAATGTCGTTGGGTACGAAGATTGTCATGAATGCACTAGATAATCAGAACCTTTTTGGACGTTGATGTGATTTCGGTCAGAGCAAGTCCCGGTAGACAGTCTAAACACACTGGGAAATATAAAGAACTATGCTGCGGGGGTATTGCCAGTCTGGTCTTTACCCCCTTCGCCGCTCACTGGGGTATACTCGGCTCCAATCAGTTTCGCCAGCTCTGAGATGTTGGTGTGATCGACCGTGTTTTGCATGCGGTACATATACTCGCATTCGCCATCTATACGTCACTTCCGTTAGCACTGCTACCACGAAAGGAATGGGCAACAGCCGACCACTTACCAGCCGATAGAACCACCTCACCACCGTTCAATGCCTTCGGTCCTACAGAGTTTACGTGCTGCAAGTTCCCGAGGGCTCCTTTGATACCACCAAAGATCCTGGACATGGCGCTACCCGCGTTGCGCATGTAATCTCGCTGTTCATCACCGGCTTTGCCCTCAGCTAGATTGGATTTGAACTGGAAGAGCTTGTGCAGCCGAAGGCTTGGGTCAGTGTAGATCGGGTATTTGGAGGAACTGTTGGTAGCATATGTGTCAATGGGCTGATAGGACCCGCATCCTATGATGAGAACTGGAGCTTTTGTTAGATGACTGTGCTATGACTTCGCACGGCTGATGCTTACTCTGAGTATTGGGAGGGAGGTTCGATGGCGGTATAGATTCGCTAATGCAGCGGACGTACGCTTGGCAGTTCAAACACCCTGTACAAGTTAGAATCCTTCATGCATTCTGGTCTTCCACTCCTCTCCTGATCGAGATGATGCCAGCGTAGTACATGAACCCTGCAATTGACTAGCACTCACAGAAATGTCGGGTGAACACCAATACAGTCCTCTGGCCTTTGACCAGTTCGCCCAACGTCTTCGTTTTGCCTTCGCGATCGTATACATCGACGATGAGGGCTTCCGACAACTCCTCGGTTGTGGGCGGTTTACGTGGGCCAGTCACGTCGGCGGATTCGGTAGTAGCGGCAGCCATCATCTATCAATTAGCTTGTAGCGGTGGGTCTATCTCGACCGTCTATGGTGGTTGGCAGCGCCTTCTTTGCCGTCTGTGGTAATCCCTTGGTGTTGACGATGACGATTGCGGGTGACGGGAGTGGCATGGCGCTGCGCTAAGCATGACACTAGGACCGGTACGAGATAGCGCGGTCGCCCAGCGGGCGAGGCTGTTTGGCAAGAACCCTCGACATTTCTCTACTTGCTCCATGCAACAGCGTCACGGCGTTCTTCAGTTGCATTGCAAAGACCCTGTATGAATGAGCTATATAGTATCTACACCGCATGCGCCAGAGTTAATGTCGCCAACGATCTGATTGCAACACCGCTTCACGAAGGGTTCATCCGCCGTGGCAGCGAAGAACGAGACGAGAAGTTGCCATGAAGCAGCGACCAAGGACGAAAGGGCACGAAGCTTGATGCCGTTGTCGCGTAAAGCTTAGCACGGCTTGACTTGGGCGACTAGGATATGAACTACCACTAACACACACCAACTGTGCCAGCTTAGCCTCGCTCTCCAGCACGTTCCAAACCGCAGCCGCCGAGGCATGCAACAATCACGAAGCGCCGTTCGTGATGGTCTGGAAGCGGAGCGTCCGGACGCGGGGATTTATTTTCATGGAGACGACCGGCTAGCCGAAAACCACGTCACAAACTCACAAACTGCCAGCCAAATCGTATTCGGCACATGTGACTACCCTGGTATGCAGTGCGTGCATCCCAAAAGTGATATCAAATGTAGGTTTACCTTGCAACTTGGTCCTATTTTGTCACCGCTGCCCGGATGACAGCCGAAGCGATTACCTTTCAAGCTTCGTCAAGCTCGCTTGACAGGTGCTATTCCATAGTTGGCTGCTAATAATGGAGCGACTAGTCGTTAGCTGCCCATCAAGCCTCGCCGGGATGCATCCGAACTATCGAAAAAGACCCTTGAACCAAGAAACGTCGCTCGTATTGAGCACAATATCGTCATATCATGCGACTGAGCCTCGTATTGCGGCGCAACAAGAGCCGAACGTCGTAGAAGTCCCGCACGCGAGCCAATGAGACTCGAATCGCCTCTCCGAGAGCCTCACAAGAGCCACAACCATGCCACCAGGGCCAAGCAAGGACGTGATCAGCTGTTCCTCCTCCGTATATCCGATCACACTCTGTTACTACCAACAGTTAGGATGACATCGTTGTGGCCATGTACGTGAAAGATAGATAGTCCAGCCATCGCATCTCCAATTGTTTCCATCCTCATCATCCACCGACAGTCAAGAATAACTACCAGCGTCTCCTCAACACACTCCATACATTCCTAATTCACACAAGGCCCACAAGAAATAATCGCCAACATGTTCGCCAAATCTGTCGCCATCGCGTTGGTCCTATCATCGGTTGCATCAGCATCTCCCACTCTCCGCATGCGTGAGGATAAATGCACGATTGCCTACGACGCATGCGTCGCCGCAGGAACCGCTGAAGTCATTTGCTCATGCGACCGAACCGCTTGCTACGGTGAGGACGCCGCCCGCATCCGCGAATGGTGCTCATCTCAAATCGCCCTCCTCCCCAAGTCGACTTCAACAGCTACTTCAGCGGCGGCCTTCTCATCCATATCCGGCATCCCCGGCGGCTGCAACCCAGCTCACCCCGGATCGTGCCCTACACCAACCTCAGCTCCAGCCGCCACTTTCTCATCCATCTCTGGCATTCCCGGAGGTTGCAACCCTGCCCACCCCGGATCTTGCCCTACGCCATCCGCCGGGTCTCAGCCAGCCGCTGTTCCTACACCAACTGCCGCCCCTTGCCCTGCGGTAACCGGAACACCAAACTCCAGCCCCAAGCCCGTTGAGGGCAAGACATGGACCGTCTCGAACTTGATCCGTTACTGCATCGACGGCAACTCCGGTTGCGACTACAACTTCGACGTCACTGCAGACGGCAAGACCGAGCACTGCACTGTTATCCGCATGCCGGGCTCCAACGCTGCTACTGAGAGCTGGGCCAACCAGTCGTGCGGTACTGACCTGACCGTGTCTTGGGGATACGCTGCGCAGCCCGCGCCCGCGTTCGCTGTTATCACTGTCAGCAAGTGCAGTGAGCTTGCTTGGTTCGGCGTTTCTGATGTCAATGGCGGAAAGGTTTCTCCCAGCAGCCCCTTCGGCTCCGGTGACTTTGGCACTCTTCCTGCCTCTCCTGTTTACACCTACTACTAGATGGTTTTGATGTACGATTGATGAGACGGAAATGATATATTGTACGAAGTGGGTGGATTGAGATTAATGTAATGACTTCAATAGAGTAATAGACTTGGTAATTTAGAAATGGCCGTCAGCTGATGTATTGGGCGCCCATCACCCCAGAGCAGTACATATATGCGTGACCAGTCCGCCCATCGAACGAAAGATAGTGCAATTATACGTTCGTAGAATTCGGTACAGAATGCGTTGGTGTAAGCAGTAGTCGCCTTCACTTGTTTGGATACTATACCAAGATGAACTCTTCGCCCTTGTGTTTTGTCCAAAATGATTCTAGATACCGGTCAACCCCGACAGATGGATCCTTCATGCCCAACAGCTTTCTCTCCACGTGACAAGTTCCGACCACAGTGAAGCGATTGTTTCCACAAGGTCTTAAAGCAACAACATGTGAGTATCCCTTCAAAGTACAGATGATATCGCCACCGGAAGGCTGCTTGACATGGCCTATATGCCCATTCTCCGTCAAGAAGAGCTGTCTGTTGTTCACAAGATAGGTACGATAACGTAACGCATGGAGTTTGTGACTTTCCTCTATGGGATGGGAGGTTTTGCCTTTGAATACATGTTCTTCATAAGCATCCAGCAAATCCTTGATGGTGTAGCCAGACCTATTGTCGTAGTAGTCCTTGGATCGGATATCAGGGGTATACGCCATTGTCATGAGAGCTCCCAGAAGCCGCTCGCGGGAGCATGAAACATGCTCATTTATCCAATCCAGTCGTTTTTCGAAAGCCAAGTAGTCTTTGAGGTTTTCACTATACCACCTGTCGGTCCGGAACCGGAATTCGGGGGCACAACAGACGCTTATCGTGTCTAGACAAATACCCCTCACGCGTAGTTCAAAGGGATCTGAAGATCCAACCCAATTATGTCGCATGTAACAATTGACATAGCCTCCCTTTGCAGTCACGAGTAGGGGTGCCGCAATTGGAGCTCTCCATTCCGGGACCCATGAAGGTAATCGCATCGATGGCTGTGTATGGCTTCTTTCCCGTTCGCAATACGAAAGAATGTTTAAATTACGCATGTTCCGAATGATCGAGATCGCAGTGTTTATGAGGGCTTGTTCGTATGTAGAATCGTAATCTATTTCGATGGGTATGTCGTAGTTCTTATTGAAAGCATGCAAGCCTGCAAATGCGTACACAGAGTCTTTACAGTCTGTAGTTTGCAAAACTGGAGATACTTTCGAAAGCACCGAGATGAAAGGAACTAACACGTCATCGAGAGCATAAGATATGGCGGCCCAGCTGACATGCATCATAGAAAGAGTGTTGCAGGCACGTATCGAAGCGACTTGATGATGCAAGGTCGGTCTGGATGAGCCTTGGACCGGCTCAGTAGATTTTGTCCGTCGAATTCGTGCAACATCAGGGATATTTGACGTAGCAAATACTTTTGATATCCACACAAGCGCCAAGAAAGGTAGATTAATGTCTCCAAAGAGAAACGTTGCGTGCTTAGAGAGCACGATTTCCTGAAAGACCCACGCGCGGGAGAACCAGGCGCTCTGGAGAAGCCTTGAAAGTGTAAACAAAACACTCAAACGACATTTCAAGAGGTATTCCTCAATCTTGGCTTTGGTGAGAGGGAGGGTTTCTCTGGCTTCGAGTGAGGTCTGCGCTACCTCGATGAGAGTAAGGAACTTTCTGCTGGATTTCTCCCCCGTACCTAACCAAGCAATGACTCTTTCGCCCTTCTTGTAGATATCACCCATCATCTTGACTTGATGATTGCGCTCTCGTGTACTAAACTGATTGATGTTGATTTGGTCGATCCACAGATATCCAGTCTTGCATTCCGCCGAGACATAAGGAAGGGCTTTGGCAAGGTTGTCGTTGATGCGTATCGTCCGATCATCTCGCAGACGTAGGATGTTGCGGCGCGTATCCGATCCCCAGACATACGAGACGGTTTCGAAGGGTGGTGCATCGGTCAATGTTGTATGTTCGATGTCGTATTGCCACTCATTCGGCTCTATTTTTTCGACTTTGAATATGCGTATCTCGTCTTCTTTCTTGAGAGCTCGATAGGTGTAGGCGGGTAGGGAAGAGTCATTCTGCTGAGTGCGGACAAGGCTGGCCCTGATGATTGGCTTGTGGCTTGCATTCGGAGTGACTTTGCGACGTTTGGCAGGCGGCTCAGAAACCTCCATTTTCACAGCTGTTCGCACCAAGATATGAAGGGAGTATGTCTGGATGAAACTGAGGTGATGAAAAGTACTCAGGTGGGAGCGCAGGGCGGCTGAGATGTTACGTGGACGGCACAGCCCCGCTGCACACTCGCCCACCGATCAGGCAGCTGCGCACCACCTTTCGCTCAGCTTCCGTCGCACTGATCTTGCTACTGGGCAATTTCTTTTGCGAGTGAGTGCCTGCAGCCAAATCAACATTGCACAAGGCTGATTCGACTGACCTGCGCACAGTGGCACGTATCATTCATTGCGCCAGGCACGCGCAAGGCGTCCACAACCTGTCTTACAGCAACCACAACATCCCAGATCCATCGCTTACACCATACGGGGAGCGCCAGTGTCATGAAATTGCGGTAACATTTCCGTACCATGATGAAGTTGAGCTCGTGGTCGCATCGCCTCTACGACGAACGATCTGTACCGCGTTATTAGGATTCGAGCTAGAAGCGTCCCGAGGCGTCCAGGTCCTGGCCTTGCCCTCGTTACAAGAAGCGAGCAGCTTACCTTGCGACACTGGCAGCGATTTCGAACCCCTTCAGAAAGAGTTCGAGAATACTGCAGTGGACCTTGGCCTTGTGGAGGAGGGCTGGCAAGTAAAGGTATGGAGTAAGCCATCAAATCTTTATCCATTATTTCGATGAATGTCAGTACAGTGTTTGCTAATCAACTCTGGCAGACTGACGCATCACTCACAAGTGCTGCACTCTTTGCTAGAGCCGAGAGAGCTCGTAAATGGCTTCGGGACAGACCAGAGAACAATATTGTTGTGGTCTCGCATGGCTGCTTCCTACACTTCCTAACTGATGACTGGAAGGGCTCGTTGAGCGCACAAGGTTTGCAGTTACTTGATCGCTGCATTAGTTTGACGATTGCTAATCATCTGTGACCAGCCACCGGGTGGTCTAATGCCGAGTTCCGTTCATATGAACTTTCAAGTGATGGTGACAGCACCCTACTAAGGGAGACAGCAGAATCAAAGGAGAGGAGAGGAGTTGCAGCATGCGATCATGAGAGTGAAGAGGAGAGGCTGCTGGAGAGAAAGAAGACGATTGACATTTGGTCAACGTGGGGCATTGTCACTGGTTGAAACATGGAGTATGGTAGAATTATATGATACATCAAAAGAACAGCACGCTTATACGCAATCAGCGTCAAAAACCTCTTCATTCCTCCATCTGCTCTTTAACATCCTCCCACCACTTTCCAATCGCTTCCGCTCTCTCTCCATCTCTAGCCTTCATCTCGCAGGGGAACGGTAACGGTCCTCCAATAACATGTGGCGTCCACTCGTCCGGTCCAATCTCTACTCCATTCTTCTTCCCAAGTTCGAAATTCTTGACTAAATTGCCACAAAAGACCAACAACTCCGCCTCCGCAAGATCCTGGCCGGGACACACTCTCTTGCCCCTCCCAAAGATGTGATGGCCCTTCAAGCGTGGGTGTTCGGTCAATGGAGACTTGAAATTGGGGGACGATGGGTCCAGCCAGCGAGAAGGGTCGTAGAGGGAGGGAGGAGAGGAGGAGTAGGTGGTGGGGTTTTGGGACATGGCGATGTCGAGGACGTGGACGACAGCGCCGCGGGGGAAGTGATACCCGGAGTGGGTATAGTCTTTTGTGAGGAGTCGGGGGACGCCTGATGACAGATTAGCTTCATGCTGTATGGAACCTGGGAAAGATCGAGCATTGAGGGAACAGGGGGGAAAAGGAACTTACCGAGTGGAACAGTACTTTTCCATCTCACACATTCCTTGATAGCTGCCCTCAAAATCGGCAACTGCGGACTATGGTTAAAGTCCACCATCTCATCCTTCTCAACTACCTCATCAATCTGCTGACGCACTTTCTCTTGCCATTCCGGATACAGAATCATAGCCATGATGAACAACGTCGCAGGCCCACCGATAGTATAGATTGCAACAGTGCAAAGCATACCGACTGCAGCCTTGGCCTCTTCCTCGTCAGCGAAGAGAAGGTCGGTATCGGAGCCAATAGCTTTTGTAGCTAAGCTTGCGGTCGTGTAAATTGTCGTATCTTTGGATGCTTTTGCCAGATCGAACGTATCCTTCCATAGCGCTGCTTCCCTTTCTCGACGTTCTCGCACTCCACGCTGACCCGGCGCCATCCACTCAGGGAAGTATCTAAGGAACGGCATGAGATTGGGTATGGGTCCAGAAGGGCCAAGTTGGGAGATGAAGACGCCAGCATTGGTCATGTGCTCTATTGAACGATCGGTGGTGCCGTATGCGAGGCGAGAACTGATCCTAGCGCAGAAGAGATGGGTGAGGGTGAAGAAGTTTTCTGGCTTTTGAGAGAGCTCGTGCATGAAGCGCTTCATCTCAAGCTGGATGTGACCGTAGTATTGGTTCTTGGCTGCGCGGGTCATCATTGCGTTTGCGAACCTTTTTTGACGGTGGAAGTGATCTATAAGTCGGAGGTCAGTAGTAGGCTCAGTTGAGAGTCTTGGTATTGCCAGACGAACCCGTGTACCCGAGCAGAGGCAAGTACAAGAAGTCCTGCGTCACCCCTGGAAAAGAACCTATGTCTGCCCTCGCCGAACTCAGCTCCGCATTCTTGACCAGCAAGTCTTGCGCAACATCTTCTCTCGCGATCCAGATATGCGTTTCGCCACCCAGTGTACATGAGAACAGTCCGTCGTACTGCTTGCTGAACGTATGCATTGAGGTCCAAGCCTGCATGCGGTCGACATCGTGGACGCGACCTAAGTAAGGGAGAGTTGAGCGCGGACCTGGGAGAGCCTTGAGGCCCGAGCCGAACGGCGCAAGTTCGCATGTGAAGTAGTGAAAGCAATGGTATGTAACAAAGAGAAATAGGAGTGTAAGGAGGGTGCGAAGTACAGACTGGAAGACTTGGTATCCAGAAGTAGGGAACATATAGGCTGCATGATTTATGGTAGCGTTAACGGACTGGAGGATGGCCGCTGCGTCTGGCAGCTGCATGTTCGGTGCAGAGTTGCCCATGTTGGCTGTGAAACGCTGTACCTCAAGCTTGGGGTTGGAACTCGTACCTTCCATTGCCAGTCGATTCAAGTGCCCATATATACGCTCGAAGCGACATAGGAAAGCCACTTCCATAGGTGTGGTCAGCAACCATCAGCCTAATCTTTTTTTGGAATGCGGTCACCGATCCCGCAGCTGCTCACACACTTTTCCTCGCAACTCACTCATAATAAAATATTCTCAATCAGTTTGAGTGGTGATTCAGCTGTGAAGAGGGTAGTGAATAATGAGGATATCCGTGCATTGCAAGGATAAAAGCGGCAAAGTAGGAAGGTCAGCTCGAATGATATTCCACACTCTCGGGTTGAGCATGCGCACAATATCCTCGTCGTTAAGGGACGTATATCGGTTCCCGTAAAAGCTTGAAACATGTGTGCTGCGACCGTGCGTACTGTATAAGCACCGAGGATACATCATCTTGTTCTAATGTGGAACTTCCTGATTCACCGTATTACTATGGCCCATGCCGAATTAGGAATCATCTTCGCATGTGCCGTCATCATCTTCTACGCTGTTACCTGTTTCGGGATCGGTCCAGTCACCAGAGTCGCCATCAGTGGTGCCTTCCTCTTCCTGGAGGTCAGCGTACATGTGTGCGATATGATTGGATGTGCTGGCGTTGCGTGGACCGAGTCCAGAATCAAGCCGATATCGTAGACGATGGCAGGTATTAGAAAGCTGTCGCGATCGGAGTATAGTATGGCGCTTCTGGACTCAACATATCTTTGAGTGCGATGGAGGAAGGAGTGTGGAGTTGACGCGTTTGAGAGGTTTGTGCTGCCTAACCTTGGAAACCTCGGCACATACAATGACCCTGAGCTAGCCCAATTGGCCACTGCCGCGAATTACGACCATCACGCGTAATCTAGTGAATTTGCAACGCGTCCTCAAAACCAATGTTGTGAACTTTTGAGCATTTGAGTAGTGTGCATCATCGCACGAAGAACTGCACACGTCCAAACATGTGGCATTCTTCATCATGCTCCGCTTACCCCACATCGGTTACCGCTACTGTAAATCTCAAATCGTCCTGGTCGCGACTGGACTATTCAAGCACGAGATAGGCCAGGTATACCTATAGCTACCAGCATGCTTACATTCATTCTCTCAATCTCCATTGGCCTCGTCGGATCTTATCTCGGCTTCGTCTTACTCCTCACCATCCCGACTCTACAGGATCACGTCATCTTCCTGCACCGAGTAACCCGAACATGGGGTCAGGATATCAACGTCCCCGAGCAATGGGGCTTTCTGCGTAATCAAGTCACTCCGTTTCATCTCAAGACGCCAGATGGGGAGACTCTACACGCTTGGCACGTTCTGCCACTGGAGACATACCGCCAACATCAAACCCAACTCCGTGAGGAGCCAGTCGGTCTCTGCGCGAATGTCGAAGACCGAATCTCCTTTCGCTTACTGAAAGATCCTACTGCGGAAGTAGTTATATATCTACATGGCGCAGCAGGTACACTGGGATCTGGATGGCGGCCCCAAAGTTACAGGGCGATGAGCGCGACATCGACCAACGTACATGTCCTGGCTATCGATTATCGCGGTTTCGGTACCAGTACTGGGTGGCCTTCGGAAGCGGGTCTTCTTACTGACGCGCTTACCTTGCTCAAGTTCGTAACGGATACTGCGGATATACCATCGGAAAGGATTGTGGTCTTTGCCCAGTCCATGGGTACTGCCGTAGCGTTATCACTCACTCATTACTTGGCCTTACAGCCTACTCCTACCGTTCTAGCTGGAGTTGTCTTAGTCGCCCCATTCGCCGATGTGGAGTCGCTTACCAGAACGTACAAGGTTGCTCGCACCCTCCCGCTGCTCTCCCCTCTCGCAGTATTCCCGCCGCTTATGAACCTACTGAACCGTTTTATCAACACCAAGTTCCCATCCAAGGAGAAGCTTGCAGCACTGGTTCACCGGCTGGACAGTATCAAAGTCGACGACAAGCGGCAAAACTACGACATCACGTTGATACACGCCGAAGATGACTACGATATTCCGTGGAGTCATTCAGACACCCTTTTCTGGTATGCCGTTAACGCAACATTTGACATACCTTCCTCCATGACTTTCGAAGAACTGGAGAACACCAAAACTAAGGCGAAGACGCCTCTAGGTGCTGGTGGATGGGAAGTGGAATGGAAAGGGAAGCGTGGGATCATCAGAGAACAGATTATTAAGCATGGTTCTCATGATCGTATTATGAGCTATCCCATTGTTAGTCTTGCTGTTTCGAGGGCTTTCCATATGCTGTAGAACCGTCAATGGTAATCCAGAGTATATGACCCAAATGCAACGACTGGATTTCGTGGTGTCGGTACAAAAGACCCCCCGATTAGACGGGTGCCCCACCATTCCAGCTCAGTTTGGTTGTCTTTGCTTGACTTCGGTTCTCCATTCCCTGGAACACATCAAGGTTCATAAGCGAAACACATTCCTCGCGTGCTATACGGATCTTCAGCTTTCGCCCAATTGCGTGAAGTACCTCTTTCTCCTTCGCCTGAAGAGAGCCTTTCTGGTCATCTACACTGATGTAGACACGCTCCAGCTCAGGTAAGAACATGTCGGTGTCGTTGTCCGCAACGTACCTCCACATACTTGAGATAAAATCCCATGAAAAATCTATGCCGAAGTAACCCTCGACGTTGAGGGATATAGACGTGAGCAGCGCTCGCTGTGTACTAGTGAGACCGTCCACGAAAGCTCGACCAGCTTCCATGTCGTCGAAGTGGAAGATATTCTTTATGTACTGGGTGAGGGCTGTTTCTTGGTGTAGCTGACGGCATACGAGGCCGATGGTAAAGATTCCCAATGCAGGTGCACGACTGCTCGCCTGGGTGCCTTTTGCGTCGGATCCAGAAGAATCAGCGGAGGTGAGATAGACGAAGGGTTTTGCCGGTTGCTGGGTCCAAGTGGATACAACAACGATGTTTCCGCCGACAACTAACTCAAAGATACGATTGCGCAGCTCGCCAGGCAGTCTGAGTAGAGATGACTCGGCCTGATTGCGCAAGGTGCTGCATCTTGTTGGCTTAGTACAGGATTTTAGTGTGCTGACTCACATCTCCTACAACGGACCCGTCATCGTGATCGCGTTGGGTGGCACCATCCCGCAAGTTTGTTGTCAGTTCTGGGTTGTGGAGGTAGAGGAGAGATCTTGTTGCGTACGCTGCGTTTGTTTTGTACAGACGCTAGTCAAGGACCGTGACGTACAGGGTGAAGGCGCACAGTATCTTGGCGATTAGTGAGAGAGGACCTGACGAATGCTCCTCTCTATCGCTCAGTGCAGCTTCACAGTCACGAGGCGATACAAGCTCGGAGTTTCAAGAGAAACATGAGCTGGAGATGCAACCAGCAGACATAACATATCTCGAAGCCTACATAATTTCGAAATGTCATTGTGATATATGACGGTGTGTGGTCACATACTCAATAGTAGCAGTGGTGGCCGGCACTTGCGGTCTTTCGCACTAGCCTCAATACGTCATTTGCTTGGCCAAAGGGGATCGCGTCGGGTCGCCCGGGCACGCTCAAACCTCAGCGGTGCGCCTCCACCGAACATCTTCACGCCTATCGCTACATAACTCAGCTGGCACCTTCCATCTCTCTATATGTCTCTCGTGCCCACTCGTAAAACGGGATAGGCGGCTCGACCCTCTTGCGAGTCAAGTACTTCCACCAATTCGCCCAGACATGCTGTCGTATGTACCCCACACGATACGCGACATGCCATCCCGTTGGTAAATCGAACGTATACTGCAGCTCTTCCAAGGTCCGCATTCTCGTCTCCGGAACGAACAAATACACCAGCACGAATGCCACCATATTCAGGCCAGCAAAGATGGAGAATGCAGCCGTCGGCCGAATGCTGTCCTGCAGGAACGGGAAGACTAATACCAATACACCAGCGCCGAGGAGATTGACGGCGACGGAAACGGCCATACCAGCCTCTCTCGACACAAGAGGAAAGACTTCTGCTGCGATTGAGAATGGAGACGTACCAGCCGTCGGGGCATAAAAGGCGACGAAAATGACCGCGAAGATGCTGACCATCGGGATCTGGACGGACGGATCGGGAATTTTGAAGAGGAATGCAAAGACTAGAATCGACCATGCCATGTTTGGCAGGCCGAGCAAAAGCATGACGGAGCGTCCTAATCGATCCGAAGACCAATAAGCCGGAAGCCCGAACACGTAATTTGCTGCTCCAAAGGCAAGACCTATCGTCGCGGCTGTTCGATCACTGTTTCTCTTGGCGTTGGGCCAAACTATCGTGCCTAGGAAGGCGATGGTATTAACGCCTGTCAAAGTCTGGGTGATCATGGACACGGAAGCGCACAGTAAGGCTCGTCGACACCGCTTATTGGACCATAGCTCCCTCAGACGCTTGTAGTAACCGTTGACACCGATGTTGTAAGAGTACGGATTGCTCTTCTTCGTTCGCCTGATCCCAACCTCGAAATTTAGACTTGAGATATCACTCCATCTCCTGTTCATAGTCGCGAGCTCGATGTTACTGTTCTCGTTCTGCTCGGGCTGCGGCCTGACTTCGTACTGGTTATTGCTCGGTATCACTATTGCGCCTGAGTTCTTTATCTCGGCACGAGGATCCAAGGTTGATCGACCTGGCGATACGACTCTCTGTGCAGCAATTCTTTCTAACTGCACACGGTTCGGTGGTAGCGAAGATGGCTCCCCGGACAAGCTTGGCGCGCTGATGTCTACGCGATCGGCCAGGGTACCAAGCTCGTTTGTCTCTCCTTTTAACAGTCGGCTTTCGAAATCCAGCTGAGCATGCGCATACATGAAATCGCGACTTGCTAGCAACCGAGTGGTCTGGACCTGTTCGAAGGCTTCGAGTGCTTTGCAGTACTTTCCATGCTTCATCAGATATCGCGGGGATTCCGGCATTAAGTATATCATCACCAACAAAGGTACCGTAGGGATGAGTACAGTGTTTGTGAGAATACGCCATGCGGACTTGGCATTCTCCACGTAAACAACAACCAGCAAGTTTGCCAGAAACCCGAGAAAGATGCCTATTGGATTAGCGGTTGTACCTTACCAGAAGGAGGGGACGTACCAGCTGCATCAGCAAGCTGCCAATTCGCCAAAATAGCGCCACGTATATGCTCCGGTGATATCTCAGCTGCATATATTGGAACTACAAGGTGTTAAACTCATCGACGCAAGCATGAGCGAGAGCTTGCACTGACCTATCGACGCTTTTGCGCCCAGAGCTATCCCGTTGATAGCTCGGCAAGCTGCGAGTGAGCCTACGTTGTGCGTAAGTGATGCACCAATTGTCGAGGCTATTGTGATGCCACAAGACAGCATCACACTACCTCGCCTCCCTAAGAAGTTCTCCTGTAGCGGATCTGCAAGGAGGGTACCGAAGAGGCCTGCGGAAAGGAGCGGTATGGCATTCAGCATTCCGAAAGTCCAAAGATCGGATGAAGGACAACTGGCACCCCTGTGGACACAGAGTTCAAAGTCTTCTGGCATGCCATGAGCAGTGCCGTTATTGGCGCTTTGCGTCCATCCCTGGATCATCCCGGCAAGACTTGCGGTCATGATTGTCGCGCGGAGAAACTTCGACTGCTTCCAAAACCCTGTGCTCTTGTCCTTCTCCTTCTCCAAGAGCTTTTTCTCGGGCTCGGTAAGCTCATCTGCGTATCTTCTCATAGCCTCATACTTGTCTCGAGCAAGACGAGCGCCGAACTGAAGCAGTTCATAGCGGTCTTTGAGACCGGCTAACAAAGCAAATTCCCAGACATAGTCTTCGAGCTCGGTCCGTTGAGTCTTGGGGTCGGGAATCGTGTCATCGAACGTCAAAAACGGATTATCTATACTATTCCAAGTCAGTCGCACCCTATTAACATCGACTCATATGCATACGTCTGTCTTGCGCCTGTTGAATGCAATTGGTTTGTCGCTAGGTTTCGAGTCCCTTCTGTGCCTTCAACAGCTGCTGCTTCCTGGGGGTGCTCGCTCATAATGGCTAGCGCTTTGAGCAAATATTTGTCGCTTAGAGGCCGACATTGGTGTGCGACAACGCGCCCTAGCATCACAATATATGTTTGCCTGCCACATTGGGCTGAGTCCTACAAGGCTGACAGCTCGATTCCAAGGGCGAGCCAGATCGCGCATACGGCATGTCTTGTTGGGGTCCTCCTCCGCCATATTACCTACAGATGCTCCTAGAGGGGTGGCTGAGCATTAGGTCTACGTTCTGATGATCAACCTCTTCTCAGTGGATTGGCCGCCTTGCCCTTGCTTTTGGCATGCATCGCTGCCCTTTTTCAGGCGACATGGGCCTTGGGAAATCTCAGCCAATAACCGCATGCATCGCTAAATTATGTCGGGCGCCACCGACCCGCATCTGGCATTAGGGTCAGCCATTGCATCACCTTGCAACCTTGGATTTATTGGTGACACCTTGGTTCTCTCCTCAGCCCTCTGCCTCGCAGAATACTTTGAAATTGCCTAACTGGGACACGTCATCGCGGGGACATCTGTTCTGCCTCTCGAGTCTCCTTCTGGAAGATGAACCGGCTGGCGCGAAATCGCGAACGTTCGAAATGATGTTCCGAGTGACGGGTTCCTCGGCGTATGAGCTGTCCCCGCAGCCTGCTCGGCTAGTCAGTTTTTGGTGTGGTGAGAGAGGCTGTGGATTTACAGAGACGGCACATAAGCGGTTGCCTACTTGATCTGTAATAGTGTGGCCGTCGAGCTTTCCCCGCCAGCCGCTTTCCCCAGCACCCCAGGTACGTGTGGAGTGCCCCGGCCCGTTGGCATCGGACGAATGCCAACCCTTGCATGGAGCATTTGACTGTTCATACTTGACTCTTACGTCAACTCACTTCACACGTGTGCTTCTCACATTACTCGTCCTCGTCCTTGGTCACGAACAGGCAGCACGCGTTCTGCTAAGCCCCTTCTTGGTCTTTGAGCCGTCTGGCAAGTGGCCTTCTTCAAATGAAATCGACACCGCATCCCTAACGATCGTTGCGCTTTCGCTTGAGTTATCAGACGATATCCCTGTGTAACACCACAACCTGGCCCCAGACTTCCTCCAACGATCCACTTTAAAGCGGGCCTGGCCACCAAACACGGAACCCAAGTAACCATGGCCGAGCCGGTTTCGAGCATAATTACCATCGCAACGGTTGGGCTCGCCCTCGTCCGAGCATGCAAGAACTATATCGAAGCGGTGCGGGAAATCGACGACTTGGTTGACCGACTCCTCGAAAAAATAACAGAGTTGCATGGAGTTGTACGCCTACTCAACTCACAGTACCATCAAGCTGAGCCTGATGGCAATAGCGAGCCGTCAATCTTGGTACGTGAGAAAATCGCACTATGTCGCGATCGTCTTAGAGAGATCAAACGGAAGATAGCAGACTTGGGACCTCAGAGCAAAAGTGCGGAGACCTTTCTCGACAAGGCCTCTGTGAAACGAAGAATGGACGCAGTAGCCAAGGATATCGAATTCGCGGTAGATGACATCCGACGATACCTGGGAGACATTGTCCTTGTCACTGGAGCCTGTTCATATCTGTTCGTACAGGTCTTCCTTAAGCTGTCACATTTCTAACGCGATGCTAGTGAAGTCAGCTCTTATATTCGCCGCGTTTCCGAGAGCTCAGTACCAGTAAGTACATTGGGAATGTATAGTAGAATACATGGTGCTGACGCTCAGACAGCAACCCATAAGGTATGCCAGCAAAGAGGATCAGCCAGCTCAAAATGACCTCGTCTCGCTTGATCGGTGGTTCTCGAATACGGACACTATCTCAGATCCAGTACACCTTCGTAGAGCGTCCAACCCGACATTGCCCCCGCGTCTCTCTGTTTCCTCTTCGTCTTCGAGCGCTCTTCTTACACAATCCGACGACGATGAAAGCATTCTTTCCAAAGAAATCTCCGACATCTCAAAGCCAGGGGAAGACTGGAAAGTCTTCCACCGGAAAGTGGTGCAGTGCAAGGATGACCCCGCCCTCGTTACAGAAATCCGTTCAATGTTGGAACAGCATCCAGAGCCTGTCACTCTCGTGAACATTCTAGGAGACCACCAGCGCGCTCCCCTTCATCTGGCAGCGCAGCGTGGCTATGTCAATCTAGCTCGCATCCTCCTCGTATTCGGCGCCGATATCAACGCCCAAGATACCGAACCTGCTTCCGTGCTAGATCACGCTGTCGCACACAACCAAGTAGACTTCATTACAGTCATACTGGATATGGGTGCCGACGAGTCAGCATTACTGGAACGGAACAGGAACCAGTTGGAGCATAAAAAAGCTGTCATTGCGCTCAGAAAGGCGCGGCAACAAAGTCCAACGACAGAGAAGGCTCGGAAATTTAGCTGGAGTCTTGGAAGAAAGCGTACAAGCTGAGCCATTCGTCTCGCGGAACCGTAATCCGGACCCCAAGCTGACGGTGGCGGCTGTGTGGCAAAGCTGCAGCCCTAGCGTTGAACACGACAGGGCTGTAAATTGGAGCCTACTGCATGGAGCGGAGGTGGGGTTGCTCACCGGTCACTAGACTACTACCGGACGGTCTTACAACGTTTACGACCCTGCGCCCCCGCCGCGCCGTGTCTTCGGAACATCTTCTCGTTCTCGGACATGCTCGCGTTACTGGCCGATCGGGCCGTGCCACGAGCCACGGAACACCACAGCTGCGGCCTTGTCGGGTCATCCTCGCTGCATGTTTAGGCTTTCCGCACGGAGCGTGTTGTAACCACGCCATGCCGCTCACGACAGCCTTCTCCTGCGAGGTTGCTCGATCTTGGGTGCTGAAACATGGGTCATGCGTCAAGGATATTACGTCCTATCAGGCCGGAGTACACGCAAGAACACAAGACCAGGTTCTTGCTCCCAAGAGCTCTTTCCTGCAGCCAGTGAATATACCTTTAGTTTCATCTCAATTAAGGGAAAAACTGAATACCCTGGAGCCTACATTAACGCCAGGGTTTCCAGTTTGCCTGGTTTGTCCCAATGTAGTCTGCAGACCTATTCAGATTTCCCCTTGTATGAGGTGGTCTATAGGACGACATTGCATGCTCAGCTTCTAGCAGAGACTTCCATAGCTGGAAGCTTCTCTCTTCCTCTGGCTTTTATGCCTCATGATCTATGCCTGGCGTATTGCTATGAGCATCGAACATGATGCAGCTCTTGTAACTTTTCGACAGCTGGACGAGGTTTTGCACGGGGTTGGGGCCTAGAAACTGCAAACCCTGGAAAAAATCCCAAGTCTTTGGCTCAGTGCCGCATCGCAAACTCGATCTCACAATGTGCGACCTCTCTCCTCCAAGCTGGCCACATCGTGAGTTCATGTCAAATCCCAAAGAAAACGACTCACGTGCTCAGTGGCAGGGTGAATACTCTGTTTGTCCGTCATCGCATCTTCGCGCACATGAACACTCTAGCAAGAACTGAGTATATCCACTTTACCGACAATCACTGCTAATCCACCTTCGTCCCTTCACACCCACCCAAGCCTCAACTCCTGCACAAGACGACTACACTCTAGAGTAATGACGCCCAACTTCACTATAGCCTGCGGCGTTGATAGCTATACTGTCGATCTCGACGTCATTGCTCCCTACTCCGAATACTTTCGGCGCGCAACAAGGTTTGGGAAAGAGGCTTCTGAAGGCACCATAACGCTTCATGACGACGAACCTGCTATCATCAGTCTCATGATCGAGTTCCTTCATGAAGGCGACTACGACGCCACTTCCTGGAAGATCGATGCGCGCGCAGGAGATCTGACATGGATCAGAAGTTATGGCAACAGCCCGTATGCCAGCAGCGGAACTATCAACCAGAACGACCCCTGCAGTGGTGATGAGAGTTCGGGCTTGCCCTACGGAGCGGCATCACTAGCCGTTGGCGCTACATCTTCAAAATACCTCGCAGAAGCGAAAACTTCAAACACCTCCAAACCTACAATCATATTAGACTGTTGAGAAACGACAGCGGGTACTTCAAGGCATGCCAAAGGGCTCAGGCCGAGCGCTCTATCACACACCAACACCCCGCCACATGTTGCTACACCTTCAACTCTGGGAAGTAGCAGACAAGTATCTAGTACCGGACCTACAGGCGCTATGTACAAAGAGGTTCAACGAAGCAGCTGAATACTATCACCCCCACCCAGAAATGATCGACGCCATCTTGTGGGTTTACGAAGATCTTCCGGAGCATGCGGGGGATCTGCGGGAGGCGGTGTTTTTGATCGTCGTCGAACATCCAGAGCTGCTCGATGGTGAAGCGGTTAGGGAATCTTCACCTTGTCAAGACCTGCGTGATGCTGTGGCTTCACGGGGACTTGGACAGACGGAGTGGGTATTCAATCGTCCGCGCGAGGTTTGGCCTTATATCTCTTAAGATGGTGGCGTCATTATTAATGTACCATATAATATTCTCGGGATGTTATAACTTTTCGTAGAATATAGGGCCTACAAGATCATGTTTATGTTCTTTTCCTCATTACCCATGAATCCAGAAGTACTTGAAGCTGCGCCCATTGCGCTCAATCTTACAGTCTTACTCATTCGCATTCCAGTCAATCAGCGCGTCCCCTCCCAATTTGTCTTTGATGATCCGCTCACTCAGGTCCCACAGCGCAGCACCGAGGTTCTCATCGCTGGCTTGAGATGTCTCTTTACCTGGTTGGCCCTGCAAGTCTGTGTCAGTCATCTAGCTCAACAGTATTACCATCTGGAGTCAAGAGCAACTTACGGGGTCGTTGAAGTAGAATCCATTCATATCCTTCTCCTCAATCTCATCCGCTGTGCATGCCCAAAGCGCACTGTACGACCCCTGCTCAACGTCTCGTCCAACGAAGAGCATGGCATTCGATAGTAGCTTGCCGGTAATACCGGGATATGCATCTTTCCACTGCTGCTGCATAGCCGTGTTGACAGCGCCTGGATGAACCGAAAGAGCGTATACGTTGTCGCCATTAGGCTTGATGACGCGGTCACGCAGCCCGTACTTTGCGAACAGAATCATGGCCAGCTTCGTGCGTCCGTACAAGCGTGTGGGATCCATGGAGCTGTCATTGATCTCGTCCATGCTCGCGAAATGCACGTCCGATGGTGCCGTACGATGCATCTCACTCGACTCAAAGACGACCCTTGGCGCGGGCTTCGTGCCCATCTTACCTGTCTTTCGGAGCAATGGCCAGAGTTGATTGCACACGTAAAAGTGACCGAGGAAGTTCACTCCGAAGTGGCGGTCGATACCATCAGCGTCTTCCCCATAAAAGTTTGTGTTTATGCCCGCGGACAAAACGAGGAAGTCGAGACGGTCCAGCGAGTTGCGCAATTCGGAGAAGACTTCTTTGACTTCCTTCAGGCTGCCCATGTCACAGTGTTTCCATTCGACCTCGGCATCGGCCTTTTCTTTCTTGATGCTTGAGATGGCGTCGGCGCCTTGCTCTTCTTTGCGGTTCACCATGATTACTTTTACGCCTGCGAGGGCGAGCGCGCGGCTGACTTCATATCTTTGGGCGTGTTAGCGAAGAATTGGGAAGAGGGAGGGAGGAGTTGGCCCGTACCCGATTCCGAGAGCACCACCGGTGACTACTGCGACGCGACCTTCGAGGTTTTCTGGGTGGACCTCTTTGGGGCCAACGACTTTGTGGAGAACGGACTGCATGTTGTATATCTAGAACAGATGTTTCAGAAAGGATAATGCTAAGTAAGTTTGTAGGGAAGTACAGGCTGTTGCCTTCCGTACAGATGGAGCCACATAATTTTTTTAATATACGCGCTTGTCTATTACCACAAGTGACGTCTCGTAGAATTGAGAGGTTGCCCAGCATATGCACCTGTCACATTCTCATGTCGTGACGTCATCGTGGTATCACGATAATTGGTGGACAATTCGCTCTCAGCAATGCTAAGCGATGCGAATGAGCTTCAATCTTTTGTATTACAGCTATGCTATACTAGAAAGATATGAAATAGGTGCGGCAAGTCTTTGTGGATGGTTCCGCTCTGTAGCTCACAACAGTATTTGTGTAGACATTGGAAACTTTGGAAATCTTGACGCGAATGTATACTTCTGATTTACCTGCTTTCGTACATACTCACAGGTGAGCTCAGATAGAGAATGTGATACCACGCTAGTCAAACGCAGTCACCCACCACCGCATCAGTTTCTGCACGTGCTTTTGTTTGTTTGCGCCTTCCTTCCTGCCTTACCACTCTACGTTTCCTCAATTCTAAACACCGCCATTGCATCTGCAACCTTCGACGCGCAGTCATATCGGTACGATGGCATACATCAATGCTGAGGTCTCCGGTGCGGTATCAGAGATGTAAGTCAAGGAAACCTGGCTTATACTGAAAGGCATCTAATCACTGACACGCTTAGTACCACCCGCAACATGACTCAGTCTCCGCTTCTTCGTCTTCCGGGCGAGCTTCGCAACAAGATCTTCGCTTACGCCGTGGGAGGCCACGTCATCCTCGCCAAGCTGGTTACTCTATACGAACCAAGTGATGATGATGATCGTGATTGGGAATAATACGAAGCAGACTTCGCCGAACGACTTGAGTTCTGTCTCACCACCACCGTTCAGCCCAAGCCCCCCAAAGAACCGCGTAATCGTGGCTACCATGGTAGTCATCACATTTACAGCGGAGACTCATTGGACGTATTTCTCCCAGGCAATACTTCCCAACGTGTTTCTCGTATCTTCACCGTCGGCCGTGTATGTCGTCAGATATATACAGAGACAGCACTTCTCCAGTACAAGACCAACTGCTTCCACTTCGACGTGCCTGCATTCATCGACCTCTTCACCAAGCAACTTACCTTCGATCAACGCCGTGCTATCCCCCGCTATCTCCATTGGGGATGGATACTTAGTCCAGGAATTTTGGGGCGGTCAGTCCTTCTTTGCACCAGAATTGCACCGACTGCTTCCTGGGCTCAGGAAGATCTACCTGGTACCAGAGATTTTGGAGTGGACTGACGCTCCCACGTTTCGCGATAAGCTCGTCAAGAAAGCGAGGAGCCTGTGCCTTGATGTCAAGGAGAACGCGGGTCTCTGGGTTGGCGTCTTCGATGTATTCGATGAGACTGCCGTCTTACAGGATGCCTTTGGTTTCACCATCAAGTCTGCCGCTGATGAAGCAGAAGAGTCTCTATCCTGGGCGAGATGTGAGATCTTCATCTGGAAGATTGTTTCCCGAACCTTTTGTTTTCGCACTTGAGCCAGAATCAGAGTTATACGGGGGAACGGGGGAAGGTTGCATGAGCCTCCATACCAAATTCAACCAGGGACAACAGATCAAGATCACTATCTTCACATGCAAGTGACTGATGCACCAGAAATAAATCTAAGCTATCCATTTTCCAGCTCACCCTCCATGAATGTAGAGAGAAGAGGGACGTTCCACCACCGCCACTAACCTAATCGTATAACCATACCCCAACGACCAATTTTAGTAGTATACAAAGACACACTTTGCTAATCAGGAACCGAAAGAACAAGGTTCCGAAAAGGAGGACAAAACGCTGCAAGTACGATGGAAGCAATATAGTACAAAATCTCCCTGCCTCAGAACGCCTATGCTGATAAATGTGTACTTCTCTCCACATGTACTCCAAGCTGGATGCCGAGTATCCAGATTCCATGCTCTCGGTGTGCGGCGCCATGTTGATATCCAAAGCATCCATGGATCAACCCTGTATATCTAGGCCTCAATGATACTAAGCAAAGAATCAAACACATCCTCGTCGTCTTCATCTTCCTCCTCCTGCTGACGCTGCGCATAAATCTCCCCATCGTCCTCCGATGGTGCATCGCTATCCTCTCCGTTATCACTGCCAAACCCGCTGTCATCGCCTGAGAAACTAGCTGCCTCTTGCGCCCCAGTCTCGGCATCAAGAACCGAGCTCGAAGCGCTATCGTTATCGTTATCGTTATCGTCATCGGTTACGCCACGCCAGCTTTTCTCCCCATCGTCATTTTCGTACGCGTCATTGTCATCGTCTGGTTCAGTATCGCCGCCATTGTTGTAAGCGTTGAAACCAGGGCCAGCCGGGAAGGGTCCTGAGTGCGGTGTCGCGTAGGCGAAAGGCGTTGATTTACCTGCTAAAGCGACAGATCGCTGGCTTGGTCTGCTCATTACGTCTGAGTTTGATCGTGGTAGTGCAGGCTGTGAGGAGTAGAAGGGTGACGGCGGCTCTCGTGATTGCCGGGGGGTCGCATTCCATATCGTGACGTGTGCTTCCTCGGGACGCGGAGAGGAGGAATTCGTCACGCGACGTCGCTTCAGCCTCGCTGATGGCAGGCTGGGTGCACGCGAGATTGGCTGCGGGGCAGAGGATTGCTCAACGATGGACGGGTTGAAGCGGCGTTTCGACTGACGAGGTGTGACGGTGTCGATAACCGAAGCAGATACCGTACGGTTGCGATAGTAGAGTGGACGTTGCAGATGGTTCTCGCTTAGTGGCGAAATGGGCTGGGGTTGCTTGTTCTTCAATATCGAATTGGGAGTGATTGACCGTCGCCAATTTTGGCCAGCAGGGCGCATGGACAGTTGAACAGACTGGTTGCTTCCGAAAGACGAATGCACACTGGCAGGCGGAGCATCATACGTTTCAACGAACTGCCAGCATGCTTCTTTTGCATCTGCTTCGGGAACGTGCGCTTGGCACTGTTCGTCGTTGCCTTCCATCTGCGAATCTTGGTCGGGTTGGTATCGAGGTAGTTGGCGCAGCTCTGGCCATGACTGTTCCATAACGACGAACTCATTACGATCGACTTGTTGGGTGTAGGCTTCGCGGACTGTCACGTAAAGCCTCTTCTTCCCGCCTGACACTCTCATCATGACGCCGGCTGAAAGAAACTGAGCATTCCAAAGCGCACTGCTGGACATTTCGGCGGGCGTGAGAAAACGTAGTCGCGACTCCTTGAGTACCTTCCGTAGCGGTATGTAGGGCGCTCGAAGACCTGGGTACGCAGAAACCATGGGGTTTTCGTCGCTGTCATCATACTGTAGGTAGTCAAAGACATCAGAAAAAGCCTGTGACAAAGCTTCTTGAATATCTTTAGCGCTGGAACCTCTAAAGGTAACATCTCGGACGAAACCTCTGCTTTGAAGTCGCTTGTAGACCAAGTTATTGCTTCCACAGGCTTTGGGAAACAGCCAGTCATCCGTAGATCCTGAAGCCCAGTTGCTGATGTCTTGGCTGCTCCATCCGTTTTCGGCTTGGCTATTTATAGATCCTCTAGCTGAACTTCGAGTACCAGGGTATGGGCTTGAATCTGAATCTCGTCCAAGAAATGGTAGGCCCTTGATGGGCTTGGATGTGTGAGCCTGAGTCCACTCTTCAGAGTTTTGGGTTGTAGTCTTGGCTATGTCATGCATGGGCTCATCAGGCGAGAACCAGATGCCTTTCAAGTCGGGACCCCATGGTAATAGGACAACTTCTACTTCCCAAGGTTGCAAGGATGTGGGCGGCGCCGCGGCTTCCAACACATCTAATCTCTCTTTGATGCTATCAAGCTCCATCTCTGTGTCTTTGCGATCCATGGCCGCGAGGATAAGGGCGGAAGAAGTCGTGGAATCCACAGAGTGGTTGGAGTCAAAGGACGTGGTGATGTTGCCGATGCGCCTTCGGCTGAAGGAGCTAGTGCTACTTTGCTCCTCCATAGCTTCATGCATCCGTTCATGTTCATCCATGCGATGCTCGACATCAATGAGCCTACCCTCATACATGTCCAAAGTATTGTTCAAATCCTCCGGTTGAACATAGTTGAAAGATCCGTTCTCCAGCAAGTCTAGGCGGCTACCAAGTTCCTGCATTGTCTTGGCTACATTGGGTATCGAATTCAATAGGTTATGGAGAGGAGCAAGGTAGGAGACTAGCTTCTGGAGGCCTTGTGGGGGAGCAGATTGGAGGAGGTTGTGCAGCTGTTCTTGTGGTCCTGCAGGAGCGTTCCTCGGCAAGAGCTGGGTGGGAACTGTGCCATATGTCTGTCGCTCGGGTGAGCCTGTCGATTGCTGTTGGATTTCCGAGGTGATGCGCTTCATCGCGTCAATCATGTCCTTCCCATCCTGTACAGCCCGATCAGCAGCGCTCAGATCTGGAGTGTTCCCAACGCTTGGAGTAGCCACCTCGGTAGCGCTCTGCACGTATTCTTCGGGATTGTAGGTGTTTGGTATGGTATCGCCAGGCTCGTCGGGCTGGAAGTTGCGGTTGAACTCAAAGACGTGCTCGAGGATGCCGCGCGACGGGCTGGTAACGTTCGCCCCTTCTTGCGCCGTGTTCGCTCTGCCAGGGGAGATGATGGGCTCGTTGGGTAGCTTTTGCGGGGTATGAACGATGTTGATGTCGTCGGGTATGGTGGGTGTAGGCGACTGTTGACGGTTAAGCTGAGCCATGCTCTCCAAGTTCATCGTAGAAAGACCAAGACCTGTCACCGTCTGGCGCGACTGATTCACGCCATACCTAGCTTCGCTGTTAGCTACTGGGCGGCTTTCATGAGATAGCAAGCACACGGAAGGAAGTCCAGGAAGGCCGCTCGTGCTGATTTGTGATGGAGTGTCCTGACTTTGTAGCAAGCGACCAAACGAGTTGGTCCCGGAGGGCTGTCGCTGGGGGCGCTGGCTAGGACTGGGCCGCTGGTGCATGCGCTCATTGTATATGGCTTGACCCCCTTCAGACAGAAGGTTGTCGCCCAGTTGCCGTAAGCCCGCACTCGTGTCGCATTGCGCGCCTGACAGTGATTGTCGCGGCTCTTCACCAGTCGCATACAGTGACTGCAGCGGGAGATTGATCGAAAGCGCCTGCCTTTCTGGCGCCCGCGACGCCCTCAGATGGAAGCAGGCATGGTGCCCGCAGACACACCAGGTTGAGCGCTCGCTGCTAGGCCGATGGTCGGCGCTCTCATCGTGCAGCTCGGCGCTGAGCTTGTCCCAAAACTGGTCACATCCACACTGGCCTACGTGCGCGTCGCGATAGTTGCATGGCCCGTCTGGCAGCGATCGTCTCGAGGGAGTTGGCTGTGAAGGCGCATGATGGCTTTGTCGCGTGACATTGGTATTTGGGCCCCCGAACCCCGCCATTGATGTTGATGGCAGCGCATCCCGCATAGGACGCGAGTAGTCTAGGAGAGAGACATGTCGCGGTTCCTGTTGAAGCTTTCATCCCGTTAGCACGTTTCCAAGGGAAATTCTGGTGGGGCCGAGAGCGTACCGAAGATAGTGCGAGCAGATTGCGAAAACCAGGCGATGTCGAGGGGAGGAGCGACGGGTCTTTATACACGGGCAGGGCGCAGCTGTGAGGACGCGACGGACGCGACAGAACTGGTGGGCACTCGAGGGGAAAGAGGCCGTGGATACTTTTGGGCCGTGACTGTTTAGCACGCATGCACGCAGCCCGCAACAGCTTAGTGACGGCTGCCTCAGACACTTCCCCGGAGTCTGGGTACGCGCGGGACAGGCCTATCGATACAAAGACGCCGCCGTGATAGGCTCAGGCCACGCATTCCTCCGCCTACCCTGCTTAGCTGACGGCCGGCCGAACACCCTGGCCGTTTGCTACCCAGCCGTCGAATCCAGCGACGCTATAAACGCCATGTGCGGCCGGCGAAGGGTAAAAAGTAAACCCTCCATCATAGCCCTGATACTTCTGAGAAAAAGCGATCTCTCTGCATCCTGCCCAGCTCTACATTATCAACTCCCATTTGTCAAGGCAGCAACAACAGTACACATGGCGCCTTTCTAATCCATTAGCCATGCGCCTCATTGGCCAGTACTCACGGAGGACTGTCGCGCATGCTGCATTGCATCTGCACGTCCAGCAGGCCCGACCATGGAGACTTGCGCATGGCGACAAGTTTCGACCCAGACATCAGCCTCGCCATGGACCCCATCTGTACAAGGCAGAACCGTATGTGACTAGTTGTCGTCAGCGCTGCGTCTGCGCTGCATCTGACAGGGTCTCGATCGGGAAGGCGGGCGCTAGTCGAGGATATGAGTTTCAAGATTGGGAGATACAACTATCTGCCGAGCGCTCGTCCCATCTGGTGATGAGTAGGGTGCAACCACCTCTTGCCCATCTCACATGCCAAAGGTCGAGGCCGCGAAGCGCTTACGCACCCACCCACTATCTTCACTGTTGGGTGGGTGTTTTCCAAGGTTCCAAGCTTGTCATGCGATTGCAGATCTTGATCGTATAACAGTACCACAGATTATCTTTTGGGTATAGTACTTGCATCGCATGTTTCGCCTCATGCATCCAACGTTCAGAAGTATACGTTGAGGTCCTTCGAATCAGGTAGACCACCAGCCAGATTTGGCATCCTTTCATCCGTGTTATCCATCCACAATGATTCTCTCAACTTCATCTGGCCTTCTATTCCTGCTCATCCGCCTTTCCCAGTCAAATATCCACGTCCAAGTCTACCGTCCAAATCGTTTCTCTAAATCCAATATCCGTTCCCTCATCTCCCCTACTCCTCCCTCCCCCTCGGCACAACACACCCTGCCGTAACCAGCGAATCCTCCTTCACCTTGAAACAATGCACCGTATACGGCGGAATCCTCATTGCTACCCCCACATGCATCTTCATCTCCGTCGGCTGCAGCTCACTCCCAAAGTCAGTAACACCTCTCACAAATATTCATCCCAGTCAAGACATACCTCATATCCACCTTCCCTGGCTCAACATCCAAAACCCCCCTCTCCACGTCCGTCAACGGCCTCCCATTAACCTCAACAACGGCCTCCCCCTCTTCCAGCAAATAATAACACTCATCCGTGGTGAGCCTTACCGCAGACTGGAACTGCGCTTGCAGGAGCATACGGTGTGCGAGCCAGAACCTGTTATTTGCCATGTAGTATTGAAGAGCTGGGGCGTTGTTCCGCGCATTGTTAATTTCGACAATGGCTTCTGGGATGCGGGGAGCGGGGAGGTAGGGACAGCAGATTGAGGCGAGGTCTTTGGATGCGAATTGGGATTTCACGGCGGCTTTGGTCCACTTGGTGATTTGTGGTTTGCCGTAGGTTTCGACGTCGACGAGCGAGGTTGGGGTGGTCCATGAGGCCCAGAGGAGAGAGATAGGGCTTGTTGATAGGATGGCCATTGGGTGCGTGCGTTGGAGATGAGAAGGAGGGTTGTAGTAGGTACAGAGGTGGTGGGTGAGTAGAAGGGAGGTGAGTAGTACATTGGTGGTGTAGATGGGTAAAGGTAGGTGAGGTGAGAGAAGCACAGAGGGCACGTTTTAGTCCGCAAATCCTAGGTGAAGTTGGAAGTCGATGATGAATCGGCGGCTCAACCGGGTTGATCCAAGGTAGACGACGAAGAAGATGATATCCTCAATACATGTAAGAGTTTCTGGATACGAACAATGTGCTTGCTAGCATACTATCGTTGAACAATCGCACGAGCATTTTAACTCCCAACGAGATGCTTGCATTGTTCATAGAATACTCTCTCGCTTCAAACCTTGGTAATCACAGCGGTATCTAAGCCAATCTCAACCCGTTCTCCTCAGGTTTAAACCACTCCCTCAAAAGATCCCCCAAAATCTCATTAGCGCCCTTCTTCGCCTCCTCACTACTCTTCCCCTGGCACTCAATATAAAGCTTAATCTTCGGTTCCGTCCCGCTGCCTCTGACTGTAAACACAGCCCCGTCATCCAACTCACAGGTGATCATCTGGCTAGTGACATCAACCGGTAGATCGGGCTTGTGGTCCTTGCTCTTTGAGTCATAGCCCAGGGTCAGGTCTCGCCAACGCGCGATCTGGCGGGAGCCAATCGACGTCGGGTGGGGGCTGCCCAATGCGCGGATGGCTGTGAACACCGATGTGGTCACGGATGGCGATGGCGATACGAGGTACGTGTTTGCGTCCTCGAAGTAGCCAAGATATTGGTAGAGCTGTTGTAGCTTGGCGTAGGGTGTGAGGCCTTGTGTGGACCAATGCGATGCCGCGGTTAGGAAGACTGCGGCTGCGCTTATGGAGTCCTTGTCGTGTACTGTTTGGGGAATCATGTACCCCAGCGCTTCCTCAAAGGCGTAGACGACATCGTAGCCCTCGCTATCGAGTTGTCGCGCTACGTTCCCGAGCCACTTGAATCCAGTCAACGTCTCGGTAAACTTGAAACCTTCCTTCTTCGCTAAGGCTGCAAGCATCCTGGAGCTGACAGTGGATGCTAGCATCGCAAGCTTCTCCAGCGGTTTCGACGCTGGGTAGCGCTCGAAGAGATAAGATCCAAGTAGCGCTCCGAGTTGGTTCCCACTGAAGATATGCCATTTGTCTCCCACCTTCTCTGCTGCTGCAAGTCGGTCTGCATCGGGATCGCTGGCAAGGATCAGGCGTATCGATGATTTCTCTGCCGTTTCGATTGCCAGATCGAGTGCTCCTTTCTCTTCAGGGTTCGGGAACTTGACTGTGGGAAAGTCGGGGTCTGGCTGTGCTTGCGCCCCCACCACGGTCATCTGCGAGGCTACACCAAGTGTCTCTGTGCATCGCTGCATTGCGGGAAGACCAACACCGTGCATCGGCGTGTACACGAATCTGAGCTCTGGGTCCATCTTGACCTTGACATGCTCGGGCTGTGCGGCGCATAGAACGGCTTGGTGGTACTTGTCTTGAACCAAATCCAGACTTCCCTCCACCAAAAGTGAAGACTCTATCACCGTTGTGTCCCAAGTGACAGGCTTGAGGTTCTCCATGATAGATTCGGCGATTCCGCTGTCATGTGGGGGGATGATCTGGCATCCGTTCGACCAGTAGACCTTGTATCCATTGTCTTTGGCCGGGTTGTGACTGGCAGTAATCATGATGCCAGCAGCGGCGTCGAGTTCGCGCACGCCAAAGGGAACCATGGGCGTGTGGCTCGGATCCTCATACCACCATACTTTGATGCCCTTTGCGACAAAAGCAGCTGCAGTGAGCTTGGCAAACTTTTCCGAGTTGTGTCTCGCATCCCGGCCAACGACTACACCCCGTCTCTCGACATTCTTTTCGGTTTTGAGCAGGTACGCTGCTAGTCCTTGTGAGGCTTGAATCACTGTCAGGGAGTTCATGCAAGCGAAGCCACCCTGCATAGGTCCTCGGAGTCCAGCTGTTCCGAAGGCAATGCGATGTCGAAGTCTCTTTTCCAGTTCATCGGTATCGCCATCCACCAACAGCTTGTAGATCTCATCGGTAGTGGTTTTGTCCTCGTCGAGTTCCAGCCATTCTTTCGCCAAGTCCTTAATATCTCGGATCATGATCGGAACTTCGAATTCTGGGGGACGACCTTGAGTGGTGCAATCTGTCCTGAGAGAGGAAGGAATTGAGAGTGGAAGTCAACAAATGTCACTTGGCAAAGAAAGGTCACGAAGTGGAAGGTGATGGAGTGTCGGAGTTTGCCGACACGAAGCGCGCAATAGTAAGCTCAAGCGGGCACCTGCCGGATTTATAACCTCCAAGATTTCATAATTTCTTCAAGCTCACGTGTAGGTTTTGATGACCTTACACTTACACACACGGCGCTGCAGGGCCACATACGCTCTCAAGTTGACATGTGAAGTCGTTGCTGGATGCGGCTCTGGGGTGGCGAGGAACGTGGGGGCGTGCAGGGTCCTGGCGGGCAAGCTTCGGAAGTTTATCAGCTCACGCTCTCCTGTTCCACTGGCTGGGTCCGGCGCAGCTCACCGCAACGCCTAGCTTCTTCTGAGACGCCGCGAAGCTATGGTCTGACTGTCTGTACATTGAATTTCGTTCGTCAATTGAGCCCGCACTTGGACACCCGTTTGTGCACGCTTCGTGTACCACACCGCACCGCAACATGGCCGCCCGGGCAGACAGGAAGTCAAGAGTCTTTAGTCGAAGAGAAATCGAGGCTCAAATCGCCAATGGACGCTCAATTCTCATAGTGGACGGCAAGGTCTTGAAGGTGGACGCATGGCTGCCCTACCACCCAGGCGGTGACAAAGCCATTGCGCACATGGTGGGACGAGATGCCACAGATGAAGTCACTCGGTATGATCTCCCCTGTTGCCCAGAGAAGCTTAATGCTGACTTATGTACACAGTTTCCACTCTGCGCAAACGCTCGAGCTCATGAATCGCTACCAAATCGGTCGTATCGGAGGACGATGGACAAACTTTCTGCCGCCAATACAGGGAGGAAAGTTCCGGACACAGGAAGAGCTGGATAGACTCTCAGACGAGGAGTACATGGAATCATGCTCCGCTTCAGAGCAGGACACTGTTAGCTCAGCCTCTTCGGCAGACAGCAGCCCGCTCTTCGAACCAGCAGATCGGCCGTCTGCTTCGATCCGCAAACGCAACGGAGCCGGTGTCACCAGAACTTCCTCCAACTCAAGCGTCTCATCGGTCGAGCTAGACGATAAGGTCACCCCGAAGATGTCAGTGCTCGACAGGCGAACTCAAGAAGAGCTGGATTTCGACAAGGCCAAATACCCGACCCTGGACCCGGCCACCCAAGATCGGATCACACAAAAGTATCGCGACTTGCAAGTGCGCATAAAGCAAGAAGGTCTCTACGATTGCAATTACACTGCGTACGGTATCGAATGCCTACGTTATGGGTCTTTCTTGGCCGCATTCCTATTTCTGCTGTCAGCGGGGTGGTACATCACCAGTGCCATACCACTTGCCTGCCTTTGGCACCAGCTCACGTTCACAGTCCATGATGCCGGTCACATGGGTATTACTCACGACTTCACGACCGACTCGACCATCGCAATGTTCATCGCCTCCTACATGGGCGGCTTGAGTGCTTGTTGGTGGAAATACAGCCACAACGTTCATCATCTCGTCACAAACCATCCCGAACATGATCCTGATATCCAATACATCCCGTTCTTCGCCATCACCCATCGGTTCATGGAGAGTCTCACCACAACCTTTTACGAGTGGGTCATGGAATACGATGCATTCGCAACGGTCATGATCCAGGTACAGCACTATACATATTACCCGATCATGCTGTTAGCACGTTTCAATCTTTACAGACTATCCTGGATGTATTTGCTCCTTGGAAAGGGGCCCAAGAAAGGGCCAGCTTGGTGGCACCGCTATTTCGAGATGGTGGGCATGTCGATTTACTGGACTTGGTTCGGCTATGGTGTCGTGTACAAGACCATACCCGACAACTGGAGCCGCCTCTGGTTCGTCTTGATTGCCCACGCCGTTACGTCGCCGCTTCACGTGCAGATCACGCTGTCTCATTTCGCTATGAGTACGGCAGATCTGGGTATTCATGAATCCTTTGCGCAGAAGATGCTTCGTACGACGATGGATGTTGACTGCCCGCAATGGTTGGATTTCTTCCACGGTGGCCTGCAGTTTCAGGCTATCCACCACCTGTATCCGAGAATCCCTCGGCACAATCTGAGGCAGACCCAAAAGTTGGTGCAGGAGTTTTGTAACGAAGTGGACATACCGTATGCGTTGTACGGTTTCCTGGATGGTAACAAGCAAGTCGTTGGACGACTGGCTGATGTAGCCAGGCAGGCTGCTATTTTCGCTGAATGCCAGAGGACGATCGCTGCAGAGGGAGATTATGGAATGCATTGATGAATAGATGTAGATATTTAGAGCAACAAAGTACAAATATACATCACTTAGTTGAAGTTCGCAATCCATCAACCATTAAGCCTTCCAGCGTTGCTTCACGCCTCATGTCTGCCCAGGCTGCACAGAGATGTTTTAGTAGCACGCTTGCTGCACATGCTTGTGTGGATCACTATCCGCTCGGATGAGGTTCCGATACCGAAGCCAGGGTTGGAATGAAAGTGGAGGCTGGTAAGTAAGCTGTCCGCCGTCTTCCGGCGCGTTCAGATCGCGGGTTTAATATTCTGCACTGGCACACAACGTGGTGGCATCGGAACAACGCTATCAATTATCTCACTGACGAGAATACGGGCTGTACGGTGGTCTTTCTCCAGTTCAATCAGCTCAGGTACGCATCACGCCATGAACGGCAGATCGTGAGAATTGGCAGTAACGCGTCCGCCATTAGCGTGACTCTCGACTGACCCCACCTCGGTCCATCAAGCCATGACGCAACCAACAAACATCTGCAAAAGGAATTTGTCGCTATGATGGTATCGCGCTGCAGTAGCATGATCCCACCCAGAGCACCAATGACAGAGCTCAATGGACCAGGCGAGCGTCTCCGGCCGTACCGCTGGCCAACTTTCAAGCTTCCAACCGCGTCCACTGACGCGCGACTGCTTAAAGGCGCTCTACATCCCAACCTTACGTGAAGCTCTCACTTCTGAATCAGTTCACACCTCCACTACTTGCAATTGCTCTTTGTAGTTTCCATCGTATCTGTACTGTTTAGCTACATTATCAGGCCCAGCTTCACTCAGGACCTGACCTAAAGCACGAAAGGTGTTACCTTTCTACCAACCTGTCATCATGGATGCCATGGTAGCGAAAGCTCCAGCAGATCCCGACACCCTCGTCGAGGATGTCGAGCACCTCAGCATCTCGCCATACGGGCCCGCGAGGTCCTCAATCACTGAACACCCGCTCAGCGAGGATGAGGTGCGGAAGATGACCGACTACTTCCATGCTTCTCTATACATGTGTCTGGGCATGATATATCTGAGGAGGAATCCTCTGCTCCGCGACCCGCTTACTCTGGATCACCTCAAGCGACGCCTTTTGGGGCATTGGGGTTCGGATGCTGGACAGAGCTTCACATACATTCACATGGTAAGGATGACCATACGCAGCTCTGGTAAATCAAAGAGCTAATACTTTGCGCAGAATCGTCTCATCAAGAAGTACGATTTGGATGCCATTTTCATCTCTGGCCCTGGTCATGGCGCCCCCGCTGTTCTCTCAAACAGTTTCCTGGAAGGAGTCTACTCTGAGGTCTACCCCGACAAAAGCGAAGATGAGGAGGGCATGAGGCGCTTCTTCAAGTCCTTCTCGTTCCCCGGTGGAATCGGATCGCATGCCACCCCAGAAACACCTGGTAGCTTGCACGAGGGTGGAGAGCTTGGTTATTCCATCTCTCACGCTTTCGGCACAGTGTTCGATCACCCAGATCTTATTGCTCTGACAATGGTTGGAGACGGCGAGTCTGAGACCGGCCCGCTTGCTACGAGTTGGCACTCGACCAAGTTCTTGAACCCAATCACGGATGGTGCGGTCTTGCCTGTTCTGCACTTGAACGGCTACAAGGTATGGCGCTGAATTTTGCGGAAGGCCATCTCGCTGACAAGATACAGATCAACAACCCAACTGTCCTTGCGCGCGTAAGTCGCAAGGAGCTCGAAGCGCTCTTCGTCGGTTACGGATGGACGCCCTACTTCGTCGAGGGAAGCGATATCCCGTCTATGCACCAAGCTATGGCTGCTACGATGGAGCGATGTATCACAAAGATCCGCGAATACCAGAAGGAAGCCAGGGACTCGGGCAAGGCTTTCAGGCCGCGCTGGCCCATGATCGTGCTCCGTACACCCAAGGGATGGACAGCGCCTAGGCACGTCGATGGAGACCACTTCTTGGAGGGCTTCTGGCGCGCACACCAAGTGCCGCTTACGAATGTTCTAAAGGACAAGTCTCAGCTGAAGACTCTAGAACAGTGGATGCGCTCGTACGAGCCTGAGAAGCATTTTGATAAGAACGGCAAGCTCATCCCCGAACTCAGGGAGTTGGCACCATCTGGCAACAGGAGGATGAGTGCGAACCCTGTTGCGAACGGCGGTCTGATCCGACACAAGCTCCACGTACCCGACTTCCGTGACTACTCTATCGAGGTCACCAAAGGAGGGGTCGCCAAGGTTGGTAGCATGGCAAACTGCGCGGCCTTCTTGCGCGACATCATCAAAGAGAATCAGAAAGACTTCCGTCTCTTTGGTCCCGACGAGACTGAGTCCAACAAGCTGGGTAAGGTGTACGAGGCGGGTAAGAAAGTCTGGATGGGCGAGTACTTTGAGGAAGACGAGGATGGTGGCAACCTAGCCTATGCAGGACGTGTTATGGAAATGCTGTCTGAGCATACTGTAGAGGTAAGACACACGACATTGCTTGAGACTACAATGCTAACTTCTCTCAGGGCTGGTTGGAAGGTTACATCTTATCTGGACGACATGGCCTGCTCAACAGCTACGAGCCTTTCATCCACATCATCGACTCCATGGTGAACCAGCACTGCAAGTGGATCGAGAAGTGCCTTGAGGTCGAATGGAGGCAGAAAATTGCTTCCCTCAACATCCTACTCACTGCGACTGTCTGGCGACAAGATCACAACGGATTCACACACCAAGATCCCGGTTTCCTTGATGTCGTATGCAACAAGAGCCCCGAGGTCGTTCGCATTTACCTCCCACCCGACGCCAACTGCCTGCTCTCAACGATGAACCACTGCCTCCGCAGCGAAAACTACGTCAACGTAATTGTTGCCGACAAGCAGGAGCATCTCCAGTACCTCACCATGGAGCAAGCCATTGCCCACTGCACAAAGGGCGTCGGCATCTGGGAATGGGCAAGTAACGACAAGGACCAAGAGCCCGACATCGTCATGGCATCCTGCGGTGACGTTTCTACGCACGAGTCTCTCGCCGCAACAGCATTACTCCGCACACACCTGCCCGACCTCAAAATCCGTTTCGTAAACGTCGTCGACCTCTTCAAGCTCATCGACGAGGACCAGCACCCCCACGGCCTCAAGGCGCACGAGTACAAGGCCATCTTCACAGACAACGTACCCTGCATCTTCAACTTCCACTCTTACCCTTGGTTGATCCACCGCTTGACATATGGCCGCAAGGGCCAGCAGAACCTGCTCGTCCGTGGATACAGAGAGAAGGGCAATATCGACACGCCTCTCGAGCTGGCTATCAGGAACGGTACTGATCGCTATAGCTTGGCGATTGATGCGCTTGATAACATGCGTAACTTGGGTAACAAGGGTGCGGCGACGAGGGAGAAGCTGCTTGATGAGCAGATCAAGGCGAAGAATTATGCGTACCATGAGGGTATGGATCCTAAGGAGACGGAGGACTGGGTTTGGCCTTTTTAGATACTCTTGTAGGAGATGGGATTGAGTGAGTGGTTATGGGTTCTTTCTTGTGGGCTGAGATTGAAAGTCACGGTCTGGTATGATAATGGTATTATGAACGATACAGAATGTTCGCATGTCACAAGCAAGACTTGAGCATGGACAACCGTAGAGTGATGAAGAAATAGTCTTAAATTCCTAAGAACCGACCTATGGAAAATGCAAAATGCAAAATGCAAGATGCAAGACAGCCTAAGCCGCCAAACCCAAAACGCCTTTTCTATGCAATGTGAATATAATCTACGCGCGCACTGAGTGCGCGTCCACACCAAAAACGCCGTAAACACCATGCTTTCTAAACTGCCCCCCAAAAAACGCACAGCAATAAAGCCAAGCCGAAGCCCTAGAAGTCATAAGCAGCAGTATTAACGCTCAACCCCAGTCTCATATTGTCCACCGTCTTGCCCCCCACACCCTTGAGCATAGCCAGCGATTCCAAATCCATAATCTCAGCATCGTCCATTTCAACCAGGCAGTTCACAATGTTATCCGCTTTCTTTGCTCCGACGCCTTTTAACGCTTTGATCTGGTTGACGTCGCGTGAGTTGATGATCTTGAGGAGGTGGCTGGTACGGGGTGTTTGTTGGACAGAGGCGGCGGAGTGAGACGGGAGATCGGCAGTGGTAGTGGTCAGAGTCGTAGTCGTGGTCGGGGCAGTGTCGTCGCGGAAGATAGGCAGTTTCTTGGTGGTCTTTTTCGGTTTGCGGGCGGGCTTGGATTTGCTGGTGTACTGGAAGCTGGTGTCGGAGGCGTAGGAGTCCTCTTGGTCGGAGGGGGGCGGGGGAGCGAATTCTTCGTCGTCTGAGGAGTCGTCTTTGTAGACCATCTTCGGCTTTGACTGTTTCTTTTCGACGGCTTTGAGGGGCGCCATGAGGAGGTTCGAAGTGGGCGCTGCGGCGGTGGTGTGCGAGGGTAGCTCTACGGGGGCGGAGACGTGCTTCGTGGTTTCTTCCTTCTTTGCGCGTATCCGATCTTCAAGGGCCTTCATCTTGGACTCTAGCTTTGCGTTGCCGGGGAAGAAGGGCTGGGCCAGGTGGTACATTCTAAGTGCGCTGGCGTCTTCCCCGCGCATGTGATGCTGCTTTGCCATAAGCAGGAATTGCAGGCCCTGCGACTTTCCGTCCTCTTCGTGTGCATCGATACGGTGCTCGAGCTCGTCCAACCGCTTTTGCAACTCTGCAGAAAGCGCTGGCGCAGTAGTACCAGCGTCTTGCAATGCCTTCTCTGCCAACCTCTCATCCACCTTCTGTGCAATGAGAGCCTCAATCGAAGCCTTTGTCAAAGCGGGCTCTCTGTTCGGTATCCGTGAGGTGTTATCCCCAGTTCGGAATGCCTTTGTGGGCCGCGTTGCGAAGGTGCTGCTGGGTTCAGCTGCTCGTTTAGAACCCTCAGTTCTTCGCACTCCTTGGTTCTGTGCAAGGTTAGAAACGCGAGGAGCAGCAGCCTTGCGAGAGTCGGAGTATACAGAGAAGGCCTTGGTAGGCTTTTCCCCTTTCTTCCCCTTCTCCGGCTCCGGAATGTTCGCGTTGTGTGCGGCCGCAATGGATCGTAGCGGTTGCCGTGACATTGTTGCTCCGCCGACACTACTAGTTATCGCCAATGGCTTGACTGCTGTCCTGTACATTGGGTCGTTCTCCACCTCTGCGACCTCGATCTTCTTCGTCCGGCTAGCGAAGTTCAGGGAACTAATCGTGTCGAGGTGGTAGGCGCGGGTGGGCGCAAGGTTCAGAATCATGACAGTTAAGCCCTTATTCTGACCTAGTGACAAGATTCTCGTCATCTTGGACTCGCGGTACGGAATCCGGCTGGCCTTCTTGTTCATAGCTTCTACGCATTGAGCAAGTACAAATAGCGACTTGTTGATGGCCGAGCTCTCGACCAAGCGCTCCTTGTTGTTATCGGTTCGTCGGTTGTCTTCAGATCCTGCAAGATCAATGCAGGATGCTCGGCTGACGCGAATTGTGTCTTCAGTAGTTTGCGTAATCTTCACGCAGAGGACGGCATGGGACCGGGAGGAATGTGCGTTGAGCTGCAGTATCATTAGCGATGTTTACCCCTAACGCGTGTGAATCCTCACCTTGGTAGCGGATGTCGACCTGTTCATGTTGGCTTGGTCATAGAGCTGCTCAAACTCCTTGAGTGTTGTGCATGGCTTCTCCGTAAGACCAACGACGACAGTCTTGCCGTGGTTGTCTCGAATAGGCAGACCAGATGGTGTGCGCTTCTCCGGCGGTTCAAACAGATCATAGACGCGATCGCAGTAGATCTCGAAGTATTCCAGGGCGACCTCGACGTGTGTGGCACCAGCCGTGTCCTTCTCAATCTTCTTGCATCGTCGGTATATCGCGCTCAACAGTCTTGGGATGACACCGCGGTCCGCCAGCGACTTTCCTCCTCGCATCGTATGCGTCTTGCCGGTGCCGGTGCAGCCATGCGCGAATATAGATAGATCGAAGCCATTGAACAGGTGCTTTACCGTCGGCGCGACTGGTTTGGGGTCAACTTCACTTCCGAAACGCGTCCGTCGCGAACTCACTCTCGGCATCGAAAAGCTGCTGCTGCGTCGCGTCCTGCTCGTACACAGAGCTGAATTGGAAGCTGAAGGACTCGGCCTCGTTCTTAGGACTAGGTATCCGCACGACAGCCGGGGTGGTCTCGCCGTCCAATGTCTCGGCGGTGACAATGGTGTCTTTGTCGAGCTCCTGTTTCAACAGAGGACGTATCCTCGCGACGACGCGTACGCTCATGGTGATGACCGGCAAGGAGGGCGGCGATAGGATGAAAAGAGATACAAAAGTCTACGTCTACAGAGAAAAGAATGCCAGACCTACCGTACGTGACGTCGAGACTCGAGGCTCTGGCGACATGCAAAGGGCCTGTCCTAGCGTAAATGGCGGTCTGTGTTGTCCTTCCTTGTCGAAACTCGCCTGTTGCCCCGAGCGACCATCCGCCGCCCAGACGAATGAACATCAGGCACGTGCAAACCCGCCAACACATCTCGATCCACTATGGACATCGTCGATAGCTATAGCTGGTGCTTGCAGGCATCTAGGTCGTCTTCTATCGTGACCTCGACCTTGGTGTTGTGGAGAAATCCCCACAGGGTTCAGGTCTCTTAACGCATCGAACAACTGAAGGACAGCACATACTGCATGAAGACGCGGAATCCGGCAGCACTTGACAGACTCGATCGCGGAATCGAGCCTCATTCCGAAGAGCTATTTCTGGCATATGGAGACCTGGAGGCTCTGCACGGGAAGCAGACGTTCAGGCGGGCGCTTCAAGGTCGTGGGCTCGACGAGGCCATGCCGCCGTCTCATTGGCCCGCAGATGAAACACGTACCCAGCGCATCAGAGCACCACAGCCACTCCTCCAGTTACCAGCGCTACTTTCCTATGTAGCTCGAGTGACACGCCCAAATTACAGGCAATTGGAGCTATGCTGGGCCAGTACTACTCTTGGTTCCATTGTATACTCAAACCGTGCTCAAGGCGGCTAATGCAGCTTCAAAACCGATGCCAGCCCGCGTAGCAATGAGACACCGCCGTAGCCATCTGAACGTTTAGACTGTGGTTTGCTTGAGACGAACGATTTTCGTTTCTTTCCTTGGTGTCTTTCCTTACCGTCTGTTTCTGCTTGTCGATCGTTTCTCTTAATCGTTCACTATCTCAGTTTCGTCCCTCAGTCCATCGCTTTCCCACTCTGCCTGCAAGCGCCGTCTTTCTTCTTCGTCCACTCTTAATTAATTGTCGTCTTGACGATGGCTATCTTCTCCACAATTCTGCTGCTGGCAGCTTGCTCTACATCCATAAATGCCGGACCCGTTCCAAAGAATCACCGAAGACAACTGTGAGGAACCCAGGCAGATACTTTGAGAAACAAACACTGACTTCATTCAGCTTTCCTAGTTACGCCAACACTACCTCAACAATCGCATCAACATCAGGACAGCAAGTTGCAGAAGCAGAGACTGCTATTATAGTGGAGCCTATCCGGCAAACCATATTCTCTTCGATCGCACCAGCTATCACGTTCGTTCTTCCTGACGGGAAGCCACTCGTGACACAAGATCCGCAGACTGTGTTTTCTACTTCCTACATCACACCATCACCTCTGCCGACCCCGGAGGAGACTTCAAGCGCAGTGGCTACGTCTTCAGTAACACCAAGTCCGAAACCAACGCCCACAGAGAGCAGCGATGTGTCGGTATCGTCGGCATTGTCAAGTTCGGTTGCCGCTGTGGAAAACAAGACAGCAAGTGAGACAAGCCGAAAAGCTCCTATGTTCACCTACTCGCCCATAGAAGAGACGTCCACCTCGCTTGCCACTCCAAATGCATCGGCGACAAGTGCTGTCCTAGCATCTACCACTGCGGGCTTGCCTGGCTTCACACATCCCGGTGCGGCACCCTCGGGCCCACCATCTGCCAATACAACCACCAGTGCGATTGTCACCAGCGTATCTTCTATGATCAAGTCGGTCATACAAGCGCCATCTTCCACCCCTTTGGCCAACTCAACTTCTCTGGCAATTTCAGCCCCTGTATCGAGCGGATCGTCAACGGTTGTTCTCCCGTCAGCGACTGCTTCGGATACCATCGATGTGACATCGCGCATCATCGTCACGCAATACACCACTATCTACGCGACATCCAAGCCATCTCAGACACCTACGCAAGAGTCGATCATGCCAACTGAGGCTCAGGAGTCCGCTCCACTGGTCTCTTCAACATCAGAAGTGGCTGGCACATCTATGCCCGCTCCATCAAACGCTCCCGCCGAAGTGTCACCATCGGCATCCCTCCAGGTACCGCCTGTAGTGATCGTTACATCATACACTACAGTCATGCCGACAGCAGCACCAGAGCCGAGTGGAGCGCCTGAGATACCCGTTTCTTCCGCTGTGCCAGAGCCAGTCATACCCAGCTCAGCAGCCTCATCCTCTGTACCTGCAAGTTCGTCTTCGGGAGTAGCAGAGCCAACACCCACTGAACCCTCACCGTCATCTTTGACATCGGAGATTCCTGCGCCTACATCCACGCTGTCATCCTATGTTGCAACAAGTATGCCACCCGCCTCCTCAAGCTCAGCACAGCCATCACCGTCTTCGCCCTCCATGGAACTGCCTCCAGAGTCTTCAGCACAACCGTCCTCTTCCTCTATCGCGCCACCTCCAGCGGTCTCCGCATCCGCAACAGCGTCCACATCCGACGCCGTACCAAAACCACCAGCACCAGCACCCACAGAAATGCCATCTTCTGCGTCGCCGCAGCCAGAGCCCGCGCCTTCGTCAACGACATCAGAAGGTCCGCTGATCATCACGCCGATACCACCGAGTCAGATATTCACCGTGACTGTTACTGCGTCGCCGACTGGGAAGGAGACAATTACGGAGACAGCTACTGTTACTGTGACAGCGTAAGAGGGGAGGGATGGGGATAGAACGGGAGTGTAAAAGTTTTCTGATAATATGAGAGTCGTTGTTTGCACTGGTTTGCAGGGAGAGAGTGGTTTTAATTTGATACCCAAGATCTGAGAATTATATTTGTTATACTTGAACCAGTTGCCTTCGTTATAGCAGAGTCGTGTTCGTGAAGTGAATATGAAAAAGATGGATGTGAAATGTTCGGAAGCATAGAAACATATTAGCCCTTGTGACAAGGTGCAGTATCCAAATCTAAGCTACTCGGAGATCATTCTAGTTTGAGCGTGCGATATATGCTCCTAAACATCTCGCCATCACATTTTCACCGCTCCAAGCATACTGCTTTACACTCAATACCCGCTCTGCTCCTTCCTGCCACCCCCCTCAGCCCCGCCATCCGCACCATCATCCCTATTCGCCTTCGCATCACCAGCAGCCTCCTGAATACCCTGCGCATCGCCTCTCAGCTTCTCAAAGTACGCTTTGACATCTTCCGCACCAACAGCCTGACCCGACTCAGCGAACGGCTTCAAGAATGCCGAGACCTTGTCTTTGAGATGCGCATATGCCATTGCACCTTGGATAGCACGCACGCGATCCATGTTGTTGAATGCTGCTTCGCCACGATCGAGAATACTTCCTGTGCCGACGGATTGGCCACCTTCTTCGCCGTCTTCGGAGACGGGGGGCTCGTAGGTGTCTTCTTCTTCGAGCAGTTGCGGGTGGGCTTTGAGTTGTGGGTAGCATGCGTCGCAGTGGCAGAGGTGGTCGCGGAAGTCGGGCTTGAGGAAGAGGGAGAAGGGCGTTGTGAGTGCGGTTGCGGGAAGAGGAGGGAGGGAAGCGTGTTTTGGGGCTTCCGATGCTTCAGGCTTCTTGGAGGTTATGGGCAGCGTCATTGTGTCTTCGGGGATGCTGGTCAGTGTGCCACTTGGATCTTCAGACTTTTGGCGCTTAGCCGGAGCTGGAGCTGTCAGGTGTGATGATGTCTGCTGCTCTTCGTTTTCGTTGTCGGCTTTGCGTTTCTTGGAATCGCCGTTTATGTGCTCTGGAGCTGACACAGTGGACTTTGGGGCATGAGAAAGCGCGATGGCTTTGTCGTGGTAGACTGGTGGGAGGAACCCAGTTGAGCCAGCGTACTGTTTGATCCAAGGATTGGCCTCGACGCACTTGTAGCAGAGGAAGTGATCGAAGTCGTCCTCTTCAGGGAAGCTTGGAGGCAGTGGCGGATCATCATCCTCTTCTGCCCCAGCATCTGCTGCAATGTCGTTACCATCAACCCCATTGCCATTTGTTACTGCAGCTGCTATGTCCGCTGAAAGTGATGTCGAATTCTCATCAGCGTGTCCGTGGGTTTTGGTGTCATCTTCCGCAGGTTTGTCGGTATCCATTGCGTCTACTTTGTTTTCTTTCTCTTCCACCTTGGGTTTCTCGATCATCTTGCTGTATTCCGCACGAGTGAAGCCTACCAGGCATTCGGGGTGCCACCAGTCTTCGCCACAGCCGCCCCCCTCGCAAGTCCCAAGTCCAAGACATTGGAACATGGTACCCTTCTCTTGATGAGGGTCATAGTCCTCACCACAGCCACAGAATTTGTTCCTAAAGTTCTGGTTGTACTTGTTCGTCTTGGCTGGCTCTTCGCCCGTCACGTCGCCTTTGCGACCAGTCTCTGCGTTGAGACGAAGCGCGCAGGGCGTCATATCCGGTATCCTGGTAGTTCCACAGTCGCATATGAAGTTGCGCTTGTTGAATAATTCAACAAGGGTATGTTCGCCATGGCAGGAGATGGAGCACGAATAGCAGACGCCTGCTGGAGTATACTGCTGGGCGGATGATGCGGGCGCAGGGTTACAAGTGAGGCATGCGTAAAGGCTCTGTCGGAGAGGACCCAGGTCGCGTGTACAGGTATCGAATTGCTGTACCTTGTCAGTCGAGGCGCATTCGGAGGATGTGGGTACTGACGTAGGGAAGAGCCTCGCGTGCTTCTGCCTCGAGGCTAAGCTGTTCTTTGATAAAGCTATTGGGCTTATATTAGTTTCGGTATGACCAGGAGCGCAGCAGACACCTACTCAGCTGCCGTCTGTGAACTCTCTGAGGCTTGCGATACGCTGCTGGTACGCGGCTTCGAGGACATGGTCGTTGACTGTGAATCCGCCATGATTGCGATGCAACGCGCAACCACTGTATTCGAGATAGAAAGCGATTCGAAGTAGAACAAGAGCCCAAAATTCGACAGCACACGGGATACGGTCGAAATTAATTTGATCGTGGAAGCGCGTGGGAAACTTTGGCTTGCAGTGAAGAAGGCGCTGGATGCGCCTGGTCGCTGATTGGCCACCGCATCACCACTTTACGCGTGGAAAAGGAAAGCGCGACGCGGTCGTGTTGCTGGCCCTCACTACCCCTTCTCCCGCTCCCTCAACCCCGCTTCGCAGCCCCGTATCACTTTACTTTATCCCGGTGATACCAGTAAAGAACCGTGCTTTGATTGAACATGAGGTATGTGTCTCGGATTTCCCACAGGGCTCGTAGGCCGAGCAACGACCAGAGCCCCTCTTTACCACCAACAACAAGACATTAACAAACGCTAGTTCACCACCACCACCACCCCTTCGCTCCAACATGTCGTCCGCAAACCGCGGTGTAGGTCCTAGCAGCAGGAGCAATAAACGCGCAAGGGACGATGACGATCTCCCCTCCTCAGCGGTGCATCCGCCGTCCAGCCGTGAGTGCGACAAAAACATGCGACACAACAATGGCTAAACAAGAACAGCGATGGCCTCGTCGCCCCCCATGCTCCCACAAGACGACGATGCAGATATGCTCGACGATGACGACATCATTCGCGACGTAGACGACCTCGACGAAGACGCAGAAGAGGCGGAAGGGATTGATTTGTTCGCCGACGACTTCGAGAACGACTATGGAGCCCGAGAGAACGATGCATATGAAGGCCAGGGTATCGATGATGAAGGCGACTATGAAGAGCTCAGTCTCGCGCAAAGGCGAGAGCTTGATGCACGACTCAATGCCCGCGACAGAGAGGCAAGACGTCGCATGCCCGCTGCTTTCCTGCCAGATGAGGACGAGACGGATGGCCTGGCAGGTCTAATGGGACGCCGTCGTGTTCGGAGAAATCGATATGACGAAGAAGATGACATGGACATGGACAACGATATCATGAACGAGGAGTTGACGCTCGAGGCCCTCACCGATGTGAAGGCCAACACCCTGACAGATTGGGTGGCTCAACCCCAGGTCGCCAGGACTATTGCGCGCGAATTCAAGTCCTTCCTCACAGAATACACCGACGAGCACGGCCACTCGGTATACGGAGCTCGCATCCGAACCTTGGGAGAGGTCAACGCTGAGTCCTTGGAAGTCTCCTTCGACCACCTTGCCGAGCAAAAGGCTACTTTAGCATACTGGCTGGCCAACACGCCCACCGAAATGTTGAAGATCTTCGACCAGGTGGCTATGGAAGTCGCTCTCCTCCACTACCCTGATTACGAGCGCATCCACTCCGAGATCCACGTCCGTATTACCGACGTGCCTGTCCAATATACCCTCCGCCAGCTCCGTCAATCGCATCTCAACAGTCTAGTCCGTGTCAGTGGAGTCGTCACCCGCCGAAGTGGAGTCTTCCCTCAACTCAAATATGTCAAATTTGATTGCACCAAGTGCGGCGTTACTCTGGGTCCTTTCCACCAAGATTCCAATGTTGAGGTCAAGATCTCCTTCTGCCAAAACTGCCAATCGCGTGGTCCTTTCACAGTCAACTCTGAGCGTACAGTCTACCGAAACTACCAAAAGCTCACTCTACAAGAGTCACCTGGCACTGTGCCAGCAGGACGTCTGCCCCGTCATCGCGAGGTTATTCTTCTTTGGGACTTGATCGACTCTGCGAAACCTGGTGAGGAGATTGAGGTCACTGGTATCTACCGTAACAACTATGATGCGGCCCTAAACAATAAGAACGGCTTCCCAGTCTTTGCCACTATTCTGGAGGCAAACTATGTCGTCAAGTCCCACGATCAACTGGCTGGCTTCCGGTTGACCGAGGATGATGAGAAGGAGATTAGGCGACTTTCTAAGGATCCTCGCATCGTCGACAAGGTCATCAACTCGATTGCTCCAAGTATCTACGGACACACCGACATCAAGACTGCTGTGGCGCTCTCTCTTTTCGGAGGTGTCAGCAAAGAAGCTCCTGGTCGTCACTCCATCCGTGGTGATATCAACGTCTTGTTGCTTGGAGATCCCGGTACTGCCAAGTCCCAGATTCTGAAGTATGTGGAGAAGACCGCCCATCGTGCTGTCTTCGCCACTGGTCAGGGTGCTTCCGCGGTTGGTCTCACCGCTTCCGTCCGCCGCGATCCCATGACGAGCGAGTGGACTCTTGAGGGTGGTGCGCTTGTACTCGCCGATAAAGGTACTTGCCTCATCGACGAGTTCGACAAGATGAATGACCAGGATCGAACATCCATTCACGAGGCTATGGAGCAACAGACTATCTCCATCTCCAAAGCTGGTATCGTTACAACCCTCCAAGCTCGCTGTTCCATCGTAGCAGCTGCCAACCCTATTGGTGGTCGATACAACTCGACAATTCCTTTTTCGCAAAACGTCGAGCTTACCGAACCTATTCTGTCTCGATTCGACATTTTGTGCGTCGTACGCGACACTGTTGACCCGGCGGAGGATGAACGCTTGGCCAAGTTTGTTGTGAACTCCCATGGCCGGGCTCATCCTCTTGTCAACTCAGCATATGGGTACTCTGACAAGTCAAAAGCGACACAGAACGGCGACGACCAAATGGAAGTCGACGGTGACGCACCGATTAAGGAGGGTGAGATTCCACAAGATCTGTTGAGGAAATACATTCTCTACGCAAGGGAGAAGTGCAGACCCAAGCTCTACCAGATTGAGCAAGATAAGATTGCCCGTTTGTTCGCGGACATGCGCAGAGAGTCCATGGCAACTGGAGCTTATCCGATCACCGTAAGTACATAATCATCATGTCAGTAAACCATTCACTCACAACTACAGGTCCGTCATCTCGAAGCTATCCTACGTATCGCAGAATCTTTCTGCAAGATGCGTCTCTCCGACTACGTAGCGTCTGTAGACATTGACCGCGCCATTGCGGTTGCAGTTGACTCTTTTGTCGGATCACAGAAGGTCAGCGCAAAGAAGGCGTTGGCAAGGGCTTTCGCCAAGTATACTTTGAACAGGCCCGGCGCTGTTAGTGCGCCAACCCGAGGAGGGCGGGCGCAAAGAGCAGCGGCATGAGCAATGCTTCCAACTGCTAAACATCCACTAAGGATGCAGGTCTGATAGAGATGCGAAGGGGAGGAGTTTGTCGCATGCGTCTTGATTAACAGCGCTTGAATATGCAATGATACCATGTTGGAAAGCGTTATCTGTATACCGATATCCTGTCTACATGTACTGGATGCTAGGGGTTGACAGTGAAGATTATGAACTAGATAGGATATCGAAACAATGCCTTACAACAACTTCACATACCCAATGCAAAAGATGAGATGCACAGTAAAGCCAGCAGGGCAGCTGAAGATGCGCGTACGATCCAATGCGAAGTTTGGCGCTATCGTGGCACTTCCACTCACTCAAAACATTGTTTCTGATGATGAGCACATAAGTAACTCACGATCAACTTTGACTCCTGCACAAGTCATGAAGATGGGGTGTTCAGTGCTGGCATGATGGGTCGGCTGAGTCACTAGCGTTGAGCAACTCTTGGCGCACAAAGCATTTTGCGTCGCGCTACCACCCCCAATTCTCCTCGACAACCCACACGACCGGAGCTCAACAACCCTTTAGGAACACCACATTCGACTTCCTACGAGCAACGATGGCCCCCAAGAAGAACAAGAGAACCGCCGACTCCATCAACTCGCGCCTGGCGCTTGTGATGAAGTCCGGTAAGGTCACCCTCGGCTACAAGTCCACCCTCAAGAGCCTACGCACTGGAAAGGCCAAGCTCGTCATCATTGCCGGAAACACCCCTCCTCTGAGGAAGTCTGAGCTCGAGTGTAAGCATACTGTTCTCTGGGTTGCATGTGCAATCGCTAATTCCAGATAGACTACGCCATGTTGTCCAAGACCTCGGTCCACCACTTCTCCGGCAACAACGTACGTACCACACCCCGTCCACTCTCATTGCCTAACGACAAGATATCTTGTGCGCTAGGGAGCTCGTTACTATCTGGTTCCTAGTTGTGGTGGAATATACACAAGAACGCGACGATAACGAGCTCCTGCGTACTGGGTATACTTCGAGGGCTGGCTCTGAGAAGAGGTCTGAACATGGCTTCGGAGAGCAATCAGCTAATATCAGTATAGATTGAGTTGGGCACTGCTTGCGGTAAGCTCTTCCGCTGCTCCGTCATGTCCATCCTCGATGCCGGTATGTATCTTCCTTTCTGGTCGCACTATGATATCCCGCTAACAGATTGACAGGTGACTCCGACATTCTGTCCCAGAACACCGAGAACTAGAGTGTCACGACACATGGAAGGGGTGAAGTTAGACATGATACCTAGGCGTGGCGAAAGCTATGTCCACGATGATATCCAATGAATGCAAGATTTCATGAGCCATCCTGACGGTCCACATTTGCACTTGTGACGTGACTCACTCATGCATACTTGCATGTCCTTCTGTTACACTAGTGCTTACTGACCAAATTGTCGCAAGATTATCATGCGCCGGTCCCGAGTGCGCAGCTCTGAATAATCCAATCTTTCGAAGGTACACTATAGTATATCTGAACACTACGACAACAGTAGTGTATTCACCAGGGCAGGCTTTGAGCCATAGGTAAAGATGATCTGAACGAGCGACTTCGTGCAATGGATTCAAAGGGTGCAACAGAATTTAGCTCCTTGGCCTATTGTTAGAGCATACTTTGGATGCCTTTGGGTCTCGCGTTGGGCATAACCTGTTGAAACATGCCTCTTTGAATCGGCTATGCGAGGGAGCTCGGTATCCTTGATTTGTAATGCACACGAACAGATACCATAAGGGCAAACAGAATCTCAAGTTGTGTGGATGTACAGACATAAGTACAAAATATACTGGAGAATGCCATCAAGAACAACGAGTGCCTTCGTGACATCGCTACGCGCATCCCCAGAATTGCACGTTCGCTGTCTCGGGAAGCGGCGTGGCGGGTGCTTTGAAATCGGATGGGGCGCTAGCTTACTCAGGTCGTAGCGTTCGTGTGGGCAAATATTCGCTTAGCAATCCGGCGACGACTTCCCTCGACGCCTCTGACACTCACCTCCTACTAACACCATAAATACAGGGTAAGGTACGTACGGCTGTCGCATTTCTCTCCGCTGGAAGACGTCTTACTGACAGCTGCATCAGTTTGCGCTCGCCCTCATTCTCCGCGCCTCCTGGACACCCGCTCATTGATTTCAAAGCAGGAACAACCGTCACAATGGCTCGCCGTCCCGCCCGTTGCTACCGCTACTGCAAGAACAAGCCCGTACGTCACGATGGAGATATCGCGAGAGGAGGATAACAGGCTGACTGGGCCGTAGTACCCCAAGAGCAGGTTCAACCGTGGTGTTCCCGATGCCAAGATCCGCATCTTCGACCTTGGTCGCAAGAAGGCCAACGTAGACGACTTCCCTCTCTGCATCCACTTGGTCTCCAACGAGTACGAGCAGCTGTCCTCTGAGGCGCTCGAGGCCGCCCGTATTTGCGCCAACAAGTACTTCGTCAAGAACGGAGGAAAGGAATCTTTCCATCTCCGTGTCCGCGTCCACCCCTACCACGTCGTCCGTATCAACAAGATGTTGTCGTGCGCTGGTGCCGATAGATTGCAGACCGGTATGCGTGGTGCTTTCGGCAAGCCCAACGGTCTTGTCGCTCGTGTCAACATTGGCCAGATTCTCATGTCCGTCCGGACAAGGGACTCTAACCGCGCCGTCGCCCTCGAGGCTCTTAGGCGTTGCCAGTACAAGGTATGTTTGAAAATGACGTCAGAGATGGTATGTGCTAATTAGTTGGTAGTTCCCCGGTCGCCAGAAGATCATTGTCTCCAAGAACTGGGGGTTCACTCCTCTCAAGCGCCAGGAGTACATTGACCTCCGCCAGGAGGGCAAGGTCAAGATCGACGGTGCCTACGTCCAGTTCCTCCGCAACAAGGGCAACCTCGCCAACAACATCCGTCGCTTCCCTGAGGCTTTCGAGTCCTCTGCTTAGGTTTTGGATTGAGGGATGAGTTGTGTGCATGACATCATGGGTCCAATGGGAATTCGGTTACGGCGTGATTTGCTTTCTTCATCAGTTATGGATGAAGGCTGGAGGGTGAATATCTGCGGCGTGTAACTGTAGAGAACGACCAGACACAGCCGGACAATGACAAATGATACAACAACGCTGTGCTGCCATGATTGTGTTTGTGTATTGTAGATGTGCAACTATTGATTGCATCCGTCACCCATTGGACGAGAGTTCCTCATGAGCGGTTTACGGTGGTTGTCGTCCGAGACGTCACGGTACATCACGATGTTTGTTGCTCGAATGATTGCTATTGATCTCTACTAGTAATGGTCCGATGCTAAAAGTGGTATAAGTTCCCAACCCAGCAACTCCAATGACGAACGCCTGCCTGTTCCCACGTAACCAAAGGCAAATGCAACATGAACGTGTAATTCAAACACCGACACCAGCGCCTCGACCTTCAGCCTGTGCACGAGAAAACTGCTGCAAAAGCTGTAGTACACCTCCACGGTTGTTACCCGGTGCTTCCTCTTCCTCGTCATCATCCTGTGCAAGACGACTCGTTCGCCACGAGTCACCCAGTGTACTCTCCTCCTCAATACGCGTATTCGACGGGCCAGGTGCATCCGGGACAGCTTGCAAAGGCGTCCGATACCTACTGTTGGGTGCCTGACGTGGCGAGCTGCGGAGTATAGACGCAGAAGAAGGCTGGTGGTGAGGATCCAGAAGAACAGAGTTCATGGACTCGTCCCTAGCACCCGGCCTATGTCTGGGTGTTCTCTGCTGGAGATTCTGGCGGCCAGTAGGTCCTCTGCTCGTTCCTCTTGCGCCCATTTCAACGGGCTGCGCAGTTTGCGACATGGAACCAAAGGTATTGGGAAACTGTGGTGGAGGATGGAATTGGCTTCGGCCTTGGAGGCGACCGTTGTAGCCACGTCCAGGGTTCTGGTACGTGTCCAAGAAGCCGTAGTATGATGCCATCATCTTGTTGTCTTTGGCCATGAAGTAGTCTTCCCGGAGATCAGGATCTTCTCTTGGGGCAGCAGCTCCGTTCGCTGGGATGTTGTTGGCGTTGCGAGTAGTCTTTGTAGAGGGGAACATGGAGTAAGAACATGTTACACCTAGGCCATCGACAACAATCGAGAATTCGCGGAAGAAATCGACGATGCGCTCGCTGCATTGCGGCAATCTGAACATGAGCAGGAAAGGTGTGATGATCATGCTGAGTATCTCTTCAGCGAATATGACAATCTTGGGCTGGTACAGTTGAGCGAATTCAGCGCGAACCTCATCGGTGTGTAGCCTATCACGCCACGACTCGGGCTCATAGCGCGTGTGGTAGATGACGTGTTGGAGGTAGTAGGATGGATCTGCGACCTGGTCGTCTTGAGGGCTGCTTCCACGTGCGACACGGTAAATCGTGCTAAGAATACCGATCCAGAAGATAGCTGTTTTGCCCGGGGTGATTTCAAAGTTGAGGAAGAGCTCCGAATCCATCAGAGTGAATACTACAAGGACGAATGCGAAGGCGCCGGCAATGAATGCGACAAATGATGAGACTTGTTCGGTCTTGTCTTTGGGGAACTGGGCAAGATAGAGGTTTGCGTACGGATAGGCCATGTTACGGCGACGGGCGAAGTAGTGAGGCAGCTCGTTGAACTCACGGAACTTCCACTGAGCGAAAGTAGTGAAGTCGCGGTTACTGAGTTGGCCTGGATCCTTGTGGTATTCGGTGAAGTATTTGAACATGTATGAAGCAAGCACAAATACCACGGCGAAAGGTGCGCAGAGGATACTGATGATGCCAGTCCAGAAAAAGCGAGTTTTCAGCCTCTTTACGAGCTCTCGGCGGTTGCGTTCCTTCAAGAAGTCAGGGTTGAACTGGCCGTTCGGTCCACTGAAAACAAAGTCCATGATGGCGAGATTGACGTGCCATCTGGTCGTTTCCGAGAAGATATATCGATTGCCAAGGAAGGGAAGCGGAACGGTGACATCCAATATCTCCTTGTTGAAGAGGGCGATCAGGTAGTTGTCACGACGCATCAGGCGACCCGCGATGTCGATAGCATCTAGTCGCTGTCTGCTCTTCGAATCGAGCAACTTGCGAGTCTGCGGAGACAGGTTGGAGGCGGTGGTCAAGTTCAAGTCCCGCAAAGCCATGATGCGCGTCACCACCTGCTGCCACTGTATGGTTTGTATGTCGCGGTCGGGGATATCGAGCAGGTAGTGGTAGAAGTCGTGCGTGGCTCGGAGCCGGGGTATATCGGTGACGAGGTTGTAGAACGTGTAGAGCCAGTAGATGATGAAGACCCACAGGCCAAATATCCAAATTCCATGGATCCTGTATCATGTCAGCTGGGAACTAACTTCGTCTTAGGCATTTACTGACTTGGCTGCACACTTTGGCACCAGGACCTGCTCCAGCTTGTTGCTCTTTGGCAACTTGGAGTAGTCGATGCAGAAGCCAAGGAATGTCATGAACCCGACTACGAAGGCACTTCGAGCGAGCGTCAGAACCCGGGCCAGAAGGATGGAGTATATGCCACAGCCGACATAGTAATCATAGACCTCGGTCATGTAGTTGTCCAGGTCCATTTGATTCACCCACAGCCACAAGGCCTTCTCCTTCCGGTCGGCGGCAAAATGCCCAGGTCTACTGGTATGTCCCCACGGCCGCGAAGGTGCGCCGTTTCCATCCTCGTCGTGCAGCCGCTGTTGGTTCCGTGTAGCATCCCACTGCGCCCGTGTTTGTCGCGTGGCCGGGCCCGGCACAGGCAGAGGGAGACCTTCGTTGCGCTGAGTCCCACTCGGCCCAGGCTCATGTCCTCCTTCAAGAAGTAAGGACTGTGGTACATCGTCATCGTCGTCCAAGGGCAGAGTGCGAGATGGAGCAGGTTGTCTCCAAGCCGGCATGCGACTCGCTGTGTTAATGCCGGGTGGTGCGTTGCGTTTGGCCTCCGGGGAGACAGCGCGACTCTCAGTCGTCATCTGACTTGATGATGCTTCTTCAAGCAGATGTGCGAGGTCTTGCTCCTCAAAGCGAGCCTCAAAGTTTTCCTCGTCTATGTCCATCTCGTGTCGCTCGTCGGTCGAGGTAGAGCCGCGGCGGTCGTGGGCAGTGAGAGGTTCGCGTTCGTAGGTTTCGTCCGATGCAGAAGGAAGAAGCTTAGACAGTAGGTTAGAGGCCATCATGGTCGGACAGTGGTGATGCGCTCAGGCAACGGCGGGGCGCGTGGCCGTGCTGCGCTGGGTAAAGGGCGTTTGGAGGCTGGAAGAATGGTCAGAGGACCGAAGGCGTGATCCCCAAAAGTCAAGACGAGCCTCCATGAGCACTGACGTAAACCTAGTCAGTGACCATTCCAGCGTGATAGAGAGTAGGATGAGGGATGGCTGCCGCTATCGTTGAAGCACATGGCATTCATGCAGGTGACGCGACCGATATCGATAAGGCTCGGCTGCACTTGCCGCTCGTCTGCCCGATATGACACCTTTCGGGGCCCAAGTCACAACACCCATCCAGCCATGTCGGTGAGCTATTTCCAGGAGCGAGCAAACCCAGCTTCGCAGAATGGCAATTCTCCGTCCTCTCCGTCGATAGCGCCTGCATCGCGAGGGACAAATGCTCTCTCGAGTAGGATCACCAGCGTGCTCTCTGCATCATACGCGGACTTGGAAATTCGCGATGCCCTGGAAACTCTGGATGCGCGTGGGGTACAGAACACCGCAGAAACACGACGGCAGTTGCGTTTAGACGTGCAGAAAGACGTCATAGAGTGCAATGGCGAAATCATCAAGGACTTTGGCCAGGTTGCGGCGGTACGTTGGAGCACGAAGTATCAAAAACATGGCACTAATCTTCACTAGCAACTGAAACGTATCGGAACTGCTATCAGTAGCCTGAATACCTACTGTGCGGATATGCGCGGTCATATTGAAGCTGCCAATAAAGAAACTGGTCCCGTCTTGGAAGAAGCCACAAGCCTCATAACCCAGAGGAAGCAGGTCGAATCTAAGCAGCAGATTCTGAACGCCTTTAGCACTCACTTCCTGATATCCGAGGATGATGCTACTATTCTGACTTCCACTGCTGAGCCCGTCAACGAGGAATTCTTTCAGGTCTTGACCCGTGTGAAGAAGATACATCACGACTGTCAAGTCCTGCTCGGGACCGAGGACCAACGGTTAGGCCTAGAAGTGCTAGAACAAAGCTCTAAGCAGCTCAACTCAGCCTTCCAGAAACTGTATCGGTGGATCCAACGCGAGTTCAAGACATTGGATCTTGAGAACCCACAGATCAGCGCTTCTGTACGCCGGTCCCTACGCGTGCTAGCTGAACGTCCTACTTTGTTCCAAAGCTGCCTCGATTCGTTTGCCGAGGCACGAGAAGCCATCTTATCTGACTCATTCCATGCTGCATTGACCGGATCGACGTCAGAAGAGCACATAGCCACCAAACCGATCGAGTTTCATGCCCACGACCCGCTCCGCTATGTCGGAGATATGCTTGCTTGGGCTCACTCAACGACGGTATCGGAGAGGGAAGCACTTGAAAACCTCTTCATCTCGGATGGCGACGAGATCAAACGTTCGATCCAAGCAGGTCTTGAGAGTGAACCCTGGCTGAGAGGCGATGAAGACGCAGAAGTCTTCGACGGACGAAAAGCTTTGAGCCAGCTCGTCAGCCGCGATCTTACAGGTGTAGCGCGTCTTTTGAGGCAGCGGACCGAACAGGTTGTCCAGAGTCACGACGATGCAACCCTTGCTTACAAGATCGCAAACTTGATTGGTTTCTATAAAGGAACCTTTGCGAAGCTACTTGGAGCAGATTCCGATGTCTTGGATGTGTTTGATACACTAGAGGCTTCTGCGATGCGACAGTTCCGTGCTAACATGAGAGATTACGTCGCCAATGTCCAGAGCGACCTCGCTGTCGCGCCAGCCGATCTGTCCGCCCCTGAATTCCTGGAGGATGCACTCCAAATGCTTCGGGTACTTGCGAAAAGCTACGATACATCATTTGCCGCAACGGATGACAACGGGCAAGGATTCCAGACTGTACTTGCGGAATCTCTGGATCCTTTCTTGAATGGTTGCGAGAACCTGCAAAAAGGAATGCAACTGCCTGATAGCGCCATCTTCGCCATCAACTGCCTCTTTGCGGCCAAAGAGGTCCTCTCTCAGTATATCTTCGCTAGCGAGCGGGTCAGCGACATCGACGAAACAATCGATGAGCATGTTGCGAAGTTGACAGACTACCAACACCAGTACTTGGCCCATGAATCTGGTCTCGTCACCCTTCTCGATGCGCTTGAAGGGATTACCGACTCTCCAGAAAGTCTCAAGACAATCCCTGAATTGGATGCTTTTAAGCCGGATGCACTGGTAGCAGCCAGCCAGCGACTCGACGAGTTCCTGCCGTCTGCTATCATCGATGCATCAGAGAACATCAAGCGGCTGCGCAACAGGAAGATGATACAGGACATCACAGAAGAAGCAGCTGGCAAGTTCTGTGAGGACTTTGAGGCTGTGGAGGCCAAGATGATGGCTGCAGATGATCTAACATATGACGAAGATAAGGAAGACGAGGATCAGGAACCCGGTTTGAGGGATATGTTTCCTCGTACAAGTGGTGAGATACGGGTGCTGCTCAGCTAAAAGGCCTGTTGTGGCGAGTATATACAAGCCGGTGAATGCTGATCATCAAAATCCACCTCATTTACGCTCAAATCCATCCATCATGAGTCGTGATGTCTAGACCCATACTCTCGCCCTCATAAGCATCCAAGTCGCTAACACACGTTCGCATGACCACTCCTTACTGCGGTTTCTTCTTCTCCCACTCTTCTGGCGTATGACACTTGGGCGTCCATGCATGTATCGCGGCAATCTCCTCCTTCAATGTCGAGTTAACTAGCCGGTGTCGTGCTAGAGTAGTCTTCTTGGCGAACTGTGGTGATACGATGATAGCCTCGTACATTTGCCCGCATCCACCTAGTATGCGACATTAATTCATACTCGTGACTCCGGTTCCAAACCTAGCACCTTTCTAGAACACAACCGCGCTCGTGGTGCGATCGATCTTGACTTCGTGCCAATCTATAAATGGGAAAGAAAAGAATATTACGTACCGCTCAGATCTTCAATCTCGACATAAGTTGCGCCCAGACCCTCCTTCAACTTCTTCTCCAGTCCCTCCATAGTAACGCCAGAAGTAGCCTGCACCTTTGCCGCTTCCTCGTCCGTCCTTGCACTCATGGTCCTTCTGGTGTCTGGTGCGATGGCAAGATTGTCAAGAGTTTTGTAAAGTTTGTGTCGCGGATCCATAAGGCGATGATGAGATATTGACCCTTGGTGTTCCTATCTTCGGATCTGATAAGATGCGGTTGCCGAATGGGGAAAGACCGGGACTTTGGGAGAGGAGGGGCTATGACGCATCACTGCAGGGGTGGGCAAGCGCGTTGGAGTGGCATTGCTGCACGCGTAGATTTTGCTTTGCGACTGTAAACCCAGAAGCTGTATGTTTGTATCTACGGCACGACGGTTCGCTATGAGTGCGACTACTACTTCAGCGCCTTTTTCGAGGGCGGTGGTCAGGGCGATGCAGAAGCTGTAAGTTCACTCGAAATAGGTCGAGCTCTGCTCAATGCATCGCGTTGTACGTTCTCAGATACTGACAATTTCGAAGATATCCGAAAGAGCTTGCAGACAATTCCTGGGATAACACCGGGCTGCTGCTCGAAGCGCCGTTCGATCCGTCGCGTCGCCAGTCAAACACGGCCCTCCTTACCATCGACCTTACCAAAGCAGTCGCCGACGAAGCAATCGCGCTCAACTCCTCAATCGTCATCGCATACCATCCTATCATATTTCGAGGCTTGAAATCGTTGACTCTCGCCGATACTCAGCAGCAATCGTTACTGCGCCTTGCTAGCCACGGCATCAGTGTGTACAGTCCACATACTGCCCTCGACGCAGCTCCTGGAGGACTTGGAGATTGGCTTGCGGATATCGTAACAGGCACGAAGACAGTTCACAATGGCTCAGAAGCTGATGCGCAATTGGAACCTGCAAGCAACACAAAGGAAGACGACGATCCCTTCATTGAGAAGAAGAAACGCCCGACATTCACGCTGCAACATCATCCCAGCCAGCCCTTACTACACTTTGGCAAGCAGCCTACGCCCGCCGAAATCCCGCTCACTGCCCCTCATAAGCGCGAAACTATCAAACCTCAATCGCCAGCGCTGGCATCACACCCCGGAGCTGGCATGGGCCGCATCGTGAAGTTCGATCAGCCACAACCGCTCCCAACACTCCTCGATCGCATAGGCAAGGGACTCAACAACCCCAAAGGATTTCCGATCGCGATACCCCAGGAGAAGGCAATTGTAGACATAGAGATACGTAGCGTAGGCATCTGCGCAGGCTCAGGATCAGGTCTACTGAACGGTCTAGACGTGGATCTACTGTTCACAGGCGAGATGGACCATCATTCGGCACTCGCAGCGATCGAGAACGGAAGGGTTGTAATCAGTCTGTTCCATAGCAATTCTGAACGTGGCTTCCTAGCAGAAGTCATGCTTTGGCAATTGGAAGAGGCGGTGCAAGAAGAATGGGGGAAGATCAGGGATGAGGAGAAGGACAACGAGGCGCTGCAGGATGCATTGGCAGATGATGACTTTGAGATTGCCGTCAGCGAGATTGACCGCGATCCTTATGGAATTGTAGTGTTGAAGAGCGATGCAGATGCGGCATAGTAACAGCACGTAGGAAACAAATATAGCGAGGATCGAGACGATGACACGGATTACACGAGATTTGGTGGGGTTCGAGAGAGGTTTACCCCACGTCATCGCCCGCGTTTCACCTACGCGTTGCGTGCTACAAAAGACGCATTGAAGTTCATATTAGATTTTAATCCCAATTTTTCAACTCACAACCGGAGCGCAGTTCAGCGCTATCCGCTCAACATAATCCTCTGTGGCGCAATTGGCTAGCGCGTCTGACTGTTACACCAGTGGCTATCAGGAGGTTGGAAGTTCGAGCCTTCCCGGAGGAGGATTAGTTTTTTTGCCTCTGTAGCTACCTTACGGCTCCCTGTTATCTGCTGTGGCATCTTAACTCCTTTTGCAAGTCTTGGTTGTCTGGCCGAGAAACATGTACGATTCCCGGCATAAGAGAGTGCAGCTCGACTGCATTGCGGTACAATATGTACCCGTTCAATATCTATTACTCTTCTAACTATCACTTCCAACAGGATAGTAAATCTCCTCTCAATGAACCATGTAGTCTTGACTGCACGTAACCATACGACATCAACACCGCGCGTCCACGCGAACAATAACACACTGCTTCGACATGGTATCGTACAAGCCAAACTCGCTCACCGTCCTTAGGCATATCTCTTCTAACCGAGCCTTCACTACGACCATCCCTCCTTGATCCAACTGCTGCTTCACGCCAACCTCTGGATTCCCACCCGGCGAGCGCATCTCCGGCCCTAGCGACGGCATAACTCTACTCAAAAGTCCTCTGACCCCCTGCCTGTGCACGGTGTTCTCCACACCTCTTCCTTCCCCTCTCGGACTCCTCAAAACCGGGTTCGCATTCAAATTCTCACTTAACAACCTTTCCAACTCTACAATCACAACTTGTGGTCTCCAGAACTCTGTGCGGTTCATCTGGCCCTCCAATCGCACGACTTTTGGTTCGTCTTCGGAGGAGAAGCCAACTACTTCTACTGGTTTGGTGTCGGATGTGTCGAAGCTGAATTCTGATTTCTCTTCGACTGCGGGTAGGGGGATGTCGGAGGGGAGCATGGCTATGGTTGTTTGGGCGATGCCGTAGGTGACGCGTTCTTCGATGAGGGGGATGACATGTCTCTCGATTACGGATTGGATGTGGTGTGTGCGGGTTGTGCTTAGTTGATTGAGGATGGTTTGACCGCGTGAGGAGGTTGGGATGTTGTATTCTGAGTAGGGTGGTGGAGAGGCTTGTTTCTCGTTTCGCGACATTGCTGTGGTGTTGACTAAACTTGAGAAATATAGTTGTCCAATGTGTCGGTATGTTCAGAGCGGGATTGTGGATGTATCGGCATTGAGATTACAGGCGTTGCTGCAGGAAGTCGTGGAATGTGGTCGTATACTTGCTCTCGTTACCAAACTTCTACGATTACCCTTTGTTGCAGTGGCAATAACTGAAATTGTCTTTCCCGGATATCGAACGGATCGCGGCAGGCGCATACCGGAGTAGTTACAGTTTCTAGAACTCAGGTCTCATGTGGCACAGCCACGCAGCCTTGACTAGTCCCAAGTCGCACACATAGCAGTCTCGTGATCGTACGAGCCATGGGAATAAGGGCGCAATGATGTATTGCCTGGCGTGGGTAAGCGAATCGTAAGCGTGTAGAAATCCAGTCACAAGGTGTCCGGGCCGAGAGCCTTGGCGTTGGGTTTCTACATCTGAGGGTGGTAAGATGTGTAGGAACTCCAAAAAGTGAGTGCAAGGTGGAGGCTACGCGACGCGGAGGGCAGGCAGCTCGCTCAGATTTCTGGCCTGGAGATTGCCTTACCGGCCCTTCTCTGTGAGGGGTTTAAGACAAGTGTGAACGACCAGCTGCGCAGTTCGTAAAGCTGCCTATTCTGCTCACCGCGCGAGAACGATACTCTTGAGGGATAAAGCAATGCTTCAGGCCCAAGGCACATGGGGTGGCTGTGAGGCGCAAGGCAGAAACCGCTGCGGCGCACTACTCCTTACATGGACTAGCGTTGCGGCACGTGCATACCCGTGAGTAATCTCCACCAACACGAGCACGAAGAGGCTCACCGAGAGTGTCACTCATGCCGGTATTGCGGATAAGGAAACATCTTGGAAAACTCTCGTGATGCATATAAGAGTAACCATAGTCGCTGTTAGCTCAGCCTCATACTGCGCATTGTTCTTTGAAGCGCCCCAACCTTGATTGATACCTCCTTGTTCTTTGAGCACATCACCACTCTTTATATAATACCATACATAATCCCACGCATCTCCCCGAGTACATATAACCTGAAGGTCTTCGAGCAACATTCGATACCAGACCGAGACGCCTACATCAACCTCAACATTGTAAAATCCACTTCCAAACAACACCTTGAATACCTCTACCGTCAAAATGTGGTACCACGTAGCCGAGCCCAATTCCTACCTCGTCATCACGGGTGTAGGAATCGAGAAGGTCTTGATCAAGAAGAAGGCTTTTGTATACCCTCTACAGAAGGTTTCTAAGATTTCGATCACGCCCTTCGACTTTTCCATGGCCCTCCAGGCCATGACTATTGAGAAGCTCAAGTTTGCTCTACCCGCCGTGTTCACAATCGGTCCTGCAGATAGCCCTGAAGCCCTTGAGAAATATGCCGTACTGCTCACTGGCGAAAGCGACGGAAGCCCCACCCAAACTGCGGCCAAAGGAGTCGTCTCAGTTGCTGAGGGTCGCAACCATGTTCAAGAGATTGTTAAGGGTATTATTGAGGGCGAGACGCGAAGCATTGTCTCTACCATGACTATGGAGGAGCTCTTCCGTGAGCGCAAGATCTTCAAGGACAAAGGTACGTCTGAAGAGGAATCCGTGTTTAACGTATATTGACCTTCGATAGTTATCCAACAGGTTCAATCGGAGCTCGATCAGTTTGGTCTTTGCATCTACAATGCCAATGTTAAGGAGCTACAAGACACTCCTGGCTCAGAGTACTTTGCCTTCCTCTCCCGCAAGGCACACGAGGGCGCACTAAACCAAGCCAAGGTTGACGTCGCTCACGCTCGCATGCAGGGTGAAGTTGGTGAAGCGGAGAAGCAAGGCAAGACAAAACAGGAAGTCGCCAAGATTCACGCCCAAACCGCCGTCCTTGAAACTGAACGTAAAGCCGAGAAGGCTACAGCAGACGCCAAGTTCACCGACAAGGAGATTGAGATCGGTCGTGACCTCAACGTCGCTCGTATCAACGCCAAGCGCGAGGCCGAACGACGCGATGCTGAGCTCCAGATGGAAGTCGAGAAGAAGAGGGCACTCATGGAGCTTGAACGTCTCCGTGCTACCAAAGTCGTGCAGGCGAAGATCGAGAAGGAGAGTGCGCAGCAACAGGCTGACGCAGAGCTGTACACTCAGGAGAAGTCCGCCGACGGACACAAGTACAGCCAGCAAGCCGAAGCCGAAGCCGCTGCTTTCCGTAGCCTACGTGCTGCTGAGGCCGACTTCGAGGCTACCAAGCGTCGCGCTGAAGCCGAGTACTTCGCCCAGGAGCGTGCCGCTCAGGCTCATCTCATCACCCAGCAACGCGAAGCTGAGGGTCTCTCGGCGATGGCCAAGGCATACGGCGATATGGCCAACGTCCTCGGCGGTCCCCAGGGCCTCATGCAATACCTCATGATCACCAATGGAACCTACGAGAAGCTTGCAAATGCGAACGGCGCTGCCATCAAGGGCCTTCAGCCGAAGATCAACGTTTGGAACACTGGCAGTCAGGGAGGCGAGGGTATGGCGGACCCGTCAGCACCTATTCGCAACCTTTTCCAGAGCCTGCCTCCTCTTCTCAGTACGATCCACGACCAGACTGGTATGGCGCCACCTAGCTGGTTGGCGCAGATGCCCCAGCAGAATGGCGATATGGCCAAGATGCACCTGAGGAACGGCAGCGACGTGTCGCCATAGAAGGAGAACGATGGCGTCGTGGATTGTATATGTTACTGTTTTCTTTTGCTATCGTCTGTATCATTGGCTGCTATACCCCATGGCTAGGAGTTTGCGATACGTCACTGTACTGTCTAATCTTTTCTCTTTCGTTTGGCGCTACCTCGGGTTGATGACATAGACTTAGAATAATACAACAAAGATAAACCTTATCGAAGATCGGAGCAAGTGTGGGGAGGTGATCGAGGCCTGGCGACGACAATGCTTTTTCTTTTGAACCGCCGTCCAAGTACGCGTGCCTGTATTCAGCTTCTGAGAGTTGGATTCGTATGACTGCGCAACTGCTAGGATGGGGTGTGCGGGAGATGTTAGCAGGACGCTCCTTCTTCTTGACTCTTTACCTAGCCCATGTGTGTTCAGCAGGGACTAGCATGGTACGTCGAAAATGCTGCTACTATCAAGATACCAAGTGGTTGTCCCTTTCACAGTTCGTGGCGCACATAAGGCGAAGTATAGATGAAATGTGATACTGTTGTCCGTCCGACGCGAGAACTTTGGATGATTCCGCATAGATGAAGGGTCTAGGGGTGGAGCCGGATGAATCTTGAACGCTGATCCCCTAAGCAAATGAGTAATCAGTCCGTCAGCCGATACGATTGCAAAAGGAACTTTCCTTATCAATGAAAGCTTTCCCAGGCTCGAGACAGCGAAATCGGAACCGAAGGCGAGCCGGATGACCTCGGACGACCGCAAACGTATGGAATGACGGAAACGTGTGCCTGACGAAGCGCGAACAGATAGCTACCCGCAAAGATCGTAAGATCTAGCTGAGTCTTCGATATTGCGAAGGCGGTCCATCGCTTTAGGCGTGTCTGAGTTGCCGTGGAAATTATTGAAAATGACGACAATACACCTCAGCCCATTATCAGCCGTCGAACCTTCCCCGTGCGGCGTCTCCACACACACCCCGCCCCCTCAACGTGAAACCTACCACGGCTCACGTCTTTCAACGCGTGTCGTCAGTATCGTGTTATGGTGTCGCGAGGCCGCGAATGAAGCACGAAAGGCTGGAACAGGCACGGAGAGTTTCTTTGGTTGGGCTGAATGGTGAGGGGAATAAACATGGGCGCGACCCGACGATCACAGACGGGCTCACTCAGCACAAGCTGCAAGCGAGTTCGCTTTCTATATACGCGTTTAGTAAAACCTGCGTCTTACTATACATACTCACCGGCACACGTATCAGCATCCGCACCCAATACAATGGCCAAAGGGCTTATCCCAAACAGCCAGAAGCAACTCAGCCGCTGCACTAGATGAATCACCAACGCACGCTTGTCATGCCTCTCAGGGTGCCCCTCTGCATGCCAAACCGCGTCTTTACCGCATCCGGTCCAACAATTACGCAGTCGGCACGTCTTTTGACACGTCTCACGCGTTCGCGGTAGCACATGATCTACCTCGCACGCGTCGCACCAGACAACCGGGCACGGCTGGGTAGACTTGGCACGCGACGTGCGACACAATTCCATCACGCCTCTCCACACAATAAGCCCAAGTGGATACTACGGCTTATGCTCGCGCGCTGTGACTGGCCGGACAGTGACGGCAGCGAGGAAAACGTTAGGCCTCGGCGTAATGCCTGGGCTAATCGACGCGTGCGGCCGCGAAACTTCAACTTCGGGGTTGGTGATGTGGGCTGGTGCATCCACTTGCTGCATGTTTTATTTTTTCTCGCCGGGACATCGTAAGCAAGGTCGTCTTCGCCGGTCAGGCTTCATTTACACAGAAGATGTGCAGGACTTATTGGCTTCTCACTCTATACCGGATATTGAAACAATTGTTGCATTTCGTCAAAGAGGCACCAGCAGGGGGATCCATCATGTCGTGGCTTAGGGCCAGGTGCCTACCATGGATCATGGGCAATCGGCACAGACCAGACATGATGACGCCTGTGCTCATGTTACGGAACTACTTACGGCACGGCGGTGCGGAGATCAGTGCACGAGGAGGGGCTTATGTGGAACGCTCAGTCTCTTCTTCACACTCTTTGCATTTGGTCATTTGGATTCATCCATTTCATTCATTACTAGCTCATCTGCTCGACGCATCTCATCCATTCAGAAAGGACCAGCTGATTTATCAAAGTGTATAGGCTCTCGTTCGAACGGTCGTCCTAGCCAATATCACCCGTCCAGCCGATCCACCCTTTAGACAGAATCCATATCGAAGCCGATGCCGCCGAAAGACAAGAGATTAGGTACCAGTCGTTCACGCTTCGATACAGTCGTTGAGATTCGTGAAGACTTCATACCAAGGGACGCCGTTATCCCACACACACTTCGTAACGTTCATCATGTCCGTCGTGATAGAAGAGGAAGACATGAACACAAGGAAACAAGAAGCCGCACCGTTTGGCGGGCTGAAAAAGAGAGGACGTTGTAGTCAGGTAAAAGTGCCTGAATACACAAAAGAGCTGGGAAGACTGGGGCCAGCTGTCTGAAGAAGTCCCTTCCGGTGGTAAGGTCTTTCAGACCGAACTCCACTTGGCCCCGCCCGCCGACACTCGAATTACTGAAGTTTTAGAAGACACATGTAGCCACATGCCATGTCCAAGAAGTATAGGCCCAGAACATAGACAAGAAGCCAAGGTACGAAGGTCTGCCGACCCCGCCGGAGGTATACCATCGACGGCGAAAGGCTCTCGGTGAAGAAGGTGGAAGTTGGTATAGACAAACAAAGGAAATGCTTTTCATGGAAGCAGGAGTAAGTAAGCCCGTGGGCCAAATGTCAAGTATATGCAATGACGGCGTTTGAGGCCGTCGGTCGTAACGCCGATGATGCAGTCATGCTCAAGTGCAATGATGAGGCGGAAGACAAGACCGTCGAGCTCTAAGATCGGTACAGGTATGCTGAGTCGCTAGGTGTTCCAGCAAAACGCTCCTCGAAGGAAGCTGGAGGCTCGAAGCTATGAGAAATATTCGCTCGAGGGAAAGTGTTGCTCGATCGACCAACGAACGGGGAGCCCAAGCGGACGGTACCTTTGTTCTGGGCCTCCATTGGTACGGCAGGGGATGTTGGTGCCGGGCTAGGCATAGCAGAACCGCTTTGTGCGAAAGGGTTCAACCCTAACGGGTCGTTGATCAACGGCAGTCGTCGGGCACCTTCCATCATGTCACCCAAGCTGAAGCCACGGCTCCGTACGCGACGATGACTCGATTCAGCTGGGGCTCCAAAGATCTCGTTGACGAAGCTGTCTCCGCGGTTTCGCGCTCTATCCTCAAAGCTGTTGTGGAGCGCCCGACGCTTGAAGACTCTTGACTTGGGTCGAGGCGCGTGCAACTGGAAAGGCGAGCCAAGACGTGGGGTATGACCAGCGGACGACGATGCATGCCATGTTCGAGCATTGCTCTGGTTAGTGTTGCTGTTGGTTGACTCGTTCCTGGCACGGAACGGTGAGCCCAGCAAGTTGCCTAGTCCCAGGCCGATATGAAGCGATTGTGACTTCTGGTGAGCAGAAGAACGCGCGCTCGACCATGTTCGCGGTGCCGGTCGTGGTGTGATATCTTTGGCAAGTTGCGACAGTGGATTGCCCAACTGCATCGACGCAGCAGTGCTTGTGGCCAGCGATAAGTTCATGTCCCTTGTGGAAAAGGAAGTAGAGCCTTGCGAGAATGGCGAAGACAGCGGCTGCTGCTGTGGTTGTTGTTGACGCGGTTGTGGCTCGGGCTCAGGTGGAGGAGAGGATTGCAGCGGCGAGGGCGATCGACGAAGCATACGCTGATAGTGTGCAGAGAGGGATGGCTTCTGTTTAGCCAAGTCTCGTAAGCGCTTGCGACATTGCTTCTCACTGGGGTAGCGCATGGTGGACTTGATCGGCCTCGCTACAGGTGTGTTACTACCGCTCCTAATCGGCCTCACTGTACCCGGTGTACCGGCGAGGAAGCCGTGTTGTGGGGTCGCGTTAAGGGCACCAGCGCGAGAAGACTTCGGGCCCTTCCATGTCTTGCGAGCCATCCTCGCTACACGATGGCATACTCCATTCGGTGGTGTAGTGCTCGGAAGGGCTTTGAAGGGGGTCACAGTGGGGTCTTGAAGGTACTTCATGTAAGTCATCCACAAGTGATGATCCATCTCCTCGCTGAAGGTGGCTCGCAACTTCAGCTTTGTTGCAGAGCGAGATTGTTGGGTACCCATCGAAGGTGAGCTTGGTCGTTGGGCTTTGTTTGTGGGTGGGTAGAACGCGAAAGGGTCTGATGATTCATCTTCGGGGCTTGTGCAGCTGCCGCCTCTGGACATGAAGGAGCCAATGCTATCGCAGGACGAGACGGATGAGTCTGAGAAGCCCGACGATGAGGTGGGTCTGCTAGACGTTTCACTCTGGCTGACATGTGGAACGTCGGACCAGTCCTGAGTTCCCTCGTAGTGGCTGATTGTTCGCACTTGGGCAGCGGGAGTCTTGGGTGGGGAAAGCATACGAGGGAAGCTAAAACCTGGGGACAAGAATGCGTCGTTTTGAGGTAGTGAGTAGGGTGGTAGCAGGTTGGAGGTTTCCGACATGACTTCGGGAGCCTCGATTGTGGGGATGGGTCGCTGGTCCATGACGGCGTCCATGTCGTCGTTGTTCATGACGAGAGTGGCGCGGCGGCGACGCACCTTGAGCACCTGTCGGGGCGGCGGTGGCGGTTGCATCTGCTCGGGTTGCGGCTCTGGCTCGGGAGTCTGTGGAGCTGGGCCGTCACGGTAATGGAACATGAAGTTCCTGGGTAGGGTAGTAGATAGGTTGGGGCGTTCGGCGTCCATGTTGCTAACGTTTCGATGTCGTGTTTCAGGATACGATTGTCTTTGACCACAACAACAGGTCGACTTCAAAGACACTGCAAGGAGGAGGGCAGTTCAAACACGACAAACGATCAATGCATACGGTCCGAGGGTGGTCCGGTTGCTGTCGATGTGGTTCGGTTATGCAGGGCGGTGGTGATAGGTCTCGGGACCCAACAGGCAGGTGTTTGGTACTCTGCGAACGCGACTGTGCGGCTGCAGGTTGGTTACACGTGCAAGCAGGACAGCTGCGCCTTGATAAAGCGGGCGTACTGTCGCAAGACGTCGCGCACTCTTGATGGTAGTGGCAACGGGCGTTTTCAGTGTCGCAGAAGCTCTGTCGACACGAAGAATGCGCGAGTGCTCTTATCGGCGACGATGGCGCGTAGCTTCACGTCGCGACAAACAGCTGTCAACGGGCGGATGCGCGATTAGCAATAGTCGAAGACGATGCGCAAAGGTCCAAAGATGCGTCGGAGGACGCGTGAATTATCGTGAAGGGTGGCGATGGCGGGTGTTGGCGAAATATGGGAGTCGTGGGTCGCGATGAGAGGAGCGGGAGCGTGGGCGGAAGCGAATTGGGCGCCTTATTCCGCGTGCAAGGAAAGCGCAAGCGAAAGACAAGATTCGTAAAAGACGTAAGGAAACGGTCGTCAGGGAGTCGCGTGGTGCGCACGGGAGTGCGACGAGCGAGTGTCGGCTCGAGATTATCGTGAAAGTCGTGATGGTGAAGGTGATGTGCGGTGAGGTTCGCAAAAGTCGGCTGACGGTTGCTGCCCGGCTAGTGCGAGACAGCGGACGGGCTTAGGCCAAGATCGTCGATAGAACCTCTGCAAACCCACCAAGTGCCCCGAGCCCCATACAAAATCAAACACTCCGCATCCAACATTTTGCGCAATCTGCTCGCATGAGCCTTCATACGATGCCCTGCGTCTTATTGCATCGCATTCCGACTCTTGTGATCCCACGCAACACGTGAAGCTGTTGCCGCAGACCGTCGATTGCGAAACTGACGCGTCTCGACGCGCTCACTCTCCCGGCCTAACCGCTTTCGAGCCGGCATGGCCCGTGCAATCCTACCTTGATCGTGGCGCTCTCTTTCGACGGCCCCTGCATAGAGACCTTGTTTTTCTGCAAGCACGAACACCTGTCACGACTTTTTCATCCAGTCGCCCGCTGCCAACATGCTGCAAGCTGGCAAGCGGCTTCGCGGCATGCATAACGGTACCCTCCCCGTTGTCTTTTGCTTTTCCCTCCCGGTCCATCTCATCCACTTCTTCTGCCGCTTCGTCGATACAAATGAGTGACGGCGAGCAGATTCCTGCCACCTGTGCACTACGCACACGGCTAAGAGCACACTGGAGACCCCAATTCGCTACGACTCCAACCCTCTTCTCCACAGTGGAGCCTTGGCCATGGCTTTACAACACAACAACAGCACGAGTCATTACTACCTCGCTGTACTACGCACTGTAGCCAATGCTTTAGCCATCAGCTCCATCCGTCTGGCTAGAGCGAGTCCAGTGAAAACCTGTCTTTCCTCCATTGAAATTTCCCTTTCGTTGGCATACATATCTGCATAGACGTTAACAAGCGCGACCCTTTTTTGCGCCCCAGCCCGTCCTCCAGGACTTGGAGTGCCGAAACGTTGTGCTTCCCGCGCTTGGCTGCGAAAAGGGTCTGGATCGGCAGCTCATCACACCCACCAATATCAGGCTGTCCCGAAAATGCACGTGTTTCGCTCGATTTGGAAGTCCAGTCGACCAGCCGTCTTGGGCTTCGATTTTTCATTGGCTGACTTTCGCTGGCTTTAACACTGCCGAGCTCCATGAGGGCCTTAGAGTGGATTCGAGCCGCTCAACACAGCACGAGGCCTATAATGCAGCCCGTTCTAGGAATACCAGTGGCTGTATTATGGGCATCGAATATCTTCAATGGTCGATAGTGCGGGGCTTCATGTCCTCGTGAACAGCCTTGAAGCCCACGCTCGCTTCCAGCAGATCAGGCGATCGTTCGGCACGTTTAGTTCATCGCACTATCGTTCACGTGATGCCCCGGGTCACCTCAATTTTGACACCGTCACTGTCTCTGATCTATATACACATCTGTCAACATGTGAGGCACTCGATATGGATAAATGTTTCTTGAAAGTCCGTCCCTCTTCTCCACGAGATGCTACAACAGGTTTCGCATGTCTGGAGTACCTTGGTACATCGACAATACCTTCCAACCACGGGAACGACAAATATTGAGCTTATAATGTACTCTGAACATCTCAAGGACTATTACAGAACCAACCTCGATAATTTCATTAGTCTTTCATGATATGGAAATGTATGAATGATCGTCAATCATTGCGCGACAACAGGTTCTTTTGTAGCATCTCACTGCGCGCCTGATGCATCTCCATCATTTTGACGCCTTGTTGAGTTCGCCGTTGCATATCAATCAAAGATATACTTAACCTCGCATACCCTTCTTCGATCCCTTTAGAGACTGGACGACCCATGTAAGAAAGATTCAATACTCTGACGATTCTTCTATGAACCTTCGTCAACAACGTGGATGGATTTTTCGTATGCTCATCAGCTCAACATAGTCCTCTGGATGTGTTTCTATAACACTCACAGGTAGCTCTTGTCGATGGAGCTTGCAAAGTCGAATATGCTGTTGCGACAGATGTATCAACGGAAGAAGTGGTTTATTTTCGATGAGCGCGTCTCCCAGTTCTTGTCTTGGCACTCGACAAGTTGACAGCGTTTTGCGGCTTCCTTTTGCCTACACTCCGTTTCCTAAAAGGAAGACTTACTGCACGCGAATTTGGGTGCTTACTGCTAATTGGACGCCACAAAAAGATGGGCTTAGCATCTAGGCTCCGGGGCTGAATACTGCACGAAGAGCCTTACCTCAGCCGCACCGGTGGGATCTCCGAATGAGCTTCGCTATCTGGATATCTAAATGTCGCTATATATATACTTTGTTGAGAGTAAGACACTACATGAGGTATCTCGTCAGCGGCCATGGTAGATCATACAGTTGATGTTCCAATGGTAAACGTATAATTTATGGTGAGCGTGGCGTGTTGCTAACGAGTTTAGGCGGCAGTACTCAAGCCACCGTTTTCATCGCGATCTATCCCTCTCGAGCCGCCAATAGTGCCCAGCCCTAAATCGCAGTCATCTGGCTCACAAGGAGCAGTGAATACCAATCAGCCAGCTATCCCCAACCCAACAGCAACGGGTGTGCAATTACACCCATTGGATTCGCTTCCAACAACATTCACACGATGGCCTATCATGTCTTTGGTCGACAATGATCTGAAAACGTTCTTAAAATGCGACTTGGATCTCTCGCGTTTGGACGTAATACAAGAGCAGCTATGGATGCCGTCAACTTCAAAGCGAGCAGCGCCAATACACCGACATCGAGTTTTTGGTTACAATATCCATGGCGTACAGCAGATGGATCTGCATCTCGTCAGAGACAGCGCTCCGCGAAATCGGCTTATGATCAAACCTCTTCCAGAATGGATGCTCTCCCACGAATTCTGGTCCAACCATCTATGTAACGACTATTACGTGCACGCTTCAGCCTGTGGGTTCTTATTGAGCTATTTGTGGCTCATTGAGACTCCATTGGATCTAAAAATTGCGCATGAGCACTCGCTGTTGCCGACATTCATCACGTGGTACTGGTGGAGAACGTTCGTGACGGAAGCTTCAGCATTGCTAGACGTGAATACACTAGACTACGTGAGTATATGCATACAAGACATGTCAGAATATAGCTAAAGTCATTCAGGTGAAGGTTAATGAACGTTACAAACATGGAGTTCTCCAACTTGAGCGACTCAACACCATATACCAACAACGTCCAGGACACCTCACAGCTTGCTACTTCCATCCCACACGCCATAATACGTCGTTCGTGGCAGTGAACCTAAACTGGATTATAGGAGCCCCGTTTGTGTTCTTGACAGTGGTCTTATCGGCTATGCAGGTCGGAACGGGCTTGGACGGACTTGAGAAGAGTGATCTCTTCCAGCGGGCGTCGTATGTGATGGTTTTGCTGTCGATGATATGTGTCGCGGTATTGTTGGTCGTTCTGTTTGTCGAGTTCGGGCTTGCCTTTTGCTATAACATCGTACTTAGCTTCTTCAAAGTAAGGGAAGCGCGCAAAGATCTAGAATGAAGACAGCACAACTAGAACATGATAGTTAGAGATATAAAAGGAGGGCCATCCTGATTTGGATAAGATGAGAAAGAGGAGCAATCTTCGTTGTATAGTGCAGTGACTCACGGCTGTCAAAGTCTCACACGTCAGTGATGTTGCGGAAAGAGCGCGAATCGCGGTAAAATCTAATGTTTGAAAGTAAAGGATATCTATGCATCTATCACGTACGCCTCTCTGCTGTCATACCAATCATACACTGTTCCTCTCCTACTGTTCGCATCTTACATCAAAGTTCTATCTAGAGACCAAGACCAGAGTTGAAAGCATCGGCAGCGGCCTGGCCTGTGAGGCCCGAAGCGGCAGCCGCAGCATCATCGCAGGTGCTGACAGCCGCAGCGTCTACATCACACTTGTTGGACATTTGGGAGCAGATGAACTGGGAGATAATGTCGATCTTCTGAGCCGAGCCGTGGTTGAAAGTGCTGAGGTCAGTGGGCTCGAAGGCCTCCTCCTGGCGGCCGTCGGAGGGAAGACCAAAGGTGATGGTAGGGTCGCAGTTGCCGAATGCGGCGGCACCCGCGCCGGAAGCAGCGTTGCCGCCAGCAGCGTTGCCAGCAGCGGCGTTGTTACCGGCGGCGGCGTTGTTGTTGTTGCTGTTACCGGCATCGGCGTTCGCATTGTTGTTGCCAGCATTGGCATTGTTGTTGGCGTTACCGGCGTTGGCGTTGCTGTTACCAGCAGCGTTATCGGTAGCGTTACCAGCGGCGGCAGTGTTGTTGCCAGCAGCAGCAGCAGCTCCACTGACACCAGCGACCGCAGCGGCGATCTCATCTTCAGTGAGATCATCAACACGGAGGTTCTGGGTGTTGATGCAACCCGCATCATCGTTCTCGTCGTCGCAAGTGTTACCGGCACCGGTTGGGTCGCCGATCTCGCCAGGTGCGAAAGTCGAAGCCTCGTTGGCCATCAATGGGTCTCCACCGACAGCGGCAATCTGGCGAGCAAGCTCTTCAGCAATTTGCTTGTTGAGCTCGGCAGCTCCATCGCTGGCAGGATCCTGGTGCTGCTGGAGCGCAGCGATCTCAGGGTTGACGGCCTTGATGGACTCACAGGGAACGGAAGCCAGGCCGACAGAGCCAGTGTTTCGTTCCAGAGCACGGTAGATGAGGGCCATGGTCATGCCCTCAACATCACCAGCTTCCTTGGCGTTCGTGAAGGCCTGGTCAGCTACGGCTTGCTGGAGGCAGTCTGTAGATAATTAGCTTGATGAAGATGTGTAATGGATCCCAGTCGACTTACCGGCATCAGCGATGTCTCCAGCACCATCGGCGGCTGCCTTGGCTCCGAGAAGAGCAAAGACACCGTCCTGAATGTCGTCCGGGTTGTTCTGGAACAACAAATCGTTGACGGCAATGATGACGTTGCGGTGAGCGTGTTCCTGGGGAACCTCACGCTTGGTCATGAGGGCAGCCGGGCGGGCAGCCGCGGCACCAATGAGGGTAAGAGCAATGACAGAGTTCTTCATGATGAATGTCGATATCGTTCCTTTCGGTCGTAATCGAAAAAAATAAACAAGAATAGGGTCTAAGTAGGGTATATAGCGAAAGTGGACCGGCCTATCGATTCTCCAGGAACGATGAAAAGAAGGTAATAGAATGAACGACTCGAAGGACGATGAATGAAAGACTTGCTGAAATGGATGCTGATGATGCTCTTCCATGCAGCGCAAGGCGTTGTGCCTTATATACAGCCTGAGTCCTACCAGTCATGCTATGCACTTCTTCGCTTCAAGCGCTCGCTGCCTGACAGGTGTCAAGCAAGCCTCCGTAGCGGGAGCCGCCAGACCTGTCCGTGCATGGAGTCGAGACTGCATGATGGCCACCCCTGGATAGAAGGTGAAGACCCTTCCGAAGTGGTTGCCGTGCAGCCTCGCGATCGTGGCGATGGCCCTCTAACCTCGTGAGGCGCGGAGGGCCGTTGGGTGGATCCGCGCTAAGAGGTTCGGGAAGCCTGGATGAGACGTTGGCGAATCTTCGGAACGCGGTTTGCTTCATCCACCCCATCAACAACGTCGCTGCCTGGAGATCACGGTATATGTGTGTGAGGTGATCGCGCGTAAGTCACCAGTGTATTTTTTTGCGTCTCAAGACTTGCTTCAGCGCGACGTCGCGCCCTCGCTTGCCTTCAGAACGCGCGAGTCGATCTTTTGAGCGCGAAGGTACTGCGATGGACGCAAACTAGCTGGATCACGTTCGCACAGGAGTGCCACCTGCAGCTGTCATGAAAGGACATTCTCCTGCGGACTCTAGCTTCCACCTTCGCCCCGCGGCGACCTGCGAATCGGCTCCTCCCATCCGAAGTACGATCAGACGACCATACGGACAGACAGAGGAGAGGGCTCGGCATGCTCCCGTCTCTATTCTTGAAGGTACAAAGTACGAGGGTGCTATAGTGTATGGATAACATTTGGGTTCGACCTACCCGCTATCCCCAATGAGCCAGGCGTAAAGTATGCCAAGACACACATCGTGCGTATCAGAACTACGATCCGTCGTGAAGAGAGTCCTTCATAACTGAGATTAACCGAGATCGCCCAGCTGAAGCCCGCAATCTATCACGAATGCTATGCGTCCGATGCTCGGGATTTCGTGTTTCCGACGAGCGACCGACAACCCACGTGTATAGAACAACGCCACACCCATATACCTTGGGTGTTAGGATAGCCTGGTTATGTTGTATTGCGTCATGGGTAATCTCCCGTATGTTTTGTTACTGAGACATCTCTGATAGAATCTGGACGTCTTACATGCTCGCAACGTCGTGCGTCTCAGGTGACCCAACCCCAGGCAACAGGATCTCCTCAAGGGTGCAGCCACAGCTTAAACCTTACAGTGCTTCCGAATCACTGTGGCTACATCATCGTAAGTTTGAGGCGGTATATTCGGAAGAAAGATACCAACCCCCGGGAGTGTTGTTGCTGGACATACCAAATTCCGCCTTGTCGTTGCTAGTCAACGCATACCCACATTAAAACCGCTCCATCTCTTGGCTGTAGCCGTTCACATTGGAAGGGAAACAGGAGCCGCTAACCACTTCATCCATCCAGATTATCGTTACATTCGTTCAGTGTCGCATCCTCCGTTCCACCGCTTCCATCCTCCAGACGACCCACACCCACTCGAGACGAGCCGTGTTCAGCCTGGTGCCACGCAACCATCAGACACTTCTGTGGCTCACGACTTCCCCCGCTATCTCTCTGGGCGCCGCAACGAAGCTATGGCCAAGAAAAAGACGCTTGTAATCTCGGGTCCGATGGATGCTAAACATGTTGGGGGTGTGAATGTTCTAGGCGGTAGCGGTGCCAGTCTTAATGACTACTTCCACGCCACAGCGATCGTACCGGATGAGAGACCTTCACATACTTTTGTTGCTACTGGGAAGACTGAAGTACCGAGACGGGCAGACACCGTGGGCGGCACACTTCGACGATCAAGCGTTTCACTGAGCAGGAGTCTCTCCAAACTGAGGCACAACTCTTCCTCGCATCATACTGAAACAACACAAGTCAGTGGCAAAAATAGTGAGATGGATAGTCCGTTGGGGAGATCGGACAGTACAAGCAGGCCTTTAAGAAAGCAGTCGAGCATATCACGACTACGACAGAGGGTCGGACTAGACTACGAACTGTACGATACAGCGCCGAAGTCGAAGTCACCCACTCCCGAACCCCATTTCTTACCAGAACTGGTATTCCAAGATGACCTGCGACTACGAGATGCCAGGGCCCTAGCGCGTCTTACTACGACCTCTTCCATCTACTCAACTCCAGATCCTGGTCCTCCTCAGACAACGATCGTACGTAAACAAGCGCCTCCCATAGCGCAGCGACGTCCTTCGCCTCTCGATAGCCAAACCTCAAATGCAAGCTTGCAGCCACCTGCAAAACCGAAACGCGCAGATTCGGGTACCGCGATTGACTTCAAGCATATACCAGTGCAGGAACGACCAATTCCTTTCAAGGAGATCATGGCGATGCCCACCCTTGATGAGCGCATGGCCATGTACAAGAAGACGCGCGAGTACTGGGCGCATGCAGAGCATGGGCTGGTAGAATGGACAGCACGCGCCGCGGGACCGAAAGCGCCCAGCACACGGTCGTAAAGGCGCATGTTTCTTTAGTTTCTTCCCTTTGAGTTTGAATTTTACGTCTCCCATTCCATATGATACCCCATTCACGACCGGCCATTGTATTCATAGTTTGTGTTCCACGCTGGTCGCTCTGATGCGCTTTCGTCAGTAGTTCTCTAGACGCTTTCAAACAATCTTGCGCGATTGTCAAAACGCCAGACATCTATGTAGCTTTCTTAAGTCTAAATCGACCCGAGATAGTGTTAAATTGCAACATCCGATGATATTTATCCGCACTTTCATTCGAAACCTGACGTTGGAAGAGCTGGAAGCCAATTCAAGATTTCGTTGGAAGTTCTTTTGGGAGAACCGAGGACGCTACAAAGACGAGGTTCTTTATCGAAGGAAACTTGATGAAGCCGGAAAGGGAGACTACGAGCCGGATGCCACGCTCTACGATTTGCTGATGCAGGCGGATTCTGAATGAAGTCGGGCGTGAGAATTTGCGCGATAGACATTTGAGCCTACAGACTTCGAAACATAGCTCAGGCGATATGCAAACTGTTTTGTATACATGTTTGCTCAACGTCGATGTCTCAACTAGGATGGTAAGACATGTCAGTATAGACAAGACACAAAGAACCAGACAAAGATAATGCACAACATGAGCACTTCAACCTCATAAATGAAAAAACAACAGAAAACGTCTCGTGCACTTACACAATCGACCCAACAAACTAGCTCGCATCAAGCGGCATCCAGTGTGTATAACATGTCCACCAGAGCGATCGACACCCGTACTGCAGCGAAGATTGACCATATCGACGCATCGCCCTGATACACCCAACAATGTGCTACATCCTCGTCTCAACTTGCTCATCCCACCAACCTCACACATGCGCGCACATCCTCCGCACCCAATACACACAGTGCAGCCATGCCGCGCTACATAGCCTAGACCCAACTCGGTGTCCCTCACGAATGAAGCGACGACAGATTAGCGATGGAGGAATCTGTGAGAGGTGTGAGGACAGACGCAGTAGTCTGAGTGTGCTGCCGAGGAAAAGCCTGGTGGACAGCCTAGAGGGTGTTAAGATTAGGAAGCGGAGGTTTAGTTGTGCGATGCAGGGATGGCCTGTGGATACGGATGGCGAGGAGGGAGGCGTGGTGGAAGGGAGGCTCGGGAATGGTGGGTGTGGGCGAAAGAGGAGCTTGGCGCTTTCGATGCAAGGGAAGGACGACGCAAACCCCGTTTGTAGTGCTCCGGAGCCACCGACAAGGAGAACAAGGAAAAGACGTGCAATCACAAGACGACGATAGAGACACGTCGATGCCCAAAGACAACACGATTCAAAAGTAAAAAGCATGCCATTGCACCAACTACCAACCCAAAACCCACATGCAAGTATAGACTATCCAAAAAGACAGGGAAGGGGGTATACAAGAATAGTGCAAGCAAGGAGTCCAACTAGAAAGCCTCATGACTGGTACTCCTCACCCACAGATGTATATATGTATGCTCATCCCCATTCAATCGATTCTCATCATCCCTCATCTCTCATTGCTTTCCCAACATTAAGTCGTTGATCCATCCGTCGTATCCAAAGGAGCCAAGCACGCCGCTCTAGAAGTACTTACATGAAATTGTCTGTTTAACAAGGAGGACGTCGAGAGTTGTACTAAGCGTTCTCCTGGTTCTGCTGTGGCTGGTTGGCGCCAAAGAGACCGCCGAACCAACTTGCGCGGTTGGCGGCCTTGCGAGCCTTTGAAGCTTCTTCTTCGTTCTGGACAAGACGGAGGGGCCTCATGCCTTTACCCGTCATAGGGCCAGTGGTCTCGCTGCGTGGCAGCTTTTGCTGTGGTGGAGATGGTGTGTCTACGTGGCTGGCGGAGGAAGACTCTGTCCGTGCGTCCACTTCTTTATCTTCGGGGATAGGGCCTTGACCTGAAGGCGCCCTTGAGATGACTGGCGGACCGAAGAAAGAGTTGCGAGGCGAGACGACACCTGGCGATGTTGGGTTGCTTGTAAGGCCCGGAATCTCAGAGGTTGAGCGACGATGGTGGTGGCTGCCGCTTGGGTGTCGGCCTGACGTGCTTCGCGTCAAAGGAATGGAAGGAGCAGTGGCTGGATCCTCATGGGCACTCGTCTGGTTGGGCATGGCGGGAGGGCCCATCATAGACAAGGGGCGTGGCTTGCGATTTCCGCCCATAGCAACAGACTTGGCACGCTGGAGGAATCCTTGTGGCTGGTCGCTGTCTTGAGGAGGTGGCGGTGGTAGCTCCTTGTTCTTATTGGGGCCTCCAGAGCCTTCGTTCTCGACATCGTTGCCTAGAACCGATTCGAAGCCTTGGTGTGTGAGCAGACGACCGATGATCTTGTTGATGTAGAGGGTAAGAGCCTGGTTCTGCGCCTTCATGCTGCTGAGCTCAGCCTCGAGCTTGCGAACGACTTCGGCATCGCCTTCCTCAGCGGACTGAAGCTCGTCAGCTAGGCTGGTTGAAGGGCCACTACGGGACGGTGCGCGGTCTTCGGTGTTGGATGTTTCGCGCAGGAACTCGCCGCGGCTCAAGTCCCCGTTGAGCGTCTTCTCTCCGAGCAGAAGCTGGAAGCTTTCGTTGTCTTCCATGAGCCTGGCGTTGGTCATGCGCGTCTCGAGCAGTTGTTTCTCTAGTTCGCGCATGCGTCCGCCGCCGGCATTTTCTACCTCCAACACCTTGACCTGGTACTCGGCGAGCTCGAGACGCAGGTCTTCAATGATCTTGTCCTTTTGGTGGATGAGCTTCGAGTTGTTTCGCGAGTCGCTGCGCTTGACCGAGTTGGGTGGTGCGAAGGATGCAACGTTCTCGAGGTTTTGGGACGAGTTGGTGCGGGATGGGTTGTTGCGGAAGCTTGCTGCGAGGGTGTTAGTATCTACATGGTTACTAGGTTAATCCAATGAGTGTGACTTACAGGCTCGGGATAGGTGCTGCTCCTCTTCAGCCTCGCCAGTGGGCATGTTCTTGTTTGCCATGGTCTCCTTTAGGCGCTGGATGGTGTTCTGCATTTCTTCCTCCCTCGACTGCGTCTCCTCCTTCTCCTTGATGATCTGCGCGCGTTCGGCCTCGTAGATGCCCTCAAGCTCGCGGTGTTGGCGTGTCAGCTCGCGCTTCACATTCTCCAACGACTCGACCTTCTCCTCTTCTTCGTGGGCACGTTCTTCAAGCTTGGCCTGCTCGGTGAGAGCATCGTCGAGGCGAGCATTGAGGATCTCGACCTGCTTCTGTCGCTCCTCTGCCTCGCTCTCTGCCTTTTGCAGACGTTCCTTGAGATCTTGGAGGAGAACAGCCTGCTCGTCTCGGGCGTCGTTATCGGCAGCATCGGACTGTGAGGTGCTCAGATTCGAGGATGCGGCAGGCTTCTTGACAGCTGCGCGCGCTGAGACTGGCGTTCCATTGGCGCCTCCACGGACAGAGCGTGTTCTTGACACTGGGGCAGTGCCGTTGGTAGTGGGCGTCGAGGAGCGGGGAGTTCGGTTGGCAGCTCCAGGGGACGAGGAAGTCCTGGTGTTGACTTCGCGACGCGGGGTGCCCGGCGGCTTGGTTGCTGCGGCGGCCGACATGGTGTTTGTGTGTTTTCTTTGTCAAAGGTAAAGGTAAAGTCCCAGAGACTCGGGGTTGACAACGTCGCTCAAACAGGCGGCGGTTGCACACGAGGTCCGATTCTGGGGCGATCAGCGAGCGAATGCGCCCCGGGATGTGCTGATCAATGGGGCTGTGCGTGCGGCTGATTGACGTGTGGAAGCGCACCCGTTCAACTGCAATGTTGTGAAGCTTGTTATGCGACACACCACGTCTACGAGTGCAAAGCGTGGAGTAAGGAGACGGGCAGCGTTGAACCAGTAGTCGAGACGGGTTCCCACCGTTAGAGTTGGCCCATAATCTCCGCTACCACGCCTTCCCTGCCCTGCATTAGCCCGAGATTACTGACACGTGACAGAGCCGTTCTCCGGGAAACGACTCCCTACTTTGCAGTATGCCACAGCGAGCCACTCTCCACTGCACTCATTACGCTCGGTACTGCCTGGTTTCAAGTGCATGTCAGTACTCTGGTCCAGCAATCAGTGAGATTTCGCGATTTCTCCAGCCACACGTGGCCAAGTCGGCTCGGGTGGTTGCCACGCCTGTTCTCACGAGACCCTCATCCACGTTCGTTCCACGCACTCATCGGGCACGTGACTCTCCACCAAGTATATCGTGAGCACACTATACGCTGGAGAAGGTTGTTATTCCACTTCCTCTCCATTCAATTGATCGGACGGCTTGGCCGCAAGCCAGCGTACAGAGCTCCAAGGCTAGGCCGTGTAGCATTTTCACCTTAACGGCTGTCAGAGCAGGTGTGACAAGTACTAGCTTCCAATGCGTTCTTGGTTTTGGGATAGTCTCGGAGCATTCAACTATTGTCAATGCGCTGCTGTGCCTCGAGATCACAGCACTAAGCCTTGAGCAAGTGCTACAACTGACGGCCTATATCGTTGTCATTATTATGACGATTGCTGATCGCACAGCGTGCAAGACTTATCGTATTCCAGGTTTGAGTACAAAAAGCGCTCTCTCCTGGTATGCAAGTGCCAGTTAAACGAGACGCAACATTTGACACCCGACACGGTACACGACTGGTACTCAATCTCTTGGCTCGCGATAGGATAGTCTATGTGGGTTCGCAGTACCATCTAAGAACAGATTAGAATGCTGATCTGCCTAGCTATACTCTGGATGATTCGATGTCGCAGCGCGCGTACCTGCATCACTCGACGAGCTTGAAGTGGATGCGAGACTAATACACACGCGCACTCATGTCCGAAAGGCAGAATATCGCTTGTGGCCATGTTGCTTTAACGTTTGCGAAGGCTTTCCAGGTGTGGCTCTATTCAGGCTGCATAATTGGCCTCCCTGGCCGTTATCTTGTCGGTGCGACGTTAAGTGAATCCTTCCCGCCGTGTCGGGTGAAGATCCATACTGCGACGAGCATATCTGGTGTGACCAAAGACTACTATTCCAAGGTTCGTTGACGCCTATATGTGTTCGTAACTACGCTTGTCGACCTCATCTCCGCGGGCCACCAGCACTTCACCTTGGATCAGTTCACAAGTCGCTCACCGCTACAGCTGGTTTTTGGAACGCAACACCGTCTTTTGTACGCTCGGGGCGGTGCTGATCCATCACGTGCTGATAGCTGTTGTGGCCCTGCAGGACTGTGGCTCCACCCGAAGTACATACCATCGACGATACGCATCGTCGCTACCTAGGTACCTAGACGACTCTGAACGAGAGCATGCGTTCGGTTATCTCTGCGGCACGGTGCGTGTTGCTATTTAGGAACAGACTGAATCCGTCAATGCTTGGAATGTGATGAGATGCTTCCTATCTGCAAGCTGACCACCAACAACATGGCATTTGAGCGCTTGCACAGGGGAAAGTTGCTATTTTGCGTTCCATCAGGCCAAGCGTCCTTACGCCTAGCCGTGGACTTGGCGAAATGGACCAATCCGAATTACCAATCCGGGGCTGGACCACGAACATAAGTAAGCACCGACGATGGATCTACTTCGGGTGTGCGACCATTCTGGGGAAGATGACGGCACCGGCTTGGCGCCGCGCAACTAATCGGATGTTTCTGTGTTTAATGGCGCGGTTTGGGATTCGGCGACAGCCTGTTGAAGGCGCCGAGAGACAGTAGGTTTCTCGCCTCGATAACATAGCTCCGGGATGTTTCTTGGCTTTTGTGGCACAGCGATCAACAACAACTGAGATATCAAAATTGCAGTTTTTCTGCTAGCGATTGCCGCTCAACACAAAAGACGGCAGTCTAGTGTAGGCAGGCTTGAGTTCTTCGCCGGCTGGGGCTTGCAGGGGTCACTAAAAGCGCTGATCCCTATTCAAGAAATCTCGGCGTCGGTGCGGCGGCGCAACGACGTACGGCAGTGTACGACGGAGGATTCCCCCACAGGTGAAGACGGTAGTTTGGCCGGTTGTGGACTTACGCGTGCATCATTTACATGTAGCCGTTTCGATCCACCTATAGCTTGGGACCCATACAAACATCCCGAGGCCTCTAATAGACCAGTCGTGAGTGGACACCGCTAGCCTGGGAATTTCCCAAACCTGCCATGATGCTCGCCTGCTCAAATGCAAGTCTTTTTATTTGATAATCCAGGACTGCGGAGTACCAGGGTACAAGCTAGCAGCTTCAGAAGGGTACAGGTACCAAGCACGTCTGTTGGCGTGATCTATTGACGCAGGGTGACAGTATAAATCGCCTAGGCCCGCCCTTCTGCATTCTTCACGTCTCCCAGAACATCTTCTATTTCAACATGAGGACTCAAATCTTGACAGCGGTTACTGCACTGCTACATGTTGCCAATGCAGGATGTCCCTACATGGATGGCGACTCTGTCGTTCGTCGAGATGACAACCCCCAAGCTATGTCCACGGATGAGTTCATGGCCCAGTATGAAGTCGACGATAAAGGTACCTACCTGACCAATCCCGTTGGAGGTCCAATCGAAGACCAAAATGCTCTCAAGGCTGGTGAGCGTGGTCCGTCACTACTTGAGGACCAAATCTTCCGACGAAAGGTGAGTTATACTCATAACAAGATCGTTCATGAGTACATACTAACTTCACATCTCCACAGATCATGCACTTCGACCATGAGCGCGTTCCTGAGCGTGCTGTTCATGCTCGTGGAGCAGGTGCCCATGGAACCTTTGTTTCTTATGGGGATTGGTCCAACATCACGGGAGCGTCTTTCTTGAACGCGCCCGGCAAGGAGACCTCCACCTTCATTCGATTCTCAACTGTGGCCGGCTCGCGTGGATCGGCCGATACAGTCCGAGATGTGCACGGTTTCGCTGTACGCTTCTATACCGACGAGGGTAACTTTGGTAAGTATCCAGCTGGAGCACCTCAGAAAGTGTTCATCATACTGACGACGCCCACCTGTAGATATTGTTGGAAACAACATTCCCGTATTCTTCATCCAGGATGCCATCAAGTTCCCAGATCTGATCCATGCGGTAAAGCCTAAGCCCGACTCTGAGATTCCTCAAGCGGCAACGGCTCACGACTCGGCATGGGACTTCTTTAGTCAGCAACCATCTTCTATGCATACCCTTCTATGGGCCATGTCTGGTCATGGTACCATCCGAAGCTATAGGCACACCGACGGCTGGGGTATTCACACCTTCCGATTTGTGACCGACGCAGGCAAGTCCAAGCTGGTGAAGTTCCGGTTCAGATCGCTCCAAGGAAAGGCTTCGCTCCTGTGGGAGGAAGCGCAAATGGCTGCTGGTATGAACGCGGACTTGCACCGACAGGACCTTTTCGACTCCATTGACAAGGGCTACTTCCCTGAGTGGGTTGTAAGTGACTCCAAGTTTTGTATCAAAAGCAATAATGGCTGACCAGATTTCAGTTCGAGGCCCAGATCATGGAAGAGGAAGACCAGCTTCGCTGGGGCTTTGATCTTCTTGACCCTACTAAGATCGTGCCGGAAGACATTGTGCCTTTCACGCCTCTTGGAAAGCTGACCCTCAACCGCAACCCGCGCAACTACTTCGCCGAGACTGAGCAGATCATGTTCCAGCCAGGACATCTGGTGCGCGGAGTGGACATCACAGAGGACCCGCTCCTACAGGGCAGAATGTTAGTATCATTCCTCCTATACACAAGCCAAGTGAGACAGTTACTGACGCATGTATAGGTACTCTTACCTCGACACTCAACTCAACCGCAACATGGGCTCGCCAAACTTCGAACAGATTCCCATCAACCAGCCTCGTGTACCTGTCCACAACAACGAGAGGGACGGTGCCGGCCAGATGTACATCCCACTCAACACCGCCGCATACTCCCCGAACACTCTCAACGAAGGCTCCCCGAAGCAAGCAAACCAGAGCACTGGTCGCGGATTCTTCACAGCACCAAGCCGCGGAACGAGTGGAAAGCTCGTCAGAGCCGTCTCCAGCACATTCGCCGATGTATGGAGTCAGCCCCGTCTCTTCTTCAATTCTCTTTTGCCCGTTGAGCAGCAATTTGTTATCAACGCTATGCGATTCGAGACCTCGCAGCTCAAAAGCGAAGTCGTGAAGAACAACGTGCTTATCCAGCTCAACCGCATCTCTCACGACATTGCCGTAAGGGTGGCGGAGGCTCTGGGCATGACCGCACCAGAGGCCGACGACACCTACTACCACGACAACAAGACCATTGGCGTTAGCGCATCTGCTGAACCGTTGCTCAAGCTCGATGGACTCAAGGTCGGCTATCTCACTACCGCGACTTCGTCGTCCGGTGACAACGCAAAGGCATTGAAGTCAGCTCTCGCTGATCTCAACGTTGGCATGACTGTCGTCGCTGAGCACCTCGGTGGCAGCGTTGACCAGACCTACTCTGCTACTTCTGCCATCCAGTTCGATGCTATCATCATCGATGGCAGCGCAGAAAGCCTCTTCGCGCCCATTCCTAGTCTGGCCAACTCCAACTCCACGACTGCACCCAGCCGCAACGCGACTGCTAGCGCCCGTTCGACTCTCTACCCTGCAGGCCGCCCTCTTCAGATTCTCCAAGACGGCTACCGCTTCGGTAAGCCCGTGGGTGTGCTCGGGTCCGACAACACTGCTTTCGGTGCTGCCGGTATCGAGGCTTCTACTCCTGGTGTCTACACTGCGAGTGATGTGTCGGCGGTTGTGGACCAGCTCTCTGAGGGTCTCAAGACATTCAAGTTCTTTGACAGATACCCATTAGACAATTAGGGGAAATATGCTGGGGTGACTGCGATGTAGTTCTTTTCGGTTTGTTCACGTGTTCGCGACTCGAGGTGCCATTGCGCGCTCAAGAAACAATATATTTGGATACATCTACATCGTTAGATACAATGACACTTTTTGAACACAACGATGACCATAACTATTGTGTGTGTGAAGGATCGCTACCTCAGCATCGAAGCTCCGGGCCTGAACACTGACATGAGCTCTGCCGCCTCATTTTTTTTCAACGTGGTCTGATTATGATCAGGCGAGATTGAAATGACATGGTCGTAAGTAGAGTGCACCTCGAGCCTCATATTACGGTGGATCTCGGGAGTTAGAGGAATATCTCTACATGAAACGCAGCAAACACGTTTACGCAATAGTCTTAGACACGAAAACTGAAGAGACACAAAGTAGCACAAGAAACAGAGAGGTAGGCTCTCACGGATGATTCGGCAGTAGTGGACGTGTGACTGGCTGGAAGTGCCAATGTTCGCGATGCGCAGCTTCCGGGCCCGGCTATGACATCACCGGCTCTTGCGCAACTTCCCCCCAGGCTGACCCCCGCTTCCCAAAACTCAAACAGTAACGATTCTCTGCCCAGCACGTTGATCCTAGAAACATCGCGACCGGGTTTGTTATACTCTCATACAGGTATGTCTCCACAATTCAGTACCATTACTCGCAGACTGCGCTGCGATGCCTGCGGGCGCGTGCTTTCGAGGCGCGTGAAGTAACAATGCTAATGGGTCATAGGTCTACAGAAACAGGAAAACAACTGAAGCCTCACCATGTAAGTCGGTTTACAACTCCTCTCCAACACTGTACCATGATGCGCATCGAACTATCTCCGTTTCTGCGACTTTCCGTTTCCGGTATCCAGGCGCATTCATACGAACGGGTCGATGTTTCCCTTGCATACCTCTGTGTATATGACTTTCGCGATCGCTGACCTTGGTGTTCTTTCCATAGGAATCGATCACTCTCAGTGCGCTCGAAGAAGAGCAGCAGCGGCAGTGGGGAGAAGTCCGCGCCCAAGCACCGCTTTACTATGGCTTCGCTCCGAGGTACTCAGCAGCCAGAACTTTCAAAGAGGCTGTTCAAGATCATCAAATCGGAGAACCATGCGATTGGTGCCTACGAAGCTGCGGCACGCGAACGGGTCGGCATTGCTCAGCAGCTCTCTGAATGGGGCGAGGCTACAGAAGACGAGACAATTTCGGAGGTCTCAGACAAGCTCGGAGTGCTGCTCGCAGAGATCGCAGAGCAAGAAGATATCTATGCGCAACAATTGGAGGAATATCGAGGTGTTTTGAAGCAGATTCGCAACACAGAGAGCTCGGTGCAGCCAAGTCGCGATCACAAAACTAAGGTGTGTCCTGCGGCTATAGTCAGCATACTTCATATTAACCAGATCACAGGTTTCGGATGAGATTGCGAAGCTGAAATACAAGGAACCTCAGAGTACTAAGATTCCCCAGCTCGAACAAGAGCTTGTCCGCGCAGAGGCTCAGAGCTTGGTCGCCGAAGCACAACTCACCAACATTGTACGTTGACCCAGAATTGACCTGTATCATCTGCTGACCGTTTTAGACTCGTCAGAAGTTCAAGGAGGCATACGACCACCACTTCGCAGCCACCATCGAACGTGCTGAGAAGCAGATCATCCTAGCCAAGCACGCTCGCCGTCTCTTGAACCTTGTCGATGATACGCCCATTGTACCTGGCGATGTACACCCTCCGTTCGCAGAGGCAGAAACAGCGCGTCAGGTCCTCAATGACGCTGAAGATGATCTTCGCCAGTACCGATTAGAGGTCGAGCCTATCCATTCAAGTGCAGGCAACCTCGGAGTGGGCGCAATGCCAGGCGCAGCAGCACCGGGAGTCGGACTAGGGGGGACAACTGGCACGCCGGGTCCCGAATCTACTACGTACGGGAGTACAGTACGAAGTGAGAGTCCTGTGGGCGAGCAGTATGACAAGGCGGGTTCCGCTCCTTACCCCTTGGAAGAGGCCGATAGAGTAGAGAGGCTAGAAAGGCAGCAGGAGGCTCCCAGACAGGAGGTTTCCAACGTGGCCTAAAGGGCAAAGGCTGTGACTTCTGGACAGCTTTCTGGGGACACTTCCTTTTGTCTACGTGTACTAATGATTTGATACATATCCTGATTATGTCTTTTCTTCTGTAGCAAGAGGTAATTTCGTAATGATACGTTTGCGCGAATGGTTTTAGTGGTGCCTAAAGTGATGCGACAAATTTTCTGGGCGAATGGAGCATACCATTCAGATGGGTGCCTGGAGGTGATGATGAATGTGTAGAAGAAGCCCTGGGCCGTGTATAAGGTCCCACCTAAACCTTAGAATTGTCCGTGCATATTTGGCGGGGACCTCTTAGCGCGGAATGTGCCGTTCCCCAAGAAGACACATCGAGCTCTACGTCGTATCTAAATTCACGCGCACGCCCGCCAACACCGCCAACCCCCCTACCACTACTTTCCACCTCTTCTACTCACAGTCCCCGCTCCCGTAGCCATGGCGGACCGCAAAAAGAGAGATCGCTACGCAGCAGGAACGGGTTACCAATTCGGCGCGAATACACCAGACGCCCAAGCTGGAGGAGTTCCCCCACCAGTAGTACCTGGCTATGGAGCTCAAACGCCTGCATACGGAGCAGCACCTTCTCCTGGATTCGGTGCCCCGGCTCAGGGCTACGGAGCGCCAGCACAGGGCTATGGTGCGCCAGCCCAAGGCTATGGACAGCCCATGCCTCAAGATCCGAATGCCCTCAACCAACAATTCGGGCAGATGAACCTAGGCCAAGGCCAAGCAGCTCCGCAAGTTCAGCAGCCCGTCGCGGCTACCCAGCAGAACCAACTCTTCCCCTCGGATCTCATTGCGCAGCCCTTCCACGTTTCGGAGCTATACAACCCTCCTCCTCCCATCAACCTACCGTCCAATGCCGCGGCCACGCCCTCCGAGTTCGCGAACGAATCGAGTAAATACCTTCGATGTACGCTCAACACCATCCCCACCAACCACTCGCTGCTCAAGAAGAGCAAGCTTCCTTTCGCCCTCATTATAAGCCCGTATGCGAGCTTGCACGACTCGGAGGACCCTGTGCCAGTAGTGCACGATCAGGTCATTAGCCGTTGTCGACGATGCCGCGCCTACATCAACCCCTTCGTTTCGTTCTTGGACCATGGACACAGGTGGAGGTGCAATATGTGCAACCTGACCAACGACGTTCCTCAGGCATTCGATTGGGACGCAGCACAGCAGAAGAGCGTGGACCGCTGGCAGAGACCCGAGCTCAACTATGCCGTGACCGAGTTCGTCGCGCCCCAGGAATACATGGTCCGCCCTCCACAGCCTTTATGCTACTACATCCTGCTGGATTGCACACAGAGTGCGGTTAACAGCGGATTGCTCGCTGTTGTCTCGAGGGTCATCAAGGAGTCGCTCGGTCGGATACCAAATGCAGACGGTCGGACACGCATCGGATTCATGGTAAGTAACGCGCGTAATGAAGGCAAATGGTGCGCAAGCTAACTATACAAAAGGCGGTCGACAATGGCTTGCATTTCTTTGGCATTCCTCCGGACAACAGCGAATCCAACGAACCCCAGCAGCTTGTAGTTTCCGACCTCGATGAGCCCTACCTTCCCATGCCTTCGGACCTCCTGGTCAGCCTTAGCCAATGCCGCAACAACATTGAGACGTTCCTTGACCGCCTTCCGACCATGTTCCAAAACACACACGTCCCTGGCTTCGCGCTGGGCTCAGCTCTCCGATCTGCACATAAGCTTATTTCCCCGCTCGGAGGAAAGTTGACTGTCATTGCCGCATCGCTACCCAATGTTGGCCATGCAGCATTGAGCCCTCGAGAAGACAAGTCGCTACTGGGCACCGGAAAGGAAGGCAGTTTGTTGCAGCCTGCGAATAACTGGTACAAGTCTTTCGCGGTAGAATGCTCCAAGAACCAGGTGTCCGTGGACATGTTCCTTTTCTCCTCGCAGTACCAAGATGTTGCGACGCTGAGCAACCTTCCACGATTCACTGCCGGTCAGACATACTTTTACCCTGGATGGAACGCTGCAAGACAAGAGGATGTCGTCAAGATTGCAACCGAGCTGGCTGACTATCTGTCTGCTGAGATCGGTCTAGAGGCTGTTCTCCGAGTACGCGCAACGACCGGATTGAGGATGTCTGCATTCTACGGAAACTTTTTCAACCGCTCGTCCGACCTCTGCGCCTTCCCAGCATACCCCAGAGATCAAGCTGTAGTGATTGAGGTCGCCATCGATGAAACAATCTCCAAGCCATTCGCCTGTCTCCAGGCTGCTGTGCTTCACACTACCTCGAGCGGTCAGCGCCGTATCAGAGTTCTGACTCTTGCTGTGCCTACGACTGAGAGCCTGGCATCAGTTTATGCGTCAGCAGACGCGCAAGCAATCACTACCTACTTCAGTCACAAGGCCGTTGAGCGAGCATTGTCGAGTGGTCTTGATGCAGCACGTGACGCGCTTCAGGCCAAGATCATCGAGATCCTGTCAACATACAGGAAAGAGTTGGCGGGCGGCAGCATGGGTGGTGGCGGGCTCCAACTTCCGCAAAACCTTCGCGCTCTCCCTATACTATTCTTGGGACTCATCAAGAACGTTGGTCTTCGCAAGAGCGCTCAGATCCCGAGTGATCTTCGTTCAGCAGCTCTTGACCTCCTTTCTACGCTGCCATTGCGACTACTCACGCAGTACATTTACCCGTCTTTCTACTCCCTCCATGACATGCCTGATGATGCTGGTGTTCCGGAACCCACCACTGGTCAAATCACAATGCCACCTGCACTGAACCTTTCCAGTGCAGCCATCGTGCCGTACGGTCTTTACCTCCTGGACGATGGTGTGAACCAGTTCCTGTAAGTACAAGCGCAGGTTCTTTGTTGGTACAGAGCTAACGTGACTAGATGGATTGGCCGAGACGCTGTTCCCGCGCTCCTGAACGATGTATTCGGTGTCGAAGACCGCACGCAATTGAAACAGGGCAAGGCGTCATTACCCCTCCTTGACAACGAATACTCCGAGCGAGTGCGAGCTGGTGAGTTGACGTTACTGATGATTTATACAGTTTAGAGTGCTAATACGATACAGTCGTTGAGAAATCGAGAGATCACAAGTCAAAGGGTGTAGGCTCAATTACCCTACCTACGCTGTACATTATCAAGGAAGACGGTGATCCAGCCCTCAAGCTATGGACACAGACACTACTCGTCGAAGACCGTGCGGATCAGGGAGAGAGCATCGTCCAATGGATCAGCAAACTCCGGGAAAAGGTATATCAATGAGTCAGCTGCCTGCCCGAAGAGAATACTGACGTTTCACCTAGGTTGTGCAGTAAGCACCGGATGGATGTGGGCACTTGTTCATTAGGCGGTGTGGATTGAGCGGGTTGATACCGAAGCATTGGCGTAAGATCCGAAGAAGAAATCAGCATTGCTTGGGCGGTGGGATGATGAATGGGAGTCGCACCAAGCGAATTCATGAACTATACAACAGCAATGTGATACCAGCTTCCATCTGTTTGTTCTTGGCCACCTCGGCCATGTTTATTGTACTACGTTTGTGCCTGTCATTGCTACACGGCGTCAGATGCATGGCGATGAAACGTCGTGCTAAGCTGTTGTGCGAGTACTGAAGAGGGGCCTGCTGTCAACGTGTACGCAAGACCGACTTTCACCGTGTGCATCTTGAGCTGCTAGACAATCGATAAGACTCTTACCTCGGTCTTCGCGCTTTGGCGCACGGGCTATCACACTGCTGGAGGCAGGCACAGGCACGTTCCGAGCGTTGACTCCACTATCGATAGCTTCGCGATGGGACGCGAGTAATGGCTCCCTCAACACCAACGCCACTGCTCGCGACAAATGCTTCCAGACATCTGGCTCGCCCGCTAACACAAGCCCGCATAGTTCGGTAAAGCTACTATTTTGAACATGTAGGCTTGCATACACCATGTGTTTCACCAATCCTCCAGCTGCCGCTGCAGGAAGGACGAGTGTTTTCTTTGTAGGCACGGCGCACGCTCCTCGTGTGGGTATGCGCCTAAGCAACGTGTCAATAGCGATTTTGCGTCTCGCCTAGGCACCGGAAGCGGAATCTTGAAGCACACAAGGGACAAAGTACGGTACAGACGACGCAAACGAGGCGCATTGCGCAGATGACCACGATATTCGCGATCCATGGTATCATCCCGCGTCTGTCCGCCAGATTCCACCGAATCATACATTGCTTGCCAGGAACTAGTCGGGCCACTGGGTCCTCCGCCTTTCTGTCAGCGCTTCCGAGCTATAAAGTGTGATGGCGACAAACTGTCACGCACCGCTCAAAGCCCAACGCCAGGCAACGCCAGGGGACACACTATCGTCTCTGACCGCCTCGTCCAACAGCCTCTGGCGCCCTTCGCGCGCTGCAAGACGCAAAATTTGAGTCGCTGAAGTCCGGCAGAATCACGGATGCTAGCCTTTCGCTTCGGCAAGGTACAAAGGTACAACACTTTTCTGTGGATCTGGTCGAGTCCCCTTGCATCGGCGCTCGCCCACGCTGCTAGCTTGCAGCGACTATCCGCGTCAACCAATTACTTGGGCATGGCACTGTCAGCTTCGCCAGGAGGCCGACGCCATGCTGGTCTGCTTATGGCTGTCTTCTTCCAAGCGCGCAACTTGTCTTGAGGGACTGGCCAAACGCGCCGGCGCGTCCATGGCATAGCCAGCCAACATGGTCCCGATCTATCTGATAACACGTGAAACGGCAGCGGGCGTTGGTAGGTGTTTCGTCATCAATATCCAGCGTGCTCAGGTCCCGGCCATAACGCACGACCTAGAGCAAATAGTCAGGTTCTTGACCCATCGCTGCAAGCATGTGCCATGACCGTTGTTTAGCAACCGGAAACAGGCAGTGCTGCCCAGTGCCCCGCCGCACGATATGATGCCATGTCCTGCAGCCAGGCCGATTGCTTGACGGCAGATGCGTGCTGCTCATCAGGGCTTGCAGACGTACTGTGGTCTGACAGGCGGACGAGCGTGCTCTGGGCTTCAGCTGCACCTCTTCATCATGTCTGGGTCGGCGGGCCAAGCATCGCTAATTCCAAGGATCTGCAGGCAAGATGTGCCTTCGTCGCAAAGTGGATCGGACTCTAACCCCAGCCTTCTGCCAGGCCGTCCGTCCAGGGCGCACGACAAAGCCGCTAAGATCCCGTCCTGTGCCTTACCAACCCCTCCTCGCATGCATTTGCGACGCAATCGCGAGTTCGTTCTAATCCCGCTCTCCTGCATCGACACCTGCTCCTCTGCCTTCACACCCGGGTCTTGCACAGTCTAGCTGCATCGCCACAAGAGCCGCATCCTGCCGCTCCTGCTCGAGCCCTTGTGCGCATCGAGTCTTGCGTCAAAGAGGGGCCAATCTCCCCGCCACCTGAGGCATCCCATCCCGCGCCTTATCATACCCAGCCCAAAGTCCGAGTATCCGTGGTTGCTCAACCCTCACCACTGGTGCACCTTTGGACGACCTCAACTTGACGATTTTACGACGCAACGATCGAATTTTACACGACCTCGTAGATTTTCTTTGACTTTGCTCGCTGGGCGCTGACTCCGGATGTTGTTGCAACGCCGCCCTCTATTCGTCATCATATCGTTTCAGCCTTCCCACATCCGCTCCAGGAAGGGACCACCCGCAGTATCACACTGATTGCGCCGCTCGAGGCAACCCGCCTGGGACCTGCGCCTGCATTAACTCTCCAGTTTTACATCACTGGCGCTACCAAAGCGAGCTCCGTCGTGCAGGTCGTAAGCTATACGCGCCTCGTCTCCGTGTAGGCCTGCGCAGCTCACTCAGCACGACACGGAACAAGAGGCGGCTATCGTTAGACTGCTGGTCACCGCCTCTCCCAACATGTCTACCTTCCAAGCAGTCAACACCACATTATCGGTCCCAGATGCGCCACAGGGCCGCCCGGGTGACGAGACGACGCCGACTACTCCTCGACCGAACAGCAGGTTCTTTGCTGAATCGAAAGCGACCGAAGAGATCCGTGCTGAAGATCCATCGGCTAAGACGCCCACACGCAACACCTTTGCGGGACTTGTTGGCCAGCGACCACTGCCTTCGTCGCCGTTTACACCTGGCCGCGAGCTGAGCGAGACACCTTCAGCTTCGAACAAGAGCGAACAGAGTAGAGAGGACTCGCATAGGCCAACAACTTCGGGACAGGATGTGCATATGGGTGATGGCGATGAAGATGAGAAGGATGGATCGGATAACGATAGCGTAACCAGCGATTCGAACCGGCCGTCTAAAAAGAAGAAGGGACAACGCTTCTTCTGCACGGACTTTCCGCCTTGCAATCTAAGCTTCACAAGGAGTGAGCATCTGGCGCGACACATTCGGTACGTCCGTCGTCATACGGCACGTTACATTGCTAACATACTGCAGTAAGCATACTGGGGAAAGACCCTTCCAATGTCACTGTTCCCGGCGATTCTCGCGGCTCGACAATCTCCGACAACATGCCCAAACAGTTCATGTCAACGAAGACATACCTTCGGAATCGCTAGCTGCGACAGGCACGAGGTTCCAAAGGCAGATCCGGACTGACAGAGTAAGACCACCCGGAAACCGATCTCGAGCGAACACACTAGGCAGTACAGGTGGTCACAGTAGGGGCCACAGCAGAAACCTCTCAGCTTCCAGCATAATCTCTACCGCCTCGACTATGAGTGTGGCGCCTTCTCCCGATATTCGGCGGAGGCCACCACCTTTGGCCATGGCTAGTGATGGCGGTGCTAGTGCTAGGGCTCGTTTGTCGCTCAACACAATGCAAGTGAATGCGTACGACCCACCGATGATGGGGAGCCCCGGACCGGTTGAATATGACACGCAATCCAACGCGCCTACAACGCCCACATCCGCTACCTTCTCGACAGTTACTGGTAGCCCTGCTCGCTTCGGGTCCACTATACAATCTCCCATTTCGTCTTCGTCAAGACCAGTCTCATGGGCCGGGCCACCTCTTCCAGGACGTCGAGAGTCCATCTCGTCTAGTGGTAATCCTTTCTCTGGCCCACCAGGACAGGGTCCACCTACGTATATCACACCTCTCCAGTCGACTGCCGCACCCGGCTACTCAGCACAAAGTAGCGCATATGCAAGCCCTACAGCATCTCAGTTTTCAGAGTCAAGGAGAGATTCAAACGCAGATGCGGACTGGAGGCGACGTACTTGGCATCCAGGAACTTACTCTGGCCACACTGGTCCTCGTCCAGCGACTAGTGGACTTGGATATCACCAGACTCCCGACGACTCCCGACCCCTCTACACCTCGATGCCCGCCGCTTCTCAGACTACGAGACTTCCCGGTATCGAGAGTTTCGACCATGCACCCCCTCCACTTCCGCTTCCTCGACGCCAGCCAAGTCCAATGCAAGTAGACGCCCCAGCTCGCCCACTTACATATCATGCGCCGATGGAGCACCCGCCTCACAGGGGTCATCATAAGCGAACTAGTATCTCTTGGGAGATTGACCGTCTTAACATTGCTGGCCCAAGTTCTCAGAGAGAACAATGGTCACAGCCATATCCTGGCAGTACCGGACGAGCGAATGCTACACGCCCTACGACAGCTCATGGATACTTTAGTCGGCAACCTTCTAACGTTCAGCCAATTCAGATCCCTTCCATTGGCGCTTCGCCAAGGACCTCGCAGGAACAGCCTACGACGCCCAGAAAGAACAAGCGCCAAGCCTGGTACAACGGACCTGTCAGTCAACCACAACGAGCTATGCAGAGAACGTCCCCTGAAGATTCTAGCAGTAGCGAAGGTGTTCCCACGCCAGGGACTATTTTTGAGCATCACCCTAGCATTGTAGGCAGCAATGGATACGTTGAAACGCCAGTCGTCGAAGATTACAAGTCGCAAGCATCAATCATGGAAAGGCCGCATCCATTACAATCGCAACCGCACCATTATCATAGCCACAGCCTCTCCAACTCGAGCTCAAGCTATCGTCCGCAACGAGAACGAGAACCCGAGCGGGGACCCGCTTTCGGTCATCCGCTACCGCAGCAGACCGCCAACACTGACATGAGACGCTTGGAAGCGCTTGTGGCCGTGGCCACTGGCGAGCAGCAAGCCGTGGAAAACCGTTAGGTCAGGTCAGCTGATCGCTTCCTCACCGCCTTTACATTACACATCGCCATCATCAATTTACGTCGAGTTTTTCAAAGCACGCCCACGATGTCACGACCTCAAAGAACAATAACGAATCCCCTATGATTTACGCAATGATACACATGTCTGGTGCTTTTATCCAGTTCCACATGACAATCTCTCTCGATCTTTTGCTTTGTTTCCCTTGCCCTTCACTTCAGAAATCGCCAACAACGGTGAGGGCTCTTGTTGTCGCCTTTTCATATGATACCAATCGGAGCTTCTGCTCGAACTTCCTTGGGATACCCCGATCCGGCATATGTCATTTTCCCTTTGTTTTCCCTTGTTTCGTCGTGCATTCGGCTTTTTTGCTGTCGTTAGGGATATACCAAACCGATCGTATCACAGCGGGAGTCTGGAGTTGTTTGTTAGGATCGCTTTCTATTTTTACATGACGACTCTCTATTAGGATATGCTGTCGTGCTGTTTCTGATGGGACGGGTCACTGACGATGAACATTGGTAATTGGTAGAAGCTGGGAGGGTCAATAGTTGTCCTTGGACATTCTTAACATGCTTGTATATGCTTTTCTCATACGATATTGCCTACATGTGGTTTATTGTGACCTGCTGCGGCAAACGCCCAGAGACAGGCGATTATGTTGTTGTGACATAGCAAAGTGAACTTTATTGCTGGATTTAACATCTCGGTCGGCGAGTACTACTTGCTTCGAAAGGTACATGTCCACCCTCACCGCAAGGACAACATATACCGGAAAGATCTACATACAGATACGGATGCTTCCTCCGATGCATGGAGTATCTGGAAAGAGCCTGACAGCCATATCCTGCTTCTTAGTGATTGTCTAACGAAGTGGCGTCATCACATGGTGTAGAGGTCTATTTCATCTACCGCTGCTAAGATCAAGACGCGCCTACGCTCACTTGAGGAACATACAATTCCCGACAAGTACTAGGTACCAGATTCGCATCACGCCAAAGAAAAAGGTCTCGCCGCTCCTCCAGCTACAACACATGCGCATCGAAATAGTCGGCCAACAGGAATATCGTTGCGTCGTCCCTGTCAAGTCGCTACTCTCCGGCGACGAGAGAGCGAAGCCAGAATTACTCATCGATCTCGACACATACAACCTTCGATTCGACCATTTTGCCAGCATCTTGATGAAGAATTTCGGCTTCACGATTGGCAACGAGACTAATCCATATGCATGTACCTAATCAGGTCTTCTTGATACGGAAAGCATCGGCGAAACAAGAGCTGATACACGAACGAATAGATAATAGAAGTTTGGTAACGCTAGTTGTTTAGATATACATATAGACATGTAGATAAACGCATGCATCTGTGGCATCTGTGACATCCTCGCTCTTCGACTAGTCCGCCATCAAGCCCTTCCTCTTCTTCTACTATGATGGCAACATCGTCTCGTCTCCAGAGAACTCCTGATCAGACATCCGATCGTCCATTGCCCTCTTCTTTGCAACCCGCTTACCCCGCTCTCCTCGCATCTTCGTCACCTTTGTCGTCTTCGCTGATGCCCTTAGTGACTAAATTCGTTCTCGTCCTTTATCCACGCCTCTGGCATGGATCGAACTGAACGTTACGCCATACGGACCGTACATTGCGACAGTAGACCTCATCCGCCAGAACATCTTACCAATTCTGCCCGTTGGAATTCCTACATCCTTAGCTACCCGCAAAAATCTGGCCCTGTCTGCATCGCTGAGAGACCGATAAGATTTCAAGTTGTGCCTAATGTTGTACCAAGATGAGATCATGGGGACCATCAACGCGGTTCTCAATGGCTGTTGGTTAGCGGTCTTCAGGAAAGACATATTGAAATGCCAGCCGAGTGAATAAAGGTGCACGTATTCCATGGAAGACAAATAAGCGGGTAGGAGCTCTTGGTCGCCAAGATATACCGAAACGATATCATACAAACACTCTTTAACAACTAGTAGCCTTAGAGTTGGCTTGTCATACAATTGCCCTCGATTTAGAGCGTAAGACTCAGGGTGATTAACAAAGAGAACGACCCTGTCAATGTTCCCGTCTTCGCGCTCTTCGATGATTGCGGCCATGGTCAGTGGGGATGTGCGTGGGCCTGGGCCCCAGACCACTTGGTGGTGTATGCCAGCGCATTGAAGGAACTTGTGGTACATCAAATGCGAGTTTTGACCCAAGGCAACAATTACTTTGGCTTTGGAAAGGCGGATCGCCTTCCAAGTATGCTCCGTTCAATGCTTGAGGAGATTGGGAGGCAGATAGCGGAATGGATCCTTGCTGGTATGTTGGCCGGGCCGCGACCTGGCGATGTCGCCGCGATGCATCCTGATTGGGACCCAATCTAGGATCGCCATCGATGGGCGTGTGTTAGTAGGCAGCGAGTGTCCAAATTTGCGGATTACTGCGTTCATCGACTGATTGGATGGGTCGTCGGTCGTCGCAACGTTGGGGTGGACAGTCGAATACGTTGCCGCTGTAGGATACGTGCCAACGATCAGCAAGGGGGAATCTAGGGTACCCGAACACTTCAGCCTCTTCTCTTTCGCCTGTAGCAACCAGGAAGGTGGGTTAGCGAGGATAGGCTCATCCTCAATTCCGTCATCCCACCATGCATCAACAACAGGGTCAATAGATGCCCAGCATGCAGGCGATATCTGCCTTGATGGTATAACATGTGGTACATGCTGTGCTTTTGAGACACTGTTCTTGAAGCGTCGAATGCGTGGATTATTGGGAGAAAGCTTAGGGAACATTGGGTGGACATCGTTGATCACATCATCTCGGCTTGCCTCAGCATTGAGAAGCTGTTCGCCTGGCACTCTACCGACAGTCTTGAGTAGCCTAGAATTTGCTAGGTCCTCTAGATAGTCGCTGTCGCCAGACTCTGCTAGGTGGTCGTCGCCGGCTTCGAGCGGGGCATGAGTGTCTGGGTGCTGGGCATCGGTACGTGAGTGCTGGCTATTGGTGTCTGATTGCTGGGCATCAGCAACCTGGAGTAGTGCCGAATCTGACAGGCCATCTAGATAATCGTCGCTGGCCTCAAGGTCATGAAGCTCCCAGCCGTTAATGTCTAGATGTCTGCATGTCCCCTCCTCATGTTCGTGGGTGAGAATAGAATGCATAATAGCCCTCTGCAACTCCGCGTCATCAGCAGAGCTTGGTGCGGAGAAGGCGCTACTGATCTTGGAGCTGATGTAGAAGCTAAAGGCGATTCCGCTGAGCGCGCTGCTGAGACCGCGGAGCGCGCGGCAGATATTGATGCTAATAGCGATACTGATACCGATGTCGGGGAGGCGGTTGAACGCTCTGGTGACATCGAAGCTGGTGTTGAAGCTACCATAGATGCTGCCAGTGACGTGGTTGAGATTGGCGGGACTGAAGCCGCGGCAGAGGTTGCAACTGGCGGCGCAGGTGATTCTGATGATAGCAGATATGGCGAAGGCATGCTGAGTATTGCGAAAAGGGGTCGCTCTTCTATTCTAGGATGCTTCTTTTCTTGCTTATGGTTGTTGTTGCCGTTGTCGTCGCGGATTCTCTAACACTTCCTGTTGGTGATGGTTCTGTAAGCTGGGAATATGTCGGAGTGTATGAACGGTATGTAGTTAAGTTAATCAGAAGAATGCGCCGCTGACTTATACCAGGAGAACGGTTATAATTTAAGTCCTAGAAGTCTACCTTGAAGTCTACCTTGAAATTCTGTGAACCTCGACTGTAATACTAATGTATGGCGCAGAGGACACGCGACACAGAGCTCTGCATGTATGGGTCACGCCTGTGAGTGCTTAACAACTCGGTTGTGGTTGAACTGTCTCATACAGTACGTTGTGTCCATCGTGGTGGGTGGCGGTCCAATGTTGTCGGGGCAACGATACCGTCCAGGGTAAGAGAGGACAAAGCGCGTTCTAGCGTATCATCCCACATGCAAACCCCGCGTACCCTGAGTTGGTATACACATCCGCTTCCGGCAACAACGACAGCAGGTACTGTACCTGTACTTCTGATACCCACCTTTTTCTTCTTCTTTGTTTGTGATACCCCCCACCCGGCGCCATGGGTTCCGACGACGTTGTCGACTTCGAGGTGATTGAAGGCCAGAAGGAAAACATCCAGAGCATCCCCAGCGGCCGCTCCGCCAAAGCGCTCGCGCAGCTATACACGCCACCATTGACTTCCGGCACTGGTCAGACCCTGTCTCCTTCGCAGATGCAGGATGCAAACAGCGCGGCCCGCCTCAAGTTCGAGAAGGAGCTCATGGCGATTGACGACTCGGACGACCCGTTAGATGTTTACGACCGCTATGTCAAGTGGACGCTCGACTCATACCCCTCCGCACAAAACACGCCTCAATCGCAACTCTGCCCACTGCTCGAGCGCGCAACCAAAGCCTTCCAATCCTCGCCGCAGTACAAGAACGACGCCCGCTACCTCAAGCTGTGGCTGCACTACATCCATCTCTTCTCAGATGCGCCGCGGGAGACATTCGCATACCTTGCGCGACACAACATCGGCGAGAACCTTGCGCTGTTCTACGAAGAATTCGCCGCCTGGCTAGAAGGCGCGGGTCGTTTCACACAAGCAGAGGAGATATACAACTTGGGCATTGACCGTGAGGCCCGTCCAGTCGAGCGCCTGATTCGCAAGTACGGGGAATTCCAGCATCGTCTCGAGAACCGCTCACAAGAGGTTCCTGAGCCTTCAAGCCCCGCACTCCCTGCCGTTCGTCCAGCCCTCGCCGCTAAGATGGACCCCTTTGCGCATGCATCACCGAGTGCGCCGAGCCCACAACCACAAAGTCAGCCTAAGGCCGCTGGAGGCGCTTCTCGCTCCGGGAAGGCGAAGCTTGCCATCTTTTCAGATGGTGACGATGCCGCAAGGCCTGGCTCGACTGGTAGCATGGAAGGATGGGATAGCATTGGATCGCTCGCAGACCGCAAGAAGGAGAACGCAACGGAGGCGCGGCCTTGGGCTGGTGAGACTCTGAAGGTCGGAAAGAAGAACACGGGCGTGCCAAAGATGTCAATTTTCAAGGATGAGGTGAGTTGATCTGCCTACATCAGCCCCTTCATATATTTACGATCACAGGACTAATTGGTGGGCGTTTGCCATACATGTATTCAGACCAAATCAAATCCCCATGACGAAAATGTCAGCCCCCATCCATTGCGTGAACATCAGCAAGCGGTCAATCCAAGGACAGGCAGGCTTGAGGTAGTCTTTGTAGATTTGGAGCAGGTTTACCCTAACCATGAGGACCCCATGTCAGAGGAATACTCATTTGAAGAACTTCGAGCTAAATACAGGGGGTGGATGGACCACGATTGGGATGCTATCCGCCGCAAAGAGCAGAAGCAGGCAAGGAAAGCAGCTGAGGAGGCAGAAGCTGCTGCAAGACCAAAGCCAAAGGCCGCGCCTCTAGCGCCCAAACAGGATTACGAACAGCCCCCTAAGCCCAAGACCGTGCCCCTGAAAGGCAGCGTTGACGATGATATGAACAACGACGAAAATGCGCCGCCTTCACAGGCAGATGTAGACAAGGCACGGGCTGCTAAGAAGGCGAGACGAGAGGAGCGTGCCAACAGGACTAGAAAAATCAAGGTCATGGAGGTCAAGGAAGTTCGCGGAGAGACTCAGACAAGTGAGTGTTTGATTGGATATAAGACTTTCACTTGTGTACTTACATATCATAGTCCAAGCCAATCTGGATTCTCCAGCGAAGCCTAAAATCCGGCGAAAGAAGACAGGCCCGGAGACCACAATGACTCTCCACACCAAGGAAGCAATGGACGAGATCTACGACATATTCAACGAACCACTCAAGAATGCCGATGAGAACACTTCAGAGAATCAGAGCGGTGACGAGAGCAGCGGTGACGATGAGGACGACTACACGAGTGGTGCCGAAAGTACGGCAACCGGTCGCATATCGGGCGCTACAAGTGAATTCGGGGATGAGACAACCGCTGGAGATTTCACACTCGGCACCAGGGTACTGGATGTTGATGCCGAGGATGAAAGCGATTCCGACGCTTCAGACACCAAGAGTGCCTCTGCGTGGTCTGACTTTACCGAGAGCAAGCACGTGCCTAAAGATGGCCAAGAGGATGAATCAGATGATGAGTCTGAGCATTCTGATCATTCTCGGGATGATTCTTTTGACGAGGTGACACGCGCAGATGTCGATGCGGAACAGGAGCAGGAGTCTGATGTCGTCACTCCGACCTCGCCCTCAGCGCCCACATCGCTACCTACCCGCTTCGTTCCCGTTCCACCGGAGGACTACGTTCCAGCTATGCAGCCCTACCGAGACCCCGTTCAGGCAGCCAACAACCGTCTGCCATTCATGACACCCATCGTCGAGAAGACGGAGTCATCCTTGGGCATCGCCACTGCTTATGCAAACAAGGACTACTTTACTGCCGCGACTAAGACACCATCACGGTCAAAAGGTACCACTGACATCCTTGAAGACGACGATGATGATGATACTTGCGGTAGCGCCTTCTCAGATATCTTGAGTCAAGTTATTGATGGGTCAGGGAAAGTTGCGAAGCTTGCCCTGACAGAATCGAAACCAGTACCCAAAGAGCCCGTCGCCGAACCGCAACGAAAACCGTTGGCTGCGAAAGAGGTTGCGCCAAAGCCATCAAAGCCCAACGGCCCCATCATCCAGGACGCACAGTGCAATCCGGTTGACGAGAACATCCGCAAGGTCATCCTACAAGAAATCCAGCCACCACTCGATAGCTACGATGGCTACTACGCAGACACAGAGGAGAGCTATGGAAAGGGAGCCGACATCCGCAAGTACACCAAGGCTCTGAAATCGGGTAAGGGCGCGAACGACAAGACGGCCAATCTTACAGTCTGCCCCACCTTGAAATTCCCCACCACTCAGCGGACATACGCCGTCAAACGCGAGCTCGGGAAAGGTGCTTTTGCTCCAGTGTACCTTGTTGAGAGTCGAGATCCCGAGGACGACGACGATGAAAACAAACCTTCGCAGATGGGCAAAGGCGAATTCGGCCTGAAGCGCAAAAATCTGGAAGCTATCAAAATGGAAGATCCACCAACGCCGTGGGAATTTTACATCATGCGACAGGCCAAGCGACGACTGGGTGTATCTCGAGCGGCTGATTCGATTGTTCACGCGTACGAAATGCACGTCTTCAAAGACGAATGCTACCTCGTCGAGGAATTTAGAGACCAGGGAACCCTGCTCGATCTCGTGAACTTGTCCAGGGGAGACAATGGCGTCATGGATGAGCAGCTAGCCATGTTCTTTACTATCGAGCTATTCCGCACAGTCGAGGCGCTTCACTCAAAGGGAGTAATCCACGGCGATCTGAAAAGCGACAACATCCTCGTCCGGTTCGACGCGTTACAAAAAGATGAGCACTGGGATTCCGAATACAAGCGCGATGGGCGGGACGGCTGGTCCGCCAAGGGCGTCTCGCTGATCGACTTTGGCCGCGGTATCGATATGAAGGCTTTCAAACCAGACGTTCAATTCATCGCAGACTGGCCCACGACAGAAGCCGATTGCGCGGAAATGCGCGAACTACGTCCGTGGACCTACCAGATCGACTACCACGGTCTCGCAGGGATTGTGCATAATCTACTTTTTGGTTAGTCCTGGCTGTACAAAGTGCATTTGAGACATATACTGACTTCGTACCTCTACCTCTGCAGGCAAATACATTTCTACGATCGCCGAACGTGGCGCGACTCTCGGTGCTGGGGCTACCAAGACGTACAAGATTAAGGAGAGTTTGAAACGATACTGGCAGACAGATATCTGGCACTCATGCCTTGATTTACTATTGAATCCGCTCATGCATCTTGAGGGTGAAGAAGGGAGGAAGATGCCGGTGCTCAAGGGTATGAAAGAGGTGAGGGAGAAGATGGAGGAGTATCTCGAGAGCAGCTGCGAGAAGGGTGTTGGTCTGAAGACGCTTATCAGACGCATGGAGGATGCAGTGAAGAAGAGATGACATGGCTCGTTCGTGTACTCCTTTTTATAATGTTTGGAGTTTTGGAGGTTTTTTACTGTAGGGTTTGGATAGATGATACCACTGGGAATGACGAATGGATTTGAAATATTTGCTTGTACATTCACCTCATTCAATGAAAAGGCTAAAAATCTCTAGAAGTCTACGTCGACTTCGGATTCTGTTACCTTTGGCTTTTGTATTGATGACGGCGGCGCATCTAGTGCACCGCCACAGCGAAGGTGGCACCTAGTGGGGTAACTGCCCGTTGTCCGTGCGTAGGTGCCTTGAGCTCGCGGACGCGGAGAGCTATGTCACCTCCGCCTCGACAAACAACATTTAATTGCAACACACCTCTGTCTTCGCTATTCAACCCAATACCTCCATTCGGGTTAGGATATCTACTGGAACCGATCCAACTTACTGCACTGGGAATACGCAGGCAATAGCGATACGA